TTTTATAATAATATTAATTAGTTTATAAATTCCAGTAATTTTCTTTATAACTAAAAACTATAGATTTTAGTAAAATCTATTATATTTCTTAAAAACTTTATAATCTAGATATTCTAATAATATTTTTATTATTACTAGTACTAGAGCTTTAAGATATAGAAAATTCCTCTTTTATTAGGCCTTATATTTAATAGTTTTAATTAGAATAAATAGGCTAATATTTTTATAGACTTTTTTTACTTTTTTTTAATTAAATATAATTATATTTTTAAAATTAATTATTAATTCTTGAAATATAGCTAGTTTCTTTTTTTAGAACTAGTTACTAATATTTAATTATTTATAGTATTTCGGAATAAATTATAAACCTCTTAAAATAACCAATATTCTTAATAAAAAATAGTTTCTATACTTTCTAATATATTTCTATAAATATTCTCTAGCTTTAAATCTCTTAAATTAGTTCGAATATTTATCTGAGCCTTCTCTAGTTCCATTATTAGTATTTACTAATTAAATCTTCTTATTTTTTATTTTATATACTTCTATAATTAGAAATAAACTATAATTATTATTTTTTTCTTTTAAAGCTATAACTATTTTCTCTAATATTCTTTTTATCTAATTTCCGAAATTTATAACCTTTCTATTTAGCTTCTTTCTAGTTAGATATAAAGAGTATCTTTTTATCTAATATTTTAATATATTTTTCTTAAACTTCTATATTTTTCAAAATTCTTTCTAGTTTTAAATTTAATATTTTTTAATTTTAAAAATATATTTTTTTATTATTAGAAAATACTACTTTACTTCTTCTTTAGAAATATCTTTACTTAATACTCTTTTTATTTCCTTTTTTATTAAATCCGGAACTACTTTTAATAATATTCTAATTAAAGTCTTTTCTATTTTAATTTCTCTAAAAATATTATTAATTTCTTAAACTTCTAAATTTAAAATAAAAGAATTTATAAGAAATTCCGGTATTTTCCTATTTTCTCTAATATTACTACTAGTTATAATACTAGATTCTATTTTTCTTTTTTACTTTTAGTTTCCTATTCTATATTACTTAATACTTTTAAACTATTACTTTTTTCTATTTTCTGGTATTTTTTAAAAATAAAATAATTATAATAATATAAATATTCTAATTATCTTTAAAATTAGTAAACCTTTTATTTTATAAACTATTACTTCTATATATAATTTTTATTTTTATTTTTACTAAAAATAATTAACTAAATAGAATTTTTAAAACTTTTTTAACTAGAAAAAATATATCTTTATATTTTACTTTATTTATAACTTTAGTTCTAAACTTTACTATTTCTATAAATCCAAATTTAGCTCTAGTAATAGTAGATATTTAATAATTTATAATATTATATACTATTTTATTTATATTTCTAGAAATCTTTTTAAAGGAAATATTAACTTTAGCTCTAATATTAATTATTCTTTTATATTTAATATTTCCTTAAAGTTCTCGAAATATAAATTAGAGATATAGAGATTATATAATATATTTATAAGCTAGTAATATTCGAATATTAATACTATTATCTTTAAATTAAATAATTCTATTAATATTAGATATTTAAGCTAGTATTTCTAATTTCTTAAATATTTTATCTATTATATAAGCTATAGCTACTAGCTCTATAGATTTTCTAATATATTCTACTATATTTAATATAATAGTATTTCCTATTTATAAAATAGTAAGATAAGAAGTATTATTTTTAATTTACTAGTTCTAAAATATAGTAGCTAGATCTAGTATTTTTAAAATATTAATAAGTATTCTTATTTCTTTCTAAATTTTCGGAAATAGAATAATTACTTTTTTTAATAGTCTTATTAGAATATTATTAACTTTAGAAATTCTATATTTATTATAATTAAGAGTATATTAGGTTTCTAATTTACTTTATTTATCTCTAGAACTATTAATATTTATATTCTTAACTAGACTATTCTCTTATCTATTATTTCTTAAAGTAGTATTCTTCTGGCCCCTTATATAGAATAGCCTTTCTTTTACTTTAGATTATTTTCGGAAAACCTCTTTAACTATTTTTATCTCTTTTTTCTTTTTCTTTAATAAGAAACCTATTATAATATTAATAGAAATACTATTTATAGCCAAATCTTAATACTATTTATTAATTCTAGAATCCGAAATATTAGTAATTTTAATACAATTTCCTCTAAAGCAAAATAGCTATTTAGATTCTCTAAATATAATTTATTTATTTCTATATATAGATTCCGATTAGCTAGTTTCCTTTTCTCTTTTTTATTTAGTAAACTAGATATCCCTTATTAATCTCTAGATATTTTTAGGTTAAATATTTAAGTTATAATTAAATTCTCTTTTTTAGATTTAGGAAATAATTTAGTTAAATTACTAATATTTACTAGTAAAAAAAAAGAAATACTTTCTTATTTAAGCTTAAATAACTCTTTATATTATTTTTTATTAAATTAATAAATATATTTATAATTTATAAGTTCTTCTATTAATAAATAATAGAACTAAAAAATATAAATATATTCTAGATTAATATTATTATTTCTATTTCTATTATAATATTTATAGTAAATTCGTTCTTTTAATTCTAAATCTATACTATAAGCTATATTAATTTAAATAATATTCTCTAATTATATTTAAGACTAATTTCCTCTAGAATATAGTTATCTAGATTCTTTATTTAATTTAGTTCAATTACTATAGCTACTATAGTATTCTTTATAACCTCTATTATAAATTCTAGTATATTTTCTCTAAAAACCCGAATTATATTTACTAGGCTATTAATATTATTATATTAGCTATATCTATTATAATTAACTGAATTATATAAATAAGCTATATATATTTTTCCGAATTATAATAGTAGCTATATTAAATTATTTCTATAGATTCTCTTAAATTATAATAGTAATAAATAGTTTTTTTAGACTTCTTATTAGCTAATTAATATTATCTCTTTTAGATTTGCTATTTTTAGTAGGTTTTATATAATTAGTTATAGACTAGGTTCTCTTTTTACCTATATTTATAATAGCTTTAGAAAATATAATAGAAAAAACTAGTAAAAAATAATTATTTTCTAGTTTAAAAACTATATTATAAACTATTATATTTAAATATTCTTATCTAAATCTGGATATATCTAGATTATTAATAATATTAAAATAGTATTTCTTCTCTTTATATTAATAGAATATTACTACTTTTTTTTATATTTTACTATATTTATAAATAGAAATATTTATAAATTCGAAGTTCGTATTCTTAAAAATATAACCTTTTACTAGAATAAATAATTCTCTTATAAATTCTCGGTATTAAATAATTTCATTTATTTTTTTTCTCTTTAGTAATTCTTTTAATATTTTATTAAATATATTAATATAAGATTTAGAAGAAATTCTTCTATTCTAGACTTATATAATAATCTAATTAAAAAAATTATAGGTAATTTTAAGTATTTCCTAGTTATATTCTCGGAATTCCTTTAATAAAGCCTTAAAAAACTTAGTTTTCTAATAATCTTCTAGATTATTAGTATAATACTCTAATATTGCTTTAATCTAATTCTTATAAATAGACAAGATATAATAAATAATTCTCTTTCTTTTAGTATTATTAGAAATATAATAGTTCTTATATATATTTATATATTATTTCAAGAATATAAAAATATTACTTTCCTTAAACTATAATACTTTAAAAGCTTTTATAAATAATAAATTTAAATCTAGTACTAATATATATTTATTCTTAGCTATATTAATCTTAATAATTTCTTTTATAATTAATTATAAAGTTTCTATATCTAAAACTTCTACTAATAAGATTTCTAAAAGACTAATTTCTTATTTAAATATATTTTTTAATTTAGAAACCGGAATTAGAGAGAAATTAATTAATAATAATAAATATAGTTAAAGTTCAAGTTTTAATATTAATAATAATAAAGTAGTAGCTTTTCTAGTTTTATTTCTATTACTTATATTTTCTTTTCTATTTTATTAGCTTAATACCTATAGTATTTTTTTTTAATTTTACTAAACTAAATATATCTAATAATACTATTAAAAATAATAATAAAAATAATAAATATAATTTTACTAATTTCTCTAACTTTTCTAAATTCTCTTTTCTTTCTCTATTTAGTATTCTTTCCTTTCTCTAGAAACTTCTCTAGTTTATCTATATAATTTCTTATTTCTGATTTCTTTTTAATTCTTATTTCTAATTTCTATTTACTATTTTATTTAAAATTAAAGATATTTTCTTTTTTAGATATCTTCTCCGGACTTAGAAATAAACTTTTCTACTAAAATTAATACTACTTCTATTCCGGTCTTTACTATAACTAAAAATAATATATAAATTAATAATATAATTTTATTTCCGAGTACTAAAGTCTATTTCTAACTAAGATCTAATTTATACTATCTTAATATAATTTTTCTTATTCTATTTTCTCTACTTCTTTTCCTTCTATAATTAGCCTCTATTTTCATTACCTCTATATACTATACTAGTAACTATATCTTATAATTAACCTATATTCAAGTCGCTAGATATATCGGAAATTAATATAAGATACTAAAATTAATATAAGATACTAAAATTAATATTTATATATCTTTAATATTTCGGCCTTAGGCTTAAAGTATTATAATAGCTCTTTTCTTCTCTAACTTTCTAAACTAATAATCCGTCTTATAGACACCTCTTAGAACTTTATAAGAGTATTACCTTAACTATAAAGTTTCTATCTTCCCTATATTACTTACTATAAAATATATAGAAGGAAAACTATAATAAGATAAAAACCTATATAAAGTATACTAGAGTATAAAATGTAACTTAATAGTAAAATAATAAATCAAAAACGTAAATAGTAAAGTATAAATAGTATATAGTATATAAAAGCTCAATTAATTAAATACTCATAAAGAATTATTCTCTAAGTCTATAGAAAAACCAGCTTTCTTATATAATTTCCGCAAGTCACGTATAAAAGGCCACGGCCTTTGCCATATAACCTAAACCTCAAAACCGCCAAAACAACATGATTTTTGACGAGTACAGCCTGCCGTACCACAGTATTCAATTTTCGTCCATCACTGGAGAAAGCAGTGGCTGACACGGAGGAGTTGAGATTGAATCGGTGGGCAACCTCCCCTGTCTCCACGTTCCATACCCTCAGGATATAGTCGGAAATCTCCTTCGAGCCGTACGACACCATGGCAAGAAACCGTTGGTTGGGTGACCATGCGATAGGGTCTACGCTAAATTCCTTCGACCAAGAGCCAGCCTCGCTACGGTCTTGACCATACTTGATGAGATCTCCTGATTTATTCCAGATCTCTAACAAGGCCGTCGCTGACCACGACGCTCCTGTTGCTACCAGCTCACTATCTGGAGAAAACGCAATGAACGCGCCGTCGAATAAATAATGTGAACACTCCGGCCAGTGCTTGCTCGTTCCAGCCGATAAAATTCGCCATTCTTCTGATACCCCCAGAGTCCAGATCCAAACAGCCCCGGAGAATTGCACAACACCCAGGCTCTGGCTGTCGGGTGAGAATGAAAAATCTGCGACATCTCTGTCGAAATTGAGAGTTTGGATTTGCTTCCGGGTTCGCACTTCCCATAGTTTGACATTATCGCTGGTAGCCGTGGCGAGCAGCTGTTGGTTTGGAGAAACCTTGAGACAGTTAAGTCTTTTATTATGACTGTCGAGTTTTTGGATGTCTTCTGTTGTTGTAGCCCACACACGAACTGTGGAGTATGTTACTACCGCTAATAGTTGGCCATTAGGAGAGAATGCTATCGCTTCGAAGCCGTGTTCATTCTCTTCATATCTCCGAATTTCTGTTCCTGTGGCTATATCCCACAGTGTGACCCCTTTGCTGGATGCCAAAGCAAGTATGTTGTGGTTACTTGGAGAAAACCGGAACCCTTCAACCCTCCCGTCGTGCACATAAGACGCTTGTACCTGTTGTCCTGTATCCACGTTCCAGAGTCGGATTATAGCATTTCCTCCTTGGGGACCTGATGCTAGAAGCCGGCCATCTATTGAGAAAGCCATGCAATTGATATACGGGGAAGGCAATTCCAGCTCGCGAAGCTGCTCCCCTGTGATTGCATTCCAGATTATGACAATAATACCACCGGAGGAGGACAAAGATGCAATTGAGGGTCCAGTGCGAGCGAAAGCAACAACATCGACGCCAGCACGCTGCCGTTTTGCCTGGATCTGTCGTCCTGTCTTCGCGTCCCAAATCCGTGTGGTTTTGTCGCTGCTCCCTGACCCTATCAGCTGTCCGTTTGCAGAGAATGAGATTGAATTGACCACGTCGGTATGCTGCGTTGCAACCCAGATTTGCTCTCCAGCATTTGTGTTCCATAGTCTCACCGTATAGTCGTGTGAACCCGAGGCCAAAACCGCGAATGGTTCTAGAGGAGAAAACGCAATGTCAATGATTATGTCCTCGTGCCCTTCTAAAATTTGAATCTCATCACCTGTTGCAATATTCCACAGTCTTATTGTCTTTTGTATACAAGCTGCTAGAGACTTCCCATCGCCACAGAAAGCTACTGCGCGAACGTAACGCGGAAGATTCGTGATTCTCAACAACTCAGGGCTCCATTTCTTCGGCATTTCTGGTGGTCTCGATAGCCGTTCTCAGTGTGGGCTCCGATAAGCTCGATAAGCGACGATTAGATAATCGCGCTAATTTTTCGATAATCGATAATCGACCATCGATTACGATAATTATCGAACTAAGGCCTTGGCAATACTACAGGGCCACTACAGGGCCAATGCGCTATATTTATAGGCCTCATACTACCTTTTCTTTACTATAGCAGAATTCCGATTTAGTAAAGGCGGTATAAGGCCTATAAATATAGCGCATTAGCCCTGTAGTAGCCCTGTAGTACTACTAAGGCCCTGGACCCACTATTATTAATAGATTTAGTACTATAAAGGCGGTCTAAGGCCTATAAATCTAGCGTATTGGCCCTGTAGTGGCCCTGTAGTATTGCCAAGGCCCTGGGACCCACTATTATCGATGGAATTATCGATGGGCTCGCTTAATGGCTGGCTGGGCCCACTTTTATCGATGGAATTATCGATGGGCTCGCTTAATGGCTGGCTGGGCCCACTTTTATCAATGGAATTATCGATAACTGGATCAAATACTAGCTAGTCTACGTTATATAATAGACTATTAAATGAAAAGTTAAAAAGTCTAATAGTATAGTAATAATAGTATACTTTTATACTAATCTTAATACTAATCGGTTTATAATTGAACTAGTAAGCCGTAATGGGGCTCGCTTAATGGCTGGGCCCACTTTTATCGACGATAATTATCGATATCGATCGTTTATCGATCGCTTAGCCGATAACGATTACTAATCGATAATTTCGATCGATAATTTATCGGAGCCCACACTGGCCGTTCTTCATATGCATCTCGAGCCTTGGCTTTAATGATACTGCTCTCCGGGGCAAAAATGGCACAAAAGTAAAGCTGAAGCGGTGCATGATTAATAATCCAGCGGTTTTGAAGAACGAAGCGCCATGCGTCATAAAGGAAGCCAGATAGCTCAACGCTGTTGCTGCCGTCCTGCAATGCGAATCAGTGTGAAGCTCTGAATTTAATGCCATGAGACAGCGAATCTCACCTCTACAAGATTTCGAAGTGTGTCAATCAGACCGATGCTGTCGGATGTGCTGCCTAGCAGGCTAAGCGCTTCGAGCCAATACAGGAAATGTTCACTGAGGAAAATGTGCACCATATCGCCATCTCGGATGCGCCTCTCGCTCTTTGTCAAATGGGAGACCCAATAGAGGCACGCGTACCGAATATCTGAGGCCAATAATTCTCTCACCTTTCCTTGGTCTATGTCGATCCGGAGTTTTCCGGGCTCTTTCAAGCCTACCATGTTTCTGTGTAGGTGCTTCGAAAGCAGGAGAAGACAACCATCCACCAAATTTTCATGGGTTTTCACTTCATAAATGTAGAAAGGATTTTCCTCCCGATTGACCAGGAAGTCTCGGAAGGACAGGTGAAATAACTTGACAGGGGTTTCGGGGTCGGTGGGGACATTCAGAACAGACTGAAGGGTATTAAGCATGTTCAAAACGCCGCGCGTTTCCTTGTTAATCAATCGAGCCAATGAAGCTACCGGAAGAGGGTCGGCGAGATTAATGATTGCGCCCACAATGTCGCGGAATTCCTCGAGTATGTTGCTTCTGTTCTCTTCAAAGTGACCGCCGTCTTCCTTTTGTAAGGGATCTGGAAGTATTCGTTCTAGTATTGGAAGATATGTCGCGTGGAGATGAAAATGCTGTCCTCTGCTTCGAAATTCCCGATAGTCAAAAACCTTCTTCCTCTGTACTTCGGGGTAGCCTCCCAGCTCGTAGTCTTTAACAAATCGGCAAACAGTTTTTGCGAAGATGAAGAGCGGAAAGGACATCTCAACAAGTATGTCAAGGTCTGTCTGTCCGGGCCAGTTGGATTCAAGAGGGCAAAGTGTATTAAATAGATTGTATTCGTCCCTGATTTTAGAAAGGCTCGATTGAAGGTATACAGATATGTCGGCCTTCACGACATCTTCGCTAATGTCCTGGAGAACAAGAGGTCTGTAGGAACTAGTGATCTTGTGAAATTCTACCAGTATCGGGATTTCCGGTCGGCTTGTGACGAAGCATTTGACACGAACCCAAGATATTTCATTCAGGCGCGGCAATTGAGCGATAACGAGCCTGACTTGATCATGAGAATCACACTCATCTATGGCGTCGATAACAATGACAAGCATCTCAGGAGATGAAGTTCCGGATGGATCTGGTTGGATCTTCTTCAGTGGACCTAGAATAAAAGTCTCAAACTGCGTCTTTATGTTCTCGTGGGGAATGTCAGAGATCTCTTCAATTGCGTCGACCAAATACTTCGAAAAGAGAGGCAAGCGATGAGCCAGCTGATGCGCAATCGTTGAGAAGATCCGTGCTGCTTTGTCTCGGAGGCCTGCACCCCTCTTGATAAAGAAGCTCGCGCCAAGGGCCCTCAAAGAATCGTACTGTGTCGCTACTGTCTGAGATATGGTAGATTTGCCCGTCCCAGCTTTGCCCTGCAGCCAAAACACGGGTGACGAGTCTGCATCGTCGACCCATGCATATATGTCACGGCCTGGACAAGCTGTGGAAGTGGAAATGTATGTGTTTGGTATGAATATGTATGAATCATGGTGCCCTAAGGGCGGTGAAGAAGCTATATATACGCCTGTGCGCAGCACGTGACAATATATGTCTTTAAGGAGAGCGACTCGAGTCCCACGATGGCACTCATGGCATTCCTCTGGATCTAAACACTCGAACGAAACGCCGTTTGCGATCCCCAGCCTTTCAAGGGCGTACTTATTCTCGCGATTGTCGAGCTTCTTCTCGATCCGAGCATTGCCGTCTCTAAATAAAATTAGATTTTAGAAAGCCGAGGGCTTGAGTTATTGTAGCGGAACGAATCTAGACATACTGTACAGCCTTTAGCCGCTCTGCGTCATCGAGCCTGAGCTGAAGGAAATCCTTCGCGAGCTCGTGCAGCTTTACGATCATGAGACGAGATTCGTGATTTCCATGTTTGTCACAGTAGCTAGCAGCGTGTTCGAGCTTGTTCCCGCTCTCAACAAGACCTTGAGTGTATTTATCCATGTCTCCAAGTTTGAAAGGAGCAGTGATGGCATTATTCCAGCTGCGACCGTGTTGAAAGATGAAGCCCAGACACAGCAGCGATTGGCTATACACCTCGGTAATAGACGCTTCCAGCTCATTTAGGGCGCTCTCATGGTTGGAAAGGCTGGTATCGCTGGCGAGATATAAAGTGTAGTATGATTCGCAGTAGAAGACTAGCGACGAGATTCTCGAAATCGCGCTGAGCATCTGGGCCTTTAAATTTCCATAAGCAGTTATGAGCTGGAGGCAGATATTGGTTAGTGATCAAGAACTGAGAACTTTACTCTCCGTCTCGTCATAAATTTCCCTATGAGGATGTCACTTACGAGCAGCACAGTGCGAATCGCGGCCCATGGGAGAGCAGCGTGAACCGGATCAAAGCTCACCGCCACATCACCAATCGATAAGGTCATATTCAGCACGGAGACCGTTTTCTGGACAAATTCTCTTGTGGTACTTTCCAGATGTTCGCCCTCTTGCGAGATCTCATCTTTGGCCTCTCTAAAGCATTCGCCGGCATCGATCTCGGAATCAAGTTCGGTAGTTTTGACATCGATCTTGCTGGCAGAGGTGGTAGAGTTGGGGTCCATTCTGCCATCAGAAGAGGGGGGCTTGGTGTCTACTAAATGATCCTTGATAATTGCAATGATGTCTTTATGCTTTCCCGAATCTTTGAGATTTTCAAAAGCCCTTTCCCACAACTTGCTTGAATCGATGGCTCAGGTGTGAGATGTTTTTGGGGTTTTGCTCTTTCGTGTCATCTTCAAGCTCTCTGCAGAGGCTGGCGCATCATTGCTGAGTATGAAGGGGCCAGAGGCTTCGTTCAGTTTTGTCACTGGGACTTTCGACACGCTTTGAGACCCTGAAGGCGAGGGTACCTACATTGAATAAATGGCTTGTTAGAAAACACCAAACAGCAAAACGAGGTTACACAGTGGTAGAGAACTCACTTGCTTGACCCGGGACTCCGATTCTCTGTCTGAATTGCCATTGGGGCGAAAACAGAAGCAACACAACTCGCTCTTGGACGTCTTCGTTGCCGCCGAACTCATTGCCTCCCAGCCGAAGAATAAAGTTTGGATTACGTATGGCAAAGGAACAACCGCAATTATGCTTGTAACTTGTGGCGTCAGCGTTTGGCCGAGTGGACCGCCAGGACTGGCTGTAGCTATGCTCGAGCAGTCTCTCGGAGTTTTGAAGTTTTCTCCATCGCCTTAATAAGCTGCACGCCTCTCTTATCGAACACCTGTGTCGCACGATGTCAGCCACAGGCTAAGCCTCATATAGTGCTTTGTAAAAATCAGTGCATTTCGCGCTAAAATAAAGGCGCGCATTACTTTTTAGCGCCCCCCCTCCTGCAAAACGCGATGAATTAATTTATACTGCTCTAAACTACTATAATTGTTAGTTCTAAGATTTCTAAAGTTTAAATATATCTTTATTAATAATAATATAGTTATTACGTATAATTATAAAATTAAATTTTAAGAATATATATTATTATTTAAAAATTTAAAATAATATAGATTTATTTTCATAAGGGTCTAGTTCGGGATCCTTAGGAGCCTATTTGGGCTTCCTAGGGATTGTCGCTAAAACTTGATAAAAATGAAATGAAAAGGCCCTAGTCTATATCCAGTCTAATTGGAGATTAACTACGTAAGTGAGAAGTAGGCACTACTCAGGGGCTGCTCAGGGACTACTCAGGTTGCTCAGGCTGCTCAGGTGAGCAAGGTGAGGAGAGGTGAGCCGAGGGTGATTAGTGCCTGAGTAGAAGCGGCGTGCTTACTAACCAACCTTGGGACGAAGAAGAAAAAAGTTGCGCTCGACTACCACAGTATCCGCCTGGCATATTGTTGATCACGGCGATGAACAATCCATGCGTGAATTCCGCCTTTGAGACAATCATGACCACATCAGTTGCCACACCCCCGAACGCATTGCTAGTATCAACACTCAAATAGATGCTGCCGTCGTGAGGATCGGTAAAGATCAAGCTTTTGTCAACAGCGGTGGTGCAGTCGTTGTAGCTATTTCCGTCAGCTTGCCCTCGTCTTTCCTTCCAGCCGATACCTATTTCACGAAACCTCCATCGAAACCCTGTAGCCATCTCGACTGCTGCGAGAAAAGAAAGTGAGGTCAAACATGAGAATTGCGAATTGACTAATGTGACGTTTAAGGCTGAATTTGTACCTATCTAGGGAGACACAATCTCGCCAGGCGCAGAATCAGGGTAGGGAATAGTCCGGTCTCAGAGGAGCGTAGTCCAGTCTAGTTTACTTGATTCAGACTACGGTGCAAAGCCCCGAATTGCGATCTGGACTCCAGTCTGATCTGAGTCTAGAGAATTAGCTCTGCTTAGATATACGGCCTCTTTTTAAGCCTATGAGATACTAAACTCGGCCTAATAACTTATTACATAACTATTCAAGCACGTAATCAAGTATTAAATTATATTCAATTTTTAAATAATAATTTTTACTTTTATATAAACTTTATTATTTATATAAATATAAAGAATAATAAACTTTAATCTTTATAAAAAGCCTTTTAAAAGAATTCCAAGAATAAAAAAATCACGTGTATAGACTAAGTAAACTGCGGTCTGGACTATGATCTGGGTATTTCTATTATAGTCTAGTCTAGTCCTGAGTAACCTTAGTCTAGTCTATTTAAAGGAGATCGCAGTCTGATTTTTTTATTATTAGACTATAGTCTCAGACTACAGTCTAGACTATTCCCTACCCTGCGCAGAATCTGGAGACACTCGTCTCAATTAGGGAAAACAGTGTTGATTTTTGTCTGATGAGGCGAACGGCTTTTGGCCAGGGACAGTTTTTGATTGAGGAGAGGCAGACTCGTGGCCGCTAGGCGTAAATGGCTGTAAGTACGCAGTGCTTTTCATTCGAGGCGTTGAGGCTTGAAAAGTTGAAGACTCTTTCTTTGGAAGCATCGTGTAGAAGAGTCTGCTTCTCCTCTCAATCCCCACCCCTTTGTGTCCAAACCATCGATGAATTGGCAATGCTTCCATGGAGTCGATCGCGCTGCATTCACGTGCTAGAGTTGTTGATGGATGAAGAGAAGACGAGGGAGGCCAGGGGGGAGGCTTGGCGCTGACATTCCGGGGATTGCCCAGAGTCAACACGTGATGAGCACCAGACGTTATCGAAAACAAATGTGCAATAAGTCCGCTTTAAAAGAGATAACCGACCCCGTTGAGATGTTCCCAGACGTTTGAACATGAACAAGTTATCTACTCTCTGAGAACAGAAGGGGGGCGGGAACCAGTCGGCTTGCCACGAAGCTCAATACTCACTTAGTCCGCTCACGTTTTCTTCGAAGCAAGTAGATGGTGTCCCTGGAGGACGAATTTCTATTCTCCTTTGCCTGACACCCGAGGAAAATCCACGGAAAGCGTTCTAAAGTACAATTCTGCCTGCCGCACCACGCCTTTTCTTTACCCAAGACTTGATCCAGGTCCCTCGCTCGTCTCTCACTCGTCCTCGGCCCAACCGCCACCTACAGCTTCATCCCCAGCACCTTCCCCACCCTCAAACTCTGCCTAATACTCAAATCCAACATAATCTCCTCTGATCCTCCAGGAATAGCATACGCACGCACATCTCTATACAGCCTCTCGACCTTGCCTCCCTGTCCCCCTCTGCTGTATGACAACCCTCCGAAAATCTGACTCGCCTCTCTAGCACAGAACTCAAAAGTAACCGTTGCTTGTGCCTTCAAGCCTGCGATTGGGCCGCCCAATCTCAACATCGCCAATTGCTCCGGCATGTTGGAAATTTGGTGGATGAGGGACTCCAGCCAGGAGTAGGAAGCTTCGATTTGCCGCGCCATATGCGCGAGCTTGAGACGGATAACCGGGTGCTCGATGAGTTTCTTACCGAATGTCCGGCGCTTGTGGGCGTACTTTATGGATTCCTCGTAGCAGACGCGGGAGAAGCGGATGCATTGGATGATGATACCGATGCGTTCGTGGTTGAAGTTCGTCATGATCACTTCAGAGAGATGTTAGCTATGTCAGAAGAGGGAGGAAGGGGGACATACCTTTGAATCCCTGATTCTCCTTTCCGATCAAGTTCTCAACGGGGACCTTCACGTCTTCGAAAGTGATGTACGTCGTGCCGCTCGACCACACGCCCTGACAGTCCATCTTCCGCGTACTAACTCCGCCGAATGAACGTTCGATGAGGAGCACAGAGACACCATTCATCCCGCTCTCCTTGGTACCAGTACGCACAGCAGTAGTGAAGTAATCACACCACACTCCATTCGTAATCCACTTCTTCTCCCCATTGACAATATAATGCTTCCCATCCTCGCTCAACACGGCCTCGCACCCTAGATTCGCGACATCGCTGCCCGCATCCGGCTCCGTGATCGCGAGACAGATCCTCTTATCGCCATTCAAGATCTCGGGCAGGATCCTCTTCACCAATTCCTTCTTGCCGAACTTTACAAGAGGCGGACAACCGATGCCGAATCCTCCAATGACGTTCCAAACAAACCCGCCAGAGGCAGCGCGCGAGAGCTCGTCCGTGAGCAGCAACTCGTGGAACAGATCCCATTTCTCGGGCGCAACGGACTTGATGCGGTTATTGGTGTACTCGGCGGGGTAGTGCATTCCCATCAATCCAGCCAGGTATCCGCGCGTGCCCATCTGCTTGTAGATTTCGTCTGGCACCTTGCGCGCCTCATCCCATTCGCCGACGAAGGGCTCGATTTCGTTGGTGACCCATTCGCGGATTTCAGCTCGCAGAGCGGCGTGCGTCTCGCTGAAGTAGGGGGAGTGGTACTGTCCCAATGTTAGATCATGTCATTGCGGAGATAGCTCCGGGAAGGAGAGGGAAGCTCACGCCTTGATACCAACTCGGATCCGCGAACGGGATCAGATCTCCAAATGGCTCCAGAGCCTCTGACATCTCTCTGTCCGGCGCAGCAGCAGGGACAGGAACCACGGCCCCGCTCTCCGCCTTCGGCTTCACGGGCTCCTTCTTCTCTTCCACCTTCGGAGGCGCGGACGCGGCTTTGGTGTTTAGAGAGCCGACTTGCAGCTTGCCTTTGTATTTCTTGAGTATGCCTTCGTTGTGGTATTTCCAGAACTGCTTCGAGGCATCTTTGCCTGCTACGCGGGTGAGGATTTTCTTTCCGCCTGTTGTTGCACGGCGTCAACCCACCTCTCTCTCTTGTGATTTGGGGATGGGAATTGGGATTGGGGAGGGGAGCGATAGGTACCAGGATGCTCATCTTGGAACGCAGTCAGGTCGTAGACATCCTCGTCGACAATAATGTAGAGATCGTTGGGCTTGTTGTGCGATGCGACGTCTGCTTGGGTGAAGGTCTTCGACATCTTGCTCTGTCTCTCGTACTTCGAATCACAATCTCGATGTCTGCCAAATCTAAAGGAGGGAGGGAGGGAGGGAGCGAGGACAAGCACAATTCAGTTCGTAGGTGAGGTGAGGAGGGTAGAATGAATTGAAGTTGAAGAGGATGGTCCGCCAGCGTGAGATTATTCTTGTAGCTCGGTCGCACGCGCTCCTCGTTTTCACATGTTCCCTCTCGGGTCCTTCGCATTCCAATCCACGCCATCCCCAGACCAGGCCAGGCCACCCCAAATTTCGCATCAGCTGCCGGTCAGGATCCAGGAAGCTTCCTGCGCTTCTTCACACTCTGTCATGTGATGCATTATTTCGTCATTCCGGGCGATTCCATTGGTGCATTTCCTGATTTACATGTGAAAAATGGCCGTTTGCGAGAGGTGGACGGATCCGGCGCCCATGACGAAACTGGCAAGGGTAGGGGTATTTGCTGGCGCTGGAGATGCCGAGGCTGTTTGGGCGGGGTCATGTGACGCTTCGGCAGTACTCCGTAAGTGCTGCGGGCGAAGCTTCACTTTTCTGCTCATCTCCGAGCAGTTCGGTATTTCATCTTTAGCCTCTGGTCGTCTACTCCCTTTTATGGAGAAATTCCTGCCGGAGCATCTTCAGAAAATGAAGCTCGGTAACTCTGGCAACATATCAGAAACTGGAGATGGCGGGGTAAAGTTAAGGGGAAGGTGAACCTCGAAAGCATCAAGCCGGAGATTACCTTTCCTTCCCATGAATCTTCTTCTAATCCCCACAATGATTTATATGCAAGAATCGTCTCTTCTGTGCTCTTCTCTCGGTCACTGGTCATACCACCCCCGATAAACAATCCGACTCCCATACACCTCCCCCTTCTTCAGCACGACCTGCCCCCTCCACTCCGGCACATTAACCGCATTAACATACCTACTCGGCTCAACACAAAAGCCGCTCCTCGGTCCTCTCGCTTCCACTCCCTCCACCTCAGGAACCTCAATATACTTCCCCGTATAAAACTGGAATGCCGGTTCCGTGGTCAGGACCTCCAAATGGATCTTCGTGTCCGGATGATAGGCGGTGACGACCTTGTGCAGCGATTCTTGTCGAGTGTCGATCGGAATTGAGGAGGCTTTTGAAGGGTCGACGACAAAGCAATCATCGATATCTGGCTCCACAGGTCCTAACGTAAAGGTCTTGTTTGCGGTAACGCCGGAATAAGTTCCTGTAGAACTGGATGTTGGGATTCCGCCTTCGTCGACGGGTAGGTAGTGTGAGGAACAGAGCGTGACTTCGGTGCCTTCAATTGTGTCTTTGCCGGTGAGGTTAAAATACCTGTTTTTTCATTAGCCCCTGTCCTCTCTCTTTTCTCTTCTACCTTCAAAATTAATATAGAAATGGGGGAACTCACGAATGGTTCGTTACATTAACAACCGTCTCCTCAACCTCATCCCCTACCAATTTAACCTCATACTCAATCCCCAAAACTCTAACCTCTTTATCCCCCTCTTTCTGCGTCCCAGCCGTATAAACAACACTAACATCCACCGTCCCGGGATACCCTTCATCTCCATCCTCACTCCGAAGCTTAAACTCCACACTCTCTCCACCCTCCAGCCTTGCTCCCTGTAACCCCTCTACCGTCCGTATTCCAACAGGTGTAGGACCCTCCCAAACCTTCTTCCCCCAACCCACTGGCCCACCGTGTAATGCATTAACCCCGTTGTTCGCCGCCAATTGATAGCTCTTCCCGTTCAAGGAGTTGATCTTCGCGTTCGAGAGACGGTTCGCGACACGTCCGATCGTTTCCCCGAAGAATGGCGCGTTGTGCGAGACGTAGAGGGATTGCTTGGGGAAGGATTGCACGATGTTGGTTTTTCCGACGAGGAAGGATTGGATGATGGCGCCGAGGGGGAGGAATTGGAAGGGGGCTTGCTGGGCCATCTTTCTTTCTTTCTTTCCTTCGGTTCTTTGGAATTGGAATTAGATTCGTAGGAATAAGAGGCCGTGATGTTGGCGAGAAGATAGGGCGGGGTAGAGAAGTTACTGGGGATGAGGATTCAGCCTGATGTCGAGCGGAGTGGGGTATTTCTTCAATTTCTGTGACGTTACCGGCTGTTTTGTGAAGTGGGGCACGAGGCTACACGAGGCTGCAGTTGCACCTCCATCTTAAAACAGCAACACACCGACAACACTAGAGAGGAGGAGTGTTCTTTCAATTTGAACTGATTCTTGGTGACCTTATATTCGTTGCTCTGGAACTCCTCTCGTCGTTCCAGCGAGGGTCTGAAAGAGAATTGGTAATACAAAGTTTTCTGGACAATATTTGTATGCAGACAAAGTTTACATCCTTTTTATTTGGATAATTCTCCGCTAAACAAAAATCAACTTTCTAGAGCCAACGCCTTTTCCTAGGCGCTGGTATGTATATTCAAGGCGTGTTGTTCCCGTTGGAGGATGAGTTTGTGGGGGCCAAAATAGCGGGGTACTTCTCCCCCTCCTTTCCCTTTGCGGTCAGTATGGATTTATCCGCCAACTGCCGTGTTGCAATGTTTTGGAGGTTGACGACTTGATTTTTCAGCTCACGCGGGGTAAGCACTCTATACATACATCCGGTATATAAACTATAGTGTACCAGCGTACGTTCAGTTCCAACATGCCGCAGCACCATTTCAAGAGACTCTTAAGCAAAGACGTAAGCGTATCTCATCACCCCAGTTTCTGCAGTTCTGATTTTACCGAAATCTTGGAGTGATCTCCGATCGACCCTGGAAGACGTTGATATCCCCGACGAGCACCAAGAATACAACTTCTGGGGCACTAGTAGCGCCATCTAATCTGATGCTGATGAAATTCACTTAAGAGGCCAAGAATATATTGGCATGCAATGGAAGTGTTAAACTCACTTATTGCGGGGCCGAGAATGATAGCTTTCGCTAGGACATTAAGTTTAATGAAGCATGCGAATAGCGGAGACCCCTCCTACAATATAGATAACTAACTATATTCGAGTGGAGCCAGTGGTTACGACGTAAGTTTTTGAAGTCAAGTTGCTGAAGTTTTTGAACGTGTACTAATTGAGGAAAGAGGATCAGCTTGACACAAACACTGCTCCTACTCATCACGACCACTTCCACCTCGTCAGAAGTAGATCCGAAAGTGTGTATTTTCCGCCGAAATCTCTCTCTTTTTCTATTATGCGGAGTGTGAGGTTCAGAAACTGGGGAAGAGTTGTTTGAACGGAAAAGGAAGGTCTACCTTTGTGTAATGTCATACTCACTTCAGAACAAAAATGCCCTGGCCAGGTTTTACATCACTCTACACATCTATTGCAATACCTTTCATTGTTCAACTTTTGATTACTTCCTCACTTGACTTCAATCACGATTGAGTGGAAACCATACTATTTCCAACCTAGAACGCTCACCCCGACCACTAACCGTCGCTGTACCAACACAACCTCAATGTTTTGAACGCGCAACAGCCCTCTCTGCAATCGCTCCCCTCAACTTCCCATCCCCCAACCCAACCGTGCTCCTAAAAACGGCATGCTGTAAACATGGTTAGTCCCAATTCAACTTCCTTGCTCGTGACGTGAGACTCACAATCGCCCATCTCGGCGCAAACGTCGTGATCACCCACGCTATCGTCGCAAGGTTGCCCTTAAATACCTCTACATTCCCCGGCTTCTCAAGGATACTCTTCACCGCCGCTTTGGCAAAGACTTCTGCCTTTTGTTGAGTTTCAGCTTCCCTCGCTCTCTTTTGTAAGATGGGTTCTAAAGGTTTATAAATCGAAGACTCATCCAGTGTGGGTACGGTAATCAACCCAGTGGCCACCCTCCCACTAACCAGCTCAATTACTTTCACTCCCAGTGGCTCGAGTTCAATACGCAAGGTGTGCGAGTATTGAGACACCGCAGATTTCGACGCGTTGTAGGCGGCGGTGAAGGGGTGTGGAAGTGATCTGACCATGCTCCCATGATTCACAATTGTTCCTCCACCCTTGGCGGCAATCAAGAGAGGTATGAAATCGTTGATTATCGCCATCACGGCGAAGACGTTAATATCAAACAACGCCTTCACCTTGTCAATCTCTGTCTCGATGGCGGGTTTCTCGAGCCCTGTAACAAATTAGAATAATTACTTCACAAAGTAAGCTTCTCAAAGGTGGTGTATACATTGACCTGCATTGTTAACAAGAATATCTAGTTTTCCACCTGTTGCTTTGGAGACGACTTCTCGCGCGGCATTGATTGAGGAGGCGGAAGCGGGATCGAGTTGCACTGTGTCGATGCCTGCATCAGACAGATCTTTTATCGATGCAAGAGATCGAGAGGCGGCAAAGACACGGAGACCTAGTGAAATTCGTCAGTATGCAACCGCCCTACTGCAGTTGTGAGTCAAGAGGATTGGAGAGAGGTCCGACGAACCTCTGTGGTGAAATTCAAAGGCGAGTGCTTTGCCGATTCCGGAAGAACAGCTACGCATGTTAGAAAGGTGCACAAATTGTAGAACAGAAACTTCGAACCCTGTGATGAGGACTGATTTCGCTGAGGCGGCCATATTGGACACTTGGACAGATGCTTGGAATAATGAGGGGCTGATCTGCTCGGGGGGTCCAGCTTTTAAGAGGTTGGCGAAGAGATAAGTTAAATAGAAATAGAGTTTTGAATGCCTTATTACTTCTTGTGCTTTTCACGAAAATATAGGAATACTGCGAAGTTGCCGCTGCCTTCCAGGTTACGTGTCCGATGCTTGATGTATTAGTGATCAACTCCCCCAAGCATGGTCTGGAGTATTTGTTACCCCGAAAGAGTGGAAGTCCGAAACCTCTGTGCTTGAGACGGAGGAACTGGCATCCGAAGACTTCGAAAGTATGGCGCTTCTTTGTCATTATCAGAAGATATGTTTTCGCGGTTGAGGGGCGCGGTCTCTCAAAGTGGACGAGAAGGTCTGAAAGGCTAAGCTTGAAATTCAACACTGGAAACAAAGAGAACTCAAAATTTCATTGGATACGACTTATAGAAGGCTGATGCGATTTGATGGGACGATTCGCAGGATTACTTATCGCGCCGCGTTTTTCAACTCAGCGATGAGTGATCAGAATCAAAACTTGATGACTTGCCTGCACAGGAACTGGCGAAAAGGTAGGAGGTGATGATAATAAGATGGACCTATAATCTGCTTTCCCTTCTCCAAGGTAAAGTGCATGTGAACGAGGGATGACATGTCTTTAGATAGCTCTTCCCTTCCGAAGCCCCTTCTAGGCTGGCCGAGAAAAGGGGTCGCTAGCAGTCGCTTCGGTTTAGCGACAAGGAGCCTGGAGTTTTCGCGATAATGCCCTATAAGTTTGGCGCTAATGTTATTTCCATGGGCGCAACCTTTTGTGGATTCTTAAAAGTTGCGAGTACGTGCACTAAAGCTCTAGTATGTGTACTGGAAAGATGTTTATCAAACGAAACCTTCTACTTGTCAGCCAAAAGCTATGATCACAGAGCGCTACGGTATCGCTCCGCATTGCAGGGCCCCCCTACAATCATCTCGGAAGCGGAAGCAGAAGCCTGGGGCCGAGAAACAGATGACAGGTTCTTTGAGGCTCCTGAAACACAGGGCTTAGTGGAGTCGATGTGTAAGGCTTCTGTAAGCTGCATTTGGAAACACTGGAGTCTCTAGTTTAAACCTGGTAAGCTGTCAGATTTGGTATAGGGCTGATTGCTTGTGCTCACTGCGTGCAGAACCTGAAGGGAACATGGGGCTTCCACGCGTTTCCCCTGGCGTATCCCTGGGTGCGGCCGCAATCAGCGTTTCAATAGTCGAGGGGGCAGGGTTCAATATTCTCATGTCTCTGCTTTCCATGAACTTCAATGTCTTGCCTCGAAAACGCCAGGCCCATACTTATGCCTCGGGCTTTATTGTCCTTTGGCGAGATGCACCCTGAAGGAGACGCAACTCCTCCGAAAGAAAATGCCGACTCCCAAACCGCGACTGATTCCTCGGCTTTTCGGTCCCGTCCTGAGGTCTTCTCATATGAATTATCCTGAGAGGGGGAGGTTCACAAAGAATCCTACAATCCATGATCATCCCCGCTTGGGCCTCTCATGCAACTCCGACGCACGAAGGCGCTGGAGATCAAATCCAGGGGTCGCATTGACAGCCCGTGCGACCTCATCCAATATACCGGGCCACTGTGAGAGCTCCCTATTTCGGAGCTAGCAATGTTGCATTCCGCAGCCCGCAGCAGTTTCTGATGTTATTCGACAGGTTCCTAACGTACGTGAGGCCTTCCTTACTATTGGAGAGAACTTCAAGGAACATCCAAATAGACTTGGCAACCCCTTCCTGTCAGTTCAACTGACTCGGTTGATTTCTGATGATAGCTAACCCCGTTGGAAGCCCATCCCGTTTTGGATCCTGCAAAAACGGCACAGTTCACATTCCTGCCCCAGGATGGCTGATTTCCCGCCCGTCGCAACAAGCAATCTCACATGTCCCTACCCTCCACGTGGAATGGCCTGGTCCAAAGTTTCCTGATAAGCTTTGTGGTTCCATCTCGCAAATGTTCTTTTTCTCGATTCCTGTTTTGGTTGATTTTGACCCCGGATTTCAACATCGGATAGAGGCCAATGGCTGAGCTGGATCCCAAAGACTACAATGGCGCACAACTTGCTGTGGTTTCCATCTTTTTTCTTACTCTAACCTACCTTTCGGTGGGCTTGAGGGTTTTCGTGCGGATATGGATTATGAAAAGTTTTCAGTGGGACGATTGGTTGATGCTGGTCGCACAAGTAAGTACCGCTTGAACTGGCTTTGTTGAAAACTCCAAGTTAATGTACTTCAAGGTCGTCTTTACTTTATCTTGCTCCTTCATTCTCCGAGGTGTGCATTACGGGATGGGCCACCACGATGATAGTCTACCTGTGCCAGAGCGGATTCAGGGATTGAAGGTACACACTGCCCCCTTCGACTTTCTTATTTCCGACCGAAGTCCATCGTTGATGCCATCACCAGTACCAAGCCCTAGCAACACTCACCTACGTAGCGAACATGATGTTCATAAAACTCAGCATCGCCATCTTCCTCCTGCGGATCGCAACCAAGAAGCGGTATACGTGGACCCTCAAAATCAGCATGGTAATCGTCACTATCTGGTCACTCGCTATCTTCTTCTTCGAAATCTTCCAATGCACACCTATACAAGCACAATGGGACTTCACTATCCAGAACTCGAAATGTGCTTCCGGGGATTCTTTCGTCGCGGCTGCGTACGCGATCTCTGTTTTGACAGTCATTACGGATTGGATGTATGCTATCATTCCGATACCAATGATCTGGTCGGTACAGTTGACTACTCAGAAGAAGGTCACGGTTGCGTTCGTGCTGTCGCTTGGTGTCTTGTAAGTCCCTGCCTACCATCCCCGTTCCTACCGTCCACCACCCAAGCTAACACAATCCCAGTGCGAGTATAGCTACCCTCATTCGCGTGAAATATCTTGTCGAGTTATCAGACTACTCCGACATCCTTTTCACAGGCACAACAGCTATGGTATGGACGCTCATCGAGCCTGGCATCGCCATAACAGCCGCCTCTCTCATCACCATTCGACCCCTCCTCCGCGCGCTAAACTTCACCGGTTTCAACAGCACAGGACATACCTCGTCTCGAAACCTTACTTCAAATAATAACATGAGTCGGAGCATGGGTCAACATAACCTCAGTCAGAGGAGAGATGATTTCGCTTTGGCGAATTGGAATGCGCTGAGTAGCGTGACGGGCCCGGAAGAGGCAGCGGTGAAGGGAAAGGAAAAAGGCGTGTCGAAGGTAAGGAGTGAGCCAGTTAGTGATGCGGAGAGCGAGCAGTACATCTTACAAGGTCGTGGAGTGGGGGATGTGGAGGAAGGCATAAGGCAGACAAGAACGGTAACCATTGTTAGTGACCCGCAGTCGAGGAGTGGGAGCAGGTCTCGCCGATAGCGACAAAAATTCTAACACATTTTGTTTTCCGTCTTGGTTAAGAGACGCTCTTGAAAGTGAAGACGGTGATTGCGGGGTCGGCGAGCTGAAGCCAGAGCTGAGAATGCCGAACTGAACTTTCCATTCTAAAAGTTGCAAACTCTTCAACTATCGGTAATGTCTTCTCTTCTTCAAAAACAGGCGCCATGACTACTATCACCAAAGTCCTAACCCGAAAGTGGCAGATCGAGAACCTGGAAGCTGTGTCAGAAGATGACCCAACATCGCCCCGCGAACCCTGCAAACACATCAAACATCAAACTTCAAGTACCTCATCTTCGAAATCCCTATCTCGGTTGTCTCGGAGGAGATCCCCTTAGATTCCTACCTTAGGATCCTGGGGAAACAGTACTGGGCATTCTCCCGTCTGATCAAGCACACGATCGACAACATCTGTGGAGCTAATACACCTCCGACCGAACATGCGGCCAAGGCTGTCGTGATCACGAATCTCGATTGCTACTGCGGAAAAATATTTACTACAGAATAAGTTGACCCAACCTCGACTGTTTATTGTGGGTGAATCCAGATCCGCTCTGGAAACGGAGACCGTCACCGTTGGAGACTCAGCACGTCGTCGAGGCCAGCTGGTCTATAGCGACGGAAAGGGACGATTGATTCCAGTATCCCAGATCGACATCCCCTTTCCACTATTCTGGGATAGAATGTGCCGGAAGAGTCTTTCTTACCTCACATCATGAAGACCATTCCATGGAAAGAATTATGTCCTAGTGAACTTTCGACTAGTCGACACGGAGAGAGCATGTGTATCGTTCCCGCTAACTCTTTTTTCGAGTACACTGGAAAGGACAAACAATTCGAATTATTTGAGGGCTATTATCCGGAGTTGGCAAAGAAAGATGCAGGGCTGAAGTACGAATATCAAATACCACAGACGAGCAAAGACGCCATGCGACTTGTGCTGAAGCTATGCGATCAATCCCTCCTGGTTGACGCACTCTGCATCCATCATCCAAGACCGCCACGAAGACAGGAAGGACCATCTTCCAGCATGGACCGTATGTACGGTCCCTCCGTCCTCACCAAGGCAGCCCCTCACGGAGCTGGAGCTGGCGCCGGTCTTCCTCATGTTCGATCCCACTCTCGGGAACCTATACCACGAGTTGAAATGATCCGAGGGATTCGATTAGCCAACAACAAGGCTTTCGCTTCATCTTCTACAAATCTTGAAATAACGTCTCGACTAATAAATGCCAATTATGCAAATAATGGATTGCTACAATGTGCTTAAGATAGTTATTATTTGTGTAATTAGATTTTTATTTTTATTCTACTCTACACGACCAAATAACCTTTCACAAACGACGAGAAAATTAGATGTTCGAGCTTGAGCATTGTTATGCTGGATTTGCTTGCTCACATGTGTGGTTTGGAAGCCAGTCCACACCAAAATCGAGATTAAAAAAAGAGCTGAAAGGAAAGGGAATTTACGAACAAAAGCAAAAAAAAATTATGACCAGAGGGAGGCTCGAACTCCCGACCTTGTCCGATATGGTTGTTAAGGACACGTGATAACCACTGAACTTGAATTAATAACTGTAAATCGGTAGGAGTTGACATTGCTTACACTACACCATCCGGCCGTTATGCAAATTTTTCCTTATTTAAAGCTACGAGTAGACAAGCGAAAATTTGAAGATTTATTTTAGCGAGCCAATGACAAAGTAGGCTGATGTTTAAGCGACATTTCCGCTTCGAAATCTTCTGCTACATATAGAGTTGAAGGGGTAGTGTTCTTCTTTCCAGATTTTTGCATATTTCCCTTCGCCTCTTATTTATACTCTCCTTAAATCCCAAAATCAGCTAATAAAGCCTACTGTACTTCGAGAGCTGTTAGGGATGGTTATGATTCCTTCAGGCAAGTGTTCACGTGACACCGACCCGGTCACACATTCATTCAGTTCAGTAATTTAAGCTATAATCTTTTTTCGTACTTTTAGGCCAGATATACGAGAGGTTTTATGCCGAGATCCAGATCTCGAATGGGCTGTTCCTGTTTACGTCTGCCTGAATTGTCACTCATAGCCAAAGACTACTTTCTGTAAATTCTTATATCCCGTTGCCGAGCCAGGGGATGAGGCTATTTTGACGGTGCTCACGCCTTCAAAATATTGAATGAAGTCTACTATTCTGGTGTGGGACGTCCCACATCCATCCGTTACCCGGAATACGAACGATGCATCTCATCTTCACAATCAGATTCTCTTTTTCCAAGGAGTAATCCCGATGGCTGTCATTTGCATCAGCAGTCAGTAATCTGTATGTATATAAAGCCTGGGCGTACCCCAGATTCAGAACCCTGAAAGACGAGCAAGGCGCAATCCGATAGTTTCAGGGTCTACTTTCAGTTACTTCATCCCTCGTTCAGAACCAAAGCTGTACATCACGTTGGTCTTATGGATACTCATCCACGCTGCTGCATTCGTGCACTGCTTCAATTTCCCGTTTGAAAACATTCAATTGCCCGACGACGACGTTAAGAACAATTCCACCCTAGCTTTCAGAGCAGCATCGACCCGATCGGCTAGGCATTCTATACCCACAGCGGCCGCAGGCGAGTGCAAAATCTATCCAAGAGACTCGAAATTGCCAGGTGAATCTGCGTGGCACTGGTCCAACGACACCTTTATGGAGTCCTAATTAAAGGAGCTTCACCTGCGAAGGTTCGCTATCCAGGATATTATGGTGCCGACAAATGTTCTGCGGTGAACGCAAACTACTTCAACACGAGATTTCGCAATGATGATCCTGTGTCAATCGTCAATGAATGGTTGGATAGAGATTCGTACCCTCCGGCGTAATTTTCAGCTTCAAACGTCGCTGTAAGCAATGTGACAGTACTCTCCCATTTGACTGGCTACCCAGTGTATGTGGTCAACGCCACCACTGTCAAGTGTAAGAAACATCCCAAGTCACCTCAATTTCATGACATGAATGCTGTTCTCGAATTGCTAAAGAAAACTGCTTGAAATTGGTGCTACATAGCTCTCGTGCGTAGCCTTCCCTATCGCAGTCACTGATTTGAGGCAGACATCCAGTTGGCTGTGAACTTTGCTCGAAACCAAATCATCCGCCTGATCATCAAATAAGTCAGTTCCTGTATTCCCAATTGAATACCGCATTGGTACCCATCAATTCAAGTTTGTATCTCACTTTCAGCTAACAATTTGGGGTACAGGAACACAGGCCGTGGCATGCGTGACCGGTCCACTGGCGGCGAGTCTCTGAGCATATGGACTCATCACTTGAGGATTTAAATATTTAACAAACGCTACAGTTATGACTTACAAAGGGAAAGGAGCAAGAGTTGCAGCTGGTATCCAAACTTGCGATATCATCAATCATATGAGCGCTGCTAATGTAACGATTCTGTCCCCCTCTCTCGCTCGCTTAAGTCTCATACATCTACGAACCCCCTAAACAACCACGAAAACACGCTTCATCGTCTTCGCGCCCTAGATCTATTTGCTGCACAGGCTGGTAAAGTGTTCCGTGGCCTTATCTAAGTATGTCCAATCTGTTATTTGCGCGTTTCGGTGAGATTCCCTTTGTACTCTATGGTTGTGAATACGATACTACGCGTTCCAGACTTCAGAATAAACTGGCCCGAAGTTTAGCGAATCTTCTCGCTGGGAGTTCAGCGCCCTAAGCGTAGAAACTCTGAAATTTCTGGCGTGTGGCGCAGCAACGATGCGGAGGTGCCAGTTCACAACTTATTCAGCCTGCATCATGCATGGGATTGGGCTTGTCTCCTGCATATCTTAGCGTCATGAGCAAGGGAAACTTCAAACTCAGCCTCACTCTGTCTTTCGTTCCCTCCTGTCACTCAGCAAGATGGAGATGGAAGTTTACGACCAAGAGAGCTTGCAGGGCACAACAGCAATTGTCCCGGCTGAGTTACCCTTCAGCAATTTCTATACCCCCGAGAACTCCCGGTTCTACGCTGCGCAGGTCTACAAGCCCCTGGACTCTAAGACCGAGGCCTTCCGGGTGCTCGAGGTCCTACAAGGAACTGGTGACGACATCATCAGATGCAACATCATTGAACCCTTCCATCTTGAAAGTAGCTATGAAGCACTCTCATACCGTGCCGGGGACCCGCATAAGACTGGCCAGGTCCTCGTCAATGGTCATCAATTTAACGTATTCGCAACGCTCTTCGCAGCGATCAAGAGGTTACGCCATCCCGACAAAAGCCGACTCCTCTGGGCGGATCAGATTTGTATCAACCAAAGCGACATCTTTGAGCGCAACAACCAAGTGCAGAAGATGAGAAGTGTCTATGAGAAAGCTGAGCGAGTCATTGCGTGGCTAGGACCACTATGTGGCGGGGAATTAGCTTTCAATGCTGCTCACTCTTTCTATCAGGACTATGTCCAACGCAGAGCCCAGTACAAAAGTACTCTCATGATGAGCCGGGAGCTTCAGACCAGCGAACACGACGACATCGTACAAATCATCGCATCAGAGTACTTGGAAGAGCTGAGACTGGCCGATCAGACGGAGGATAACGAGTACCTTATAAAGGCCAAAGCATTGGGACAGTTCTATCATTACGATTTCTGGAATCGTGTTTGGATATGGCAAGAAATTGTGGTTGCCAAAACCGTTGAACTTTTATGGGATACCCGATCAATGGACTCACAGCCTTTTTTCATTACTGCCCGCATCCTCATGGCGATGGGCATCGATCTTCTATCAAGTCAACTTCCGCAAGCCATACGCTACATACTTTTACCGTCTGTCAACCGACCAACGATTCATTTAATATCCGTCGTTGACGACTTGCGGCACTCTTGGAACCCCAAGTCCCACCTCAATATCAAATATCTCCTTCGCAAGATCAGGCGGGCACAATCGAGTGATTTGAGAGATAGGATATACGCTGTTTCAGGTCTTATCCCCCCAGACTACCGGATTATCCCTGATTACTTCAACGACCCCGCCTCAGTTTACTGCCGGACCGCATGGTCAATAATATTACGAGATCGATCCTTAGATATCCTTGCCTTCTGTGGGTATCCAGCCCACCGAAGTCAGCTTGCTCTACCTACCTGGTGCCCAGATTGGTCAGTTGGATCGCGAGCCTCTCGAGAACCACTCACCCTAGAAGCTACCGATGCCAGACGGCAAGGAATCCGTGAGTCCAGATTTCAACCCTCCAAGAAGCTGCCAGCCTATTGCTGCATGGAAGTAGAGAAAGATAAAAATACCGGAACTCAAACATTTACACTTTCTGTCCAGGGATTGCTCATCGATACAGTGGAAGAAGTCGCTCCACGATATCGAAAAGGGCATTTCGGGAGCCTACCCTCACGAGAAAGATATCAAGTGGTGCTCGGTTCATGCTGCGAACTTGTCAGCAAGAGGAAGACTATCACAGATATTATAGAAAGAGAGGTCGACAGGACGCTTACAGTTGATAACTGCGGTGCTCCAAATGAATCTGATCCCAATTACTCGCCACGTCGGAAAGATCGGCTGAAGGTAGATGTTGTTGCTGGCAGCCGACAATTCTTCCTTGGGAAAACGGGCATAATGGGGATGGGGCCTCCGCATGTCTTGGCTGGGGATCTGATATGTGTTTTATTTGGATCAAGAGTCCCGTTTTTGTTGCGGAAAGATGGAAAGTTTTACACTTTGGTTGGAGAGGTTTATATTAGTGGAGGCCATATGGAAGGCAAAGCGATTGAGGAGATGGATGCTGGTCTTCGTTCTGCCAAATCGTTTGAACTGCGTTGAGGGTGTTGCCTGTAATTAACGAATGCATACACCAAATTTGTGCTTTTAATAAGTGCTAGGACACTGAACTGAACCAGGAAAATAACTAGTACACCTCATTACATTTCAATGCGATATTGTCTGGTAGTAAATCTCCCAAAATCGTCAAGTCGTGTTTCTTCAGACCCCCTCCCTCCCACCTTCCTCGCTTAACTCTGCTCCTGGCGGAAGAATGTCAACATAGTTTCTCCTGGAGGGACTTGAGTCCCCCCCACTCACAGGATCTAGGATATCACTTGAAGTATTTTGCATGTGAAAGTCATACATAAAATTATACTCGCTGTCAAATTCAGCCAATTGCAAACTTTCCAACGGAGTGTCTATGAATGCGTTCCCAGGTATATACGGAGTAAAATCATTTTGAGGAAAATGTGTGGCATGGATTCCATCTTGATAAACGCTCTGAGCCAGGTGCATTGCCACTGGTGAATGTGAAGGATCATGTGTCTCCAGGATTTGGTAGGGTGTGATTGTCAAATTTTTCGAAAGTGAGCCCGAGTTTGGATCTGGCATAGTGTCTTCAGTCAAAGTGCTTCTTTCCAGGGAAGCATTTTGACTCATCATTGCTGCGCTGACCGCTTGTGACTGGGGCGATTCTCCAGATTGTTGCTGTTGCTTGATGGTCCTTGTCGCAACAGTAATTGCGCCTCGTAAAGTATCCAGCAATTTTTCCAAATTCACATGGTCGATGCTGTCAATGTCTCCGGCTTCGATCCTCGACTCAACCATCTCCCTAAAGGAAATGACGAGAAGCTCAGTGTTGGGCAAGGACACGACGACATCGTCATCATAGACTGGAATATCAATCAGGAAAATGAACAAAGCAAGGAGTGAAGCACCTACATGGACTCGGGGGGATTTGAGAGCTTGGAAAGAGAATTTTCCATACCATGTTCCATTTTCGCAAATCGGTCTTTCGATCCTCAATCAGCTTTTCAGGGATGTGAACATCCATATTTGCCAGGACCCAAAGCTCGATGGCGTCCTGTTCACTTTGCGGCAACTTTTCAAACCCTTTTACGGATGCCTCTTTTATCTTTTTCTAGGTTAGCTCGTCGATATCGTCTTCATTCAGAACCGATTGCTGCACACAGTCCAGATCAGCCCGCTGATGATCCAACACGTCATCTGATCTTGGGAAGACGTTGAGACAACGTGGACACCTGACTTTCTTGTGGATAGCACTTGCACAGTTACCTAAATGCTGCCTGAAAACTGTAAATGGGTTCTTTTCAGTTCAAATACTCGGATTGACTTACCTTAGATGGTGCATGGTTCGCCATCCTGGGCCAGAACAGGTTTCATATTTCCTCCCTGTTCGATTATTCTTGCAATATCTTTGCTTGTCGAAATGATGGAAGTGGCAGGCAAGCCTCCGACCCAGTGTGTCAAATGATTAGGTTTGAGTTGATTAGACCCCCCTACTCAAATCAAATCAAGTCAAAATCAAGCTAATCAAATCATACTTAATTATAATCAGAGATAATTAATTATATTTAATTATATTCATCACGTGATTACGCACATGACTTCAGGGCTTCGGAAGCCGAGATAAGGCTGAAATAATGTTTGGGCTAGCCGCATTGGGTATCGCTAAAGGCGCTCTTTACTTAACCAGGCCTAGCGCCAATTGGTAAGTGAAGCCAAAGGCGCTAGAATCTCCTTGATCTCCGGTAATTCCTGGTATTATAATAGATAATGAGAGAAGAGAGGGGTGGTACGGATGGCCAAAGCTAAATATAGTGGGTATAGTCACGTGAGGACAAGTTATATGGCCCGCCTGCAGTTACTATATAATAATTTAGACTAATTTTATACGCTTATATATACTTTATAGATTTTATTTATATCTCATTAATATAAATCTTAGTTATTTAATAATCTTTAAAAATGCCTGAGAAAGTATAATTATATATTATCACGTGATGATTATAATTAATTATAATTAATTATAATCCTAATCCTAATCAAATCAAGTCAAAATCAAGCTAATCAAATCATACTTAATTATAATCAAAGCTAATTAATTATAATTAATTAGCTTTGATTATTTTTTGACACACTGCTCCGACCTCGCTGATGTTCCTGCTCGTATGGCTCGCACCCCACGTGTCGTCCATATTTCCGTGGTTTATTCGGGTGGTTCGATTCTCCCTCATCGTCTTCACCTCGTTTCCTCTTGTTTGACGTTCCTGTCCCCTGAGAGCCGTCTTTTGGTTGTGGCAATGATCTGGGAGGCGTTGGGTTCGATTGGTTGCTATTGTTGCTGCCCTGGCCCTGGGAGTCCGTCAATGTAGCTGGGAATCGCGAGGTCAAATCCGCATTCTCCTCGAATACCTTTCCGATAAACTCCTCTTCTGAGCCATTAAAGAGCTCTGAGTAGACCGCCATGTTGTTTACGAGGCTGGGGAGAGAGAAGCCATCGCCCCCGTCTCCCTGTATCATTCGTTCGGTCATATGCGTTCGAGGAGCGTCAAAATCAACATCCTCTTGACCTCTAGGTTGCCTCTCTTGGGGACTTGAGTCTCGAGCAGCTTGTGTCCGTTCGTGGGAACCCGAATCCCAGTGTGTCGGTATTGCCCCCTCTAAAATATGGTTAGTACTAATCACCACTACGATAATACTTGAGAGACCCTTCTAACCCGGTGTACGAAAGCAAGAGCGGAGCATCCGCATAGACTCGAGTATCGGAAGAGGCCCCCTCTGTGTTCTCAAACATTCCTCGGCAGGGTATGCTGAATCCCGGGGCGCAGCACCGAAGGATGGGAGTTTGTCACTAACTCTGCATTCCTTAGATTCAACAACCAGAGATTCGAAGGCCAGGAAGAGTGTGGACTCACGGTGGGAGCTTAATATCCTGCTCAGAGAAAAGGTCAGCGATTTTACCCAAGTTCGACGAGCTCGGTATCGACTCGGCTGCAGATCTGGAGACTCGACCAGTTAAGACGACCCTATCTCCTCTGGCAGAGACAGAACGGGACACCGGCGATGAAATTAGGCTCTGAGTTGGCTCGCTGCTGTCTCCATGATTTGAGTATTCTGATTCGGCTTCATAAAAATCCTTATCCTTGGAGGTTATTATTGCTCCTAGTTTTATTCAGAAGTGTGTTGCACGTTGAGAGAGTATTATATACTGACCTGCCACTGGGCTCTGGGGTTGCGCAACCTGTGCAAGAAGGAAGGGGGATGGTTCGGGGGAGTTTGTTCCAAAATCATTGGGAACAATAAGCTCAACTCCTGGATAATTTAGGGAGGATTCTGGGTTGTCACTGAGAAGGAGCTTACCCATATGGATATCTGCATGTGCTTTGAGGAGATGGCTTTCCAGTCTTCCCTTTCGCTTTACTCCACGCCAGCTACAACTGGCCGCAGGACAAACTAAGGGGCTCTTATGATGCTCCTTAACGTGACGCTGCATATCTGCCAAGCGCGCAACATCGGCGTCACACCCATCGATCTCGCAAGGGGCCCGAAATAAATAGGCCATGGTGTTGTGGGAATGAGGATAAACGATGCTGGTTGCGGTCCTCGACATTGAGGTGCTGGACCTCGTAGAAGTGTAAAGGAGGCGTCGCTCCAAGGCAAGGCCGTCTTCTGTCACAAATCTCCAAAAAGTCCCGGTGCACTCATATTCGGCAGGTTGAGCGGATACGATGCAGGCTCAGCAAGGCTGACAGCATGTGGGGACGTTGTGCGAGGTAATGCTTATTTTTCCACTTGAAGCTTTGAAGCGTTGAAAGTTAATGCTCTTAGACCGCCGAAGTTTCAACAACAAGTAGAGAATGACAATCGAGCGGGAATTGATTATTTTCGTCCAAAACATTCGGCGAAAGAAGTGCGAAAAAGTTGTCGCGAACCTTCGCAGCGCCACATCTGTGTCGATGCCTCAAAATTTGGGCTCCGGCGTCCCCAAGGCGGGTCGGAACTTCTGCGAACCCTCGCAGAAAGTCTTCGCAGAAAATTGAATCGCAAAAACACTTTGCAATATGATATTCACACTGCGAGTAGTTGCGGTTTATTTGAATATGGAACGACGAACATCCATAAAATGTTGTCCAAGTTCTCGAAAGCAGCCTTAAATCTTCTCTTGGTTGCCGACGAGCACACAAATCTGAAATAACTTGCAACTCCTTGCCCAAGCTGCATCTTGTGCTCTATTAAGGAACCAACCAGGAGACTTGCTAAACGCTCCTTGAGGCTGCAAATTCTGTCTAAAGTTGACTTGCAATGGCGAGTTGCGTGAAGATCTTTCGCAGAAACCGGAGCGGGGAGGAGCAACCGCAGTAACCCAAAACCACCAACAAATGATCCTGTGAGTACCGATCAGCTGCAGTCTGCTTCACCCCAATTACCAACAATATGATCAGTATTATGAAAAGTAAGGCTCGTCTTAAGCCCTGGTCAAGGTTCATTCCGTGGTCAGTAGGACATCACCGCTTTGATTCCTCTTATACTCACGGTGACTTAGGGATTAGAGGAAAGACCAAGGCGGGAGTCTGTGATTGGGGAGGGAGAGCGGGGGAATTACGCTGAGATTTCGAAATTGTTTCCAACTTGTGACCATGTCATTTGAGATAACCCAGTAGCTTAATTTACTTCTGCCAAACTTGCTCCATGTACGAAGATCACGGCATAAAGTGACGAGATTACAGGGCATTTGGACCCTTGGCACCCCTCAGGACACAATTCAGTAGCTTGAGCCCGCTGTAAGGTCCTATGGCTCCAGGCCATATACCCTAAGCAGATCTCAAGAGGCGCTATGAGATATTCGCAAGGTATGAGATGTCCTTAGGGGTAAATAGCGCTGCTGGCAGAGCAACTATAGCGCTTGGACGCTAAATAGGTAGTTAATAGGGTAATTTAGTGACCGAGTGCGCTATAAAAATAAAAAAAGACACTGAAGTGCTGTAAAGCACAAATGCCCTGTAATCCCGTCACTTTATGCCGTGATCTTCGTACTCTTCTATGTCTCCCATCAACAATCTCGGTTGTTCCAAAGCTGGAAAATGGCCCCCTTAAGGGCACACGCCATCTAATTACCTCTTTGTTTACTCTGAACCTCAGACTAGTTGCTACCCGCAGCCAGCTTAAGCAGCCGATGATACCCTCAGGCCTTCCCACTTGCATTCCTGGGTCAGAAATCAAAGAAAACAAACTCACCTTCTCATGCTCTCTATAAAATACATTATTTGCCTGTGTCTTTACCCAACTCTTTGCAGTCGGTGTAATCCCTTTCGGGAAGTAGGAGTGCCCAAGAGGTTTCTCGAGGAAACGTGGCATATCGAAATTAGGAAGGTATCTCTATTAACACCGCAAATCAAAATTAGCACACTATTCTTCTGCCCTCGTCAGCGAAAAATAAAGGCCCAGTGTTCAAGAAAGGAAGATGCCTAACCCCGCGGTAAGGATAAACTGAGGTAGGAAAGGTTTCCGTGAGCCAGCAGAAGGTCACACTTTCCAAAACCTTCTCGAATTCTGGATCCTCATCTGACCACGCCAAGAACTTCTCTCCAATTCAAGCCAGAAGAGCTACAGGACTTGGTCTAGCAGCACGTTCTAGGGAATAATCTGGTTCCATCTTGACAAAATCCTCACCCCACTTTAACCCATCCTGCTCTTTGGCATTCAAGGAGGAGACTGGCAGTCCTTCTGGAGGAGAGAGCACGGGGAAGTAGTTGACATGTACCGCTGTTTCATTTGTCAGAAGCTGAAACAGAGGCCGAAGAGGAACTGAAATTATGTGCTGTTACCTTTGCACAATTCATATTTCCAGGCTACAATCTTCGCTACCCGACTTCCAATATGTCCTCCTTGAGTGATATATCTAGAGCCAAAGCCGAGGGCTAACATCAGTTGGTTCACGATTTCAGCTACACCGTCCATGCTATTGTCCCGATCAAGTGGAGGGAGAGGATAAGCCGTAGCCCGGGGGGGGGGGACTATAATGTGGTATGGGAGATCTTGCGGAGTGTATTTCCCCTTCAAAAGTGACAAGATAGGAAGAAATTCCAGGAAGCTGCCTGATTCTTTGGTCAGAAGCTAGAATTGGATGTGGGCTGAAAAAGAGCCATGTAACAAAACCAGAGGGATGGCATCTGGCTTTTCAGAGAATAAGCCCACGAAATGAATCTTGTGCTCCTCCTTCTCCCAGAGCAACGGTTGCTATGAAATTGGGGAATGAGTCCATATGTTCTTCGCATTATCTCAGTTGTCAGCCACAGTTTGCCCCTCATTTCTGGCCCCCAAATTTGGGGGTATCGAAAGCCCAACCCCAGGCTCTTCAGGCATGTGAAGAACTTCAGCAGCAGGTGATGGATGATTGAAATGTGAATATACAATAACGGGCACAATAATTTCCGGATTTATATATCTCCAAACAATATCTAAACTCACTAATCAAATGTCTCCTCCCAATACTTCTTAGTTTCCGTGACCCATTTGTGGTCGACGCCAAACCGTCTATCTTCCTGCAAGCTCTCATATGTCTGGGGCGTGACCTTGGATAATTTTAACAAGGTTTTGAAGTCCGCCAATTTTGCTTCTGGGATGGATATCAGGAACGGGGAAGGTTGCTTCGTTGCAGTGGCCAGAATTCGGGAGTATGGTATAGCATACGAAAGTTTTCCGTATGGAATCTCTGACACGACTTGTGGAACGAAGCAAATGAAGAACCTTAAGGGGAAGAGCAGGATTTTACACAAACTGAGCACTCGCTTGAAATTCGGGGGAAATGTAAAACGACCCCCCCTCTGGGTGTCGATTGGGGCAAGGGTATTTAATTGGCTATCTAAGCTCTTTAAAAATCTTAAGTTAGATTTTTTAATATAAGTATAAGCTAGTATATTATAACTATTATATTATAATTACATGCTTTTTAACTTACAAGAAAAAGATTTCTTAAAATAGTATTTTAATTTAAGGGAATTTATATACTAATTAATTAAGTTCTAGTTTTAAAGCTTTATAAGGCCCTATAAAGTATAAGTTTATAGGGCTCTTGAATCTGGTTTTAGGAACTTATTTGCTAAATTTCTAGGCTTTTTTAATCTTATTTTTAACTTCTTTAATTGAAGATTTATTACTAATTCAAAAAATTTAAAAAATTTAAATTTAAATAGCCCTTAATTAGTGCTATAAGGAAATAAAATAAGTATTAAATTATATTAATTCCTTATCCCTTCGTCCGGTGAGACATTGCCAGGCGCTAGCAAGGGGGTGTGGCTGCACGCAAGCCTCTTGAAGCACAATAAAGCGAGATGAGGCTTGCGTGCAGCCACACCCCCCTTGCTAGCGCCTGGCAATGTCTCACCGGACGAAGGGATAGGCTGGTGCGCTCCGAACGGTGTCCTGGGATAGTGACATAGTGTTAAAGTGTTGCATTAAATGCGGTTGTATTGTAATATATTCAGATTCTGGAAAGGAGAGAGGTGTGGTACGGACAGCCAGAGCTAAATACAGTGCGTGTGGTCACGTGAGCTAAACAAGTGACAAGCCTGCAGTTGCTATGCAACATAAAGCCCCCGATGTCGATAGCGTTATTGACAATTATCTAAGACAAGAGTTAGGTCAGTATGAGTATACTTCTTATCTCAAATAAAAGATTCTAATACTGGTCGTGAATTTACAATCTACTAAATATGAGAAGAGGTACTGCCGGACATTGTAAAAGACACAATACTCAGCTGACTCGGCGCTTGAGGATGCCGAACCACAGCGGGGTTGTGTAACATCTTATCGCAACTTCACGTCTCACTTTTCCAGCCTGCAGATCATGAAGTTTCCTTTAGTAACCAACGATCGCCGTTCATGCCAATCGCTTTTCAGTTTTTGAATAAAGGACAGCCAGAAATTCCGAAGTCTAAGGGCGGCCACACTAAGATGCGCCTGCTTCACACCCAAACTCTTGAACTGGAGGAATTCCTCGAGAATGCAACCCCGGCCTACGCGATTTTGTCACACACCTGGGAGCAGGAAGAGGTGACATATCAAGATATGCAAGGTCCAGTTGGAAAGCAGAAAGCCGGATACACCAAGATCCGGCGTTGTTGCGAGCAAGCTGCTCAAGATGGATACGAATACGTCTGGATCGACACCTGCTGCATCGACAAAGGCAGCAGCGCGGAATTATCCGAGGCCATCAATTCGATGTATGTCTGGTACAAAAATGCGAAAACCTGCTATGCATATCTTGCAGACGTCGAACCTATCGACAAACCATTACCGGAACTCTTGCATTTATCAAGATCCAAGGAGTCTTTCAAGAAGAGCAAATGGTTCACGAGAGGGTGGACACTCCAGGAGCTCATTGCACCCGCTAAGGTGGAATTTTATGCCAGGGACTGGGTCTCATTTGGGACGAAATCAGACCTTGACCTTCATTCTGCTATATCCGAAGTCACTGGGATTGATGAAGTTACGCTGACCGGTGGCCGAAATTTGCGAGAAGTTAGTATTGCGAAGAAGATGTCCTGGGCCTCAAAAAGAGTCACAACTAGGACGGAGGATATTGCGTATTGCCTCATCGGGATATTTGGCGTCAATCTGCCATTGCTTTACGGAGAAGGAGAGAGGGCATTCATCAGACTTCAGGAAGAAATCATGAGAAGCTCCGATGATCAGTCACTGTTTGCATGGGGATTGACCACACAGGAGTACGACCTACTCCCTTCGACCAACGAGAAGACTTCCTCCACTCTACGAGGCTTCCTGGCTCGCTCACCTGCTGCGTTCGAACACTCTAGAAACGTCGTGCCGTACAGAAATTGGGAGGTCAGCAGGCCATATTCGATGACGAACCAGGGCTTGTGCATGGAGCTTCCCGTGATCCAACACGACAATTTCAAAGAATACTCTGCCATACTTGCCTGTCACTACGAAGACAATTACCTTGGACCTCTTGGGATTTACATCTCGCCGGTAGCATCTGCAAACGGAGACCAGTTTGCAAGAGATGTGTGGTATGTGAATCCGGTGATTGTTGTACCACACCATGCAGCTCAGGCGAAGGTCAGGACCATCTATATTAGACAAGAGGTCTTGCTTCCAACTGTTAACGATTTGGATCGAACGGACCACTTCTTGATCCGAACAATGCCAGACAGCCCAGATGACGAATACGTGCTCGAGGAAGTATTTCCCCCCGAACACTGGAACTCCGCTCAGAAGATTATCCGTTCACCAGATAGTGGATCGGGTAGGCATGGGACATTGCTGTTTAAGAAAAAGAGTGACACCACAAAAGTGCTCGCGGTATTCGTCAGATCACAAGTTCAACATCAAAAAGAGATAGGATTCGATTCACATAGGTGTTCTTGCCGTCTTCTCGTGCTTGCCGACTATTCAAAGTCTAGCATTTTGTCCAGGATGATGGAGACAAAGGAAGGGGAAACATCAGGTGGTACATATTGCCAAGTGGATTTGAATCCCGAAGACGACATCAGCAAAGAAAGAGAGACGGCTTTTGCGAAAATAGGGAGAGAGGTCTTCCTGGGTCAAGCAATGTTCGTGGTTGATATTGGGGTTTGGTCATCACGCCTGAAAAAGGCTCCCTTCTTCGCACTTGCGGTTGGGAATGCTACCCACACCGTCTAAAGCCAACATGAATACAGTAGTACACCAAACCAGGCTATTTTGAGCAAAATTGCAGATTTTCAACAAAGGCAGATATATCCCGCCTGAGATCAAGTCGGACATTGTAAGGGACTGGCAGAAGATAGCTCGAGGCTGCTGTTGGCGGAAAAGTTGACATGAATACCCACAAGTGGTGGAGGTAGATTTTACCAAGTCTGACTACCTCTGCACACCATGAGAGGAAGCCTGGTATTGATTGTACGTCAAATGGTGACATCTTTGGTTTTGACAAAATCTCGCAAGCTTTTCTGGGGATTGTCGAGCCTCAAATGTTTTCGTATCGAGTTAAATTCCAAGCACCATTACTACTGTGCCAATGGCATCCTTCTTCCTGTTTTCTAGAACGCCGAGGAGAGGGGTTAATCCATGGTACTCTATCTCGGCTTGCTGAAGGAAGGAAGGCGTTGCTTGGGGTTGGGGTATCACCTAACAAAGTCGTCCAAATAGTGTGACACAGTCCATCGTAACCAGGATTGCAGTATTCGATGGAAACCTTCAGCGAAGAGGTTAAATAGGAAAGGTGCTGTTGCGAGGCCGAAAGGGAGGCAGGGGGGGGCGAGTTTATATAGCTGATTTGACTGCCAAATGGATAGAGGCGCATGGTCGTGTCGTATGGGATTTCCCAAAGGGTATAGTTGGTAATGCCACCATCGCAGATAATTCCGTGATGCTCAAGGCAACTTGCAAAATGCAATTCCACGACCCTTTTCCCGAAGTTAATCATTGCCGTGGCCATTTAAGGGACCCTTTGGAAGTGTATTTGACTACACACCGACAAGCAGTTGTCCCAAGCGTCTAGCCAAATATATGAGTAGTTCCCGAAGTCTCTGGCGCTAGTAGCTTCAGGGCCGCTCTTGAGCTTGCTGTCAATCACTCGGAGAGAGTTGTCCTGGAAGTAAATAACTCCTTTGCCAGTTCGGAGCTTCTGAAGCATTATTGGTGTAAAGTCGTTAGCGTATATCTTCCTGGTTAAGGAGGGATCGATTCCAGGATGGGACGATATTATAGACTTCACGAGAGGGGAGTTACTCTTACCTTCAGTCGACAGTGCTCCAGGCTTTTCTATTGGCGCAGTTATCATGGCCTCAATCTCTTTGATCTAGGCACGTAATAAATCCGTGTTTAGTTGGTGCAGCTCTTCCTCGCGAACCTCTGCTCGGCTTCCGAACGGTTGATCCGGGAGTGGCCTCACAATAGGCACTGGCACGGCTGGTGGATCTGCCCTCGGTGCTCTCGGGGCTCGAGGTGGTCCTGTAGGTAAAAGTCATGGGGTAGATCAGGGTCGTGTTTCTGGTTGGCACGCTGAACCCGGAGGTGCTGAGGGATGTGGCTGGGAATCAGGAATGAACAAATCGGGGGGGGGAAGACTAAAACGACACCCCCCAGGGTGTCGATTGGGGTGTTTAATTGGCCACTAAGGCTTTTTAAAAATTTTAAGTTGGATTTTTTAACATAAGTATAAGCTAGTATATTATAAGTCTTATATTATAATTACTTGCTTTCTAACCTATAATAAAGAGATTCTTTAAAATAGTATTTCAATTTAAGGAAGTTTATATATTAATTAATTAAGTTCTAATTTTTGAGCCTTATAAGGCCCTAAAAATTATAGGCTTATAGGGCTTTTATATCTGGTTTTAGGAACGTATTTACTAAATTTCTAAGCTTTCTTAAGCTTATTTTTAAGCTATAAAACATGAAAATTTTAATTACTTTAATTTAAAGAGCTATTATTAAATTTAATTTTATAAAAACTTTATATTTAAATAGCCTTTAATTCGCGCTATAAGGAAATTAATTAAGTTTTAATATAATATGTGAGAATTAGGCTCGCACCACAGCTCACTGGGCCAAAAGACTACAGTATTCACCACAGGTGAATACGCCTAATCACGGTTAAATGGCTGGAGGTGGTCACGTGAACGCATACACGTGACATTTAAGTTATATTAATTCCTTATAAAATTAAATTAAGGAAAATGCTAGAGTTTTGGTATTCTTGTTCGAGCGCCTCTACTTTGAGTTAGTGGCCAGTCTGGCCCCCAATCGATACCCTAATCGACACCTGGAGGGTGTCGTTTTAATCGTTTTCCATTTAGGAAATAAATAAGATATTTGGGGAAAGTAAAGTAAAAAGGGCTTTAATTTAGACATTATTAAGAGTAATTCCGAAGATAATAAAGAAAGAAGCTAAATGAGTATTAAGGAAAGAGATTTCTAAAGAACAAGTGAAATAGTATTTTCTAATAGTGAGGGAATATATTCCCGAAGCTAGAGAGCTAAAACCCCAAGACTACGAAGGATTTTGGAATTTATTACATCGTTTCTGACAAACATGGAAGACTCCCAATCGCGGCCTCCACTGGAATTTTTCCATGCACAGTCAGCTCTAGAACCGCAAATCCAGACAACTCATTATTCCCATCCTTTCAACAATAACACGGAAAAATTATGTGAATCGTGGAAATCCGCGAGGCCGAACGGCCCAGCAGCACGGATGTCACGGTAGCAAGCTATTGGAAGAGAAGAAGCTGGACAGTGGGCATGGGCCGGATTATTTCCAATGGGGTGATCAGCAACGGAGAATGCTTGCTAGTGAGGCATCTCAATTCCCGTAGTGTGCCGCGGAGGCTTCCACACCCCGCACCCCCAGCACGCTCGGCAGGGGGGACCCGAGCGCGACAACATTATTCCACCAACTAAATCCACTGAAAACAACAAGGGCAAAAAGCTTACCCCAGAAGAAGGCGCCGCTCTCACATGGGGGTGGGGAACATCTCGGCCGCTCTTTCAGATATAAGATCTGCTGCTGTCCTCAGAAAAGATTTGGCTCTTGCTTATCGCCTCTGTTCTGCTGAAGCTGTGTGCATTTCAAAGCATCATAGGGGCGTTTGTTACACTGGGAACCGTTCATCCCACTCTTCCTCACCGCCAGAGAGCGCTGATCTCGCAACGTTATTCACGATGGCGATCGGCTTCTTCAAAAATTATCGGGTCTACATGCTAACCACAGTGGCCTACATGGGCTCGCTGCTGTTCGGTATGAGTCTTGCCCCCTATCTTCTGTCGAGTTTCTGACGATGCTAACTCCTATTTCTCTCTACAGGATACGACACCGGTGTTATGAGCTCTGTTCTCTCGTTGAAGAGCTTCAAAACAGACTTCGGATTGCCTCTCGCCACCACGGGATTCGCCAGCAAGACCAACGCCCACATCTCCCAGAATGTAGTTTCACTGCTCACAGCAGGTTGTTTCTTCGGCGCCATATTCGCCTCCGTTGCCAATGACAAGCTGGGCCGCAAGCGGTCCCTCTTAGGATTCACAGTTGTCTTCCTGGTCGGTGCTGTCATCCAGGTCACATCTCTTCATCACATCAGCCAGGTTTATGTTGGCCGATTCGTTGCTGGTCTTGGTATAGGTGGAATGTCCAGTATTACACCCATCTACGTGGCGGAGAACTGTCCACCCGAGGTTCGAGGCCGCATCACGGGCCTCTTCCAGGAATTCTTGGTTATTGGTTCTACTTTTGCTTACTGGCTCAACTATGGAGTGTCCCTTCATCTCAAGCCATCTACATCGCAATGGCGTATTCCCGTAAGTATTCGCTTGGAATTCCTGGTTTGATTCCCGACGACCAGGCAACGGCTAACTCGTACTGATCCAGGTTGGAATCCAAATCGTTCCCGGGGGCTTGCTCTTTCTTGGACTCATTTTCCTGAAAGAATCACCCAGGTGGCTTGTCAAGCAAGGCCGATACGAAGAAGCCACAGCCTCACTAGCATACATGCGCCGCGAGCCGATCGACGACCCAGAAGTCATGAAAGAAATTGCAGACATCCGAGCCGCCGTCGAAGAAGAACTCAACTTGACCGAAGGCGTGACATGGAAAGAGGTCTTGATCCCAGGTAACCGATACCGATTCGCTGTTGCCTTCACCATCTTTCTATGCCAACAATTCTCTGGAACGAACTCTATCGGTTACTACGCACCGCAGATCTTTCAAACGGTTGGCGTCTCCAAGACCAATGCTTCGCTGTTTGCAACTGGTGTTTATGGTACTGTCAAGGTCTGCGCTACTGGCCTCTTCTTGATCATTGGAATCGACAAGCTTGGTCGACGGTGGTCGCTCCTTGGAGGCGCAGCGTGGATGATGGTCATGATGTTTATCATCGGCGGCGTCTTGAAAGATCACCCACCGACCAACGTAAACAGTACGTATCCTCACCATCTCGGCTTTCATCAAAAACGAATGCTGACTCAAACCCACACACAGCTGTCTCACCCGCCTCCATCGCCATGGTTGTTATGATCTATCTCTACGTTATCGGCTACTCGGCCTCCTGGGGCCCAATTCCCTGGGTCTACGTCTCCGAGATCTTCCCCACGCGTCTACGCTCCTATGGTGTTGGCCTGGCAGCAGCAACCCAATGGCTCTTCAACTTCGCCGTCACATACATGACCCCGAGCGCCATCAACCACATCGGCTGGAGAATTTTCCTCATGTTCGGCATCTTCTGTGCTGCCAACTTCGTCTTTGTCTGGTTCTTTATTAAGGAGACCAAGGGCCGCACGCTCGAGGATATGGAAATCTTGTTCGGCACTGTGGAGGCGGACGTTCGTGCTGCTGATGTGGAGCGTATGTTGCATAAGGGCGCGATGCAGGAGGATCGGATTGAGATGGCGGCCCCGGCAGAAAAGAAAGTGGCTCCCGCCCAAGAGACTCCAGTTCGTGATGCTCCGGCTACTGAGGAGAAGACTGTGTCTTAGTCACGTTCAAATGGTTGTCATGGGATAGAAGTCAAGCCTGGCTTGTCGACGATATCCTTTTCCGGCTGAAAACATGATTGTAGATTGTCAAGTGTACACAGTGTCTTTAATTAATGCAATTTACTTCTGATCGTGTTTCAGATTTTGGATAAGAGCCACGTTTATTGAGTGACCTCCGTTCCTCGAGAGTGCATGGTCGTAATCCAAGCGAGCCCACCAAATGAGGCAAACAGGTTAGCGTGCCCCCTTTTCCGCTTGCGTTCTCTTTCACTCTACCTCTTTTTCTCTCAATAGATTTCTCATAACATTTCAGCGAGTCAGCACGTTTACAAAAAGTGCTTGCAGTTTCAGTTCTCGATTCTGAGTGGCTATGGTTATTAAGAAGTTTTCGGTATACACGTCTATGAGAGGAGATGAGATCATTAATCGAGATTCAAGCTCGGAGAATCGTGATTATTCATCTAGGTATGAAATTGGTTAGTTTAATATTTATTTCTCTTGCGTTGCGACCACACGCGATTTCATAATTCCTCCAAGATCTCAGGAACTATGAGAATATTACAACGTACGATACTGCTTCCGCTTCGACTTGATCTCTATAATTAGATCAAGTCTCCTGATTTGAGGCTCCCATCCCTCTTTCACTGCCTTTTGAGGAGCTTTCTAATCCCGACGAGATTCTTCCTGCGGACAAGTTCTTCACGGTCCCCTATAAACACTGTATCGACGTCGTCCATGCTCTTTAGCACTGTATCCAAGTATGCCAGTTCACTCTGCATGTGAGTCAGGCTCCAGGAGGCGAGTTCATAGAACTGATTGAACACCACTAAAAAAATGGCCATCGCTGGTTGTAAGGGCTTGTGTGAGGGCTAGAAACTCTGAGAAGATACCTTCATCTCTTCTTACACTCTCTTCATCGGTTGTCTCCTGTTTCTTGCGTTCATTGAACATGCTATCGGACAGGCTGGCTAATCTCAAGTTTCCAACCCGCGTGAAAATAGAGCATAAGATATTTTGACATGTTCCCCCACGTTCGTTAATACGAGCAGTTGATTAATCGGACCTAAGCGAGGAACCGAACAGTAAAGGGGCTCGCACGTGATGAGACTCCACTCACCTCTTCAATCGCCGGTTTTGTTTAAGGAACGAGACTTGTTAGGCTCTGATCTCACTATTAAATGCGGCTCACCCGCATATTTTCAAGTCAATTTCTTCGTGGGTATCTTATCTATTCGTCTAACCATATTCCCATGGTTTTTTATGCATCCCGAAATTACTCTTCGCCCAATCAATGCAATAATCTCTCATAACTCCGCCGCCGCCACGGGTACGGGCCGCCGCTCTATACTCTGCCGCCGCATAGTGGACATCCACTCCTGCTGTGGCGCTGGCATATATCCACCTCTAGTCCGGACAACCGGGGTATAACTATCCGCGCCGATCTGCGTCGAGGTCCGGGGCTGCTCCACCATTGGGGGTGTAGCTCCGCCGTCTCCACTAGTTGCCACAAGACCATACTGCTCTCTATCTTGCCTCCTGCGTCTCAAAAAGAAAATCAGCCCGAGGACTAATAATGCCAAAATGATGATTCCAAATGCGATGCCAACTTTTGCTCCGGTGGAGAGACCCTTGCCCGAACTTGCATTCGATGGAAGTACGGTTGGTGTTTGGCTGGCTGAAGTGGACGTCGTTGAAGAAGTCCTGCTCGAGGCGCTTGATCTTGTGCTGCTGGTACTGCTTAGGGTGTTTGACGAAGCACTCGATGTTGAAGCTGAACTTTGGCTTGTTTTCAGAGATATCGTAGTGGGTGTGCTCACAATCACTTCCGTAATCCCGGAAATGACCGTAGTCAATCCTGAGAGCGAGTACGCCGAATTCACAGGCAATGTAGCCAGCCCTGAGATGATAATTTCCGTTACGCCATTGATAACTGTTACCTGTGCTACGTTTGACGGCGAAGCTGGGAGTGGAAACGTTGTCGCAGAAGGTATGATCAAGAAAGGGGTTCCATTAATCGTAGTCGTCACACCAGTGAGCCCAGGAGGGGCGTTGGATAGGGGTATTTGAGTTGGGCTTCCTACGACCACGAATGGAGTGCCATTGATGACTGTTGTCGCTAAAGTTCCGGTTTGCGTGGCTGGTATTGGAATATTCGTTGAGCCAGGAACTGCAAGGAAGGGGGTATTATTGATAATTGTCAAGCTTCCAGTCAGTCCTAAGGAAGAAGTTAGCAAGGACATTTCTCCATCTTCAAGAGGGCATTGGAAATAAACTTACCAGGAGGAGCATCGGAGAGAGGAATATTAGTGGCTGAAGGGAAAACAATAAAGTTGGTTCCTCCAATATTAGTCGTAATCGCCCCATTTGTCTGTGCTGATGGTGCTGCAAAGGTGGTTTGACCCACTACCAGGTAAGGTGTATTATTGATTATTGTAATTGGAGCATTAGAGAGTTGAGGGGGGGCGTTTACCGCGGGGACAAGAGTCGGAGATGATATTACAATCGAAGGAGAGCCATTTATTATCGTCACACTGGCTCCAGCGATAGGTGGTGCAGTAGGATTAAAGGGGACAAATGTCTCCTGGGATGGAACAATCAACATAGCCGTTCCATCAATTGTGGAAATTTGTCCTGTAATGCCCAACGGGGCATCCTGGAGCCGGAACGTAGTTGGCGAGACTACTACACTGGGACCAGAACCTTGAACGACTGGGTTTGCTTGTGGAGCAGCTGCGCAGCCAATAATTTGGCAGACGATATTGCCGATTGATTGTCCTTGTGAATCAGCTGGATTTGGAGGCACGACTGGTGCAGGCCCCGGTCCTACAGCAGATTCTGGAGGAACATAAATGCTAACAATAGGATCCACGAGCCCGGGTCCAGCGGCTTCAACGTAGGTTGGTGCAGTTGCAGTTCCAGGAGGCGGTGCATTATGTGTCACAGGGCTTACGATAACATTCTCAGTGCCTGTTGGTGTGATTAGGTTTGTGGTGGTGTCGAGTTCCAGACTTGAATCTAGGCTAACGACTACGCCCCCTGGGTTTGCTACATAAGAAACCGATTGAGTAGGTACTTCCGTAGTGCCTGTCGAATATGATGGTGGATAAACCACGACGTTTCCACTGGTTTGCGGAGGCGGAGGCGGAGGCGGAGGTGGAGGTGGAGGTGGACCATTACCGGAAGTAGTTTGCGGAGGTGGAGGAGGAGGAGGGGGTGGAGGGGGGGTGAACGTATTGTTGCTGTGAAATGCTGGGCTGAAAGCCGAACCAATGATTCTTTTGCGATACTTTGGGTAGAAAGCCGTAGGACTGCTTCTTTTGGGATACGTTGGGTAGAAAGCCGAAGGACTGCTTCTTGCTATAGTTACGGTCGATCCCGGAATAGTGATAGTGAATGTCGATGTTACGTCAAAGAAACTTGTGGTGAATCCTGTCGTGCCTGGTAATGTAGTGGTCCGGTTAAAGAACACCGTCCTGGTAGACGTCTCAACCTGGGTTATCACAGCAGGAGAACCGATGATAGTTTTGGTAACAAACTCGACGGTGCCACAATTGATGGCTTCAATAGACGGTCCGGCAGGCAAACATGCTGACAGGCCAGGATACTGAGCAGAAATGTCCTTGTTGCTTACCAGATGGTCGAGGACTGTCTGGGGAACATATCCGTAGTCTTCTGTGCCAGGCGCAATTTTCCCTCCACATGCTTCTGAAATAGTCGTCCCCAACTTTCCCCGTGCTGGCTGGTAGATGAAAGGGGTTGCCAGCGTAATGATCGCGGGTGCTGCTGGGGCTGGCGCCCTTGGGTTAAGATCGGAGTCGCCTGAACGTGCATAAATTGGGTTGGGCCCGAGGCCACCAAAGTAAGCCTGAGCATTGGGATTCAAATTAGGAAATCCACCGATGGCTGTTCCGCAGGCCAAATTCCCCGCATCGTCTGTGATGGCTGCCGCTGTGATGATCTTGATGGTGGAATAGACATAGAAGGCAGCCGGCGATTGTCTACACAACTTATTAGTAAGAAGGATCTGTGAGTTAGCAACAGGGTCAAGTACTTACATAGTCACCCCTCCGGTTACCGTGGCAGTGCCGTTGTTAACTTGCGTATACTCTGCCGGGTGCGCAGCTGCATTGCCCAAGAGAGAGATTGGATTAACGCCAATGCGAGCCGTGACTGGGACAGAGGTATTGATCGCTACAGTGTTGATTTCTAAGTTTGTCACTGTTCTATTCGGATAAGGCGTGAAACGGGCCGTGATCTGCGTCTTGGTCACGACTTTAAAGATGGAGCTTGTTGTGAAAATATCCCACCATTCTTCAGTGACGACATCTTGAACCACAAAACAGCAGGCTTCATTTTGATTTGGAGTGGCAGCTGGTGGAAGAGGGATAGGGACAAAACCAAGTGTTGTGGTTACGATAGTCGGTGTGCTCGACGGGGTCGATGTGCTTGGTGGAGGTAAAACGGATGTATGATATAATGGGGTTAACGGGGTCGACGAGAGTAGAGTTAATACGGTTGGTGAAATTAATGGAGTTGACGGGGTCGACGGGGTCGACGGAGTTGATGGTGTTGATGGTGTTGATGGTGTTGATGGGGTTGATGGTGTTGACGAAGTCGATCCACTAAACGTTATTGAAGTATTGGATGAGGGGTATGTCACGGCTGCTGGTCAGTTGGTGATCACACTCTTTTGGGAGAGGTTCTTACGAGGCGGTTGCAGGTTTGCAGCACTGATCGTCAGAACGAGTGTACTGAGCTGCAAAAGGATAGAGCACAGCCACATCTTGGTGAAGTGCGCATAGAGGGAGAAAGGGAAAAAAAGATGAAAAATCTCTACAGTATTCTCTCGAAGGGCCAAACGAACGAAGGGATGAGAGTTGCAAAAATTATCTCGGACCAAGTTCCAGGCAGGAAGTGTTAAGAAGAAGAAAATCCATCCTCACGCGGTGAGACGGAGTGATTCAGAAATGAGAATACCAGCCTCCGCCCTCATCCATGGACCAAACTCCTTTGCGTTCGAGGGAGCTTGGCAGCGGGGCTGAGAGCTGCGACCCTTTTTCAACTGCGACGGGCTGCACATGATTTTTTCCCTCGTAAACTTTGTTGGGCTTGAGGACAATTGCATGACTACTCGCGTCGCATCCTCATAGGCCCGGTGCGGTGGTACCAAGGAAACACCCAGCCAACTGTCTCACCAGGCTGCAGCTCAGCCTCTGCAACTGGCCTAAATCTGCGCCCCCAAAAGCGAAGTCCGACGACTTGCACGGCACTTACCCATGCAGCCTTCCTGAAAATAGCTTAATGGCGTTGTCTTGCTCCAATCGTCTGGCACTGCTCCCTTGTCCCGCTGGAACATCCCATGCCAAGCCTGCTGTCTCGCAGCCTGTCACGTCCCAGAGTTCGGCGACCGTAATGGCCCGTGGTGGCTCTGGTGGCTTTACTTGGCACTTGAACAGCCTTGTCTAGATTGGATTTCTGTTTACGGAGTATACGTTTGCCTGAGAGTTGCTGCTGTCAGCTTCTCAGAGTGGTACACAAACTTGTCCTCTGGATCAGTCGGTATTGCGATTCTATCGATGACATTCTCCAGAATACTTATAGACCCTTTGTCAGTTCGCAAAGGGCAGCCCATAGATTGAAGAGCGACAGCTTATGAGACGGTTTGTATTCCATGGCCATACATAGGCTCCGCGTGCCACCTGCATCCTATATACGTAAATCTGATCAGCTTTTCGTGGTTTCGGATTCAAGATATATATAGGATGGGTATTAGATTCAATAAGATAACTCTTCAGTTCATTAGTTGGTATGCATGTGCAATACTGTAAAGCCGGCAAAAAGGGGAGCACGTGAAAAGATAGTTTAAATAGCGCGACTCTCTCTCTCAACAGGCAATCCATCAATCGCTGGCGTATAAACGGGTGCTGTAGAGTTCTTTCCGTTATATGTCATGCTGAAGAAGGTTCTCGGGGAGCGGGTTACTTAGTACTGAAATCTATCAACACTGCCATGCGCTGTACGTGGCTATAAAGTGCGTGAGGAGGGACTTCAACGTCAAGTGCTCGGGGGTTTAAAGTGGCTCAAGCTAGTGTAATAATATCACTTGGTAGGGAATTTTATTTGCTGCTGAAGAGGCGAGGAAGAGGAAGATTGTGGTCGATTTTCCTAGTTGCTCGAAAAGGGAAGTAGCCGGCAGGCTGAACAACTGGATGGATGCTTTGTACTTCCTTCCGAATAACTTAACGTCCTTGCTTTGCAAAATGTAATGCTACCTTATTACAACCAGATGATAGTGAACGTATAGAGATCCGTTTCTTATCACACATCTCATAGAGACCCTCGGCCATATGTACCTTCTCTGTCTTGTCTCCTTTAGCAATGACAGATACATCGAAGAGCTCTCGATCATTTTCATTCGTACTGGAAAAATAAAGGTAGAATTCCACGCGCCGGTACTGCCCAGCCTTCTGGCCGGTAGGTTTCACACGAGACCTCTAGCATATCTATAGGTTTGCCAGTAATAACGTCTGGAGAACGGTAAAAACAGGTTGTGCCGTACAAATTGCCCTTCACTGACTCATCAGCAGCATCAGGGGTGAACCTGAAGATACATTGCCGCATTTTAAGCGAGTCTTCGGATCCCGGGTCTAAGGTGACTGGCGTTAATAATGGCCCTTTCAGCCTGAGACATCCGTAGATGGCTTCGCTCATCTCGTCACCAACGGTGGTCTTGGGCTCAACATCTTGGACCCTGCCAAGCTCAGTGGAGCCCAACGACCGCCATAGTTCCGTAAACCACGAATGACCCCGCAAAGACAAGTCCCGGTCTAGACGCCCAGGACCATCATGAGGTCGCTGGGCGATTTCCCGAGAAATTGCTCTCAGAGTACATAATGCTTCGGCGCTGCCATCTGCTCCCGGCCCAAGCCACGATACAATTTTAACAGCGCTTCGGTAAATGTCCGTCATACGTTGCATCTACAGAAAACAACGACGGGAGGTCCTTATTGGTGTTGACTCTTTCTCTTGACCTGTAGGTTCGAAGTTGTCGAAGATCCGCAGCCAAGTTGGTTGTTCCCGCCAGTGGAACGCTGTTGACGCGAATCTCCGTGATGTTCGGGTCACCCCAAACGTATGATAGCGCGATGTATTCAGCATGGTCAGCTAGAGAAATGCTTTCCAAAGAGCACACGATGGTCGTGTCTGGCCTCGAAGAGGGCTGGACGAGGGGCAGCCTGATTTCACGATATGTGTCATTCAGACGTGGATATATCTTGTCCATCTGCATTGCTGTCAGCAGGGCCCAACTACACAAGCACTTGCCAGCTTCAAACGTGAGCAAAGAAAAATTTGAGCTTAAAGATTAATGTCCCTCAAGCTTTTCAGGACTGTTATGTGTTCTGCAAAACAAGGGGCAGCACAACGGGTTCAACCCTCAGCCCCAAGCCACAAAACCAACTGGGCAAAACCTGAATCTGCCGACAACTGACTTATGAGAAATCCGACGTGCAACAAAAGCGGGAAGTATTCTATATTTAGGCCGGGTGCCTCGTTAGGGACTCGTGACTAAGAATTTCGAGCTTGCTGCCTTTGCCTACCAACTCACCTTCGAACCTCTTGAGGGATATAAGATTTAAAAAAAATACTTCGGCATTCATAAATTGTGAAAATAAACATACGAGATGATAAGCGTGGTCAACATCACGTGTTTGTTAAGGGTTCAAGGCGGTGAGACTCCCGATTGGTGAATCTCAGGAGCTGACTAGTTGCTAGAACGCTGCCCCGCCAAATCTCGGCTCTAACCTATCTATCTCGATATCAAGTTCTCAATTCACCACCCTTAGAAGCCCAAACATCTCGCATTCTACAAACACTTACTTCGCAAACAACAATCTATAAGCACTGCAGATCTTCCCCACCCGCGGGCTGAATACCCTACAGCACAATTACATCGCCTCCCCACTGCAGCCAGCCCCCCACATCCATTCCTCACCCCTCAATGTTAAAACCACGACCCTCCGCAACCATGGATTTACCAACACAATTCAACTCCCCAAAGCGAAAGCGAAACCCACCCGCCAGCTCCGCGATTCCTCCCACCCCACCATCGAGTTCCCCACCTCCACCCTCAATACTGCCGATCTCAGCCTTACCCCCGATGGTCGCCAATGAAGAAGAAAGCACTAGGACGCTGAGCGCTGGAGGAAGCAGTCCACGCACAAAAGTCGCATATAATTTCCAGGGATTGCGGCTCGAGGATGCCGGGGATGTTGGGCGATTAGATCTCAGTGGGATGAGTGGGCAGAGAGAATTGCCCGCGCTGCCTGTGGATGAGGAGGCGGTGGTTAGGAAGAGGGTGAAGATACTTGGGAGTTCTAAAGATTGGGGTGAGGATGGGAAGGTGGAGATGGAGATTCCTGAGACGCCGGATGTGGCGAGGGTTAAGGAAAGGGGTAAAGAGAAGAAGTTCGCGGTTGTTATCGGGAAGGAGAGGGTGAGTGGTGCTGTGGACCCCGCTATTGGAGAGGCGGCTAGGGGACTGGTGTTGAGTAATGAGGTTGATCCTGTTATCTTTCGGGGAAGTGGAGGGGGGCAGGCTGCGAAAGTTAAGGGGGCGGGGTTGCAGAGGGCGTATCCGAGTATCAATCGGCTGGCGGATTCAAAATCGAGGGCAAAGAAGAGGGCGGGCACGCCGCCGTTGGGAGGCAAGGGAGAAGATGGGGAGAAGATGAGAGTTGTGGATGAGGAGAGAACTGCGTTAACATGGCATGAGGATGAGATTACGGGGCACGACCCGGATGATCCTGATGATGATGGAGAGGGGATTAATGGGATTGGATTTAAGCCGACGCCGGCGGAGGCTTATGCTAGGGCCCAGAAAAGGAGAGCGCAGATGGCGGAGTATAGGAATCGGGAGGCAAGAGAGGCGAGGAAGATAAGGAGTGAGCGTAGGAGGGGAAGCGAGGTTTCGAAGGCGAGTAGGGAGGAGGCTGAGACAGCGAGGAGAGTCAGATTCATGGAAGCTGAGGCGAAAAGTATTATTCCGACGAATTGATGGGATTGGATCTGGGACAGGAGTTACAATTGGTATAAAGGGTAGATTATGGAAGGCAACATCTCCGGATTTCTTGTGCCTGGAGTTGGGAATAGGGTTACTTCCACTCAGCATCGCGCTGGCGTCTGAGGTGTTTTAAACTGCAGAGCAGGGCCGGATCATATTCCAGATCCAGGGAGGTATTCTCCCGTCAATCTGCCAAAAGCAATACAATCGTAATACACGTCTTTCATCCAATGATTACCAGAACTTCCAACTCTTCTTGGCAGCCTCCTCAGCTTTCCTGTCAGTCTCCTCCTTCAATCGCCGTCTCTAATCATCCAATTAGTATACAAGTTTCTTGAGACAAGGGGGAGCTCAGGAGCTGAGGAGCCGGGCTCCGGAGACAAATGAGCATGCAAGCTCCCATGTAGCTCCCGGGTTCAGAACTCTCATACAAACAAACAGCAATTCGGTATAGAAATAAGCTTACCTCCTCCCTCTTCGCTTGTGCGGCCGCTTCCTTCTCGGCTTTCTTGCGATCAATGATCTCCACCGCTCTCTTCATATGCGCCTTCTCCAATTTCCTCCTATACAAACAAAATTCGTAATTGGCGAATGAAGCGAAGACAAATGTTCCCACTGCCCAATTAGCAGCTTTCGGTATAGGAGCTATAGGACAATTATCTTAGCGATGGTTCTTCAATTGAGGCACAGTAGAACGTACCACCCCATAGGGCTCTGATACCACCAATCCCAAACCCACTCCCAATACCCATAAGCAGACTCTCCCTAACACAAGGATACATATGCACCTTCTTGAAATCCTCCAGCTTTATAGTCTTGACCGCATCTGTTATTGCAGGGGGCCTTTCTCGTCCACCAGCGGTGTTCTGTCCCGACCCCTCAGGCAATGCATTTGCACTCTGCGGCGGAGAATGGAAGACTTCATAGACTTTGTTTGGTGTTTTGACATGATCGGGAGGTTCGGATGCTCCAGGAGGAGGGCCCCGTGTGGGTGATTGATTCTCATCTCTGGTATCGCCTGCCATTGTTCTGATGTTGGGAAGAAGATTTAAGCTGCGTCGAATGAGTATCGATGTGCATATGGATGCGTTCTTGGCCGCCGTAATTTGGCTAAGGTTTGGACGCCGCTGAACCTTAAAGTGGCATTCCCAAAACACGCTAGCACGACGCGCTTTCTCGATTGAGACGCGACGCGACTTCCCTCTCGAAGTTCAACATCCAGATGCCTTCAACACCACAACGAGGGCCGCCCCAATTCCCTCCACGGAGCTCTCACCTCGAGCACCCTTGGGCCAAGTTCAAACTCGCAAATACAAGCCAATTCTTTAACTAGACTTGCGCTCTCCTCAACCCCTGGATACCATCCCCTCCATCAACCCGCAGGTCTTCCTGCCCCAACACCACGATGCCCGGGCCCCGAATGCCCAAGAACGGGTACCGCCGCGGCGGAAAACAAGCCTACCATGGGCCCCGCAAAACGAAAACCTTCACAGCAGCAAAAGGACACGTCAATGAAGCGACCTCCACAGACGAGAAGCGCGAAGCCACCAAACTCGCACACTCCATTGACGAAGCGATGGGCTTTGCGCGCTACGAGTCGGGCAAGAAGAAGGTCGGCTGGCTTGTCAACGTCCATTCTACAAGTATTGAGGACGGGAAAGTCGTGGGTGGACGAGCGGGTCTAGATTGCTATTTTATTGAGGAGGATGGGGGGACCTTTAAGGCGACGTTGGGGTATGATCCTTATTTCTTGGTCGCGGTGAAGAGGGGGCACGAGGCAGAAGCGGAGGAGTGGTTAAAAAGAGCTCCTGGAGGAGGAGTCGTCAAGAGCTTGAAGAGGGTGGAGAAGGAGGATCTGCAGATGCCGAATCATTTGCTGGGGTATAGGCGGACGTTCTTTCAGCTGAACTTTAGCAATGTCAGTGATTTGCTGGCCGCGAGGAGGGACATCATGCCGATTGCGGAGAAGAACAAGAAAAATATGAATGCGATGGATACGTATGCTGAGGTTGCCAGGTATGTCCCGTTTTGTGGGGGAAGAGAGGGAAAGTACTAATTGTGGCAGTGCAAATGCTGGATTCGACCTTTTTGATGATGACCGAGATGACGATAGACGACTTAATGTTTCTGTTGCTGATGCTAGCGATTTCATTGTGGATATTCGGGAATGGGATGTTCCTTATCATGTGCGAGTAATGATAGACTTGGGTATGAAGTCCTCTTGCCGGATCTCGTTTGGTTGCTGATAATTGCAGATATACGGACCGGGAAATGGTACTCGGTCGAGGCGAAACATGGCGTTACGACAATGAAATGTTTAGAAGAGCGGCTGCAGAGAGCAGATCCCGTGGTGATGGCATACGATATCGAGACGACGAAGTTACCCCTGAAATTCCCAGATGCAGCCATTGATCAGATTATGATGATTTCGTACATGATTGATGGGCAAGGGTTTCTGATTACGAATCGAGAAATTGTATCCGAGGATATTGAAGATTTTGAATACACGCCAAAACCGGAATACGATGGACCTTTCATGATCTTCAATGAACCAGATGAGAAGGCTGTCATTGAGCGATTCTTTTTACACATCAAAGAAGCACGGCCTACGGTGATAGCAACATACAACGGAGACTTTTTCGATTGGCCATTTGTGGATGCTCGAGCAAGTGTCAATGGAATTGACATGTACCAGGAAATTGGCTGGCGGAAAGGGAACGATGATCAGTATTGCTGCGACTACAGCGTGCATATGGATTGCTTTCACTGGGTGAACCGGGACAGTTATTTACCGCAAGGGAGTAGAGGTCTGAAAGCAGTCACTACAGCAAAACTTGGATACGACCCAGATGAACTAGACCCGGAACTCATGCTTCGGTATGCCAGTGAGCGACCACAGGTTCTGGCAGAATATTCGGTATCGGATGCCGTGGCGACATATTATTTGTACATGAAATACGTGCATCCCTTCATTTTCTCCTTGTGTACGATTATTCCGCTCGGGGCGGATTCCGTCTTACGAAAAGGAACTGGTACTCTTTGCGAAATGTTGTTGATGGTGCAGGCCTATCAAAAAGAGATTGTGTTACCAAACAAGCACGTTTCACCGAAAGAATCTTTCTGGGAAGGCCATCTATTGGAGTCAGAGACGTACGTTGGTGGTCACGTCGAAAGTATTGAGGCTGGTGTGTTTCGTGCGGACATTCCTGTCAACTTCGCTGTTGACACCACCGCGATCGATGAACTTCTCGCAGATCTGGATGCGGCTTTGAAATTCAGTATCACCGTCGAAGAGAAGAAGTCACTGGATGATGTCACAAATTACGACGAAGTGAAGCAACAAATTACAGATCGGTTGAACTCTTTGAAGGCAACTGCAAACCGAAGTGAGCGACCTCTAATCTACCATTTGGATGTTGCGTCCATGTATCCCAATATCATGACCACGAATCGATTACAACCCGATTCTATGATCCAGGAGTCAGATTGTGCGGCCTGTGATTTCAACAGACCTGGAAAGACTTGCGATCGAAGAATGCCCTGGGCCTGGAGAGGAGAGTACCTTCCTGCGAAACGAGACGAATACAACATGATCAGGAACTCATTGGAGAATGAAAGATTCCCTGGAAAATGGCCCAACAGTCCACCGCGGACGTTTCAAGAATTGACGGAGGACGAACGAGCTTCGTTGATTCGAAAACGTCTGCAGATTTACAGTCAGAAGATCTATCACAAGATTCACGAATCCATGACTATTGAACGAGAAGCGATCATTTGCCAAAGAGAAAATCCCTTTTATATCGACACTGTGAGAGATTTCCGAGACCGACGGTACGATTACAAAGGGAAGCAAAAAGTCTGGAAAGGCAAGACTGAAGCACTGAAAGCCTCCGGTGCCTCTGCTGCTGAGATTGAGAACGGAAAGAAGATGATTGTTCTTTTCGACTCCCTCCAACTAGCCCACAAAGTCATTCTCAATTCTTTCTATGGATACGTCATGCGGAAGGGGTCTCGTTGGTATTCCATGGAGATGGCTGGCGTCACTTGCTTGACTGGAGCTCATATCATTCAAATGGCTCGTCAGCTGGTTGAACGGATTGGTCGACCGCTGGAACTTGACACTGATGGTATCTGGTGTATGCTGCCCGCAACATTTCCAGAAAATTATGGCTTCACTCTCAAAAACGGGAAGAAACTCCCCATCTCATACCCTTGCGTCATGTTGAACCATCTTGTTCATGCCAAATTCACAAACGACCAGTATCAAACGCTCGTGGATCCCAAGACTTTCAAGTATGAAACTCACAGCGACAATTCTATCTTCTTCGAGGTGGATGGCCCCTATCGAGCTATGATTTTGCCAACGTCAAAGGAGGAAGACAAGAATTTGAAGAAACGATATGCTGTGTTCAATGACGACGGCAGTCTCGCCGAATTGAAGGGTTTCGAGGTCAAACGAAGAGGAGAGCTGAAACTCATCAAGATCTTCCAACAGCAGATTTTCAAGTTCTTCTTGGAAGGCACAACTCTGGCAGAGACATACGGTGCTGTTGCCAAAGTCGCGAACCAATGGCTCGATGTGTTGCACTCAAAGGGTGAGACGCTTGCAGACGAGGAGCTTATCGATCTCATTTGTGAGAACAGGAGCATGTCCAAGACCCTGGAGGAATACGGAACGCAGAAATCAACCTCGATCACAACTGCGAAGCGGCTGGCTGATTTCCTGGGAGAGCAGATGGTGAAAGACAAGGGTCTGAATTGCAAGTACATTATTTGTGCGAAGCCCAAGAATGCGCCCGTCACAGAACGAGCTATTCCTGTTGCCATCTTCTCGGCAGAAACCTCAGTCAAGCGATACTTCTTGAGGAAGTGGTTGAAGGAGGATCCTACCAATATGGATCCGAGAGCGCTGCTGGACTGGGATTATTACCTCGAACGCCTGGGGTCCGTCATCCAGAAATTGATCACCATTCCAGCTGCTCTCCAGAAGGTCCGAAATCCAGTTCCACGAGTCGCACATCCGGAGTGGCTACAGAGAAGGATCAACGTCAAGGATGATAAATTGAAGCAGAAGAAGATGACTGATCTTTTCAAATCTGCTCCCCTGGAAGAGATCACGAACCTGTTGGACCGGGGAACAGGGGATATGGAAGATTTTGGTGTCAAGTTATTGAAGCCGAAAGCCATTGGAACGGCCCTGTCCCAGGCGACACAAAAGTCTCAGAAGAGAAAGTCGCCAGAGCCAGCTGTTGCCATTTCGACGAATCCTTATGCTGCTTTACCCGAAAAGATGCCTGATCCCACTAAGGATTATGAGGGCTTTCTCGAGTACCAAAAGCAGAAATGGAAGATTCAAAAGCAAGCTCGAATTCGGAGACGACATCTGTTCGGCGAGACTCGAGTCAGTGCTCAGAACAACATTGGAGCTACTTTCAGGAACCAAGCCGAGATGTTGTTCAGAAGTACTTGGCAAGTTCTTCAACTTCGGGAGACTACAACCCCAGGACTTGTCTTGGCCTTCGTACTCATTGACTCGAAAGTCCATACTTTGAAAGTCAATGTACCGAGACAAGTCTTCCTGAATCTGAAGGGCAGGGAGCTCCCGGATGTCGAGGTCGATGGTTGCGATGCTCAGAAAGTCAACCATACTCTCCCGAATGGACATCCATCTGTGCATCTCTTCAAACTTACAATGGCTGAGGATGTCTATGTGAATGATGCTCAGAAGCTGTCACTGCTATTCAACCATCCCAGTGTCGAGGGCGTCTACGAGAAGCAATTACCGCTCAACGTTCGAGCTGTCCTGCAGCTGGGCAGCCTGTGCACATTCGACGAGACTCAACCTGGTGTGCTGGGCAAGGGTCTCGAGTCTGGGTTCGATCTATCCGGTCTTAAAAGAGCTCCCGCCAAACAGCCATACCTTGCACAGTCGCCGATGGCATATCTCTACCTGTACCATGTCGTTGCTGGTGACAGACAAGTTTTCGCGATTTTCTCGACTGCAAAAGAACAAGCTCATGTGGTGATTCTACAAAAGTCGAAGGACTCGGTGCAGGATCTGCCAAACATTGGAAAGATCTACGCAGATACAATGACGAAACGGGAGCAAGATGCCAATGGCGAAGAATGGCAAACTTGTTTCCAATACCAGGAAAAGCTCCAATTCAAGACCAGCCAGGTCACGACGAGACGGAAAGCTCTCCTCGAAATTGGCGACATAGTCAAGAAAATGAAGAATGATGAGTCGAGGCCTCTCATGCTCGTCATCCAATCACCACAAAGACGCATGCTTATTCACGATGTTTCCATTTTGGGCGACTTCCCAGTCCTGCCGCTGAAGTACGAGATCTCGGACAGCAATCTGCCGCCGCTTGGATGGCAAGCATTCGTTGCGAAGCGTCTCGTCAACCATTACCTCAGTCTTGGATCGTGGATCTTGCATCTCACGGAGCTTGCAAGATATGGAGATGTACCACTCTGTAATCTGGAACGAGATGATCCACGTTACTTGATCGATATCGCATACGCTCGACGCCTTCAAAAGAACAATGTCGTGTTGTGGTGGTCTGGAGGCCCAAGACCGGACCACGCTGGATATGAGCAAGATGACGTGCTCGGGCCCATGGATACTGTTCAGATGCCTTCTGTAAACAACCCTGGAACCTACCCCTCGGTTTGCATTGAACTCGATGTCCGAAATCTTGCAATTAACACCATCTTGACCTCGTCCTTGATCAACGAGCTCGAGGGAAGTGATTCGATTTCCTTCAACCCAGCCGCGCCGTCAGACAATGCAACCAGCGATGGAACCAGTGTTCTCTACTCGGACAATGCCTTCGCGACAGCAGGCGTCACTGTCCTCAGAGAAATGGTCAAAGCTTGGTGGACGGAAGCCTGCAAGGGCAGCAACATGGCCGATATCATGGTCCAACATCTCGTCCGCTGGGTCGAGAATCCCGATTCGTTCCTCTACGACCGCTCTCTCCATTACTATGTCCAAATGATGTCCCGCAAAGCATTTCAACAACTGATGACCGATTTCCGGCGAGTGGGCTCGCACGTCGTCTTCGCCAACGCCAATAGACTGCTGCTTCAGACCACCAAATCAGAAGTCGGAAATGCATATGCATACAGCCAATACATCCTCAAATCCATCAAAGCCAAACCCCTCTTCCACTTCCTCGATCTCGAGATCAAAGAATACTGGGATTACCTGGTCTGGTATGACGAATTCAACTATGGCGGAAAAGCTTGCACAGAAGTGGTGGAAGCCGAGAATCAGACACTGGATTGCGTCATGCATTGGCAACTGAGCAAGTTCTTACCTTCCCCATTGCAACCCATCTTCCATGACTGGGTCGTTGAGTTCGTAGAAATCATGCACAAGCTCAAGAAGCCTCGGACCCTCGTTGATGGAGTTGAATCCACACCTCGGCCAACACAGCTTCCTGTTCGTGCTCTCGGGGAGGACAAAGAAGACAAAATCATCCTAGGCAAGGAGTTCGATAAGCCTTTAAAGCGCCAAATTGCAGGCCTGATCAGGCGCCAAAAAGATGAGATGCTCCACCCCGAATTAGCATCCGACTACTCGTTCCCCGTGCTCCCTGGTTCTCATCTGAAGTTCTCGAGCCCAGTACTCCAGCTAGTGAAAAGTCTCATGCAAGTCCTCAGTCTTGACAAGAACATCACCATGGAAGCACGTCTTCTACGAAAAGAACTGCTCTCCATGTTCGAGATCCGAGAATTTAGCTCCGAAGCACGATTTGAGAACCCCTCTGAATCATTGAAGATCCAACAAGTGATCTGCGACAACTGCACCATGGCACGAGACCTCGATTTCTGCCGCGATGAAGACCTCATCCCACTCGAAGGCGCGGATGTCGTGAGGCCATGGAAGTGCGGATTCTGTGATGCGGAGTACAATCGTCTTGAAATTGAAGAGAGAATGATTGCGCAAGTGGAGAGAGTGGTGACGGAGTGGAATACACAGGATTTGAAGTGCGGGCGCTGTGGAGGGGTGAGAGTTAATGATTTCATGGAACACTGTGCTTGTTCTGGGCAGTGGAGCGAGACAGTTAAGAGGGAGGAGGTTGTTAGAAGAGTTAAGGTGTATGGAAATGTAGCGAAGTGCTATGGGTTGAGGATGTTAGGGATTATTGTTGATGAGGTTTTGGGGGGACTGTAGGAGTCTGTGTTGGTAGTGCAAGCATTGATGGCGTTTGGTGCTTAGGATCGGACGGGGAGGAAGCGTGCATCTTACATTTTCGCCGTGAGATTCAGCCGCATTATCTATAGACGAATAATCGATATAACCACACCAAGTTGGGCTTGCCCCGAAAATTTTGCTATTGTCTTGTGGTTGCAGGTTCTTCGCAAGGGCAAGAAATAGGGGTTCGCTAAGCGGCACGTGTTTCCGTTATGTTTAGGCATTTGCAGCCTGGTGCTATGCATTTCAGACCTCCTCTTCTAGGCTGTAGTCACAGCCGTGAACCGGTTCCTTAGTTCACTATTTATAGAGCAATTTGTCAACGTCGCAATACCCGGTGATCGACTACTGTCCTTAGTGCAGTATGATTGGAGGTTTGCCGTGGGGATAAATAAACATTTTAATCTAATGCCCTTTACTATTAAGGTTAATTCTACAATGGACCAGGACTACATATCCCCACTTCATTGAAACAACGCTTCTTCTTCAGAAAAAAGCAGATTTGAGATATTTGATTTCTCTTGTTTCTTCCAGGTTGTCTAGTCTCTCTGGCTGTCCACAATGTCGATCCTTGTTCCTCTGCACATCTATCCCTGGACAGGAGTATGGAATCCCCTTTACACTGCGTAATGCGCCGCCTTCCTTTCTGCACTAAATACAGCTAACGCATCAACCAGAGCACAAGCGCACCCCGAAGTCAACTTCACCGTCATCCTGAATCCCTGTTCGGGACCATGCCTCAACTCCAAACCCGAGGCTCCATACGTCACCGAGATCCCGAAGCTGAAAACATACAGCAATATTCGTACTCTGTGGTATGTGGCTACGAACTACACTAGCAAGAGCATCGATCAGGTGGCCCAGGAGATTTACATGTATGCGACTGGGAGAACGATCAACAATAATGCCAAGATGACGGTTGAGGGCATCTTCTTTGACGGGATTCTGGGGTTGTATGATTGGAGGAATTATTCATATTTGACAACGGCGCACAATATGGTGAAGGGTGCAAAGGGTCTGGGGCAGAAACTTGTTGGCATGCTGTCCCTCATGTGGATTGAAGACTATGAGCAGAACTGACTGATGGTGGAAGGAAGTCCATAACCCAGGCATAACCCCTGACCGAGTATGGAACTACCTTAACCTATCCGACATCGCGGTTGTCTTTGAAGATGATTTCCTAAACTGAGTTAACAAAATGCACTTCGATACCCTCGCACAATTCCAGAGCGTCTCCAGTCACCCGAAATCCCAGCCTCCGGTCATGGCGCATAGTCTGCCGAATGTGGCGAATACCTTTTTGACGTGCATGGTGAAGCAGCTGGAGGCGATGGCAGATTACTTCTTTGTGATGAATGTGAACATTAAGGATCCGTATTGGCATGGCTTTACACCACTGTTTGGGGACTTAGTAGAAGTTGTTGGGTAGGTAGGACACCATTTCAATTTCAGTTAGAATTCCATCTTTGTTACGCAATGCTGACTCGGAGGTTGCATAGGGCCGATATCGTAATATTGTACGACGATGAATATAACGGCGACGATAGAATGAATTTGCATTGAATGCATTCTATTAGGAGAGCAATTGCCCAAAAGACTCCTGGTCACACAATCACGTTCTCGTTCGCAGTGATCAATTCCTCCATGGCATGATATATGTCCTCTCGCTATTATTATTTTGAATTTGTTGACAGGAACTCTTGTTCCCATTCAATTTCTTTGTGATGGCTGGCCAAGGCTGGAATGAAAGCAACTGCTGGAGGATTCCAGTATGGCCCAAACGTTGGCGACAACTTCCGGAAATCCAACAACACCGCTTGAAACCCATCTCCGACATGTATCTTGTTTCCCTCTTCTCCACGAAGAGAATACTTCAGTTAGACTCTGCGTAGCCTTCAACCGCCTCGTTTTCAGGCGCATGGATGCGAAAAAAGTTCCCACAACACGCGCAATCAAGCAGATAGAGAAGACGATCGGCATTAGGAGGTGACACTATATTCCGGCATGCCTAAACCCCAAATAAAGAGCAGAGTTCCCAGCCCCTTGGCACTCATACTTCTTTTTCAAATTCTTCAGCCTCCTCATTGGCCTTCTTTGACTTATCCCCTGGGTGTCATCTCGAAGTTCCGCGAAGGTCATGGCACGCACCCTGAACGAATCTGGATCGTGTGTTGGATGCTTTTTGGTGCGGCGATTGGGATATTGAGTGGATGGTGGACTGCCATTCTGCAGACTCGGTCGACGAAGGTTGAAGGTTGTCGGTCTGGGCACTAAAAGTATTATTAGCCAACCGCCCATAACCCCCAACCACCCAAGAATTTTTTTTGACCGCCACTTAAATAATAATTATTTAACCACCACAACTCACTTTACTACCAAATAAATCGTTTTCTGAATCTTTTACTACTTGCCGAAATGCGTGTTAAGAAAACTCACTATCCCATACGACGGCAATCCCGACAAGCTCCCTAAAGTAATAAGGCTTCAAATGGCCTACGACTATTATCTCGACCAAAACAAGAAGAAATCAATATACCAAGTTATTAGGAAGTATGGAGTTCGCTGGGAATACTTCGAAATCGAATTAAGGGAGCTATACCAAAGGCAAAGGTTATAATGGCACAATAGCAGCTATTGCAAAGGGAAAAGGCAGCAACGACATATTCTAAAATTAGAAGTATAGGGGTAGCCACTAATGGTTTATTTTAGCTACTTCTTTGTGAGTTATATATATACATATATGAGTGCACTAATGGTTTATAAGAAAGGGACCTCAATTTCAGTGAGGTAGTGCGTATAAAGCAGGGCAGGGTGCTATTATTTCTAATAATTTTTAGTGGGTGAAAAAAATATTACCTTATCCGTTTAGCTGCCACTACGTGCGCCCTGGCCCGTGCACATTTAGACAAACTCGATTTACAAATCATATCGTTAGAATCCTTGATTTAAAGCCTCCAATTCGCTACAATTTTGCGGTACATTTGATCACGGAAAGGCGCACCTGGTGGCAGCTGAACGGATACGTTATCGGGGCCTCCTATTTAGAGGAGGCTTCCCTTGACCTCACAGGAGGGACAGAGATTAGTTCTGTACTGAATTTGATACTGTAGCTTCACAGCTCACTGATTCTTTCTATTGTCTTATTGCCTACTAACAAACACCTCGCAAATTACTAGTATTGATGAATATTCATGATTATATATTCTACTCTGCTCAAATTTTTTGAGTTTTACGCTACTTATATTCTATTCAACACTAATCATGAATATTCATGAGTAGTATGAATACTTCGAGTATTTCTTTCTCACACTGGTTGAGGCAGTAGGGAAACTGTCGTGCTGTTTTGAGGATGTATATGGCTATGTCTTTCCACAGGAATTATTGATTCTTTTTGTCTGGCAATAATGTTTTCTGGGTAAATCAGTTTAAGTAAAGCATCAACCCCTTCCGTCCAGCTCTCAGAGGCTTCCTTGCTTATTTCAATCGTAACACTTCAAATTGATGCCCTTTCCAAGATTGATCGAGATGGCTGATATTATGGGGTCTTTGACGAGCGAAGAAAGAAAAATCCCAGAACAGCAGCGATAGGTAGCAACGAGGCACGCTGACTCCGCCGATGAGAACAAAACACAAGACCTTGCCCCACTGGGTATTCATGACCTTTAGGTCTGTTCCATATTGACCCCATCTTAGAAATGAATAAATGGAAACCCATATCCAACGTTTCAAACTTCTTTTCTCATGCACCTTGCGAGTTCAAGGACCAGTGAAGCTTACACCGACTTCACTGCCTAATCTTAACCTCTACCATCGGACCATCCCTGAAACCGAGAATCCAATCTTCCATTTGATACTCTCCTTCCCGTTGCCTTCCATCCACCTTGTCCTTTCCCCCTCCACCTGTCAACTCCCCACTTATCCTGACGTCATTGCAGAAGAGAATATGGGCCAATGCCAATTTCAATGCGATATAAGACATGTTCTTCCCAATGCAGTTCAAGGGCCCAACCAGGAAAGGTGCACATGCTGCTTTGGCCGCCGAAACCCTTTCCGAGGTGTAGCTATTTGACGGGGAGGCAATCCAACGTTCTGGCCGAAACGACCATGGTTCTGGGAAGATATTCGGATCGTGATGGATGACATACAGTGGTGTTCCAACCGTGATGCCTTCGGGAATCAAGTGTCCATCAATCGTTAGACCGCCCTTTAAAACCTCGCGCGGAAGCGAACTGGCTTTTGGAGGATTCATTCGCAAGGTTTCTTCGATGCATGCGTGCAGATATGGGAGAGCACCTAATTTCGGATTGCGTATCTCCTGGACAGACTTGAAGTTTTCTCGAATCTCGCGAACGAGTTGTCCCATGGTCGTCGGGTTACTGAGAAGGTAGAAAATACAGGCTGAAAGCGTGAGCCCGGCACCGTCACTCCCGGCAGCAATAATCAACGCGGAATCTGCCTGCAGTTCTTCGGTCGTGAACTTTTTTCCAGTGACAGGATCCTTGCTGTTGAGGAGGTAATGAAAGGTGTCTTTCCTCTCGAGCTCCTTGTCCTGCAACCTCAAACGCTTCTCCAAATCCATCCTCTCCGCCAACCTTGCATTCGCCAAGTTCGTATACTTCAATGAATCCGCCGCTTCCTGCCCCCCGATATAATCCTGCACCCAGCTCCCCATAAGCGGGCGAACAACCTCAATGAAAGGCAAATACCCCACATAATAAATAAACTTCGAGGCGGATTTCAGCACTCCCGGAATCCAGGTATTATCCTCCCTCTCCAACATCCCAAAACTCCGTCCGTATCCCAAATCACTAATGAAATCGAAACCGAAATACGTCGCCCAGTCACTCATGTTCTTCGGTGGTGACCATCGCTCCTCGCCTCCTTTCGCTAGGCCATGCGAGAGCTTCTCAGCGCTGATCATGATCAATATCTCGGCTTCTTTGAGGGCTTTTTCGCTGAATGCGGGGGCTAGGAAGCGACGGCGGAGAGCGTGCTGCTGCTTGTCGATCTCCATTTGCACGGATGGAGCACCGGCGCTGATATCCAGTGTCTTGTACCAAGATCCTTTCTTTACATTGGCTTTGGGGCCGTGGATTGCAGAAAGGGAATTTGGCAAAGAGATTGAGATTGAGTTCGCACCGTAGCGAACAATGGGACCTCAAAATGATATCAGTGATCTACTTTTTTTTTATAAAAAAATGTAAAAAAATGGAGAGGGGTGTTGAATAAGGTGCGAACCGTATTTCTTGTGGTTTGCGTACTCCCAAAGATGTCTGTCACCTCTATAGCAATGCAGAACGAGAGGCCAATCCGAAATACGCGCGAAGAACGGTCCTGGATATTTGGCCAGCGGATGTAGAGTTAGACGGTAGGAGAAGATGAGGATGAACTAGACGTAAAGTTAGAATTGCTGTTATATTGGAGACTGTGAGACTTGCGTAAAGGACAATTGCGAGGAAGACATAAAGCGCCAGCTCCAGGTAGATTGCCGACGCCCAGGAAACGTGGAAATGGCCGTATATCGACATTTTAGGAGCGTCTTTCTTCCACACTCTTAGCAACACGATATGATTTCCCTCTGCGACCAGGAAGCAGAAGATGGGGTAATGTCAAGAGTTGGTGTTCAATACAATCTGGCATCAGCTTCACAAGCCTCTTGATAAGAAGTTGGGGCGCTGTGTCCGCTGTTCATTCTTCGTTGAGACTCCAAGTCCGCGTGGGGTTGGACACCTTGCAGCTGCAAGTGGGTGGAGCTGCATCAAACCCCAGTCATGCATGTTCTTTTGCCAAAGCATGCTCCACCAGCCGGCAATACACCAAGCCAAATTTTCTCAAGCGTTCCACGACTGGCTAGGTGGCGGAAATGAAAGGCAATTCACTTATGTTGACTCGGAGACAAGCTCATGCTTGACTCTTAAGCAATCTTGATGTCCAGATGAAGCTGGTCATGAAATTTATTAGGGCTCGGCGGTGCTGTCCCGCCCAGTACGGGACAGGAAACAAATGATTCACGTTTTGAAAAGGCGGGGCCCAGTGCGGGGAACCAGGGGAGTGACCCGTGTAGTCGTTGCCCGACGCAGCCGCCAGCAGCGGTCAATGCGGTCTCTGAGTCAGTGAGTCTCTATTTCCATTGCCGGCGTCGGCGTCCCAACTTGGGAGTCCCAAGCCATTGCTGTGTATGGATTTCTCTCTCACCCAGGTCCCAGGAATTCTTGATTCGTTTCATCCGAGAATTTTATTCACTACTATTACGTCGTTCTTCCGGGTGAGGAGAAAAAATCCTCAAAGACATTCGCAATAGTTTAAAATGCAACCAGTTCCGAATATTTAATTTTAGACTTTGTATTTCATCAGAAAACTAAAGAGCACAGATTTCCGTGACCTTGGTAAAAAATATGAAAACAAAAAAATTGGTTTGGGGGGGTTTACAGCAGCTGGTGCCTTTGAACGTTTGAAGGGGTAGCTTAAGCCTTTGCACCAAGCATTGCGCTATGGAGCAATTGCAGTACAACGGTGCAGTATGAACGCAATACCATCCACATTCACAGGTCAGCCTTTGCTGTGCGCGCCACGGGTACCTCGAATCTCTTCCTCCCCGATGTAAACCAATCGCCCAAGGCCATCATAATGATCGCGCCCACAAGCGGACCCGCATAATTCATATTGATTGCCGTCACAGGCAGCTCAACTGGGAAAGGCAAGAATGTCAAGATATAGACAATAAACACCAGAGCAAATAGATTGATCGGGAGTCCCCAGCGGCCGAGCTTGAAAGGTCCGTATTGCGGATGCCGATTCTGCAGTTTCCTGATAACGAGGAAGAATATCGGGATAAAATATGAGATGTATAAAGCAATCGTTGGAAGAGAGATTAATGCGTTGAAGGCTGTAGAGGATCCGATGTTGATGAGAGCGAGTAGACAGCAGATGGCGCCAACCAGTAGAAGCGCATTAATGGGAATCTTAAGAGTCGGATGTACGTAGGAGAATGTTTTGGAGAATGGGAGACCGTTGTCGCGAGCAAATGCCCATGTCAACCTAGAGACGGAGGCGAAGATGTTGAAGAGGGATATAAAAAGGATGAATGCAATCATGAAAACGAGGAAGTTTGTCGCCGCTTTCGACTGTGTAGCTTGGTAGTAAACCTCGATGATGGGAAGTAAAGTTGGCGTGTTTACGACCCGGTCCACGTCTCCAATGCAGAACATCACTGCAACCATGTACGCAAATTGCATGATGCTGTTGAAAGTTACTGCGATAATCATGGCGTGCGGAACTCGAGTCCGAGCTCCCTTCACTTCATCACCTACTCAAGTGTCAGTACACCAAACCATCGAATGGATTTCGAATGAACTTACTCATGTGAAGAACTCCATCAAAAGATGTGATTGGAAACGTCACCGTGATAAGTCCAATGCTAAAAGCAACACCTGGGTTATTCCAACCACTGATATCGTGCCAGAGGTTGTTGAACACAAATGAAGCCGGGCTGCGCTCCGCCAGCGCTACCAAAGTAATGATTGACACGATAAAGAATATAACGTGGCATATGCCACCAATCATCTCCAAGGTGTTCAACATGCGACGAAACCAGAAGTTCCACACCACAGGAACAACAACAAATCCCCACATTATAAGAGTGCCATGCCATCGTTGCGGCTCATAGTCGGGATAGTTGAAAATAACGAGACCAATGACGATATTAGACAAGTATGCGGGGCTTGCTGCGGTGACCGTTATCCAGGCCCATACAGTGATCCAACTGTTCAATGTTAGAACCTTGCTATTTGATAGTGGGAAGTCATATCGTACCCTTGGAACAGGCCCCAAAACGCAGGATTCGCAGGTGCAAAGGCAGCTGACCATCTGTACTGTGCTCCGACTACTGGATCCCTAATCCCCAGTTAGCGCGCCAAATGCTAAAAGTTGAAGGCAAACTCACAGTGATGCCATTTCAGCCAAAGAGGTTGCGATTGCCGTTGAGCCCAATCCGGATACAATACTTCCATAAACCAACGAAGCTGGGCCGCCATTCAGCAGACTGAATTGGAACGAAGATCCCGCAGCTTCCCATGCTGCTTGGAGTGTGAAACCGAAATTGACGATGGCGGTGGGATTGATATATCGCTGCGGAGTTCATCAGAATAGCTTCATAGTAATCAGAACAAATCATACTTCTAGAACACCCCCACCAGTCTCTCCACTTTCCCGTGTCTGCTTTGGCGTCTGTTCTTCAATGCTGCTGTTGTTACCATCTTTGTTGCCGTCAACACCTTGGATAACCAATAGGTCATCTGTCTTCTGGTCGTCCATTGTAATTTGGCAATTGACACCTTAGCCTGGTTGGCTTAGTGGTCGAGAATCCAGGCAGTTGGAACACAAACTTTGTGCGACACAAAGAATATCGATATACGAAGAAGGAACGATGGAAAGATCGGCAAAACCTAAATCCACGTTTTCGTTCCACTCCTGCGAGCGCGGAGAAGCTCGCGCTCAGTTGACTCCTATCAGCGGATCCCGAGTCAGGATCTACGTAAACGGACACAGAGTTGCATTGCTTGTTTGGCCGAAGGATGTCACAGAAACTTGGCGTGTCAAGGGACCACCATTGTGGTTGGCTCCCACCCCCACGACCATCCTTTTTTAACGAAAGGCTTTCGCCAAGGGTCGCAAGTATTCGAGTTATAGTTTACAGTTTTGGTATCTTGATAACTAAAATCTGTTAGGGAATGCACTGTATCGTATTCCTACATCCTGCCCATAGGGCGACATTTACAGTATACTGCACCATTATTCAAAGAAAATACTTTGATGGCCACTTTTGTGAGGAGTTTGTCTTTTCAGATGATTGAAAATTATCAAAATCCTACGCTCGAAAATGCTAAATGATCCTATTGGTGCATGGAGGGGATTGCTTCTTTTCGCGCCGTCCCGCGCATTACCCTTCTGGGGATTGTTGCCCGCTGAAGCAGGGAGATAACGGAGCCGAACGGTGAGAGACAGGGGATATGATAGGGACATGACAGGGAGCGACGTGTGCCACCGCCAGTGCCGTATCCCCACGCGGCACCTCGTCAGCGCCTTCAACAAATGCTCGGGAACGGTTCCCCGGACCCTGGGAACATACGCACGGTCCTCTCCATATCGAGTCCTCGGCCAATTTCTCTGACTTGAATTATCCACTGAGTTCTGAAAAGATCCCGTTCAGACACGCCTGATATTGATATTTGGTCAGCTAAATCTACGAAAAACAACATTTCAAATTGAGACGCCATGGAAGGTCTTCTCCCTGATGTAGTAGTTCCGAACTTCCAAATAAGCTTGGAACCACCGGACTGGTACCCAGTGCCGACTGTCGGGTTCCCTACTCATGACCCCGGTTGAGTGGTCACAGGGCGGAATTGGCTCATTTCTTATTCCCCTTTCATGGGCTGCGCGGGATGTGCACTCGCATCGCGTATTATGACCCAAAATAGCCATCTGAGATGTTCAGCCCCGGGCACTCTGAAGTCCAAAGCGTCTCAGGATATCAACTACTGTACCCTTCTGGGCTTCTGAGATACGGATTGTGTTCTGTTACTTTACATCACTTCCTACCCCCTTTCCGCGCTCAGAGTCGTTCAATGTGCTCGTCAATTTAGAGACATGAGCGAGAGACTCCCGCCCTTCTTTCGACTCACTGAAAATGACCAAGGAGGAGTTGCAGCCGTTGTAGCATTATGCACCATCGTCATCACTTCGAGTATTTCTGCCATACGGTGGCTTGTGGCGTCACGACAACACGTCGAATTCCAGCGAGATGATGCGACTTTCTACTTAGGAAGCGTAAGATCTCTTTTGACATAGCTTCCTCAAGTACACATTGACTAAGACACCATAGTTTCTAGCGAGTGCCACCTCAATTTGCATTTACAGGGCAGCCTTGGTTGGACTTGGGAAGCATATCGAAAGTCTTGACCAACAAGGCCTCAACTCGTACTACAAAGTCAGCACTTGAATTTCAACGAGTTTCTTAGAAAAGGCGCTCCTGCTAATTTCTCCGCAACAGTTGATCTACACCACCCAACTTCTCAGCATCGCAAGCATGGCTTTCTCCAAAATCTCAATAGTTATGCTCCTCAAACGGATAACCCAAATCCTCAGCAACAGCTACAAATTTAGCCTGGCCATGGTTTCCATCTGGGGAATTTTCTCATTTTTATCACTGGCATTTCAGTGTCAACTACCAAAACCTTGGGTTTTTGTGCCATCACAATGTAATACTCATGGGCTTCTACAGTATCCTGTCATCATACTTAATGTTCTCACGGATGGAATCCTTGCCACGAGTATGCTACCTACCATTTGGAAACTTCAACTACGGAGGAATTTAAGGGTGACAGTTATGATTCTGTTTGGGATTAGGTTGCTGTAAGTTCACTCTTCTAGCAATCAAGACAACTGTCTGAACACTTCAAGGGTTTCACTTATCGGAATTGGTGACCTGGTGGCCATGATCAATTCCATCAACGACCCTGATCAGACATGGGCATACCTAACAAGATCGGTATGGTTAATGTACGCACGCCCTTCCTACAATTCCTTCTATTTGTCTGTACTTATATGTTACCAGGCTTGTAACCCACAGTTCGGTGATCACTGCAACAATTCCGCGAACCCACTCCTTCTGGGCTTCTCTTCAATCCGGGAAAGCGGCAACAGCAATTACAGACGAAGAATTCGAGCTCTCTGGTAGTAGCCACGTCTCCCAATCCCACGCCAAAATATCGTCCTCTCGAGGACCCTTCTCGAGATTGGTATACAAATCGAACAGAGGAGGTGATGGAAAGGGAACCAGTAGCCAAACCAATGACGAGCCACGTGTTGGCCGGAATCGTGACAATAGTGGTGGCGAAGAAGGCAATCTGAGGCTTGTGCCGCAGCATCAAGCGAATCTGAGTACGACGGTGTATAGTGAGGGTGTTGAGAGGGAAGTAGTGATGGGAAGAAAAGATGATGATGATACCAGCCAGAGTAGTTTGAGGCAGAGTAGTACAGCTGGATTTGGTGTGTGGAGGGAGAGGGAAGTGGTGATGGAGGTTGAGTATGTTAGGAATGATCATATGTTTCAGGAATTACACCGGTAAAGTTACGTTTACGATCATGATGTATTTTTGGTTGAATAAACAATTCACGATACCATCGCTCTTGGTATCTTTTATCTATTTTCCCGATGCTTTGAATTCCTTTCTCACCTGGGACTCCCTTTCTTGCTTATGGCTAAGTGGCAGAAAGCAATCGCAGTGCAGGTGCGGACCTGAACCGGGAGCTGCAGATATGTTGTGCGTCACTCCTTGGGAAACAAAAGACACTAGTACTCAATTCCATCTATCCCGCAACTCGGCACTAACAACCTGCTACCGCACGCTTCAAGGCCTGGCCGTGCCACCCAACGGATACCATTCCGAGTCCCCCTTCTTTCCACGCTTATCCAACCCCAACATGGGACTTGGATGCCAGAGGACAAAAATTGCAATGGCAATAAACATCAAGGCGGCGTCGAAAACATACAAAAACACCTCGTGACTCAAAATATATCCATCAGTCCCCTGGATGTACTCTATCACCCTCACCACGCTTCTGACCATAACAAGCAGACTCGCAGCATACAATACGTACAGCGCTTGTTGCCAGTTCAAATTTGGGGAGAGTGAGATTGGTGTAGGGTTCCGATGGATTCGGGTGTGGAAAAGATACGAGACCACAATGAAGAGCCCGAAGAAGACGATCTGGATGAAAAGGCCGACTAGGATTAGGTTCTGTCCTAATTTGAGAAGAGACTCCTTTTTGGATGCGAGGAGAGCGCTCCCTGTTGCGTCCTTAGCATCATCGAAAGACAGGAAGACGAAAAGAGGGAGGATAAAAAAACCAAAAACACACCTCCGGCCAACACGAAAAAGCTCAGCACGTCTCCACACACAAAGATCTTAGTCAACCATTTCTTCCTAACTAGACTGAACGTCTCTCCATCAGTCGCCAGAATGATCCTCCCTAGAATCATATAAATCGTGGCCGCCACGAGTGCCGGTGCCACCAAAATCGTCAGGGCTTGCACGATATAGGGACCTTCAGTCCAGTCTGGAGTCTCCTGTGCCGATTTGACGCGCGCGACGTAGCCAATGCATTCCAAAACACCGCCGACGATCATAGGGAAGAAGAACCATGCTCGGTGGCGGAAGACTTTGATGAGGTGGGTTAAGGATACGACAACAAACAAGATTGCGACGATTGAGGCACCAGTTTTGGTGGGGTTGTAGTTGTAGAAGTCGGAGGTGGAGGCGGTGGCCACTGTGCTGGTTACCACGGCTCCAGAGGCGGTTGGTGTAGCCATCTTGGTGGAATGCGGTGGTTGAAGACAATTTGATAAGGGGGGAGGCAAGTTTCGTGCGAGATGATGGCGGAAATGAGTAATTATTATGAAGAAAGGAAAGGAATTCAGTTGCGGTTAAACAGCATCTGAAAGTGTAGAGCGGATATACGAAGCCAGCAAATATTATCCAGCACAGAGTACCCAGCTTTTTATAAGAAAGGCTCTTGTATTTTTTAACATTATGTGCGAGTCGGGCTGTGCAAAGGGTATCACTCATTTTCTGCGACAAAGAAGGAAGCCCGGGTGAGTGCCCAATAATCTTATTCTTGATCCTTACTTCACAGGATGTTGTGTGTAAGTCCATACGAGATTATCGGGTCGCATTCTGATTCGCGGGTCCCTGAGCTCGCTAAGGCCGAAAAGGGGCTTAGCGAAGCATCGGCAAAAAAGTGACCGGAGCGGAATTGTGCAAGACTGATCATTTCAACAAAATACCGGTTGATGGGTGGCATGCTTGAGGCTGAGCGCCCTTGTAAGAACTAACTTAGCTGATGGATACTGGTCCGGCTGACTCGGGCCTGCCTTTATCGCATTCGTCATCAACGTTGCCAGGCTTCACACGGACTACTTCGTATTTCAGTCCATTGTATTGGTCGAAGTCTAAAATGTAGCTCGTTCGTCTCAAAATACGAAATTTGGTTGGTCTCCGCTATCACAGGCTTTTGCATTTCCGCCAACTCCAACGACCAGACCGCGCTTGGACAGTGGGGCATTTGAAGTTCCTCCGTGGCGGGTGGCTGTGCCCGTAAGCGCGCACTACTCTCGGCTTCATGTGTACGTATACGACGAATACGAAAGTACATATCTAGAACCTGTACCAGCACGCTGTACGCGGAGTGTGGGTGCCTGCTGTGTAGCACTGCATTGGCTCCAAAACCTGAGGCTTCAGACACTTGAGCCCTCGTACTACTCCTCCTTGCTGCAAAAGCCACAGCGAACAAGGTATCTGATAGTTGGTCTCGTCTCTTAATGCCCTCGCGAGCTTCACACCTTAAATCTCGCCGCGGCTGCCAGCAATGCAAGAAACGGCGAATCAAAGTACGTAGTACATACAAGCATCCCTGTCGTACTCGTCTTTCTATCTCCCTCTTTCTGCAATACCTCATGTCCCGGCCCCCGCATCCCGCCACAACATCACAGCTAAATCCTTGAATAAGTGCGACGAGACACACCCTATCTGTCTTGGCTGCACCAAACACGGTATCTCCTGCTCCTTTAACACACCGCCGCCGCAAAATCCCAACTCCCAAATAGCAGATCCGGTATCATCATCCCAACTACTAGACCTGAAACTTTTCCATCAATTCACATCGGAAACATACATGTCCATCACCGACAACCTCAATATCCATAAACTCTATAGGACAAAAATAATCGACACAGCATTCCAATATGATTATCTGCTCCACGCTGTCTTGGCCGTCGCGGCCTTCCACCTCTTCAGAACGGGGCTCAAATCCTGGAATCTCGAGAGTCGCTCACAAAACCAACAATTCGAGTCTTCTCTCAATCTTCAAGTAGAAATGTAGCTCGCCGCAGGACATAGACACCATAACCGAGCCCTCCAATCCCTACATCTGAACCTCACAAGTATCACCCAGGAAAACTGCCATGCTATCTTCGTCACTTCAGCATTGGTCTTCCTCGCCTTCTCCGCAATCTCCAACGACCACGAGATCAGTGTCCCACGCAAAATCAACCAATCATCCATTTCAACGACAAGTCAAAGCTCTACAGCCCCATCAATAACACCAACCTCATCCTCCACTTCCTCGCCCTCACCCCACTGCCCATCATCACCACTCCCCACAGCCTCCCACGCCACCCTCAGTCGGGTACTCGAATGGATGAGTCTCCTCCGCGGTATCTTCTCCGTCATCCTCCCCGTCCGCGAATGGATTGAAACTGGACCCTTAGCAGAAATGGTGCGACGCGACCTGGCCCTGGAAGAGCGTCTCGCAGCCTGCAAAGTCGATGCAATCACTGACTCCAAGCTCGCTTCCTTTTCATCCTTCCTCATGTGCAACCCCGCCACCCCCCTTCACCACAGCCGACGTCTGTGAACGCGCTATCACCTTACTAAGAAAATACATTGTCGTGAATGAACGAGGCATGTACATGTCTGAGACGTCGCTCCTCTGGCCGATACAGGCGTCGGATGAGTTCGTGATGTGTTTGAGAGGCGGGTGTCCCGAGGCGCTGGACCTCTGGTCGTGATGGGGTTCTTTGGCGTTCTGCTTGGCAGGACGGAGTTGAAGTGGTTCGTGGAGGGCTGGCTTCTTTATATCGTCGGGGCGGTGGAGATGAATTTGAGCGGCGATTGGAGCGTTTAGGTGGGGTGGCCTCTTGAGACTTTGGGTTTTGAACCTATTCCAAGGAATGGGGTTTCGGGGGACGTTGTTAAGTGGAGGGATGGCATGGCGTGTTCTTGAGGTGGTTTACTAGAACTTTCAGGTGCGAGGTTCATAGTTGCACCAGCTGTCAAATGAATATGTGGCGGAAGAGCTTCGCCCTCCGATGTCCCCAGCTTCAACATCCTGTCCTTTTCTTTGCCCTTAGGCACCTTCTCCTTCTCCTTCGTCGATTGTATTATATCGGTCCAATCTTCAGCCATTTCTCCCTCAGATTCTGTCTCTTGTCCACTCCCCAGACGATGGCAGCAGAGAGAATCTAAGTCACCACCGAGACCAGAACCATGGTGGCGCTCGGGACTTGAATTTGGTAAAGGGAAGGTCAATGGTGTTCGTTAAAAGCGATGGGGCTGGCTCTTACCTTGTGAGAGGCCGTGATACGGAGTGGCAAACAGCCAACGTCTGGGCTGGTCCTAATGGGCAAGAAAGGACGAAAATTTAGGGTGTTGTTATGCTGCAACAACACAATTTTGATGGTATTAGTAAATATCTAATCTGTTTTGGATGTCCGAGACGACAGTCCAGCTCCTAAGTACCCAGGACATCCTTTCAACGGGTGATTTCTAATTCTAACGCCAGAGTGTGCACTCAAATTTACTGTCATCTCCGAGATCGACACTAAACGTAGCAGCTCTGCCTTTCCTGGCTCAATTTCCCAAGCCGTTCCCGAAATCAGTTCGATTTCCCAACCTACAATTCCCGGGTCTCAGAGCCTACAAAAAGGCTCCCGCCTGCGCCAAAACAGCACCCTCGATACTGAACCTTTCCATGTCTCACACACAGTGCCAAAGCCTCAAGTAGAAGCACAGCCCAGTGTGCCTAAACATTACAACCGCTCGCTTAGCCATAATGGAAGAGGAGAAAATACCAGATATCGTGTCCCTCCCCCTCTCTCATTCTGTGGCTTCTCTCTTCCTGAAAGCTGTATTCACGGCGACACCAGGTCAACATCCAGTACTACTGCGGCCAGTGTAACTTCTGTGTAAGCAATATGTCCGGTATCAACCAACCGCAACCTCCAAGCTCGGATGCGCCTGGAAAGCATGGGGGGTTAACAATGCCTTCGGTTCACTTGGTGCAGCACCCATAAAGGCATTTATCGACCCCTTAGAAGTTTCTGGCTCTGAGAATTATTCAGATGGCCACTTCCGCGGGTTTTAATATTTTATCAAGCAAATGTTTTCGATTTTTCCCCAATTTTCATTATCAAGTGTTACTAGCTCTCTCTAACACACACAGTTTGGGAAACTGTTCGGGTTTCTCGCAAATGCGAAGCCGGTGGTACCTAAGGTAGACGCCTCTCAAGCTCAGACAATCCTCTTCAATTCTCAACCTTCCTTTCTTGGTATCCTGCTCATACCCTAAAATTGGCTATAAGGCTTACTATAATTTGAAGTAAAAAGATACAAAGTATGCGTGGCCCATTAGGTATAATACTTTAGAAGGGTTAGACTGCTCGCTGTTTCTTTGGAAGTGAAGCTCTTCGATGTATGAGAGAAGCTATCAACAAGGGAAGAGGGGAGATGAGGAACGCCTTTTTCGCATGCCTTCTCGTGTTTTGCTTCGAAAACATGTCCGGGAAGCCAGGAACAGCCGCTGCCAACGCAATAAGCGGATTGATGATCCTTCACGATTTGATCACCAAGACAGAGGATAACTGCCTTCTGAATTCCCGAAGAAAGAGACGCTGGGAGCAGCACAATATCGAGGACGACGTAATATTGGCACTAGTTGGCCTTAACCTCCACGTCGTTTTCTTCGTTGACGGGAGACGGGAAGCATTTCACCAGATCTACATTGAAAGTTCCAACTCGGCCACTTCAAGCATGCCTAAAGAGCTACGAAGCCAGCAGACCGCGAGGCAGTTTTGGGCGGTGATCATGGGGAGGAATCATCACTTCATCCAAAGAGTTTTGAATGCTGGCCAGACAGCCGAAAAGAGCAAGTCCTGCGACCATGATGAAGATGGCCCGTAGGAAGATGGGACAAATCTATCCCCCCGGTATCAATATGTTTTTCACACTCAAGGAGCCTCCCATGGATATGTTTCCCGATGTCCTTCGGTATCGGGAAGATGTCAGACGATGGAAACGAGCCTCAGCTACGGTCTTCGACCATGTTTGGAAGAGAGGAACCCAGGAAGAAAGGACTGCGGTTTGTCTGTTGCAAATCCACAAACTGATGGCACATATCATGCTTGCAGGGGCTTTTTGCACAACCCAGACTGCATACGATCAGTTCTTCCCGGAATATCAGAAGATCATGGAGCTCGTCGAGTATGTCTACCCACATCTCGTCGAAGCCAAGCATGGAGAGCCGCTGTATCGATTCGATCTCGGGATAATCATCGCTATGTTTCTGGTCGGCGTAAGGTATCGGGACAAAGCAACGAGAGACAGCTCTGCACATCTGCTCAACCTGAATAAGGAATATCGTGAGGGCATGTGGGATACGGGCAGTGCAGGAGCAATTGTCAGCCGGCGAGAGAAATCGAAGATGGGATGAGGGGTGAAAATGGAGAAATTGCGGAGGAAAACAGGGCCTTTGTGGCAGAAGCTCATTTGGACCTACCGCATAGACGGGGGATCATTAAACTATCCCAGAGGTCGAATGAAGGTGTCGTGTATGAGAGACGGTCATCTCTTGGTGATGGAAGCGAGAAAGAAAGAAAAATAAAACAAAAAAGTGACCCAATCCAATCTATAAACAAGAGAATATCTTCACTCTCACCACCTAAGATCTACTAGAGACTCTTGGTACGTTGTTGCATCCCGTCTCCTTTTCTATGAGTGGATCACGTGACAAATGCCTTCCTCTAGCGCGCCATGTCGTCGCGTAAGTCGCGAATTTTTGAAGAGCTCGACGACTTTGGTGACCTGACCGAACCAAGCTCTTCAACACCTCAACGCCTTGCCCACTACGCCTCTATCCTCTTCTAAGTAGCTGATAGATAATTCCGATCTTGATACTGTTTGTAAGATAGCTTCGAAGCAGGCGGAAAGATGTCCTTCGGCGGCCAAACCCCCACGATCATTGTGCTGAAGGAAGGTCGGTCAACAACGAATCTCCCAGTGAAATATATGATTCTAACAAGCATAAAACGCAGGCACGGACTCGTCGCAAGGCAAGGGACAGATTATATCGAACATCAACGCTTGTTTAGCTGTTCAAGCTACGATACGAAGTACGCTTGGTCCTTATGGAGGAGATTTGTTGTTGGTAGATGCAAATGGCAAGCAAACGATTACGAACGATGGCGCAACCGTTATGAAGGTAATACGTCGTCCTCATCCCATATGGATCCCAGAGCTGACTTGACACAGCTCCTCGACATCGTCCACCCCGCCGCACGAATCCTGACCGACATTGCGAGATCACAAGACGCTGAAGTTGGAGACGGTACCACATCTGTTGTTGTGCTTGCGGGCGAGATTTTGAAAGAGATTAAGGATCATGTGGAGCAAGGTGTTAGCTCGCAGACTATTATCAAGGGTCTGCGGAGAGCGAGCACCATGGCCGTCAATAAGGTAAAGGAGATTGCTGTTAATACGAGTGAGGGTAACAAGAGGGAGACATTGAGCAAGTTAGCGGGCACGGCTATGAGCTCAAAGCTGATTAAGAGGAATACCGGGTTCTTTACGAAGAGTATGTTTTGGTACCTGGGTTGTGTAAATTTTACTAATCGTTGTAGTGGTTGTTGATGCGGTTCTATCCCTCGACCAAGACGACTTGAACGAAAAACTCATCGGCATCAAGAAAATTCCTGGTGGCTCGCTCACCGACTCTCTATTTGTCAACGGTGTCGCATTCAAAAAGACTTTCTCATATGCAGGATTCGAACAACAACCCAAATCCTTCAAGAACCCCAAAATCGTCTGCCTAAATGTCGAACTCGAGCTCAAGTCTGAGAAAGACAATGCCGAAGTGCGAGTCGAGCAGGTTTCTGAATATCAAGCTATCGTGGACGCGGAATGGCAGATAATTTACAACAAGATGGAGGCTCTATACAAGACCGGCGCAAAGGTTGTGCTGTCCAAGCTACCCATTGGAGATCTTGCAACGCAATACTTTGCAGATCGAGACATCTTCTGCGCCGGCCGCGTCTCTTCTGATGACCTCGAGCGCGTCATCCAAGCAACAGGTGGTTCCATCCAATCCACCTGCTCTGACATTCACCCAGAGCACTTGGGAACCTGCGGTACTTTCGAAGAGCGGCAAATCGGCGGTGAGCGCTACAACTTCTTCGAGGACTGCCCTGCCGCAAAAACCTGCACTCTAGTGCTCCGCGGCGGTGCTGAACAGTTCATCGCAGAAGTCGAACGTTCTCTCCACGATGCAATCATGATCGTCAAGCGCGCCATCAAGAATAACACCATTGTCGCCGGTGGTGGAGCCTGCGAGATGGAAGTCTCTGCGTACCTGCACCGCTACGCCGACAAGAATGTCCCCCACAAGCAGCAAGCGATCATTAAATCCTTCGCCAAAGCACTGGAGGTCATCCCTCGCCAACTCTGCGACAATGCTGGCTTCGACGCTACCGATATCCTGAACAAGCTTCGTGTTGAGCATAGAAAGGGCAATATTTGGGCGGGAGTGGATTTCGTGAATGAGGGGATCAGGGATAATCTTGAGGCGTTTGTGTGGGAACCGGCGTTGGTGAAGATTAATGCTATTCAAGCGGCTACGGAGGCGAGTTGTTTGATTTTGAGTGTGGATGAGACGATTCGGAATGAGGAGAGTGCGCAGCCGGGAGCGCCGCAGAGAGGTCTACCGCCGGGAGCTGCGCAGAGAGTGCTGAGGGGACGGGGAAGAGGGATGCCCAGACGGTAGGGCAGAGGGTGAAAAGGGAGGGGGTGGTGACACGATGTATGATATTATACATGAGATGAGACGAATGAATAGAGTGAAAAGTATAGTTGAATTGCGACTTGGATCTTTGTGCTATTGAATTCCCTTTCGTGATAGTGAGCTCTCTCACTACACTCAATTCTCAATAATGGTTTGCTAATGCTTGTAAAGTAATATTTCTCCCAACCCTTCTCCAGTAGATGTTTTCATCCAAACTTCTCAGCGGCAAATAACGCAATTCTATTCACCCCCCCTTGTCAAATCAGACAAAATCCCCCGGCCTTCCAAACGCCAATCACAAAAATGCCGGCGGCCGAATCCCTCATAAGCAACTCTCAAGCACCACCATACTCCCTCCCCACAGTCCTCAACGCCTCCTCCGCCGCCCTGGCCGCCGCCTCAGCCTGCGTCTGAATAATATCCCCCTCCTCATCCTCGTCCTCCTCCCCATCATCATCCTGATCAATCAACATATCTAGATCCTCATTCCCGCCTTCATCTCTTCCTCCCAATCCACTTCCACCGCCCAGCATCCGCTGAAAGTCAGAATCATGCTGGTGATGATCATCGTGCTCAAACTCTGCATCGTCGTTGTCCTGAGAATGTGAATGGCTCTGTGAAAGCGGGTGCGATGGGCTCTGATTGTACCCTCCCAAATGATTCCGGACATCCTCCATGATCTGCGGGTCGAGGGGTAGATACTCGTTCTGCATCCTCGCAATCGGTGCTTGGCCCCCGCCGCCCATATGGATGTTCTGACTTCTCATCCCATGCTCATGGTCTGTCGATGATCCGGGGAGGGATCGGTTGAGTACTTGAGGAGACACGGAGCCTTGTCCCGCACCTTGAAAGCCGTCGTGTGAGGAGTCGCCTGTCTGGTGGGGGAGGGAGAGGACCCGTCCTGCGGCACTGACGCCGCCTTGGCCGGTGGAAGAAGGGGGGAGCCTGGGAGCGGGGCGGATTACCCCGTCTGCGCGGACGATGGGCGCTTTGCCTAGCTCTTTGCATTGTGTGCAATTCCTGATGACGAGAGAGACGGTCTCTTTAATGCGCACCCAGTGATACCTTTCCGCGATCGTGGCAGTCGTCTTATTGATGCCGCCGTGTTGGAGAATGTGTACATTCCGAGCAATTTCATACTGCCGTTGCGGATCAGAGATGACCTCTTTGTCCTTCAGCATCAGCTTGTCCGTGTCAGGAAGCAGCTTATAATGCGTTGCCGCGCTCCGCAATCGACTTTTCTCTGCGCGATCTGCCCCAGCCGGGTATTTGCCGTATTTGAGGTAGAACTTAATTTTATCGAACCTCTCCTCGGAAACGAAGTCTTCTCCTTCAGGACCTAGGTCGCGGCCGTAGATTATGGCGTCGATCAGTTGGCCAGGATATGACTTCAGGTTTCCTGCTCCTTTGACGCGGCCGATGCGCTTGAATCCCAATGCATCCCAGATCCGACAACTCACGACGTTGGTCTCGAATACGAGATTGAAGACGGAGTAGGTGTAGCCTAGTCGTGGTGCCCATTCGAGATAGGATTCTCCCATCAGTCTTCCAACGCCACGATTTCGTGCAGCGTCGGTGACCAGGAAGCCAGCATTGCAGACGTGTGAGCTGCGTCCTGGGTAGTTCGGCTTGATATAGAAACTTCCCAGACATTCGCGCGCCCAGTCTTTTCCTTCTGTTACCTCGTCTGGAGACTCGATGTTGCCAAGGAGCATGATGGCGCCGAAGTTCTGGAACCAGTATGAGGCGAATTTATCAACGGACATAGTGTCGATCATTGGGTAGGTGTCGCCCATTTCTATCTCCTTGTTGAGTTGGTCGGACAGGTAGGCGAGCAGGGAGGCTGGGACTTGGTGTGGGGAGGGGAAGGGAACGATGGTCGCGATTGTTACTCGGTCGCGGAGCGTGACTTGGCGTGGGAAGACGTCTTCTGGGAGGGAAAGGTTGGTGTCGTGCGGGGAAGGGAAGGGTGCAGAGCCTGATGCGCGAAAGATGGGGGCGCTGGCTGGGTCGTCGAGCATGGCGGGCATGGTTGCGTTTGTTTACTTTATCCGCTTGGAAAAGGGGCTCAGGGGTAACTTAATCGCTTGGCTACCAGCCGCTTCCTGTGAAGCGTGGAAAGTGGGAGTACCGGGGAGAATGAAGCGTTTCTTCACTGGGACCGCCGGCCTTTGATCTCGCAAGGGAATGTATAGAACGCGGCGACAGCGATCGTAGGATCTTGTTGACAATTGTAGAAGTCCTTTATTCAGGGGATCGGAAAGTTAAGGACAGAAAATGCAGGTGTACTTCTTGGAACTTCTCTGTGTAAATTGGAGCATAGGAGAGCGAGGTTCGTCGTCGTCAAGCCAAGTGCCGTGCTAGGCGACACTGCACGTGACCGGACTTTCTCGCGGCTCCGTCTGATCCCTCCCTCCTGCGAACCTTCGCATTTTTAACCTCCGATTACAATCTCGTTTTCCGTTCCATCCAATTTAATTATGGGACACCAACGAGCTATGGCCTGGCAAGGCAACAGAACATTCCGCCTTTCAACTCACTCAAGTTGACCTCTCATAGTCTCGTGTGCAAGACTTTGTTAGTATATTCAGCGAACTCGCATCATAACATCTCCAAACTCCAGTCCTCTAGTGCCTCATCAAAAATCTACCGTCCCTCTAACCGAACTCCTCTACACCGCCCTTCCCTCCTCCACCTCCTCATCCCCCTCAAGAATGATCTCATGCCCATCTCCTTCTTTCACATAATGAGACGCTATACAATTCACCACCGCAACCCCACTCAACCCCCAAAACACCGCGCCCACCACACCTCCCTTCAATCCAACTCCATACAACTTGCCTCCTAGTGCAGGACCAAATGTCCTCGCAGCACTTGACATACTCTGCGCAATCCCATGCATAGTCCCAAGTACACTCGGATGTGGGCTCGCATTATTAACAAGTATCGTCGTGGCTGGGAGTGCAAACGTGCGTCCCGTGACCTGGATGAATAGCACCACACAAAGACTGATCCAAACCAGTATCCCGTCTTTTTCCGCAGGGGCAGGAGAGCGAGAGGGTACGATTGAGAGGAAAGGGACGAGTATGTAAGCGAGTGGAAAAGCGGCCAGGAAGATCCGCCAGCTTTTGACGGTCCCGAGACGCGCGTTGATGACGGGATAGATGAGGAGCTGCATCAGGATGCCTATCACTCCTAACACTGCCATAGCAAAACCCACATCTCTAGGCGGCATGCCGAGTCCACCGGTAAAAATGAATGGCAACTTCCTTGGTGTTGAGGGTGGCGCGACGGGTGTTGACAGGAAGACGTACCAGAGGTTGTTGAAGGTTCCGAGGTGGGTGGCCATTAGACTGTGGGCGACGAGCGTGCAGATCACGTTGTAGGTGAAGATGCGACGGAAGGGGAGCTTTTGCTTCCATCGCGGTGTGGCTTTTTGGCGGGATTTGGGGGGCGAGAGTTCCACGTCTGTAGGCGTGCCGGGGACGGCTGAGTATTCGTGTGAGAACTCGGAGGAGGATCTACCGCCCCGGAAGAGTTGTGAGACTTTGCGGGTAATTTTCTTCCCTAGGTCTTCTTCGTGCCGGATGGATTCTAATGTCTAGTGGATGTCAGATTGGATAGACAGGTTGACGGGAACAAAGGTGGTTTTGCATACCTCTTCTAAACCAAAGAATATTCCGAGAACGGCGCATAGCAAGAGAAAGGCGCTGACGATGTTGGGTGCTGCGTATGGGTATTTCTGGAGCCACGCAATGCTTCCAACCAGCTTGGGATAGCTTCCAGCTGGATCTGCAAGGAGACCTCCAAGGATGGGGCCGATGATCACTCCTACGTTGAAGGTCATTGGCAACAGGAGGAAGGCCCTTGATTGATATCTAGGTATCTTGTCAGCGGTATTCAGCGTGAGGAGCAAGGCATTTCTCACCTCTTCTCTCGCACAATTTCAGAGATCATGGTCCTCATTACTCCGACGTTCCCGTTCAAGGCTCCGCCGATTGTTCGGAAGAACATCGCTTGAAGGAAAGATTTCGAGAAGCCGAATCCTAAGACTGAGATGGCTGTAACAATGTCAGCTACGTGTCTATTCCAACGGTGATCTCAAAGAGCAACTGAATTTTGCGTACCTGTCCCAGAAAGTCCGATTAATATAACCATCTTCCTTCCTCCTCTATCTGAATCTGATATCCGACCCCACATCATAGCTGTTGTGAATTGTGCCCCAGTAAAGGCAGCAGCCATCATTCCAGCTTGCGAAGCAACCATCGAGTCGGAGAGACTTTCGTCGAAAGACTTGAGCTGATAAAACATATATGCCTACAATTTCGAAGCGGTGAGCCCCCATCCATTAGACGGAAAACAGTGGCAATCGACTTACCTGCAATGAAGTCTGCACCAGCGGCTCCGAAAGTCTCGACAGGGTCAAAACAATCAGCTGTCTCTTATGCGGCAACGACATCCACGTAACCGGCTCATCCTTCTCGCTCACGACGGGGCTATCCCCAGCTGCGACACCGCCCTCCGTCTCTACCTCATCCAGATCAATAGCAGCCACGCGGTCTCCATCACTAGATTCTCGCTCCGCTGCGCCATGGAAATCATCTCTCGCCTCTCGTTCGAAGGGTTTAGGGTCGATGGTCAAGGGCATCGACGGTATACTCTCTCGCGCTCTTGCGATGGTGTGCCGGGAACGTCATGGGGAGGGCAAGTTCGGATAGAAAAGTGAAGAAAGTGGGATGCAGCTGTGAACGGCGAATCAGAGGGGTTAATGATTGGTCTCGGCCGTGTGGAGTTAGTGTGGGAGTGGCGGGGTGGAGGGGTATCTTCGTAGGAGAAATAAGCGGCCGAAATTGGCCTCTGTGCCAACACCAAAACCTCAACTTCCTGCCCTCTTTTCGAGACAATACAAGTCAATTAAAGGTGCAAAAGACGTATATAGGACTTGCGAGATCTGGTATGACTGTAAGAAGTCGTAAAGAGAAAGTTAATTTGCTGTCTAGTAAATACTAATTTTCTGGTGTCCGCTGAATTTGTCAAAATCGGCCATTTTTTTCTCCTCCCGCTAGGGGGTCAAAGACATTGGTGGTTGTGGAGGGGAACGCCACTCACGCGACATGCCGCACTTCCGCTTGTTTGCATTGAGAAGGATTTGAAGATTACATCTTGGCTTCAAGATAGCAACGCCGTAAAGCTTATCTGTTGGCAGTCTGTAATCAACTGGGAATACGTTTGCTCTATTCTTGATCAATGGCTGCAGAATTCACGGACTATCGCGTTGGAAAGAAAAAAGCTCACTGTCACTCGACGAGAAGGAATGGAAAAAGCTTGAACGCGATTAACAGACGAACACACGAACTACAAGCGAGATCATGGAAGTTATAGAGATGGAAAAACTATTAGACCATCTCCGAAGTGAAAATTCTTGGGCGTGAGGAAAATCGTGAATGAGTGACTGTCGGTGAACGGAGAAAATCGCCCCGACAATGAAAATCGGCAAATGAGGAGGATTCAGAGAATTTGCCCCTTCAACAGCGCCCTTTGCGATTTGCTACAAAGTCGCGTGATTTAACTTGAAATGGAAAAAGCACGTGCGAGGACATGTGAAGAGGATAGAAAAAAGCACGAGAAATTGAGGCAGGTGGGCGAGGCGGTTGAAGCATGGAACAGTAATTAATCAGCAAGTGTCTGGGGAGTAGTAATAGTCGGACTTAACGTCGCGCTAAAGGGGCCCTACCCTTTAGTCGGGGAAAGCGATGTGTCCCGGGAAAGCGAAGTGTCCCGCACCAATCGCAAAAATTTCTAATTTATATAGAATACCTATAGTGAAAATTAATTAATTTGATTACCACCAGCCCAAATTACCCTGAAAATCTGTCAAATTCGATAGCAATGGCTCGCCTAAGTAACCTTCCCAAGAATACGCTTCTCCGTAATATGCCAGAGAAGAATAAGCTCCATAAGGCTATTTAGTTCCTCAAGGCTAATCCAGAAGAGACTCCTGTGACTATAGTACGTACGTATTACGTACGAAATGAAGATATAGTAAGGAAAGTATGGCAGAGAGAAAGGAAGAAGATAGGGATAGTAAGAGTATAAAAGGGAAGGCAGAACAAGATCCTCTGTTCTAATTAATACGAGGCATTAATTCAGTATACGGTATTATATATAATTAATAGAGGAAAGGAAGCCACGAAGCAAATAATATATAATTACATAATGTGAATATAAACGGAGGATAATAAAACGGCTCTATCTTGGAAGTAGTTCTCTTAATAGCTAAAGAATACTTCAGAACTCCATATAATTAAGACAAAGCCCATTACGAGCTACCGTATTAATCTCTATACCGAACAGAGCCTATACGACTAGTTTGAAACTAAATATTATCTGGTATTAGAGGAAACTGGAATATGCTATAGGGATCGGATATATAATATAGACGAGAAAGAAGTACAAATTTATATACCTATAGAAGAGAAAGTAGTTATTCTAATTAGAATTAAGAAGATATATATAGGAATACCAGAAAATCACATATCTCTTATAATAATTGAGTATATATCTGCAGATAATAAAGCAATTTCTCTAGTAGTAATTATCCCTGGAATTATAATTATGATTTCTTGGTTCTACGAAAATATAACCGGCTATAAGGTTATTATAGTCTCTTTTATAGGATATATAAACGAGGGTATTTATATGGTTTGGTTAGATTATTTTATTAAGTATAATAATTATAGTCCTAATAAGAAATAGTATATTCTCTTAATTAATAGAGCAACTTACTATTAAGTAAATAATTTTATCTTAAAAGCTATATTTAATAAGATATAAATTATCTAATTCCTCTCTTACCAAACCTACCTACTTTAACCATATAATATTAGTGTTTTTAGGGAATGGAAATATTACTAATAGGTTAATATTATAAATGCGATTCGCTTATATGAGCCGGAATATAATATCTAGTACTTCTTTCGTGATTTTCCTGGAATAAGGAAGAAGATATTTACTATTTATATAATTAAATATACCTTTTAGAATACTAGAATTTGGCCTATTAGTTTTAAAGTAATATAGAGAAAGCTTAAGAAATATAGCAAAAAGAGAAGGAAAGATACTAGCCTTTAATTCCTGGAGTTTGGATCTGAATCGGAAACTAAATCGGATACAGAAAACATATAATTTACTATGCCTGCTCCTGCTCCTGCTCCTATTTACGAATACTAATTACCTATCCTTCCAAAACCTCCTTCTTTATATAACAAATGCGTTCTATAGCTCGATAATCTTAATAACAAGATTCTGGATGCTTTAAGCTTTTCCCCTTATAAAGAGTATTCAGTTATAATTAAGGCTACTAAGAACTACCTAATACTTGGAAGTTTACAAGAGCTGGATGCCCAGAATACTTGCAAGGTACAGGTTAAACGTCATAAGGCTAAGCTAAACATATGGCTTAGTTTCCAAAGAGGAGGGTAGTTAAATACATCTAATACTCTGGAAAAGAAGAAGATTAAAGTGAGGAACGCAGCAGAGAAGGAGCTAAAGAAGGCCAAAAGACAGCTTGCAAAGGCTAAATTAGCTAAAAAGGAAGCTCTTAAAAAAGTAGGAATCGCCATACGAGCGGCAGAAAGAGAGAGGAAGAAGAGAGTAAGAGATCTAGAGGCATAAGCAAAGAAGCAAGTTCTTGGAACTAATATAATTATTCCTCCCGAGCTCCTAATACTAATTCGCGATCCCCAAAACGAACCTACGGAAAGCGAGCTTGAAGCCATTCGAATTAAATACTAATTACTTTACAATAAGGTAGCTAAGGAGCAAGCTAAATTCGATCGTATATAGGCCAAAGATCCCGTAATCTTTACCGATATTCCTATTAATCCTGTAATACTTATATCTGAATAAGCTCACCGGGTAAAGGGGAACTCTCTTAGCTAATTATATATACGGGCAATATTAGAGGAATCTAAGGGATCAGATTAGGAGATAGGAGGGTCAAGAGGGGGTATAAATAGAGGGGTAGGTAGGGAGAAGGTAGATCTGTATTCTTTACTATCCAGATTAGTAATATTAACTAATTCTATAGCTCAAAATGCAGATTTTGTAGTATTTAAGTAATAGAATATTATATCTTTAATCACCTATAATTTAGGGGATTATCTGTTATATGGTGCCTAATTATTATCCACGGTCACATAGTAATTTTGGTGTGGTGCGGGACACTTTGCTTTCCCGGGACACATCGCTTTCCCCGACTAAAGGGTAGGGCCCCTTTAGCGCGACGTTAAGTCCGACTATTATTGTTCTGCTTTTCGATTCACTTTCGGAGGCATGAAGGTAGAAATGACGGTCACGTGCAAACCTCCCGATTCTGCCCCTATTCGCCTCGCTTCTCTTAAAGTGTATCGTCAAGGCAGTGGTGGCAGAATCCACGCATTGCCTTCTCAATAACTCCCTTATATGTTCATCGTCCATTTGGCAGCAGTTTTGGTTCCATCGTTCTGCTGGGCGATATCCCATTCTGGACCCCATTCCGCGTTCGGCGGCATTTGGTCCCAGGTTTCGACACCAAAATCACCTCCAATCATTGCATGTGAAGGACCTACGGAGAACTGTCAGACATGCCATCGAGATTCTGTGGTTGTGTTTGAGTGTGCGTATTAAATGTATCCCATTGCGTATCTGCTGCAGTATTTTCTGTAGGACCTGTGGCTGAAAGGCTCGGAAATGAAAACTCCGCGATAGAAGGCCATTGACTTATACCCAAGACATCCTCTTGTAATGAGAGTTGAGAGACTTCTGACTATCTTTGAATGCTCTGTATATTGCCGTTCGCAGATATTCCTACAGCTTTTGTGTGTTTATGGAGCTTATCGCCTAGCAGAATTACTTGAGAAATACTCGCTCTTGCACCTGTACGAAAGACTGCCCTCGACGATGAGAAGCGGAACAAAGAGGTGATTTCTCCCCTTTGAGGTTATACTCTCAAGTACACGAACGCGAATATCTTTGATCTAGGACAAGCTAGCAAACCTACTCATCCTCACCTCCTGGCTAAGCTGGTCGAGCCGGCTCGCCTGATCATTGCCAGACTTGCAATCCATCACCAACCTCTCCCTCTGGAACTCAAAAGCCATCCTTCCAGGCGGAATATTTGTTGAGAACAACAAATATGGAGCCCAAAGTTCGTCACTTTTCAATCCCAGCCTCACTCAAATTACCAAGCTAAAACTAGCCTGCCCTTCCCTCAAAACAAATAATACATGCCGGCTTCCTCGCTAAACAATCAGGAACTCTCGGTCTGTGCCCTTTAAATCCTCTCGTCTCCCCCATCAACAATCGATAACTCCATCCTCCTCTCAGCCCTCGCAATTGAAGAGTTGGAAAAGGTGAAGCAAAAAGAAGAATAGTTTAATCTGTGCTCATAAATTCTCCCAGTGGATACTTCCACGTCCTATACATTATCGAACCTATCCTCTGGGAACATCTAATGAAACTCTACCAATGATAAGAGAGAATCTATTGACGATATCAAGTCAAGACGGTTTTGAGAAAGTGCATATTGGTGATCGGCAAGGAAGCAGCTTTTTCTCTGGGCTTGGGTTTCAGGCTCGTGTTGCTACCTTGGAACGTTTTCCGTCGCAAACGGGGTCAGCAAAAACGTGTCAGAGGTGAGGACCCGCTCATTCCAGTGTTGGGAACTAACCGAACTATTGCTAGAAATGTTTCGATGTTTCGCTGGTAGTAGATAAGTATGGGGGAGAGACGAGTCTTGGTCATTTATGAATTAAAGCGGGCTCCACAGAGATTTTGCTTTGAAGCTAGGACTCGTCCACCAGGTCCTCGCAAATTTCTTACTCATACTCGATAACATCTTTCAGTCAGTGTTAAAAGAGCTAGTGATTGGCTGGTTTCCCGAGAGCTCCAACGCAGGGTGTCTGGCTGTGTAACCTTCTATCCCACAAAAGCAATTTAGGCCCCACTAAGAAGAAGCACGAAGACATTCTTACACTTCGGGGGTCCAGATATGGCTTGAGCTGTGGGAGCCAGAAATGGGCTCGTGACACTGCCGCACCAAAAATCCTCGCGCGAGAAGGCCACCTACCTGCATAAGGTTACCCGGGGAAGCTCAGAATTGACCCCCGCGCGGTCCCGCACCGCCTCGGGATGCGACGCGAACCCGACTAAGGTAAAACTCAGGCTCTTTACTCGTTCCCTATGCTGGCGTCGCTATGCCAGAGCACGCTGCTGGCTGGGTTATTGCAGGGCCCGCAACACTGCTCGAGCCTATCAGCGAATTCAGTATTTATGGTTGGCTTGGATGGTACTGTAACTTTGAACTCGCGGGACGAGTGGAGGGTGGGGGTTGAAGAACTGCAAGGGTCCTGGCATTCTGGGTCGGTCCGCAAAGCCTGGGCAACACGTAATTTCCCCCAAACCCACAGAGCTGACAATCATTTAATATTGAATTGTAGCAAGAAGTAAACCGCCAAAGTCTGTTGTATACACAGATTTGTTCAAGTCTCTTGCTGAGTCTCGCAGTGTCCGCCGTCACGCCCGACCACAGCCCACAATCAGCTCAGCACTCGTCGTTCACTGTGACCACCACTGTCAGGAAGCAATACATTTATGACCCTGATAGCATTGTCAGACTCCCAATCGCGACAGACTTCAAGAATTGGTACCTACGCGGCTTTCCTTCTTGGGCTTTGGTTGAGCAGAACCACCCTTAGATGATCCACCAAGTGTCTCCGCTGGTACGTCCTCTTCCTTCCGAGGCTGAAAAGACGTATCCTCCGCGAGGTCTGGCATAAATTCTGGCAAGATGTGCGGCCGACTCTTCTTGCCCTTTTTCGAAATACGAGCAGCAGAGCCAGACATTCTGATTGGTCTTTGTTTGTGGGCTTCCGTGCTTCGTCGTTTTTGCCAGACCACGACCGCAACACCAACCCGTCAGGATACATCCTCTATCTTAAATAAACAGACTCAGGCCTGAGACCGTTCATCCCGCTCCTGCAGCTTGTGCAGAGACGTGCAGCAACACCATTGGCCTTCAACTATGCCCTCCACCCTCTACGGCCCACCTTGTACACTCAATCACACCGGGAAGTCGCTTCCCGGGCCGAATTTGGTGCAGCTTGAGTCAGAAAAGTCGAGCTCCGATCCCGAGCATCCCGTGGAGGTACTCCATCGAATATCGGCACGATCAACCATCGCATTACGAGAGGCCCAATTGGCGAGCCCTTTCGCAGCGTAGATGACTATCAGAATGCCAACACCTGGTATTCCCCAATGTCCCTAGCTGCCCTGATTGGCCTATCCACACTCCAGATTCCCATATTGTTTTGGCTCCTTGGCTTTGACAACAGTACCAGAGCAACATCATGTGCAATGGTCTGCTCCATGGCGAATAGTTTAATTTTTACCCTTAGGCGTCATCCCTCTGCCCTGGGCTAGCTGATTGCCATCGAATGCCATCACCTCCCGGTTGTTACTTGCTCCATGTTGCTCCATACATCGATCGAGCCAAGTCGACGTCTGCCGTTCCTTGAAGCACATCTGTTCTCGCTTTATGCCGATGAGATTCGATATAGCGTTTGGTCGGGAAGCATTCGCAGCGGGGTAGAAGATGAGGTGGGGTTTAGACTGGGTAATCGCCAAACAATGAGTTACGTATCAGCAACAGCCTCTGTATGTTTGCTCCAGGACCTAATGGAATTTTCGTCGTTCATAGGCACAGCCGAAGGCATTGCGCTTTTGGGAAGTCCGGCATTGTACTGAGTTCCATGACCTTTAAGGAGACCGTCTCCAAAAGGTATATGTAACTGGTCGAGAGGTTGTTTTCCTGTTACTTTAACAATTTCTTGATTATTTGGAATGAAGCTGCAGACCTGGACGGCGAAGCATCAGCGATTGTCGAGGTATAAAGGGTCGTTCTGTGGAGTCAACAACCTGTTTTGTCAGCATTCATCAACAAGATGAAAGCTGCAGAGGATGACTGAGCAAAGATACCAATATTCAGCACCAGCTGGCTGTGATCTATGTCGGACGCAGTTGATCTGCTTGTCGCGGTACGTTTCGTAGGTTCACTTCTGACGAGGCTAACTCCTTTTCGGTAGGAATGCCCCGCTGACTTGCCGCACCAATGCCACCAAGTGCACAGAAAACATTCCTCCAGAAGTCAATCCAATAGGCTAGAGAGATTGGCAATGGAATGTTACTAAGGTCATGGTGCAAATTCTGCGAGAATACATTCCACAGCAACATTTTTTGAGTAGCATTTGGCGGGTACCTTAGACTATTGCATCCATATTCTTGATCCTCTGTAATAAGACCAAGGGTATAGTACATCGCAGTTCCAACTTCCCATTTACATTTAGAACCACAATTCTTGGATTTCGGATTTGGAACACGAGATAGGTACCAAACACCAAGTTACGTACACCATGCTAACTGAACGGCGTAGTTGCCAGGAATCGATAGTCTTAGATACAGCAAGCGTCCAATGGGGCCCTCAAATCGATTTCCAATGGTCCCGACAGCATGTCCTAATCTTGCTGGGCTCAAATATACCACAACGCCTTTTGGATAGAGGCGATAAAGATACTTCTCCTTCGCCATGCTTGTCCAGAACTGGATCATGTTGTACGGTATTTATGTTCGTTTTCATTCGGATGCGTGCTCCATAAATATCTCTCCTACTGGGCTTGCTGTCTCTCCCGTGGAAACTTAATGGAGCTAAGGCGCTGGCGGGACGGGAGATAGAGGATTGAGGGGTGCACTCGCTCGGAAGACACAGGATACTCCTTCAGCTGGGCCCACCTTCTTTAAAACCGAGGCTAGACATCGGGCATTCGTAATTGCCTTCGGTTTGAATCATTTCCCTTACTCGCAGTACTAGAAGACATCTTCAATTCGAAGTCTACGAGTGATTCGAGGTCGCAAATCGGCTACTAGCGAGGAAGGTTGTTTTCACTACCTTTGTCTTGATTGTTCCTCTATTCCACGAGATTCTCCTCTCCCACCGATCCAACCATCTCCACCGAGCGCTCTACGACCACTTATCAACAGCTACAGCATCTGCCGACATCTGCCAGTCATATCTTACCTCTCAGCGATGCTTCTCGATGACCTCGCAGAATACGTACAGAAAGTTCAGGAGATCTCCAAAACCGAACTTTGTACTATCCACGTCGGAATAAGGAAAGCCAGATACTTCTCAACGTTCCGTCTTCCAGATGGTGGAAGTGCGGAGCGTATCGCAACCGCAGATGATGGACGTATCTTCGCTGGATCCTCACTCTTCAAAGTCTATATAGCTGCCGGCGCTTCCTGGATGATTGAGAAGCTATCAGCAGGCTCTGATCCATCCAACAGGTTCCGCGGCGTCCGAAATGCTTGGTCGAGGACGTTCACAGATGTATTCAACGAATATAGCCAAGATTTTAAGATCAAGCCTCTATACGGCAACCCCACAGTCTTCGAACTTATCGTCCATTACAAAGGGCCATGCAATATCAATCACTGGCTTTTTTCTCCAGACGGAAGCCCCCTCTTATCGAAGAACGCCTTCCTCAACACGATCTCTCAATACACAGAAGACTCTCGCAAGCAACACAATAATACGGCTTGGGTCGAGTACTCGAACGCCAATTTTATTTTGATAGCCCTCTTAATCGAAGTCGTTTCGGGCAAATCGCTCCCTGATTTCCTAAGGGAATACATTTTCGACCCCCTTGGCATGCACCAGACGTACATGAGTGCCGATGAGTTGAACGCGGTGCCAATCGGAAAACGAGTACAACCGCATATGGTGTCCAGCAAAGGACTTCGCCGAGCCATCCACGTTAACGAAATCCTTTACCTGTCCGACACTGTGGAGAAGGCTGCTATGGGTGGTCATACAAGCGCTGCAGATATTGGGAAATTCTTTGAAATGGTGCTGGAGGGGTTACATGGGACACCTAGCAGTGCCATGTTTGATAAAGGATTTGTCGAGTCTCTCTTCAGAGGCATAGGCACGCTTGATGACGAGAAACATGGCTACACAAGGTTTGGGCTCTATACGACACTTGACGAGGATTTGCCGGGTAGTCATTCTCTCAACCGACTAATATCAAGTGACGGTGATGCCTCAACCTATAAGTTAGGCAAGGATTCTCAAAACAAAGACGTGACAGCGTTTTATATGGCTGGGTGCGCGACCGGTTGGCTGAGCACAGTATATTTACTCCCGAAACAACAAATCTTTGTTATTATCCTGACGAACACCACGAGTCCCATTGATATGTCGGATATCGTCTCGAAACTCTGTCTCCAAGAGATCCTTGACCTTCGACCCTCCAAGATCGGAGATCCAAACTTTGCTTGTCGGCCAAAGGGGTGGCAGACGATGACGCTGCCCCAGATACATAGAGCGCACTATGTGGAGTTAGCGGCTCAGATGTACGAAGAGAACGCTCGTGTTTATTCGAAGCTCGAGGAGGAAGACAAGGCACCCGATACACTAACTGCAGCTTGTCCTAATATCCTCGGCATCTACAAGAACAAGAAGAATGGACAAAGTCTGGAAATCATTGACCTCGATGGCACCCTGGGAGTCAAACTGAAAGGAGAGACCAAGGTGTCGAAGCCAATGAGATTTGTTCGCAAGGGCCAAGTTTTTAGAATATGTTCGCGTGTACGTGGCACTACTGATTTAGCCATTGATTGTTTTGGAGACTGGGAGAACTTAACCTTTGGTTTCGAGGAAATGAATGGAGTTGTTGTGTGCTTCTTTAGGAATGGACGGAATGTTGTAGATCGTTTTACTCGAATCGAAGCAGTAGGTTGAGGGTTTGTACTATCGTTGGGAATTCGTCTAAGGTATAGTTCTGAGTACTCAATTGCCATAGACTTTACGTCTAATACTTATTTCGTCAATTTTCATGGCCTTTTGTTTTCTCGCAATGTTTTATAAGTTCTTGCTTCTTTGAAACAATCTTCTTTGTTGGGGAAGGTGCCTTTTTTTTTGGGAGAACACTAGCTACCCTTATTTGATTATCCTCAATCTGTAATTAGTTTGTCATGTTCTTTATTTTTTCAGGCTGATTCACGAACAATTTACGTATGGCGAGTCTGAAATAAATACTTTTGAATTTTTCATTTGCTTGAGAATGCATTCATACTAGGAACCTCTCAGTATAAAATTAACAACGCACTATCTGCTTGCTACGTCCTCCAGGATACACGTATCAGGGGCCACCATTACCAGATAGAAACACAACCAATATTGCAGCATACCTATTATGTGAAAGTCAGCCCAAGTAACTATGTGTAGAGTCTACACTAGGGAGATTGAAATGGCAGAGCAACATACCCTGCCACTAAAGCGAGACCGCTTTTATTTGGCATGTTTACAAGGCCCACAAAAAGCAGTGATGCTACGAACAAAAAGATTCCTAAAAGTACCAGCTTCCACATCTTACTTTGCATGTACGAGAGCCCTATGATGGGGCAAATCAATAAAATACAGAAGCTTAAGTGGAGAAAAACAGCCTCGGCACGTTGAACACTTTCTTCTGAGTAGAGCAGTATTGTCCGGGTTTTCGACGAAGGTCGCTGTTCTGGGGGCATCTGATCTTCAGGGATCTCCTAAATTCCTCAGCGTCAGCTTATTCCTGCATATTGAGTTAACCTGGCTGGTGACAGGCATAGAAAAACGCACGAAGATCCTACGCAAGCAATGATGCTTATCTATAAACCGGTGGGTCCATGATTTCTCAACCGCTGCTATCGACGCAAGGTCTTTAAGGCACGTGTTCCCTGGATAAGGTATCTCGAGTCCGTGCAATAGCGGATGGCCATTTTCAAGGCATGTAGTTCCCCATTCTGTCAACTCGCTGACAATATTACGGTCAGGCTCTCGATAAGACTTGAATCGGGCGAGGGATGACAATGCGGCATCTAGAGAGAAGCACAATATATTAGTTCAACTTGCTCTTGGCATGTTAAGCCGAAGTGGGGTACATGAGAGAATGGTAAGTTGGTTGTGGAGCGTACCGTATTCAGACAACGAACTCTGAATATCCGACAACAGGGTGTGAGAATCATTCTCCTCCTCATTCCCTTCCCCCGCTGATAGTTGCGTATCGAGCTTGTGTTCGAGCCTCACTAGGTCCAGCTGCATGCGGAGCACATTGACAAGGTGAAGCTTTCTAAAGCGCCGAAATACCCAAAAGTCTGGGTCAGTGTCCAAGTATCTTGCGACGCCCTCGAGTTCGGAGGAAGAAAAGGGTGGAGGGGTATTTGTGCGTCTATTTTCGGGATTATCCAGAGTGCCTTCCTCCATTGCAGCCTCAGGTGAGTTTCTTCTGTCATAAAATGTGAGAAGATTACGCCAATGCTGCAGTGTGAATTGAGTCATTTTGTTCATGTGCAATGCTTCAATATATCTCATAGCATACAATATATGGGTGAAAATTAGGCAACTAGATGCTCTTACCTTTATCTACGAGGCACACGATAGGATTGTGAAACCCACCGTTCCGAGCGCTCCCCGATTTTGACAGATGTACGAGCCGTTTCAGGTTGTCACTCCACCTAATACGCTGGAATAGGCGCCAAAGGGTGTTGCTGGAGGAGATGGTTGCATGGTGCCAGATCCGGTAGCCGCCGGAAGGTCTCGTGCACCAATCGAAGAGACGCTCGAAGCCGACATAGATATGAATTGTAATAATCGCTCGACCGCGGACCTTCCGAGTAGGGGACATGCCAGGTGTGGCCTACTTTTGACACAGCGCTAACTAGGTTGTGCCCCAACTTCTTTGCCCTATGCTGCAAATTAAAGGAGTATTTGTGGTGAGATGCAGAATTGTTGAAGGAATTCGCGAGGCGAGAGTTTATTCGGTGCTGCTTATGCCCCGTTCGTTTTCGCGATCTTCATGAAATCTGGGACATATTAGACCAAATCGCTCGACAAAATGAACGCGCAGTTTGCAAAATCGAGAACTAGGTCAATTTCATCAAATCGATCAAAATCGATCAAATTCTCCCATACAAAAAACGTCCGAGTGCCCGATTTCATGGACTCTGGCCCGGACCAGAGTTCATAAAAATCCTTGGCATTTCGCCCTTTTTCTATGTGTTTATTCTATGCCTTTAAGCTAGTCTTTAAGCCACGACTTATATAAGCCTAAAGATCAGATCTTTATAATCGCTGCCTATTCTTTAATAACTTTGGTAACTTTTATAATTTTCTAAAGAGGTCAGGTTTTTTGGTGTTCCTTATAAATTCACGAAATCGATTTCGTGAAGTGACTTTTGCCTTAGTTGGGGTTCATTGCAAGCCCGAGGATCTGCCTCACCGGGCCAAACGCCCAAACCACGCAACCGCCTATTCCGAACACCGAAAGTTTTGTCAACTTTTCAAAATACTTAAAAAATTCTAAAACTTTGGTACAATATGAAGAATACCCTGGTTATGGCGGATATTATGTTAATTTCTTGAAGTTGTGGCGTTAAGGTCTCCAAATCTCATTTTGAGCGGTTGAGTGAAATCGGCGATTGGGTTGTGAAACCTTCTGGGCGGACTGCGTGGATGTGTTGAGAGGGTAATTTTGGGGTCCTGCAAAAGAGCATATAATTGGTGTAAAGGCTAAGGTTTACAAGTGCCCAAAAATCAGAGTTTTACCCTTAGCGCCATCACGTGCAAAACAGCCCTTTTAACAGGATGTGCCTTCCTTAGCGAGCTACACTATCTGTACTTATCACTTCTCACACACCATCAATTGATCAACATCATCTCGCCCAATATTCTGAATGCAGTGCCCAGCCACGCTAAAAAGCGGGCAGACCCACCTCGCACTCTTTGAGATCAATGACTCAATCGAACCTTCGAATCGTTATTCAGGGTTTAGGGTCCGATTCCAGTCCGTTTGAAACGCGAAGAGCAAAAAATCCTATTTGGAAAGAATCGAAAGTCCGCGTGATTTTAGCGACAACACTTGCACCTCTCCCTTTCTAAAGACCTTTTAATAAAGATGAAACTTCGAGGAGGATAATACAGTATTTATTGCGATTAAGATACTTTCACTCTCATTTCCTACTCTTTTGTGTTGACGGAGCCAATATTGTCAAGTGTTGACATCCGCCCCGCCCCTTGTGCCTTCGCTTAAATTTGGCCACTCAATCTACCTTCTTTACTGTCACGTGCTGCGCACAGGCGTATATATAGCTTCTTCACCGCCCTTAGGGCATCATCATTCTTACATATTTACACAAACACACCACATTCCACCCCCACAGCTTGTCCAGGCCATGACACTTACCTATACAGGGTGAGATCTCTCTTAACAGATGGAGTGTCACATCACTACTTAGAATCACCTGGTCTTATCATTCACTCGCAAGAAGCTTCACGCCTTTAGTCTTCTCAGGCCATGCTGTCAAAATCGCGGCAAATTCGGAAAATAATGTCAACATAATAAATAATTCCACACCGGAATCCCCTATTTATTCGTTGGATGGCCTTATGTACACTGCATATTCAGGCACTTTAGCTTGGATCGCAAACGTTCTGTTCTGTCCAATGGTGCAAGCATACACGGTCATTCGGACGGTCTTTTGTGAGAATCAGTGCCGTAGATATTCTATTGCTTGCTAAATGCTATTGATCACAGGTGCCATTCATAGCCAATTTTAGAGATTTTTCTACGGAGATCGACTCATTAACGGATCCCCCGTGGTAGCTTCTCTTGGACATGATCAACAACACCCACCAACTCGGATTCATACCCCGTACGATATGCATTTTGAGGTTAACAGAAATCTCTCGCTTTTACCTGGTTGTGTAGTACAGTTGAGCAGCCCACTAAAAATAAATTCTTTTCCTTCAGGTTCTTTTCCAAATATCGTGGGCTGGTTGCACCCTCATGTTGGTTCACTCTAAGCTTTCGAATTCGTTTAACAAAGCACGAGTTTTGCCAATCAAACTAACCTAACTAATATTCGATGATCCCACACTGTCCCCGCCAAGAATCCCCCCCAAAAATGAAAAGAGCGAGAGAAGAATACTGTTGCGAAGTTACACAGGGCTGGTCCTGCCGCTCCTTACCGATATTCCTCACCGAAGCCACTTTGCCACACAACAATGTATACAACTATCTGGTATGTTATAAACTACGCCTTTGAAGTCTCAACCGTTTCAACAACCTCAACCTGGTGGACCATACCATGCTCGTGTCCCATGGCAGCCTCCTTCTCTGTGAGCCTCGCGTCTTGTTCCTCGGCAACCCGGTTTCCGTAGATACCGATCTTGTACCAGGGAAGTGAGAAGAGGCGATCCATGCTCTCGAGGTCACGACCGGCTGTCTCGGGGATCGTGAACCAGACCCACACCCCGCCAACAATCGTGACGACAGTGAAGAACCAAAACGTGCCAGAGGGGTTGATGCCGCCAGTAGCCTTCGGCAACAGCATGTTGGGCACAGCGCGCGAGTTTCCATACTGGTTCGCAAAGTGGAAGCACATGACGATAGAGGTAGATACCGCGCGAATACGGAGAGGGAATAGCTCAGCAGTAAGGAGATACTGCATGGAGTTCCAGCCTAGAGCCCATCCAACACCCGAGACGTAGATCATGACAATCGCACCAGTGCTTGCACCTTTTTGGGATTTTGGCAGGACAAAATTCTTCACGGTCCCGAGTTTGGGAACGGCGGTGAGAAAGGCGGCAATGTAGATCATGGAAATGGCTTGAAGGGTGATGCCAATTAGAAGTGAGCGCTTACGGCCGATGACATCGACGAGAAAGAGCGCACAGACGACAGCGGCGACTAGCTTTACAATACCAAAGATGGCTGTTGCTAGAAGAGCCTCGTTTGTGCCGGTAATTCCAAGAAGGGCAAACAAGTTGACGGCGTAAAGCGTGATTGAACCGGCTCCGGACCACTGAGAAAGAACCTGACTCATAAGGCCAAGGTAGATTCTGTAAAAGTTGCTCGGGATAAGGAACATCTCCTTGACAATTCCAATCCAGCCTTGGCCCATAGTTGCTTCTTCCTCTTCTTGAAGCTGGACTTGGATGGCATTGATTTCGCGGACGACATATGAATCGTCTTGTGGCAGGTTCCGGATAATTGCCATGTTTTTCGTTGCTTGTTCACCACGGCCCTTCTTAATGAGATAACGAGGAGACTCATATTGGAAGAAGGTTAGAATGAGAATGAGACTCGCAAACATAATGTGCAAGCTGGTAGGTACCTCCTAAACGGCAATCAGCTTAAATGACCCACGAAAATCAACAAGTTGTGAAGGAAAACTTACCCATCGTGCAATAGTACGCTCTCCAAGATTCACCGAGCAACCATAGTTGGCGAAGTATGCAAGGACAATGCCAAGGTAAACAAATCCGGTAAAGATGCAGGTACAAAGTCCTCGAATAGAAGCAGGAGCGATCTCGGCCAGGTAGACGGGACCAACGACTGTTGTTTGCCCAACACCTAAGCCAGCTATGAAGCGTCCGGCGTAGATGGCGCCCAGGTTGCCATTGGCACCCATAAAAATGGCAATGCCAACAATCCAAATTATGCAAAGTTGACGGGTTGCCCAGATACGGCCGATACGGTCACATACAAGAAAGGCACTAACTATCTCGTCAGTCTACTCCGACTTCTGCCAGCACACTGGGAAGTAGGAGTATAAAATGGTGAAACTCACATGAGAGCCCCACCGACAGAGCCTATCTGGACCATGGCGGAAACATTGGCTTTAATGTTTGTTTGTTCAACAGTGCTGTACGTGCTGTAGTGGATGGTTTTCTGGAAATTCTTCGAGCCGAAAGCACCACTAATAAGACCCTCATCGACGCCGCGGGCAGCGCCCATGAGGCCGAACGAAAAGACAGCGAACCAAAGTCTCCAGTTGAAAACTTGCGCTGGGTCATCAAGGTTCTTGAGTTTAAAGACATTGACAGGTTTCTTTACGCCCCCTGCCATTTTGAAAGAGAGGGGATGTAAGATAGCTGGGGTGTAAGATATGAAGGGTAGATATGCTCTGAATGAAAGGATTGCAAGTGATATAAAATAGTTGGGGATCTTGTGATTCTTATATCAAGATGAATAGTGGGAGGACGTAATGATGGCAAAGCACTCCGTTGGTCGCCAAACCATCCTAAACTGCTCATCCATCCATGTGAAAGACCAGCATTCGTTACCGGCCGAGTAGACCCGACTTGATGACATTCCCCACCATCTTCTTCCTTGACAGACAACATGGTGTCTGGCTCGAGGATTGCCGCGGAAGGGGCGCTAGGAGACTCTCCTAATTGACGACAGGGGAGCTGTGGATCTTCGGAATGTTGAAACTTTGAGACAGCCAAAATCGCGATAAGGTGAAAAGCCCTGCATAGAAAGATCCAGAGCCCTTCTGGAAAATCAAGTTGGAGTTACCTTCCCTTTCAAGCTAGTCTAATTTGACAACTTTGTCTGGTAGGCTCCGTCTCATGCGGGGCGGGATGCTGATTAATTAAGGGTAGAAAGCCGATGCAACAGATGTGACAACTAATCGATCCGATTTGTAGATACCCAAACGTCTTCTGGATCGTGGGGCCATGTGGGAAGGTGCCATCGGCAAGGGCATGTAGATGCGGGAGGAAGGGAAACTGCATAATCCAGGTGGTTTCCACGTGGCAACAACATGGCATCATGCATATTCCATGCATCCTTCTGTTCTGATCCCTCCCGCGGTTGAAACTTCCAAAGGTGACTGCATACTGTGGTATTCCGCTCCTCTACGAGGAGTCTTCGGCAAGACCTTCTTGCGTCTTCTTTGCCGGGCAACTTTGATCCCCTGCAGAACTTCTGAGCATGATACTACTGTCTTCCGTCTGCCTTCTAGACCCATCACTTGTGGCTTCCATGCATCTCTCCTGCAGGACGCATTTCGAGTCAGGTTCGAGCTCCCTGTCACCACGTGGGAGACCTCCAATCACCTCTGCACTTTGGAGGAACTAGCCGTTGTCATGGCGGCGGGATATTCAGCAGAATTACTGTGGTGTGGCACACATGGGATAATTGACCTTTCTACAAAGAACTTTCCGTCACGGAGGTGTCAACCTCCGCGTCCCGAATTGCCTTCCAGTACTAAATTATAGGTGCGCCACTTTTTAAGCTTTTTAAGGCCAAGTTGGCGAGTATCATGGGGCAACATGGGGCGTTGGGGAGGTAGCGGTGTGGACTTGAAGCGCCTGCTGCGTTCTGGTGTTCCAAGTCTTTTGTCCAATAGGCTGTTTTCGCGCTCTTTGAAGGTCAGTCTGACTCTTAGCGTAGGAACCACATACACATGGGTTTGAACGAGTCTAACCTCTCGACGAAAACTATCTTTGGGGGGGTTGAAGGCTGATGGTGGAGAGGGAATGTGGCTTCAAACATGCAAGCAGATTGGACCCCTCGTCAGCTCATTGAACAGCCACACGATAACATTACGGAGCTGCCGTGCGCAGATGCCAATAGGCCATGGCTGATTCATGCAAGTTCAAAAGCCGAAAGTTGCCGACCAATGTGCTCCTCCTCGACTGAACCCCAGGAGGCACAAGGCGGGCTGGAGCGTGGAGTAAACTTGGCTGCTCTGGGGGCGGGGTAAGAAACATGGGTGGCCCCCCCCCTTTTTTTTTCGTCTGACAACCAACCACCATAGTTCGTCTCCCGCTCAAGAGCGCCACACACATACAGCGCAACGCCAAAACGTCCCGCTCTTCCCTAACCTAACCCGACACCTCACCTCAACGCTCCTTATCCTTTCTCGCTTCCGCCCCGACCCTGCGACTTAATCTGACCTCTGGACCCTCGTGCAGCACACACCACGCAGCACGAAGCTGACAGAACTTTCGTGTCTGCAACAAACAAAACAGTTTCAGAATGGAAGAAGATTTGCGAAAGACTATCATTATGGTGGCTGTGTGCGGGTTCTGCAGCGCTTTGCTCATGCTAGCTCGCCTCGCAATGCGCAAGGTCAGACGGCAGGGGTTCAACCTGAGTGACTACCTCACCATGGTAGCATTGGCTTGCCTCGCCTCTCGTACTGCATTCACCACGGTCGTTGTTCTGTGGGGAAACAACAATTTGACGGCTGCAGATCGAGCTTCGAAATTGTTTACTGCAGTAGAAATCTACCAGCGTGAGGTTGGAAGTAAATTGACTCTTGTTAACAGGATCACTTACAATACCTAGTAAGTCGTTCTTGGACCAACTTCCCATGTCTTGTTAACCATTTACCTTAGTATTTGGATACAGAAGGCTGTCGTGCTACTTCTCTATCGACGGATGTTGGATGGCCTTCCACAACCCCATCATATCATGAACTTCTACTGGGCTTTTCTTGCTGTAACATATGTTGTGGTACAATCAGTCACATTCGTGGAATGCCATCCTTTCTACCTTTATTGGCAAGTAGTGCCACCTCCCGGTACATATTCTTCTTCACACATATGAACATGATCTAACTGCCATCCTAGGCAAATGCCAGCAGGCACTCGTTCAGTTGATCGTGTTTGTTACTCTGAACATCGTGACTGATATTCTACTCATCATTCTCCCCATGCCATGGCTTATCAGAATGAAGATATCTCTCAAGAGGTAAGCCTACTATTGCCTTATTTATCGCGCCTCTCTCACACAACGTCCATCATAGGCGTCTCTCACTTGTAGGACTTTTTTCGATTGGCTTTCTACTTATAGCCGTTGCTATTGCTCGTCTCCCAATATACGGAAATGGAACGAGCCAGGTCAACCGTAATACCTGGGGTTCTGTTGAGGAATTTGCTGCAGCTTTCGTCGCAAATGTGCCTACACTTTTCGCCCTTCGCCACCAACCAGCCACAGTTGACAACACATCGTTTCACAACAACCGCCATTCGGAGATGGCAGGATTTAGGAATATATCAGAAGAAGGGATCACGGTCACTCATTGTATTGAACTCCGGCGCGACACGATTGGAAACTCGAAGGATCCAGAAGGCTTAGAGGTCGTGTGTGTTGAGCAAGTTTGAAAGTAATTATTTAGTTCATGTAAGTCTCTACATATCACAAGATTTGTTGATGATAATATATATGCTAATGCTAACCCTCAGAATATACATTCCGCTTATCGAGTGGTAATTTGTCACATGTTTGTCATTAACTATTTGGAAATGTAATTGACAGTCTTAAAACCCATACTGACACAAAATGGTATTGCATATCACGTAAATGAAGTTGACCCTATTCCTTGAAGATTTCAAAAGCGTCCCATGAACCCAAAGTTGCAATTAGGCTCTAGGAGCGCTCTCTTTTCCTTGAAAGCACTCCATATGTGCCTGTGAGAATCTATGAATGTTGTACAGTGACCACGGTTAGGCCCTGTCCTCCGTTATATTCACAATAAGAGGGGAGCATCATCTCAGATTTTACCCAACTCAAAATGAACACCATTTTGACGTCTAAAGTCCTTTCGTTGATCCTGGGGGCTTTCCTTCCCACTTAGAACTGGGCATCCTTCGTGAATTTTTAGCTTTGTTGTTGTAGAAGGACCCATGCATAGTTTGTGGCATGGATTGATTTTTTCGGCCGCTCCATAATTCTGCAATCCTGAGCACCGTCAGAAATGCAGTTGGCACCCCAAGACGACCCCTGTTGTTTTGGCGATACCTGGAGATATTGCTAAAAGTTCTGACATACAACATCAAGCTTCGAAAACAACAACCAAGGGACCATGGCAAGGAAAGTGCGCGCTAGAAAACAGTTATGCAGCTTCCTTCCTCTTTTTCGTAAGAGAATGTCATCGAGGCCACCGGATTTGACGCGCGAATCTAGTGTAGACATGGTTGTAGACTGGTCCGCATGACTGCAGCCTTACCCCAGGCCTAAACGGAACTTTGTTTATCGGCCCCATGGAGCTCCACATTGGCTTCCAAGCGCTTGCGGATCCCGGTATCTGCCACGTGGGAAATGGTGTAAGTGCAAGGAAGTCTGCATCCTTCCAGGCACGGAAGGTCTCAAGTTGCGGGGTACCAAGAACATGTAGTCTGTTCCGTCTAGAAAGCAGCAGTATGACTTAGCGGAGTGCTGATTCGCAGAAAATGAAGAATGCAAGTGCAGGAAACACGCTTGGTGACTTGGGTAAATAAACCCATGCCTTCTCTGGATCCACAGTCGCCGCAACAAGGGATACTAGCGAATGCGACCACCGGAATTCAAGGTTTTGTGGAGGTGACCGTGCTAGAAACACACTTCAAGCTAGGGGTTTTCTTCCCGTCCTACACACGAGTATCACTGCGAATCCAGAGAGTTCTTGACAGTTTGAGCCATTCTGCATCCAGAACTGATAAACATATTAGCTTTGATCTCATTCATCGCAGGACCTTTCCCGCGGGATTTCTCGGGCGTCAGTGAAACCACACCATGAACCCCTGGCTTGATCTAGAAACCTCGGAGGCAAGAGAGAATCAATCGTCCCCGCTCTTGTCATTTCCAAGAGATATCACGAATGGAGCTTTACAGTTCCATTATTCGGATATAAAGAGAGTATTGCCCACCAAGAATCTTTTGTCAAACACGGCAAATACATCTTATCCCCTCCAAGGACTCTTTTGTTGAGTATCTCAAATATCTCCTCCCCTCAACATGCTTCTTCAATCTACCGCGCTCCTGGCCCTCGCTATTGGAGCCAATGCAGATCTCTATAGCCTAGTTGCAACTGTACCATGGGCTCCGGGAACACCATCATCTACCGATCAGAGCGCCATTTACAACGGGACATACTACTTGTCTGACCGCACCAACAAAGGTGTTCATGTTATATCCTTAGCCAACAAGACGCAAACTGGCTTCATCGGGGGCTTCGTCACCGGTCTCGTCAACGGCACACTCTCATCCTCAATTTCCGGTCCTGACGGAATCGTCCTCCTTGCCAACCGCAATGAAATGTACGTTGGGGACGGCGACGGCACCGTCAAAGTTATCAACCTCTTCACCAACACCATTGTTGCCAACATCTCCACGGGGTCGAAAAAGCGTGCCGACGAATTTGCCTACAACCCCTCAACCCAGACTGTCGTCGTGACCAACGCCAACGAATCGCCACCTATGGTCAACATCCTCGATGCCGCTACTCATTCAGTCGTTGGCAACATCAGTTTTCCCGGGGCAAGCGGTCTCGAGCAGCCAGCTTTCAATCCGGGAGACTCGCAGTTCTACGTCTCTGTTCCCGAGACGACCGGTGCTCCAGGCGGTGCAATCCAGCTGATAAACGTCGTCAAGGGTAGCCTCTCCATCGCCAAGACCCTTCCAATTCCTTCCTGTGCCCCAGCCGGGATTGTGTTTGGACCGTCGGATCAAGTTTTCATCGGGTGCTCTGGATCTCAAGTCTCGAGTTTTGGCTACGCAGCCAGCTACATCATGAACGTGACCACCGGGTCCATCGTCGCCAATATCAGCGGCATCACCGGCAGCGACCAAGTCACATACTCGGCAAAGACGGGCTATTACTACGCGTCCGCGTACTTGAATACCGTGAACGGAGTGCCGACCCCGATCCTTGCAGTGATCGCGGCCAACGGCACCGTGCTGCAGAAGATCGCGACGGACAACGTTACGGCGCATGCGGTGTCTGTCGATCCAAGCACTGGGAGCGTGGTTGTGCCGGTCAAGGCCAAGGGTATCCAGATCTATGCCCTCGGTGGTGCATCGACCACTGCTGGCAGCGGAACTCCAACATCGTCAACCCCGGCCTCCACGTCGAAGACCTCGGACGCTCAGAGCAAGCGCCTGGGAGCCTTGTTTGGAATGGTCGCTGCAGCCGCAGCCCTTGCTTGGCTATTGTAGGAGACACCAGTAGTGTGGAATTTACGGAGGGATTAGGGATGGTAGAGATATGTGAGAATAGTAAAACATCTTTTGGCATTTTTGAACTAGTTTCATTTAGTAGCAGTATGGTGGTGGTATGGTGGGTTGGTATGGCGATTTTTCATATTAGACGAATACTTCATTGAATTTTCATTGCTCCTCAGAAGCCAAGAGCTCATGTGAATATGACTTCTCGAAAATATTGTAGTAATAAAAATTTCCTCCGATTGAACGGGAAAGGACTCTCATTCCTGTAAAAGGTGGTTGCCACGGGTTTTGATGCAACCTGTTCTGGACTAGTGGATTCCACGACTGAACTATCTCTAGGTTCGTCGAATAACCCGGAGATATGCCTAAGGGGGGCCACTGCTCTTTAATAAGAAATACGTTTACAGCTTGGATATTTCTTGCATCCATTAATCCCGCGAACTTCGCCACTTCTACCATTGTCATAAGCTATAGTTAAGAAGAGTATGATTCTTTATTTAACTCTATGAACATTCGCTGCCTCGATATATATATCTGAATTGAATACGCATGCTTTCTTGGGATTATGTTCGGTGCCAAGGTCGTGCGTCTGGCCTTGCACTTGACAAAGACTTCGGCACCCAAGGCACCTCCTCCCTGCTTCTAAATGATCATAACGACTGAGGGTTTCACGGCCTCATTGTTCTTCACGTTGGATTGGCAATTGTGCCGGCTGCGTTCTCTTCCTTAACATTAACATTGTTGTACTTCTAAGGTGGAGTCACATAAAAAGATTGGACATCTTCGCCGTTTTGTATTACAGAATCAGTACTACCGCATTACGGACCACGATCCTCAGAGGCAATGCTGGCGTAACGCTCCATTCCATTTCCGTTATTTCGGATGGACTGAGCCCACCTGGCTGGTCTCCCTAAAGGGCAATTGCGCTCCTGTGGTTATTGTGGACGTGCAGAAGATGTGAGGGGGATCTCGAAGTTGTCAACGTAGTGCGAGGACGCACCTTAGAACTATGAACTCTATTGGATTGGCTTTTGATACCATCCTGATGCCGTTCCAACGTTTCAATGAGCGCTTTGTGTTTTATATTCTACGAGGAGATTGTCAGCTGGGGGCTCGACACAGACGACATCGGTACTCGGCTTGGTGATTTCCTTTACATTGTAGACAGAAAGAATTGATAAGATCTAGGCGGCCACGTTAACTCATGTAATAAAAGCGCCCCATCTCGTAGAGCCTACGTCTTCCGGTGGAAATCTAGCATCTCCATAGCCCAGAGCCCGCTCTATTATAGTGCAAGAGCTCCTCTGACGGCGTAAAGAATTATCAACAAAAAAGGAAAGGGGAACAAAGAGGGCTTTGCCAATCAAAAATGTTGTCGTTGAGCGGTGGCCGGGACATGATTCCAAGAAATTGCGATCGCATTAATAGCTTCGCTTAATTGGTGAACAACTCACCCCCTTTTGTTCTCGCTTAGCCCCTGGCGGCAGACTCTTGACAGCACCAGATCATGATGACCCTTACTCTCCAGCAATGATTACGATCTCCCCCTTGCCTGAAAAAGGTCCTCATCTTGCGATGATCTGGTGATAATATGATCGGTACTTGCATCCCACCCCTCTCAAGCCGGCGCTTGGGCAGCCTTGAGTTTTGGATACCCTATGACGGTGAGTGCATTGAAATTCGTCTACGAAAGCGAGCGGCATTGAAATCCGTCCAACTCGATAAGCGAGGACGGGCGCAATTTTAACGCTCGCATTCAAAAATTCTCATAATTCCGCATTATATTCTATTATTATAAAATTTTCGCCAAAGTTAGATCTGCTTCTTTTCTATTATATAAAGCATTTTTGAAGAGTTTCGGGCGTTCCATTGAGATTTGGTGTGATTTTCTGAACGTAGCGATTTTGGTATTCCTCGCAGTTTGGCAGATGGACGGTTTTCAACGCCGCGCGCTTTCGTAATACCCTTTTGACCTTGGCAATACAGAAATTCTCACAATTCCCCTTATATTTAATTATCATAAAAATTTCGCGAAAGTTAGATCTCCTCTTTTTATTTACACAAATGACTTTTAATGATTTTCAGGCGTTCCGTTGAGATTTGGTACGATTTTCCAAACGTAGCGATTTTGGTGTCCCTGGCTGCTGGCAGCTGGACGATTTTCAACGCTGGGCGCCTTCGTATTCGAGATGACGGCTTCGCCTCGTTCAATTGGCACATCGAGTCCTGGAGGGTGATCGCTGATCAGCACATTTGTACAAGGGCTTGGTACCCAATAATGACGCTGGGAAAACATCCGTGCCCTCGGTTGAATCCGCGGTGAAGGTGAGCGGGCCAATTTGACCGACCTTCCTTGTCCGAAATGCACCGCCTTCTCGCACAGCGAAGATCTCCCAAATCATCGCCTACGGCCTATCCGCCGACCCCGGCCTCCTTTTGGTTGGTTGGTGGAGAGTGAGATTGGGCTTCCCAAGGGAGACCAGCTCTCCCAACCAACCTCCTTTAGCCTCTAGAAACCTCCTTCGTAGACTCTAGCTAGATACACCCTCAACGATACAATAACTCGTGTTTAAAACCCTCCTCTCATGGCCCGAAGCGGACCATCCAGGGGCAAAAAGTGAAACAGTGATCCACGTGCATCGCTTATGATGTTGCGGGGGAATGTGGGGTTCCTAACTTCCTGGACACGGGACCTGAAGGCAAGTGCCGAGAATGGACTGGGTTGGCAGACCAGACCGTCGGCATCCCCGGTCCGAGTAGGAGATTTCGTGTCGAACTTGACGCATAAGAACGGCTCGTCAGGCAAACGGTTTGGGAAGATGCCCACCCCGTTGAAGAGATACGGCTAGAGGAGAGGGGGATAGGCTGCTCGGTGGAGGAAAAGAAATCCTGGGATCTCGGAGTTTGGAGGCGGTAGTTTCGCTCGGGAGAGAATGGACTTCGATTTCGCAGTTCTTGCGAGCTGAAGGTGAGTTACGGTGAGCCGAGCTGACTGTCTAAGGGCAGCGGCCTGTTCTTGCGGATAGGCTCATCTCCAGGCACCTTTGCTGTGAAGCTGCAGTTGGAAAAGTTGCTTTGACGTGGTACAAGAAGAAGTAAAGAAATAAGCAATCTCCCCTCACACCGCCTAGCACTAGTGTTCCGAAGGCGTGGGTTTGGAACGGGCGGCCAGTGGCTATCAATTTGTGGTATTGGTGGCACGCAGGTGTTGGGTCACGTTGTTCGTGCCCTTGGTAGGGAACGACTTGAGGAGATGCGAACGCAGCCGGCTCACGAAAGATGAGTGAAGATCGAAGTCCTTTAGTATAAGGAGGGTCAGTGCGCGAGTCTGGGGCTGAAACTTGTGCTAACTGCTGGACCATTTGGCACACCGTCGTGACAAATCCCTGCCGCTCTGGCCTGATGGCGTACCAATAAAAGGGACCTGGGGCTGCCCAAATAATGTCAAACACGCATTGGCTGTTGCATGCTTGCTCTTTGGCCGCGGGGAATTCGGAAGGGCAAGCCACTTCGGAGTCGCGCACGATACATGGCGCCCTTAGCTTTCTTTTCTTCCTTCCCAGTTTCCGCCATTGCTCGCCTGGAGATCTTATAATTATTCATCGATGAGATGCTGTCCCATCACAACATGAACACCCGACCGCGCTTGCCCCAAGATCGCACCGGAACCGTTCACGCATTGGAATTTCGTCGCTATGGTTGAAAAAGGGCAGGTACGCATCTAAATCGGCCCTCAGTCTGATACAATTTCTTTTGGTTGCTTAACTTGAGTCTAATGTCTATCTAGGTGGTTGTTGTCGTCTGCCTAGCGATATCCGTTGTTGTTTTCTGCTTGCGCTTCTACATCCGGGTTGTCAAAAATGGCCAGTTTACATTTCTAGAGATAACGCTTTTATTTGCCTTGGTTAGTTTTCATTCCTACGTTTGTCGAACATGACTGCTTTGATTTAGATGGCTAATAATAATGTTTAGGCAATGGAAGTCGCTTTTGGAGGCATACAAATAAAGCAATACCAGTTAATGGCGGCTCCTTCGACTGTGACAAACGCTGTGGAGCTTGGCAAGATGCGTCTCAAACCACCCCTTTAGCGCATTTGAAAGCTAACTCGTGGTCGTCTCCACTGGACTTACGCCAATACATTCTTTTACATTGCATGTATCTGGAGCGTTAAGTTTGCATTCAATATACTACACATCCGGGTGACGGAGGGTATATCTGCTGTTCACGTCTGGGCAGTTCGTACCTTATATATCCTCGGGTTTACCTGGATTCTCGTCTATGTTACATATCTTCTTAAATGCTTGCCAGTAAGCCGCAACTGGGACGCGCCGATAACCCATGCCAAACAATGTCCGGGTATCCTACATGCTTGGGATTTTGTAAGTCACGCTGCCTTTAGTATTTATTCTGGGATGGGCTAATATAGGAGATAGTGGTTGCATCTTGCGCTCCATCTTAGCACAGATTTCTGGTGTACGTCTAATCCTGAAAAGATTCCCCCCTTTCGCCGTCCCTTTTCCCAGAGGTTGCTCGTCCACGTGTAGTTGATGTATCACAAAGTGATCTTCCATCGACTTTATCTAAGTCTCACATCTCACTAACAACGCTAGTGTGCATCTTGCCGTTTCCAGCACTCGTTAAAATCAGCGAACCACGTATTCGCATGGCTGTGTGCGGTGTTTACAGCCTTGCCGGACTCACCATTATTATCAGCATTCTCCGAGCTGTCCTCTTGGGCCTAAATAGAGGCGCCAGCCTGGAACACATTTCAATTCTTACTATGATCGAGGTCATGACAATTGTTGTTATGAGCTGCCTCCCAGGCTTGTCGTCAACCTTCACACGCAAGTACATTCATCACGATGTTAGCTATCCGGAATCTGGGTCGGCCATTGGGCAACGGAAAAGCCAGAGTAGCTACGGGAATTTCGCACAACTTAAAGAACCTGGCATTGAGCTACATGGCGTTAGAAGCGAAGCTAGTGGCGAGAGATTGTAGGTTGTGCCCGATAGAATGTGACAGGGTAACCCTTTGGCGCGTGTAACAATTACTCTACTGACGGGGAGCTGGAGTTGTGAAGTGAGTCCAAATCACGCGATCCAAAGTCCTCGCGTTAAACTCTGCTGGGCTAATTAGACACGCTGGATCATTTTTGGTGCACACCTTTTCCAATCAGATTTTACCCGATCAGGCTCAGAATTTGGGCTCGCTTCTTCGTTTCCACAATCTCCTCCTCTTCCATAGCATCTGATTCTGCTCACAGTCCAAATATTGCCCTCCCTCGATACCCTCCTGGTGTACTACGTTTGATTCTGCACACTTTCCGGACCTGGCCTTCAGCTCTGCGTCCAGAATCTCCACCTCTTGGACAAGAGGTATCCCCGACAAACGTTTCTCAGTCAAAATCGATTCTCACGTTCCCGAATTACTCGTCTTCCACACTGTTCCTCTTCTCAATAACCCCGACTAATTCATGTATCCTAGGTCGAAATTTATTATTTCCCGTCTTTCTTGGGTTTAAGCATCAATCGACCTCATCGTGTTCAGCCAGATAAACCACCTCTTCTTATTCCACATCTCCAATATGAGCCTCTGCCATTGACTCTCTACCTTCCCGTCTTCGATCCACTTGGTATACCGATTGACAGAACGTCCTGTGACGGCCCTGTTGCGTTCGTTGGCCAGAGACTTACCAACAAGATCTGAGTTCTCACTTTTGTGCTGTACTTGTAGCCCATAGCATTGCCTTTGTCAACAAAGCGAGCGGGGGCCGACCAGCCGAACGTGTTCCGGCTGGTGAAGGAGCTATCACCAAGCTCCATGACTCGCGAACTGTCATCAGCTCCAGAGAAAATGCCCGCTAGTGAGCTTGTCCGGTGCTGACATACGTCCAACGCTCAATCCGCGTGAGGGATCCCTCCGCCCGGGGCCCATATCCCCGAACGGCAAACCTGTGCCGCCATCTTCCTTCCGTTCCGGTCGGTAGATCTTGCTGTTCCCTCGTTAGAATGCTTGCTCTTTCCTACTCCTATGTTTCACGTGAGCGGGGTTGCCTTGCTCAGGCTCGGTTCAGGCCGGGTTCATCTCAGGCTCAGGTCTGCTCACCCTTTTGCGCGGCGTAGCCAAGACTAACCTCACTAGAAATCTCAACTGGTAACGAGGATAGTGTGTGCTGTCCCTTTACGGGCTGCGACAATCTGTCCTCCCATAACTCCCTTAACTCGTGTGATGTTCCGCCGTTTCCACGTCGATTCTCGAATTCAGTTCATTGCGAAAATATTGGCGGCTGAAGCAAGGATTGATGTCACATTCGTCGGAGCACCTGACGAGAGAAGAGTCGCTGAGGGAAATGGTGAAGGGAGTAAAGTTAGCAAGGTTGGGAAAGCGCGGGGAAACTTGGAAAGATATCTCGAAGTCCGGAGATACAACCCTAAGTATTACACAGTATGACGCTACTTGTAGGGGTCTCAACTTTATCACCTTATATTACAACTACAACGCACCACCAAACACCAAAAGCAGATATATGTACAGCCCTCCTCCTAGGGATCATTTTAGTGCTTAGATAGAGGCTTTTGGTTGTCTGCAGGAAAAGTTATGAGTATTGAAATAGTGTGTGGCGTTCGGAAGCTTGCGGTGGCGTCGTAATACTTACGGAGTACTGAGTATGGGCGGGACCTCTGTACGCTCACCAATCAGATATTGCGGGCGCTTATTAGCTATTAGGGACGCCAAAGGATAGAAATTCCCTCGACGTGACTTTAGCTGCCTAGCGCCACGCCGGGATAAGGACGCCGTCCCCGTTGCCGTTGATATTGCGAGGTTGGAAAAGCGCGAAGTCAAATATCACGAAGTATACGCACCAGTTAGACATTGGGGGCTTAGGGGCGTTACGCCACAGCGCCGTTGCCGTTGTCACTGATGTCACGAGGCTAAGAAAGCGCGGATACGTGTAGTGGAAGCGCCAGGAAAGGTATCACGAAGTATGCCACGAGCCAGATATCGCAGGGGCTCAGGGACCCCGTGCATGGAAATATTCGGTCCGACCCCCAGTATCTTTTTCGCTTGTTGCATGCAAGTGAATCCACGTAGCACGGGCATGTACACAACATTGCAGAGGGGAGTGCACATCCAGTGAGTGTGAACACATGCGTTACGGCGCAGATTTAGCAAAAGACATAAGACCCCAACTCGCCCAGCCTTCTCTTCCTTGGCTTTCGTTCCTATCATGCACTTCGCATTGGCACGGTGACACAGCGAGCAATTCAAAATGTCGACAGGTATCAAGGCAAAGGATGAGGTCCACGGGGGCGAGCAGGTCGACGCTGTGTATCCCGAGGTCTTGGTCAACCCGGATCTCATGGGCGATGCCGTCGACGGCGAGAACCGCGAGCATGAGATGGGCGTATGGGAGGCGGTCAAGAGCCATCCCTGGGCTTGTTTATGGGCGTTTATCATGTGCTTCACCATCGTGGGTTTCCTTTGACTTGACTCGACTTTATTTCCTCTCGTGCAGGCAGAACAACAGCTGATGTAGGTCACCTAGGTCATGGAGTCGTTCGACATGTTCCTGAGCGGTAATTTTGTCGCGCTCCCCGCGTTCCAAAGAAGGTACGGTGTCCAGGTGGAGGGATCCGGATGGACGATCCCAACCAGGTGGCAGAGCGCCCTCTTCCAATCCGGGCAATGTGGTGCTTTTATCGGGGTTTTCTTGGCCGGGCCCATCACCAACCTTCTCGGCTACCGCTGGACTACCATGTTGGCCCTGATTCTTATGAACGCCACCATTTTCATTTCCTTCTTTGTGAGTGGCCTCCGCCTTGTTTCTGTCCTATTGTTGAGCTTATCGCCTGACTACATCTACTTAGGCCGACTCACTGACCGTTCTTACGGTTGGACAAGCGCTGGAAGGCGTTCCTTGGGGACTCTTCATTGCAAACTCCCCCGCCTACGCCAGTGAGATTGTTCCTCTCGCCCTTCGAGGTGCCTGCACAGCTACTCTGCAAATGAGTTGGTCTATCGGTTCAATCATTGTCGCCGGCGCCACCTATGGCTACAATCAGCGAGACGATCAGTGGTCTTGGCGAATCCCTCTTGCCTTGCAGTGGATATTCCCCGTGAGTCCCTCTTTTCAGGTCTTGTTCCTACGAGAGCTGACTCGTCTAGACCCCCCTCTTGGTCCTAATCTTCCTCGCCCCCGAATCTCCTTGGTGGCTTGTTCGTCACGGACGCAAAGAGGAAGCCCTTCGCTCTATCGAGCGCCTCGGCGAGAAATCCGGAAAGAACTCTCAACAGACACTGGCCATGATGGAGCGAACCGTTGAGATCGAAGCTCAGATTGGTGGTACCCCTTCCCTCCTCGACCTTATCAAGGGTACCGATTTGAGGCGAACAATTATCACCTGCTTGATGTACGCGTCACAGAATTTTGCTGGTAACCTGATTGCCAACCAGGCAACTTTCTTCTTCGAGCGTGGGTAGCTCCCCTCTGGCAGATTTCAAGCATGGAGGATGACTGACTCCCTGCGTAGAAGCCGGGATCTCGACCAACAAATCTTTCCAGCTCAATCTGATCAATTCGTGTCTTTCATTCGTTGCCAACGCGTGCTCCTGGTTTCTCACCGCCTGGTTCGGTCGTCGAACCATTTATCTCTGGGGCACAGCCACCAACGTCGTGCTGCTCTTTATCCTCGGCATCTGCGCTTCTGTCCCAACGAGCAATGCAATTAATTACGCCCAGGCCTGTCTAGGTATCATCATCTCCTTCGTGTTTGCCGGTACCCTCGGACCGATCTCGTACACCATCATTTCCGAGACGTCCTCAGTCCGTCTTCGCGCTTTGAGCACCGGTGTCGGTCGCGCCGCCTACTATGTTGCGGAGATTCCCATGATCTATCTAGCCTCGCAGATGCTCAACCCGACAGGATGGAACCTCGCTGGGAAGTGCGGTTACGTCTGGGGAAGCACCGCTTGCGTCTGCTGGGGGATGGCCTTCTTCTTTCTTCCGGAGCTCAAGCATCGCTCTTACCGTGAAAGCGATATCTTGTTCAATCGCAAGGTTCCTGCCAGGAAGTTTAAGTCGACCATTATTGACGTCAAGGATAACGAGTAAGGCATGGGCGATTGGTGAGAAGAAATAAAACACTTGGTGAGCTTCCGCAGCGTGATGACTGAGAAAAGAGTCTATATTTCGGTTCAATAAAGGTGGGAGAGTGCTTCACGTGTGACTTGGGGATATGGTAGTCCAAGCTGTCCATATCGATGCCGCGGCCATCAGGCGCAAACTACTGTAGTCCGACCGAGGAGGACCACAGGACTCGGACGGTATCAGGTGGCGCTGACCCGGCAGTCGCAAGCAGCGTGGGCGTAAGGAGCTTTGTGAAGAGGAAGGTACCGACGCAGTTCACGCCCGGGGCGAGCTTATGCCTGCACTGTCTTGAGCGGGGAGTTAGCCGGCCCGGTCATGACACCTGCGTCATTGAAGAGGACGTGTAGAATTGATTCCTGGGCGAGAAATCTCTGCGCTGCCGCGGTCACCTCTGTCAGGTCGGCGAGGTCGAGAGAAAGGAAGACTAGCTGGCCACTCGACTTGGGCACAGCTTTCCTGATGCTTGTAATGGAATTTTTTGCCTTCTCTTCGGGACTGCAAGCTAGGTAGACCTTGGAGTTCTTGGCATAGAGGATCCGGGCTAGCTTTTGGCCTATACCACAATTGGCACAAGACCTTGCCATGGAGGCCGGCAGGCACGTCTTTCTCGATGAATTTGGGTTTCGGCGGGAAGAACTGACTTTAGGCACTCTTGAAAGGGAGGTTCGACGCCATGGCGGGATAGCAGCGAGCACTATGAGGGGAGTCTGGATTTGAAAAGGCCGAGGAAGATGTGCTGTGCTAGTGAAGTGATCTGGATGTGAGCAGGTTTGAAGCAAATGGGAGGTTTCTTTGCTTTATGAAAGGCGGTACTGGGGGAACGAAGACAAATGGATAACAGCATGCCAATATCCTGTTACCGTTCGGCATATAAAAGTAGCTTCGGAAAGTCGAATAGGGTCCCAATAAATGCCACTGGAGAAATCATAGGGGGCTCGCTCCACCTTCACTGCCATCCAAGCGAGCCAATCAAACAACAGATTATCCGCCAGCGGGTCCTCCTACCACCATATGATTGACTCTATGGCAGCAGTCATCCCAATTCTACTCCCAGCCAGCCAGGAAATTCAACTAATTAAGCCATGAGACGATGTTTGCACTCCCAGTTCACCGCATTAGCACTAGTTGATGCAAAATGGATACAGTCGGTCCGACCCAAACACAACAAAAAAAAATAAAAACCACCACAATACCAATTAATATAAATCGTATTAATTGAAACTATACTATATATGCTAGGAATCAATTCTATAGTCTCAAAATTATAATATCTTTATTATTAAGGGAGTTATAATATATGTAATTAAGCGAGTAAATATTTTTGCGCTTTGTATGGTCATTTTTTTACTTTGGCTGTCACGTGACTGCCCCTCTAAGTTGACCGCTCTTCCATAATTATATTAATATCTCAACAACCACAAACCCAATCAAGTGCCCTTTTCGAATACTTCCTTCCAATGGCTACCTCTATAAGCCTTCGGAAGCGCAAGCGAGCTGATTCAACTCTTGATTCAATTACAGTTCTCACCATAGCTAAAGAAGCTACAATCCAAGCGACTATCGACAAACGGCATGGGAAACCCTCTAATATAGAGGATGATTCTGATAATTCAGATATCGAACCAAGTAATGAAGTAGAGCTTAAAGATTCGATACTCTTTTGGGTTCAGCGGAAGCTTTTTACTAGTGTAATGAATAATTATTTTGGAGAAGCCTATAGTTACACAGCGAGATCAACCCAATTGAGATGTATTGGGGGTATAGCAAAACTCGATATCGTCAAGTAAAGAAGACTAGCTTCCCAGATACCAAAGCTAAGGTGGTAGAGGCACTTGAAGCTTGTTCAATTGAAACCATACGGAGGTTCTGTAATCGTATGTTCCGCTGGATGGATGCGTACCGGAAGGGATTAAGTATTAAACAAGCTGCTTGGTGCGTAAAGAAGCAAAAACGCCATAGAACGATATCTAAAAAGGTAATGGACGAATGGGATAATATGCAAAAGGAAGGGAAAGAAGGTAGCTAAATAAGAAGCTAGGTTTATGGATTTAGTTCAGCTAAAAGTGAGCTTGAAACCTATTTAATTATAGCCCCACCATATATATAATATATATGGCACTAGAAAAAGCTATATTTAGTACTTAGGAAGGTTCATTTAAGCTTATAGGGCTTAATTATTATTATTTTATTAATAATAAGGCTAGTGAGATGCCGCGATCTCTCCCTAAAGTCCGGGCTCACGTGACCTTAGCGAGCAAATATATTTGCGTTTTGTATGACGAAAAATCAAAAAAGTAAAAAGGGTCCGTGCACTTTAGGCCTTAATTATTAATGAACCACAAATTATATCAAAAATCTGATTAATAGGTATTTTTCGCCTGGTTCTATTCTATAATCGCATCACTTAGTATAAATTAATGAAGGTTGTGGTTGAAAAGTTATTATGGGCGTAAAAGAGCGAGCGTTTTGTCGTGTTTGGGTCGGACCGACTGTAGCATAAGGCTTGACGCATCAAACTTATCCCAAGAGTGTCAGAAAATCCCAGAGCTCCCAAGCATGTTGTTCTTACTCTCTTTAGACTTGCACGAGATACTACTGTTGAGACTCTTAGGTATTGAAGGCGTGACAGATCAACGGAGTGCTCCGAGCATCAGTGAGGGGCTAATTATTCACTTTGCCCACGATCTATATCGAACGTTCCAACCGTAAAATGTAGATCTCTACGGCTTTGCAAAGAGATGATTTCGCACGAATGATCTCTTGGAGAGTTATTTTCCATAATTGATGCTATCGAGGCCATCTCTAAAGGGTGAAGAAGTCCTCGCGGTGGTGAGCTCCGGCGTGCGCTTCGGCAGCCTCAAGTGACGAATCAAAGCTCGAATTCCATGCGCGCCGCGAAGCGGCCGATGCGGACGCTTGTTACTAATGCCCCCTTTGCAATTGTGGAACCGCTTGTAGTCCCTATGGAGGGAAATTGGCTCGAGAATGGCACAGTTACAGGAAATTCAACGCGAACAGATATTCCAAATGGATTGAATTTGTAAGAAACGTGCTGTACCCCCGAACCGAGGTTTATAAGTCACCTCCAGACGAAGGTGAGCTCCTCACTTGTGAGAAAAACATATAACGCGACGAAAACCGCTTGATGATTTAGTCCCACTGGGTACAACCTCCATCTCCTTTAAAAAATCACTCTCAATTCTCTCCATCACCCACTCTCATCTTATCCAAAACAAACTACCAAATGTCCATGGATCTCGACTCAGTCGATCTCAACCTCTCTACGGGTATCACTCAACACCATGAGCCATACCCCTTCATTGCAGCTCTCAACAAGCCCACCTCCCTCACCGGGCGCATCGCCCTCGTGACCGGCGCCAGTCGAGGAATCGGACGCAACACCGCTTTGGCCTTCGCAGCAGCTGGAGCTTCCGTCGCTGTCCTGGCCCGCACAGCCGCCGATCTGGCGACCCTCGCCTCCGAGATCAAGGAGAAATACGGGACTCCCGTTCTCGCTATCACCGGCGACGTTCTCGCTGACCCAGGATCTATCGTCTGCCATGTTGAGGAAAAGTTGGGGAAGATTGATATATTAGTTAATAACGCAGGCATCTACCGCATGTCCCACTTTCCCCAGGAGAAAGACATTTCCGCCTACTGGCGAGTCTTCGAAGTCAACGTCAAGGGTCCCCTCTCCTTACTCCACGCCGTCCTCCCCGGTTTCCAAAAACGGGGGAAAGGGACAGTGATAACGGTCGGGAGCTCAGCTGCTGATTTACCGCTCCCATTTTAGAGCAGTTATGATGCGAGTAAGGCGGCAGTGCAAAAAGGGATTCAGATTCTGGACATGGAATTGAGAGAGCTGGGGGTGCTGAATTTCTTGATTCAGCCGGGGACGATGGCGACGTATTTGGGGAAGGGCGCGGTGATCGGGGAGGAGTTTGAGGTGTTGTTGAGTGGGTATGCAAAGGTGGGTCTTCGTCCCCTTTCTGTTATCCCCTTTTGCTTTATGGAGTGGCTGCTGATGAGCGGAACAGTATATGATTGATAGCATCGACCTCCCGGCTCAGAGTATGGTTGCACTTGCTGTCCTTGCTGGGAATGAGAAGGATAAGGGTGGTGATGAGAGGGTAAAGAGGTTGAGCGGAAGGTACTGGGATGTGTCGGACGACTTGGAGCAGATCTTGGAGAAGAGTGCGGAGATTGCAGAGAGGGATTTATATCACTTGAGGATCCGGAAGTTGTAGGAGCCAACAGCTGAAATCGAAGGCAGATAAAAGCAGGGTAGAGATGAAAGCAAGGAACGGATGATGGCATAAATTTGATGAAACCTGACTCCAGGTTACATCAAAACATTGAAATATTTCATTCATCCTCAAGCATGTAATCTCTCTGAGCTCGGCTGTGTCGGCTGTGGCCATAGCCATAAATGTGTTAGATTCTATATGACTCCCTTCATCACGCAATACCTAATGATGAAATCTCTCCTTGTTCTTGTATTGGTAAGCCATTGACCTTGTACGATGCTTTCCACCGTAACTTGACCGTATCTCCTTTCCCTTGCTCGACACCTGTCAGGTGACCGATCTGCTTCACGCCAGCTTGTTCATGAGGCTGTAGCCTTCGTCCACTCTGTGGTTGTAGTTTCAATGCGTATTTCTACAAGCCAGGTCAGCGAGGTGCTCAAAGGAAAGTGGAAACGAGCTTACCTTGGTCACTGCAACCGCGAATTCTAAGTCGGATATTGGTTGATCTGTTTTACCTGAGAAGGATAAGGACAGTGTGATCACAGCTGGGGTTGTCGGTTCACGGGTCGCATGAAGCGAGATGCCTAGAGCTGTTTCGCTGACTGAAATTGTGTTTTCAGATGGGAGGCCTTCTGGTAACGCGGACGAAAAAGCCCATTCGTCGTCATCCGCAGCTGCGGCCGGGGCTGATTGGCGATTGCCGAAATCAAAAATAGAGTGTGTAGGTTGTGCTTGCTGCGGTGTAGATTGTCGTACAGGCGAAGCTAAAGCTGCGAAGGGATCTAGTGCCGGGGCGTGCTGTTGCTGCTTTGCAAGGGTCGCTTGCTGCTGGGCCTGCTGCTGCTGGAATAAGGAAGGCTGAGGGGTCGTTGACTGTGGAGCTGGAGTGCCAAAGGCAGAAAAAGGAGAGTAGTTAGGTTTAGGTTGGGTGGGAGCTTGTGGTGGGGCTGGTGATCGAGTAGGCGTGGGCCCTCTCGCGGTGCTGTGCTCTGTTGTGGATGAAATCAGAGCAGGGCCAGGTAGGTCTGCCAATGTTAGTATCACCGCAAGGCATACTTCGTCTCGGGAGCGCTCACTCGTATTGTTCCCAAATCCGAGAGTAATTCCACCTCCTTGTCCGTAGCTGCTATCAGACATGGAAAGACCTAATAGGTCGTCTTCTAATCCTCCAGGCTGACTTCCAGTTGGGGCCGCAGAACTGCTTCCATTGGTCTCCGCATCGGCGTCAAAGTCGATTAAGGAGAGCTCGTTCGCTGCATTCTTCCCCACCCCAGTGCTCGTACCTAGTGTCCCCTTTGCGATCCTGGATGCAGCATCCACATCTCCCTTCTTCATTAGCTTATACCTCTCCACCGTTCGATGTATGCTGTCATTGATCTCCAATAACTTTGCCACAGCTTCATGATCATCAGATTCCTCTTCGCACATCTTCTGGATCTTTGGGTGTGCGCTCTGAAGTGCTGAGGCGAGCTCCTCGTAGACGTCTCCCTCGACCATGACATCGCCTGGCTTGAAGGCTTCTAGTCGCTCTTCCAGTAATCTCGCTTTTTGTTGAACCTTTCCGACTTCCTCTGCCGCTTTTGCTCTGTAATCCGTCTTCGTCCGGGTATCATATCCTGCCATGATTTTCATCAATCTATTCGCTTCTTGTAGGTCTTCTGGTCCGCCACGTCGAATTAATTCTTGGAGTTTCGCAGATTGCGCCGCCCGTTCTTCCTCTTCCATTTCTTCCGCAGATTTTAGATTCTGTAATAGTGTTAGCAATATTCCAGGCTTGAAGCATTGGTCGACTGACATCACTGGGGTTCAAGACCGCAGCATCCTCCCTCCTAACCTCCGGAAACACGTAGCCCTTGTAACTGAGCAGCCTGTGCATATCCCGTATGAATCCCAGATCCTCCTTGTACCTAGAGGTCTGACATATTGTGCCCCTCCATTCTTCAATCGCTTCCAGTATCTTCATTTGCACTCTCGTCGGTCTGATCGGGGGCCTCTCAGGGAACCTCCTCACGAGCTCATTAAGGAATTCCTTGGTACTGATCTGAAGGTGAAACGGGTATCCGCAGTTCTTGACGCAAATATCGAGCAAGTTGAGAGCCAGCAAGGAGATGTTCGGGTTCCTATGATTGATGTAATTGACGATAGCTACCGCTGCCTCCCGCGGTGCATTTCCTTTCTTCGAGTTGATTAGGTCTGCGATCTCGAGGTTCATCGCCAGGTTGGGCTCGGGGTTTTCGTGGCTGCAGGCCTGCTGGATGTATCGCTGGAGAGTTGAGGGGCCTGGATCACCCATGGCGCCGAAGCGGTCTCTGGCCGCCATCCTCGCAGATGTTGCCTCCATGAAGGGGCTGGGGGGTATTTTTAATTTTACCAGCGACGAGTAGGACGGATGCGATGTAAACAGGTTGCTTGTTGCGCAAGGCAAGCTGTGAGGTGGTGAGGCGCAAGTTGGTGGGGGATTCAAACACGAATCGGTGCCTTGGCTGATGCTGATTCGAAGCGAGCCGCCTCATTTTTGAGGGGCTAACATTTTTTTGTGAACAAACGACTCTCCTCCCTATTGCAACCTCCCTACACAAGCACAGAGCTCTTCAACATGGTTCGGCACAAGAAAGACAACTTCTCCTCCAGAGGGAAGAAATACAACAATGCGCCGCGAGCCAGAGGCCCACGAAACGACGACGAAGATGGAGATCACCCCGCATCTCGCCCCTCCTTTAAGGCAGCATGCTGGGATTTGGGCCACTGCGACCCAAAGCGATGTTCAGGGAAGAAGCTAATGAAACTTGGACTTATGCGGGAGCTTCACGTTGGACAGAAACACTCGGGCGTCATCATCAGCCCGAATGCAAAACAAACAATTTCTCCTGCGGATCGAGAGCTGATGGAGCAATATGGAGCTGCGGTGGTGGAGTGTTCGTGGGCTAGGGTGAAGGAAGTTCCGTGGCCGAAGATTGGCGGGAAGTGTGAGAGACTATTGCCGTATCTGGTTGCTGCGAATAGTGTCAATTATGGGAAGCCGTGGCGACTAAACTGCGTGGAAGCATTGGGAGCGGCGTTCTACATCTGCGGACATCCAGAATGGGCCGAGGAGGTACTGTCACATTTCTCATATGGAGAGGCATTCTTGGAGATCAATTCGTCAATCTTAAAGAGATACGCGGCGTGCAAGGATGAAGAGGATATCAAGAAGACAGAGGAGGCTTGGATGGCCAGATTGGAGAGGGAATACTCGGACAGCAGAGCGGATGGTGAGAACGGACCTGAGACGGATATGTGGAAAGGTGGAAATTCGAATCACCGAGCGGCGGTCAGTTCAGACGAGGAAGACGAAGACGAAGATCGTAAAGGGGAGGGAAGTGGGGATGAGATGGGCGGAATGTACCTGGGCACGAAACCACCAAAGCCAGCTGAAGAGGAACCAGAGGAAGATAAGGATCCGTTTGATATCTCTGACGACGAAGATGATGAGGAAGAAATGGCCGAATTACGACGAAGAGTCCTCGCCTCGAAGCCCTTCTCGAACCCAACAGCGTTCGAAGAGAAGAAACCCCCGGAAAAAGTGTCTCGGCCGGTGCCACTGAAGGAAGATTCAGATGTCGAGGCAGACTCGGACAATGGAGATGATGACGAGTTTGATAATATCATCAATGCTACTCCAGTCACCGACAGAATAGGCATTCAAGCGAAGCAGAAAGCAAAGGCAGAGCCTCTTGCCAGCGCAGTATTCTCCAGAGCAGTTGTTGGGGCGCCTAAAAAGTGGTAGCATGGCAACTTAATAAGCAAACACACTTCCCAAACCCTCAAGATTCACAAGCTATACGACTTCAAATGTTTCTTCTCTGGTTGCTCCCAAGTTGAGATGTCAATCTTCATGAACCGTAACTTAGAAAAGTGACGGTCCGTACACACCGCCCATATCCGTTGGTCATGTTCTTATCCCCAGATTTCATCAGGGTAGTCCGTGTGGTGTCAGAAGTCAAGACTTCCTGACCACAACCTTCACTCCACCCCCGCATTATTAAAGAGCTCCTTCACCTTGGCAGGATACAGCCACTCGAGGCCCGATTTACGTCGTTCAATCAAGTCTACTTCCCTAACATCCCGCGGAATAATTTCACCCCAGCGTGGCCGGTCCCCCCCCCCCCCCAAACAGAGTTACCTTTGATAGTCGAAGAAGATTCTCATTCTTACTGCGACCTAACGCAAGAATCCAGGCGTAGCTTTGGGGCGGGGTTCCCTGCCATTTCCGTACCACCAGAATCGAATATGATGGATCGTTGAAAATTAGTTCTTGCTTTCAGCTCCGACATCGAAAGAGGTGGCAACCCGTGAAATCCTCCAAAGAGCAGGGCAATTTCCGGACCAGATCCATACGATTCGAGTGGTATTTCTATCAATACTCATAGCAAAGACTATCTTCTCATGCGTAATCAATGTCTTCAAGGAGCTGAAAGCAGTGAAATCCATCTGCTAGACTGCTACCTCTTGCTGCAATTCGTCGTATCAATCATTGAGAGGTGTAACTCAGGAAGCTGTGTCTGCACCTCTCTAGGGTATCGTAGAAGAACTTTGGTATCCACGGCCTCTTATGTCAATCTGTTTGAACTACCCAAACTAACGACTTCAAGTAAGGATGGCTCTTCAACAATTATATGGCATACCTACCCATGGGTAACAATACTTACCAGAACCCGAGCGTGGTAAGCCATTCCAACTTATCTTCTTCGTTTCTACCACGGACATCGCAGTTTACTACCAGCATGAAATGTTATCTGCATGTAACTCCTGAAAGATAGTGTTCAAGTTCACATTGTGTGCGCGGAACTCTCTTGCACAATACAGGACGGAGAGACTGACCGTCAAATCTCCCAAGTCAGTGACCGCAAGTTGAGGTGCGATTCTAGGAGGTTGAATGCGAAGGGCTTGATAGGCAAAGGGGCATTCCAGAACTCAGTGGTCGAGAGTATAGACGGTGGATGGTGGGGGCGTGTTCGTCCAACTCTCTCTGGGAAAGAAACACCTATGACACGCAAGAATGTGAGGTTAGGCAGGTCATAGAGTTTGACTATATTGTCTATCCAAATACCGGACAAGTGAACTTCCAAGGTCTGGCAAGACAGAGTAAGTCGCTGTTTGATTGATGGTGAGAAGAGAGGATGTTGGTTTCCGACCAGCTCTGGTGGTTGCCGCGGTTTATGTTCGAGTTTGAGAAGGTCTTAGTTGGAGAATCGGCCAACGTGGTAGAAGATCGTGTTCCATGAGAATTGATTTGCAACTCTCGAGGCAGAGGCTCGCTCGCCGTCTGCAACTTTAGAGCCGTTAAAATCGCGCTGAGCCTAACCGTGCCAACGAGAGCTGACATTCGAGCGAGCACACCATTGTTGCTCGACACCCAGGTATCAAAGATACGCAGGAATCAAAATTTCGTGTATTTAGGAACTCGGGTTTGATTTTGGCAGTGTAGCTTCAGCTTCTGACTCGCAGTGCGGAAAGGGCTTGCCGAAATTCAAGAAGTGGATCATCTTAGAAGTTAGCACACTTGTTGTTTTCAAAGGTGGGGTATCAGACAGCGTCCAATGCAAAACACAAAATCATTATTGAGAAAGAAAACCAAGCATGGTGCGTGGTAAGTAGGTTATGCTATGCTTACACATTCTCTTCCCATCAATCTTGTGGTGGGAGTCTAGGGTGTAAAGATAACGGACTTTACTGCGGTTGAAAGTAAGTCGTTGTTGTTACGGCGGGTCCTCCGAAGATAGTGGCGATAAGCCATGAACTCCTCATCTTTGAGTCTTACATTATTCTTCTGGTCTGGTTCCTTAAACCTTCATCTCTGAGAGTGGTGTCACTTTTATATCAACCCTTACACTTGCGTCCCTTCGAAACCCTGCCTCGAAGATGGATCCAAGCGAGTTGAATTCTCCTCCTGTAGTAGCGAGCCCAGAAGACGAGCAGTTCTCCCCAACCAATGCATCGAGATCGACAAAACCAGCACGGAGGTCTCGTGTTGCTCTTGCATGCCAAAGATGCAAACAACGAAAGCAAAAGGTATGTTTACCCCACTAAAATTATCCATGGCCACTTCTCTGACCCTCGGCGCAGTGCAACGGCAGTCAGCCTACCTGTGCCAGATACATGAGGCTCGACCTTGAATGCCATTATGTAATGCCAACCACGCCAAAGCCTGGTCAAGCTCGGACTTATATCAAAGCTCTTGAGGACAGGGTTGCAGAGCTAGAGATGCTGCTCACTCAGAATGGGAACATTGCTGTCTCTCATGATCACTGGAACGAGGGGCCAGAGGAATTGGAGAGCGACGAGCAAGAAGACATCGAACCACTTCTCAATGCTGTCCGAGATTTATCTTTGGATGTTGCGGGGTCGTATGTTGGCGGAGCATCAACGATCACTCTAGGACGCGCTTTGGGGACCGCGTTGGCGGGCAAGTTGCAGTTTGTCGTCCCTGAAATAGGTGCCCAGAGGGAGAATGCCAGACCACTGCGTACGAGTTCAATCGCAAGTGAGGTAAGCTCACTACCAAGTGGCAACGGCTTTCACATCAGTCAAGTTCATGATGATGCTGCGGAAAGGATGGTCAAGGGCTATCTGGGCCATCTTTGCACAAATTTTCCTATTATGTACTCATATTCCATCGTGGAACTCAACAACAGGCGGCATAATTTGAAGGACATCTACGAAGAGAGCATCTTGAACTTAATGTATGGGCTGGGTGGACATTTCCTTGAAAAGGTACGTGAGCTTGTTTTCCCGCTTCTTCTATTGCCAAGCTTCCTCGTTGGAAGAGTCGCCTCTTTGTTCTGATTTTCACACTTGCTCGTCCAAAATTTGAAATGATTGCTGAGTATATTCCAGACAGGAGACCCAACAGGTGTATATTTCCCCGAGAAACATTATGAGGCCGCGTTCGATAACCGAGAGGTTATCTTACGATTCGGAGACACTCGTTCACTCACCTATCTAATGCTACTTGTCCAACACTGTCTACGAATGCCAAAAGATCCAGGACCCTGGTAAGATCTTTCTAATACTGCAAGGGGGACTACTCTCCGAGTTTTAAAATGATGCTAACATAAATGCAAGGACATTTATAGGTCTGGCAATGAGAATGTGCATTGAACTTGGATTGCATAGACAGAAGCGATCTTCAAAGGTGTCATTGAGATCAGAACTTAACAAACGTCTTTTCTGGTGCTGTTACTGGTGGGATCGCGAGATAACCATCGCACTTGGCAGGCCACCTTCTATATCTGACCATGACATTGACGTCGAGGTACGCTGACTTTCCTTGAAATAGCTAGCTCCCACTTAATGATTCAAATTAGCTGCCATCAGACATCGATGAAGCGAATCAAGACGTGGAAGTATTGAGAAGGGCTGCGAACGTCGATAAATCTGCCCCAGCATATCCACAAACCACAATGTCGACCTTCATCCATATCCTACGGCTCAAGAAAATCGAATCAGACATCCAACATATCATCTACAGAGTGGATCGTCCCAGCGCTTCTAAATCTATTCACCAATCGACAGACTTGTTCCTCGAGAGACTTTATGCCTGGAGAGATGCCATTCCGCCACAGAGTAAGCAATGGGGCCCTGCAGATCGGAATAAATTTCGAGGTGACGAGTACATGAGTTATGATTCTTATGTGAGTTACAAACACTCATTTTGAATCGAGTTCAAATTTACTCATAGACACATTTGCAGATGGCTTCATATCACAAGAGCGTTCGAGTTCTACTCCAACCTCGCCTCTACGAGCAGAACATCGACCAACGATACTTGGATCTCTGCGCAGAAGCCTATCGTGGAGTATGCCAGACATACAAAAGATTGCATCAGAGAATACCACTCGCGTTTACTTCGGTATCTCTGCAATCGGTGTTTCTTGCAGGCCTTACGCTCGTCTACTGTATGTGGCATGATCACAGTCATAATGGCTTCAAGAACTTTGGCGCCTTGACCGACTGCAGCATAATTCTCTATGTCATGGCCGAACGCTGGCCCGCTGGACGCAAATATCGTGATTTATTTGAGTCTGTTAAGAAGTCAGTTCTGGATGTAATTTCAGAAGAGAAGCATGTCCCGAGAATGGCGGTGGTGAATATGAAGGATGAGATGCAGACTAGTCTGCATGGATTGCAAACTAACCCGTCGACTGAGATGGAGACGGTACATGACGATTTGGACCAGATGATTAGTGATATGACTGGGGAGCAACTGTTTTCTTGGGAAGATAATGAGATTGATATGATTATGGGAGTTGAAGATGGGAATGGAATGGGCTTCGCTGGCCCGGTAGATATGTTTGATGATATGCTTGAGAATGTCGACCCGGGATGGGAGAACACTATTTAGGTCTGTAGGAATTAATTCGTGTGCTTAGACTAACTCCTATGGTTTCGTTATGTGGAGAAATTGTAACCTTCGCTTAGGGAAACCCAATCCTCAAAGCTCTCTTGTTATAAAGCGAGACCCTCAGAGTTTTCCCTCTTCTGTTATCACCTAATACTCACCTACAGATGAATTTACAAAGTTCAGAGTCGGTGTAGGATGGAAATCCCCAGACTCCCATCAACCACCGGTCACATTTTGAACTTGATAATGTCTATGCTTCATCGTTTAGGTCTGATTCCAACTACTAAGGGAGCTTCTCAACGAATCGGATGTGTAGCCCACTCTATTGCGGACCCAGAACCAAGTCTCTAGTAACTCTCTGTAAAATAGACCCGAACTCTCGGGTTGTGCTGGGACATCCTTATCATCCCACTCTTCTTATCTCGGTGTGAACTAACTCCCTTGAATTTAATATGGGTTCCACGTTTCCTCCATATAATTATTTAGCGGCAAGTCCCTGCCGATTTGCAGCGCAGTTTCGGATCAAGGGCCCGCCCCGGCCTTGCGCCTCCCATGCGGATTACAGACTTGAAGTTCGACTTGAAGAGTCTTGGCAATGAAAACGGGCTGCTCCTGGGAGCTGCAAGATATGGCTAAGATATGCATGAGCTTCGAAATTATTAAGAATGAACACTAGATTTCCAATATGATATAAAATCCAGCCTAGCGGTCCTACTGCATAGCTCATTACGCCCCCACTATATAGCCTTTGAGTTTTTGAGTGCCATAACTCATCTTGCACGAAGGAACTATGTCTAAATACCTGAAGTGGGCAGGGTTGCCCGCACGAACTGATATTCATCAGGGTAAAGGAATAACTGAATAGGGAGACCACGATTTGTACCCCATCCTCGAGAAGGAACTTACATACGGGCGTGGAGCTGTCATCCTTTACTGGACGACTTACGGTATCGGTCTCCCAACATGGCTATAGGAAGCTCGTATATCTCTGTTTGGTTAGCCGCTTGCGAGGTTGTTGGCGCGGTGTTGCTTGGAACTATCATTTCTAGTAGCAATGCAATCCTCTGGTGGGAGATTAGGAGGCGAGAAGCACTTGGTATATGTGAGCAACGAATCGAGACAGGTTGATTTGTTTAGCTAACCGTAGACAGACAATGACGGTCGGGGCTTTGTTCGGGTTGAGAGGCATATATTTGCCATTGTTCTTTCAAGTGCTGGGAAATATCATCTTTGTAAGCCTCCCACCATGTTCAAATGATTTCTGAATATTGCTCACTCTTGGATACAGTTCGGACTTCAGGCAACTTATGGCGGCCAAGCTATTTCTCTTATGCTTGGCGCAATTTCTCCATTCTACAATAGTCTTGCCAACACTTTATCTGCCAGGTAGCCCTCGTTTTCTTCTGATTTTACCCGAAGAACAAATGGAAAAGAAATATGGTGAGTACTGACATTATTTAGTGCTGGTACAACCACTAAGGGCATGATCGGATTCCTCCCCTATATTATCACATATCTGCATATAATTGTCTTCATCAAACCCCGCAAGCTCGAAAAATTCATGTAGCTTATTTTCATTGGAGTTGTTAGTACAGTGTTCGGCATCATGGCGTGGGCGGTTCATAGCAATGGCGAGTTTTGCTGGCGATCTTGCGCACCCAGATATCACCTTTAGTTCCAGCGCACACGGCTTCAGATTCGTGCAATATATCGGCACTGTGGCTGGAACATATGGTGGTGCGGCAGATCGAATTTCTGATGTAAGCATATTCCTCTCTGTTTAACTACACTCTACTGCTTGCCAATTTCGTTTCCTCTGTGCTACTGATACTAATTATTCGTAATGGACGTGATTCTCGAAGAAGAACTCACACATTATCGGTTCCACAACAACCATACCAACCGTGATCACAATATGTGCCCTCCTGGGCGTCCTCACAGCAAGTGCGACTCGAGCAACTTACGGAACAGCAATGTGGCTAACCCTCACTATCCTCACTTACGTCCAAACCTCGGACTACTCTGCCGGATACCGAGCCGCAACGTTTTTAGCAGGGCTAACAATTTATTAGCATCAAGTATTAGTAACGTAACTCAGAATAACGTTGGCCCGGGGATGGGTCTTGCTGGTGTAATGCCGCATATATTAGCTTCATGAGAGGTTCTGTAATAATGTGTCTTTTGGGATCAATTCCTTAACCATGGAGGTTCTTGACCCAAGCCTCTGTATTTCTCTCCGTCATTTCAAGTTTCAGGGATAAGTTCCACTCCGTCCCATGCCATCATACATTGTGGCTGGCGTGTTTCTCTTAGTCTTTACTTCTGTGAAAACAGAAATTCTTGTTTTCGATTACTGGATTATCCGAAAGAGGAAGTGGGTGGTGCCTGACCTCTTCATTGGGGGCCGCGGACATATCTATTGGTATTTCCGCGGCATCAACCCCCGAGAGTGGTTCGCTTATATTGTCACTACGATTCCGTCTTGCGTAAGCTACCACTCCTTCACTTTGCCGTTGCGCCCAATTACTAATATTTTACCCAAGTGGGCCAAGTCGGACTCTTTGAAAGTCCTATAGGAAAGACGACCGGCGCCGCTGTCATAATTTACCGGGTTCCCTACATCTTCGGTTTTGTCCTCGGAGCAATTCTGTTTATTGGCACCAATCACTTCTACCCTCTATCAGGGCTCGGTATAGACTTAACATTTGAGGTAGATGTGCTCGAAGGTGTTGAAGCCGTGGTTCCTTCAAGTGATGGAAGTGAAAGGTCGACGAAAGAGGCATTTGCGATGCTGAAGCAGAGCAGTGATAAGACTGCATAAAAGCTTAAGAGTATCGATGAAATTAATGGTTGTAAAGTATGGTATCAAAAGGGTTTTAAGTTTATTTGAAGAGAAATGTAGGACCTCTGCGGTTTAAATTCCGACTTTGATGGTAAATGTGTGCAACCCCTGAATGGGGTCGCTAAGACTACTCTAACCCCCTGAAAATTAAGCGAGTCCACCCCTATTTTGCCCCGATGACCTCGCGACTCCCTTAAATCCTAACGTCGAAATTTTGGAACTGTCTCTACGCTTTCTGAGGATATCAGCTGGAATTATGACAGCGACAGAAGGATTTCTCTGGCTTCAAATTACCTGACCAAGCGGAATGCGCACTCCACACGGCAGCAGACAGCCGGACTTCTCTCACCCTTGAGTGCACGAGTCATGGCACGAGAATAAAGACCACATATTTGGCAAATCTAGTTGATAAAACTTAATAACAAGGAGATTTGAGAAGAAATATACCAACTCGGATTAATTGGAGATGATCACGGCTGCGGCGGTGGAGTGCGATATTAGATGGCTTTCTCAAGGAAAGCTGTATTGACAGTTTAGAGAAGACGGAATGGCAGAGGAACAGCTTCGAATTCACAAATTTCCTCATGTTGCTACTTTGAGTTCGGTTGACGATCCTTCAACTAATCGAACCCCTGTGCCTGCCTTTTTTGTCTCTGTCTCTTTTGGTGCGTTCCACCTTACCTTTGCACCCGGATGTGTTGCCTTCAGCAGACTCTCGCCAGGAGCACTCTGAACATTCTCTCTCAAAGTGCCTCCTGGGGCTGGATAATCATTCCAGTAGATGCCTCTTTTCTGTAGTTCAGGAACAAGCAAATTCGTAACTTCCTCGAAGCTTTCGAGATTTGAGATATCTAGTCAAGCCAGACTTGCACATATCAGAGCATTTTTAGATGGATGCTCACAGTTGACGTTAAATCTATCAATATCTGCCTCCTTTCACCACTTCTCAAAGAAATTGGCCACCATCTCCGGTGTTCCGATCGGTCTTGGTCCAGCACCTCCCAACACAAACAACTCAGCCATCATCCTCGGCGTAAGAACTTCCTCATTGGCAATTTCTTTGATATTATCAATGACACCCTGGATACTATTCTCATAATGGTCTCCTTTGAAATCAATGGGCTCGTCCAAGGGACATCCACTGAGATCCACAGCTGTGAACCCACAAAACCTTGCCAGACCTCCATTGACACTACCTGTACAAGCAGCGTCAAAGAAGTTCAACTGCATCATTTTCTTGGGAGTGGTCGCCATCTTGACATCCTTATGCAATGCCGGGTAATAACTGAAAAAGTCAGTAGCGGAATCGGACGCGAAACTTGCTTGAAATTATCCCCTAAAGTGATATAATTTTCAAAGCATTGTAACCGTTGTGTTGCAGAAGTGTTCTCCGGGTGGTAGTTAATACTGAGCCGGCAAAGTTTCGCCGCTTCGGTAGCAGGAGCCGATTCGCGAATATCGTGGTCCCGACAGAACGCAAGTACTTGAAGAAAGCGATTTCGAGAACAATTTCCGGATTCTTCAAACCTATGCAAGGTTGTACGCCCGTTAAAGAATCATCTCTTCCCTCTTGCTCTCTTCTCGGTCATGAGCAATCACTTATGAGACAGACTCAACCCATAATAATTTCTCGCGTGGGACGAGGACGCGTACTTACTCGGTATGATATCCGTTGAAAGTTTCTCCTCCACCTGAACCGGGATAATGTTCCTCAATTGTCATTCTGTCTCGTCTAGAAGTTAAAATACTTCTCCGTCCATAATCCCATGAACATATGAATCCCCAAGAATTGTGTACCACCGTTTCGAGAGCAGCTCTCTTCATCTATAATCTCCATAGACAGGAATTAGTTACACATCTCTTATTTACTCTAGTCTAAAATACTTACTAAGGATATTTAGCTGCAAGGAGGAAGAATAAAAGGTTATTAATATATTATAGTTAAGGGACAATTACGAAAAGAGGGGGGGGTCTATAGTAGGGGTCTTTACTCCTAGATCTCACACGTGGCTTAGTCACGTGCTAGACTCCTTAGGCTCTCAGGTGTTGAAATTAGGGGCCTGAGGCCCCCAATAGGCTTAGTAAGCCCTGGAACCGAACGCCATGGGGCTGTGCACTAGCTTAATACCCTGTCCAGCTGGAATACCCTGTATAGCTGGAATACCCTGTACGGCTGGAATACCCTGTATAGCTGTAATCGGTTCAGCTGGCATAGGGATTTAGTACATGTGACTTAGGGGGTTCAGGGCTATATATACGGGCTACTTACCACTGTAGAACAGCAGTCAATTCAGTATCGTTTACTTGGTTTACATTGCAAGCACGTGACCCTAGCTTTATTATTTAGCTAGTTCAACATCAGGCCTTCCTACATTAGCTTAGCTGTCTGTATTCTTAAGATGTCACATCGCACGTGCGATTAGCTTTAGCAGCTTACACTTCGCACAAAGCTCTTATTATTACTCGTTCGACTAATTCTTCCTTATATAAGACTGGCCCTCTTACTTATTTAGCGCCCACGCCTCTCTTTACCCTCCCACGCAAGCCTACGCCTATACATGGTCCGAGATCCTTATAATAACTACGTCCCATCACACTATAACCTCTTCGATTTTGCGCGGCCCTTCTCAGCCGAAGAAAATGGAGGACTTTGAATACAGCCGATTATCACTTGCAGAGAATGAAATCCGCCTCATCACATTGCTCCCAGGTCGAAAGACCGACCAAATCAAGTGCGAAATTGTCAGTAGGGCGCTTGAAGAAATCACCGACAACACAGCATATGAAACACTCTCGTATTGCTGGGGTCCGCTGGATGCTACAATGAAAGTTCATATCTACGACGGACCGTTGAGAATGGGATCCGTTTGGGTAAAGCCTAATTTGCATGCCGCCTTGCTTGTTTTCCGTCGCGAAAAAGAGCCCAGGAAAATGTGGATCGATGCTATATGTATTGATCAAATGAGCGACGAGGAAAAGAATATGCAGGTCCCCCTTATGCGTCGGATATACGAAGGGGCAAGTGGCGTTCTGATTTGGCTAGGAGAGGGTTCCAAGGATAGTGATCCTGCAACTTCTCTGATCAGGAAGCTGAACAAAGCCGCAACTATCGCTGGGCCCACCATAACAAACATCAACGTCATGAGTAGCCAAGATCTCACGAAGCTCGGGTTGCCGCCTCTCTCTAGCCGTGATTACTCATCGTTGCTATCGCTCCTCGAGAGCAAATGGTTCTTCCGCGCATGGGTTGTCCAGGAGGTTACGGTTGCGAAGAAAGCGACACTCTTTTGGGGTACATCCAGTACGGAATTGAATGATCTCATATCAGGGATGGATTTTGCACTCAAACTTCACCTGGTCTTTACGATACATCCAATTGCCAACTCTGTTCTCCCTATCGCGGTGGAGGTAACGGCCTACCGCTCGGGAAGGTGTACACTCCTCGGCGTGCTCCTCCGCCATCGTAGGTCCCAAGCTACAAACCCATTGGATAAAGTCTACGCCTTTATAGGATTGACGGAAAATTGTACAGAGCCGCAGGCTAAAATTCAAGTGGACTATAAGCAAGATGTCCGCACCGTCTACATAGATGTCGCGCGGAAGGTTGCTGCGCATGACAAATCCCTAGATATTCTCAGTTTGCCGGCGCTACCACTTGGGTCTGGTATTGACAGCTTGCCTTCCTGGGTGCCAGACTGGAGCACGCCAACAGAAGAAAGTGCCAAGCAACTCCGACACATTGTTGGGGGTGAAACAAATTCACTTGCTAACGGCGAGGAGGCGAACTACAGAATATCGGAACCCTTCTGCGCTACACAAACCACTCTCTACACAGGCGCCCCTCTTTCCTCATATGAGGGAGCTGTTTTGGCAACAAGAGGCCATATAGTTGATACAGTCGCTGCTGCCGGCGACCTCTTCGAGGGGCTCTACATAGCAAAGAATATCAGATCTGTCATGCGTACTGTAAGAGGCATTCTCAGGATGCGACGTACTGTGTCCAGTTGGGAAGACGTTGCAGAGCTCCACACACATGATGGGAATGATAAATATGTGAGCGGCGAGGATACCATGGACGCATTCTGGCAAACGCTAGCTACTGGGAATTTCTCAGAACGCAATAAGGACGAATTGCGCTTAATGTATGGCTACAGGCGTACCCGGACGCACAAAATACGAAGACCCAGTTTGGCACAGGCTTTCTTCGTAGCATCCCTCCTACCTGTCGTATCTCAGATATTTAAACAGCCACGTGCGGATCTCCTGACGCAATCGCGGTACTTGTTGTTCAGGCGGATGATCCGGACAGAGGGGAAGAAGTATCTTGGCTTAGTCTCTGGGGATGTTAGGCGTGGCGACGAGGTCTGGCTGCTTGAAGGATCAAAGATTCCTCTGATTATCAATAGGCAGAGGGAAGGGTATGGGCGACTTATTGGGGACGCATATATCCATGGTATCATGTACGGGGAAGCCTTTAGGATTGACGATTGTGAAGACTTGATACTGGAATGACAAACGGGTCGCATCTTGTTGGATGAGAAGGTCTGGCTGAATACTCCCAAAAGCCCCCAAACCGCGAGATGGATTCCAAAGTTTTTGTGTGAACGGTGAACGAAGTTTCGACGCCTTCTTTGTTGTACTGAGGGATTAAACAGAAACTTACGGTGGTACGTATATCGGCTTGCTTGGCTGGTGGAATGCCGCTCCTTCCTGTGCAGAAATTGGAATAATATTCAATCCCTTTAATTATTACCTTAATGTGCGTTGGTTTCCAAGGGCTAAATCTGCGTATTATAGGCTAGAATACACCTATTGCAACAATCTAAACTGTAGTACTGCGATCAGAAGTACTCTGGCTTGTAGCAGGAAAAAGGCACGTACGCCACCCTGCAGTGTTATAAATAAACGTACTCGCAACTATAGAGCTGCAAGCGCCCCTGCTTTCAGGATTCAAACTTGCCCCCTTCCAGAAACAACACCTCTTTCAGGAAGCACGATCTCACTTTAGAGCAGGAAATAATGCCCCAATCTGCAAAGGGTGGGCGCAGAACGCAGGCTGAGCTCTCCGAGCACACACGTGCTGGCTAAAGAACCGACGGTTTAGTACTGTAATTAGATTGTAGGAAACCCAAAACCTTAGAACCCGGACTCTATTTAGCGGGGAAGGGATTAAGTTTACATAAACTAGAAATCAAATTCCTACAGAGATGGGATTCTTAGCAGGACGACCTAGAAATAGCACGGGCGCTGCGAGTAGCGCAAAACGAAACCCCTCAGAAAACAGAGGTCAAAAACTCAAGTTTTCGAGGTGTTTTGTTCGGTATCAATCGACTCATGAGCAAACTATATTGACCCCACAAACGAATCCAACAAGTTACATACACCCCCGGCAGATCCTTGGGCCTACTAAGAGCCTTCTTTCTCTGTTATAATAAAAACTAATTATTACAAATAAAATTTTGCCTTGCGAATTCCTCCCTCCACCACCTCTCTTTATCTTTCTCAAATAGACCCGCCCCGAATATCTATAATAATAGCATACTACTATTCTCTTCGCATTACTAGGCCGTGTAGTATAGCTATAGTACGAAGAATTATCGTAGTACTCTACTCCTCCTTTTCATCCTCTGTCCTAGAAACATTCTGGTCTAGTGCAGCGAGTAGTATGCTAGCCATGGAAAAGAGGGCGGCAAACTGCCCAAAAGTCCGAACATGAGTCTCCGCACTGGGGTCTTCTATCCACGGAGAAGATGCTACCCAACGGCGAAGGTTTAAGATCCAGAAGGTCCTGTAACTGAAAACGCCAACCGCAAAACACCATACCAACATCAGAAATAACCAAAACATTAACACAGCCCGACTCTTACTGTCAGGGTCAGGGCTAGGATCAGTTTCCTCACGAAACGGTCTCGTCGCACGACGGCCGAAACGGCCGAGCATAATAATGGCCCAGATAATGCAGGTCACTGCCCAAGATATAAACTCTTGTGACAACTCAGGGTGTGTGAGGCAATTACCGATCACGGCCTGGTTATTGATTTGGTCATCCACAACGACCTTTCTGAACGATGGGTCCATGAAGCACAACGCGTTCAGAAAGATTTGACTGCTGCCCCGGTGGTCGGAGGGGGTGATTTCCGAGGCAAAGCCGGAGTTCACCTGGAGCATGAGAGGCAACCCAAGGGAGAAAATCAACGACCCTATCAACGCCACCAAGCGAAATATCGCTGACAAAAAGGATCGGAAATAGTGGCGAACCATAGCAAAGGACAGGACAGCGCTGGTGGTAGCTTTGAGCCACAAGTTGAGCCCGACCTTGAAGTGGTATTGTGATGTTGTGCATCTGTTGTCGGTGGCCATGAAACTCATGCTGAAAGCCAGCGAGAGAAGGATCTGTCCGTCGGAAATGCACAACATGGTTGCTTCTAGTATGTCATAAAACGCATGATCGCGCTCGATTGGGTCTTTCTTCGCCGATAACTCGTTCGACTCTGAAGGCTTTAATGATGACTGGTAGTGCGAGATATTATCAGGGTTTGCAGGTGTCGCGGGGCCCATGTAGGTTGGAGTAGGCGTGGAATAAAGAGGATATGGATACGGTGGATGGTAAGGGAGAGGGACATGGTTCGCGCTAGGAACGGATCCAAGTGTATTCGGTGGATGATAGTAGCGCAAGCCCTGAGGAATAGGATCTCGATGAGAACGAGTGTGATAAGAGAGGGGACGAGGTTGTATCTGGAACTGATCTTTTCTACGTATAACAATTGGCTTAGTACTTCGAGTATTTCGTGAGGCACTTACATCCATTTTTCAACCCGGTTGAGCTTATATTTGGGCTCAGGTGCAGGACGGGGAATTGGAATATTTCGTCTAGACACAAGAAAAAGTCAGTTTATTATTCACATGCGTATTTGCAATGAAGCGGCCATGAGGGAATGAACTAGCGGCCACTTACAGAGGTGGTATGGGTACCAACCGTGGCACGATAATCAACAAGCTGCAGAGAAAGAGTATGGCGCTCGGCACAACGAATGAGATTATGGTCTTTAGTTTTCGGGCCCCTGATTAGCATTATGAAATTTCCATGTGTTTAAAGTACGGCGTACCCCTATTCCAGCCACGTCTGGGTCTGCTTGGAAAGTTCCAAATGCAACGTTGCCAAAATATGCAACAGTGGAGTTGCTACTATCGGTGAAAGTTGTCAAGCAGTTAAGAGGGGTTTTGGCTAGCGGGCTAGCACAATCTGTTGCCAGATAGCTCGCTATTGTCGAAGTGGCATTGCCCATTCCTGCGAGTTTCGTGTCAAAGGAAGCAGAAAGTTCGTAAAAATTACAAGGCTGGGTGAAGAATTCCGAATGGTCATCACGTTTATAATTCCAAGGACAGCATTATTAATATCTTCCTTAATAGTTCTAGTGACACGGTTTAAAGACTTTGGTATATCCTGAAACAGTTGTTGCTAGGCGGGAATCGTGGCCGCAGACGCCCTCGGGCGCACATATCAGCTGTGTTGGTTATTAGTATCACTTACTCTATACCGGCTGAGGGGACATGTTATTAAGACAGACTTGTCTAATTAATCATAGCATTTGCACACTACTGTTTTACTCTGACCATGTAGAGTTATTTAACCTACCAGTTGGCATTATTAAAGAAGACGACACTGCGGCATATACTGCTTGTTTGTCAAGTCGACGATTGCAATTGAATCTATTTTCAGCTCGAGGACGTCGATAATAAGCGCTAGCCTTGTCAGAAAGGATTACTTGCACAGCTCACCTCCTGAGGACCTACATATGACCTATATGCAAATGTGAGGTCAGGCTGGCAGGTGGCCGCAAGATGATTACGATAGAGCTTACAGGAGGCATTAATGGGGCAATCATTGAAGCCATAGGGATGCTGGCGAGGGTGGCGGGGCCGGCAGATGGCACACAAAGGGGAGAGGTCTTGGAGTGGATAGCCAGGGGATGTTAAATGCGCGTTAAACCTTCTCAGCTATCCTGCGACTCCACGAGAGCCAACAGAAGGCAGAGAACCCGATCCAGTTTCGGATGCGCATAGGCTGCATTGGGATAGCCTCGTTCCCACAAGGTATATGTGCAACTTTGGGGGCGGAGACAAGAAGCATATGGTAGAGCCTTGCCCTCTTGAGGGTCGGCGAGGGCTGCAGTAGGGGCCGGCGGGTCGCGAAACCGATCCGGCAGGGACCCTTGTAAATTTAATAGGGGATCAGGGACCGATCCCATTACGACATCGTTGATGGGTTCAAAGAGGTGGCTGGAGGCATTAGCAAGATTTATATTTAGACAACACGAATTCGCGAGGGGAACCAGAAGAGGATCCCCTAAGCGTGATCTAGCTGATTTTATTAGAGTGCTTAGGACTCACAGCTCCAGGACTCAGGGCTACTTCTATCAAGGCTTACAAATTGGCTCTAATACACGTGCCATGTGATCTCATCAATATCAAATAGAGCGCAGTATGAAAGATGTCTTCGATGGGGTCAAATTAACAAAAGGATATAAACACTTGAGAAATAATATTACTTTAGAAATATAATAGACTTTTATTATGAATAGTATCTTCGATCGGGGCAAGGCCAGCAAAGGATTCGCGCACCTAGGACAAAATGAACCCCCCCCCCCCAGAGAACAGAGGTCAAAAGCTCAAGTTTCTGAGGTCTTTTATTCGGTATCAATCGACTTATGTGTAAAGTGCATCCACCCAGAGAACCCTTTCCTGATTGTTGAGTCGCAGATACTTCAGAGCTAAGTAGAGGTTCTTGGTGATGGGGATGCCGCAATCTTCGATTTCGACCGGACGAGTGTCGTTGGCATCTCCCCATGCGTACGATAAAGCTTCGTACTGTGGTCGATCGTCAAGCAGGGCTAACGAGGATCGGGCTTGGATTTCATCCCGTTCCTTCGAGGCTCGCTTAAGGTGTAACAACCGGATGACGTTGTGCGAATTATTGAGTGGAGTATAGGCCATGGCCGTCGCGCTATTTGTTGACGGGCAGATGGAATGGGATGAAATGACCCGGTTGCGGAAATATAGAGAGAACAGGAAAGTGAAGGAACGTCGGCAAGTGGTCCACTAAATCTAGGGCGGACTGGTAGGACTACAAAGGCTAACTCGTACATCACCTCATACTTTGGATGGCTCGATTCTAGACACTAGGAAGGGAGCATTGCCGCTCTATTACCAACTCAACAAGGCTGCGCTGTAGTTGAAAATATAGCAGGCACATGGAAATATCGACACTTCCGCCTGGACACACTGAAGCTTGGATTGCATGATGTGAATTCTTGAGCTGTCATTTTATCAAAAAGAACTTTTCAACACTAGGCTCCACGATCCACACTAAACGATACATTTATCGTGCGCAGTAACCACCATCAATGACGATATCAGCGCCAGTAGTGTACGTACTGGCATCAGAAACCAAGTAAACATATGCGCCCTTCAGCTCCTTCGCCTCCCCATCACGACCCATAGGGATCATACTCTTCCACAAATCCTGTGTCTTCTTGTCCACGAAGTCAGAAAGACCAGTATCGATATAACCGGGGGAAATAGAGTTGACTCGAGCAAAGTCACGCCACTCGTTAGCCAGCGAGCGTGCCATATGAATGCACCCCGCCTTCGCAACATTATAGCTCGTCTGCTCCTGCGGGAAGTTCGCAATATGTCCACTCATACTAGCAGTAATCACGAAACTACCAGTGCCCCTCTCCTTGAAATGGTGTCCCACCGCCTTTGCACAATGGAAAGTTCCATTGAGATCCGTCTGAATGACTTCGTTCCAAGCCTCCACCGTACCGTCGAGGATCCCAGAGTCTGCGGTGCGGCCAGCATTGGCGATGAAGGCGTCAATCTTGCCAAACTCTTTAATGACATCGGCGACCAGCTTTTCAACGCTGGCGTAGTTGCCGATGTCCAATTTGTAGGCCTTGACCTTCACGCCGTAGGACTCGGCGAGCTCTTTTGCATTCTTTTCACCTCCTTCGGGGCGGGACGAATAGGTGATGGCGAGGTTGGCGCCCATTTCTGCACAGCCGCGTGCGGCTTCGATGCCCATGCCCTTGGGGCCGGATGCGCCGGTGACCTGTGGAACTTCTGCGTTAGTGATTGCTGGTTTACAAAGTCTAGGGGGACTACGGCTAGAGAGACATGTGGAGTGGCAGATAGAAAGCTGAGGGTATACATACCACGACGACCTTACCCTTAAGGCTGAACAGGTCCATCAAATGGTCTGCTTTGGGGACTGGGATAGGCATGATGGCGGTTTAATTGAATTGATCGAAGGAAGATAAGTACGGAAGAATTGATTCTGCTGTGTCTTGGGAGAAAAATTCAAGCGAAAAGGAGGTGCGGTGTTAAAGAGAGGGAGGAAAATGTTGAGGGGGGTTCTTAAGTAGGGATGAGCTCATGGTGGGGTTGGAGGGGCAGATATGACGTCCAATTGCGCGCTGCATCGAATGAGGCCGGCGCGGGATTATTAACGACGGTGCAGAAATACAGTCACGCGATCGATGCGCAGAACACACATGTAGATTTATGGTTCTAATTCCTTTGGGTAGTTTAAGTATTTCGACGATATTTCACCAGGCTTTCGTCTGAACCAAGCTGGTTTGCGACCTGTTGATGGGAGCTCGATGACATCATCTCGCCTATGAGGTTAGCAGTCCCAGCCTCCATTTGACCCGTATAGCATCATGTGTCTAGTAATGAGAGAAGGGGCTGAAAGAAGGGTATGTAGGTGAAACCCTTTAGCCACTGCAGGATGCAATGAATAATCGCGGATTAAACCTTGGGAGGAAAGTGCGCAAGCTTAGTAACAGCTTCAAGGATATGGGGTACCTGCATGAAAGGTTCACGGGACCTCCTTTTCAAGTCCGGATTAAGACGGATATTGCGGCCCCAGATATAGTCAATCACGAACGAAATGATAAGAAGGAGTTCATAGAATGATCCTTTGCCTTCAAGGCCTCCTCGATGCTATGTAAACTACCTTGGATTTGGGATACTACCTCATCTCTCACGTCTCTCAATTTTATTCGATCTCACTCCCCCGCCCCCTCAACCTCTCATATAAATGGATACTCATATATTCCTCATGAGACTGGTGTCGCTTCTTCCACCCAACTCGGCAACTCTCCCATTATCATCCGGCAACCAATCCACACTCATCTCGCTCCCCTCACTCCCCGCCGCCGTCGCCGTCCAAAATACATTCTCTGGCTCAACCCCCCTCTTAATCTCCACGATCACTCATAATTGCTCCCGTAAAATAGCTGCTGGAAGCCATTTTCAAGACGGCTTCCCTAATTCATATAGCTCTCCGCCCCCGGCATCGCATCGCATCGCTTAGCGGCTTCATCCCGTCCGCGATGAAATCCTTCCTCAATTGCTGTGTTGGGCCGCGGTTGCATCCGGAGCCCCCATGAGGAATGCGACCGTGTGGCTGAGAGTTTCGCGCCAGGAGGGGTGGACTGCGTTTCCTTCTTTGCCTCCCGGAGACCCGGCCCGCGAGGGTCGGGGCGTACATACGAAGACAACGGCACAAAGTATTGGGAATACAGGGCATTGGGAAATTTTTAGGCTCTCTAAACATACAGGTTAAGGTAGCAAACTCGCTACAAGGCCCTATATTTCCAGGCCCTTCCCCTAAAAGCGCAATTACGCCTTCGACAAGGGCTACCATACCTTTTTAGGGCTTCTCCACTATACTTACAGGGGGGTTTCGCTAAAGGGGCATAATAGTTGTTCGATTAGTGTCCGAGCGCTGTAGTTACTCCGCTACTAGTAATAACCATAGAAGATCTACTTATGCCCTGCGAATGTCTTATAGCGCATCTTCACGTCAATTTAGGGAGCACTACCAGGAGGGATAGGGGCCTATGGCAAGTTTTTGACCTAAATTCGCACCCAGTAGAGTACTAAGGGTCAAAATGACCTGTATTCCCGATACCTGTGCCGTTATCTCCGTACACCAGTTGAAACTCCTCCCGCATCAGCAAGTACACGGAGCGCGACGATAGTGATATTCAACTTTCGTATTTTTCAAAGTTCCCATAAGAAGTAAGATACGAGACTTAGTCTAGATTATAGGAGAATAAAGCATAAAATGTTCACAAGAATATGCTGTAGTATGGTGCGTGGTAGGTAGAGAACTGAGTCTAATTTAAGGCGAGGTTAGTACCTGCGTCTTTATCTCTTCTAGCCAAGGACAGGTAATGGTTTGCGTTTGTTCCTGTGACTTTCCAAGTTCAAAGATGGCGGTGAGACTGAATCTTGGTTGGCCGTCAGGGGGAAGAGGAAATACCCCGTCGGTTTTGGGGTATAAGAACCACTCGGCTGCCATTCCTTCGCTTGTGAAGATCGCAAAGTATCTAAAGTATACTAGTACTCCTTACCACAAGGTTTCCATTAATATGTTGTTTATTTGAACCCTACTCGGCAGTGCCGGCTGTTGTCTCGGCCTCTTTGAAGGCTTTGAAGACCATGGATGTCACAACTCCGAAAGTACTCCCGCCGCTGTCGCGGATAGCCAAGAAGAGAGCTATGTTCTCGCTCGGTAACGCAGTGCGGAAGTTCCGGTCTGCAGTTATCAGGTTAACGAATAAGATCTTGTCGGCTCCGAGACCTTAGAGGGAACTGAGCATCTAGTGTCTACCTCCTCGTGAGTAGCCGCCGCAGAGCCCCACAAACTGTATTCCTTTTGGCTTTCACTTTTACCAACTGAAATAATCAAGTGAAGTCACATCGCAGGTGCCGCCATCGACTATAAGACCTCGGTCAGAGGCAGCGCCGTGAATATCTCTCGCTTGAGCATCAGCACGTACCCTAAATGCTGGACCGCTATATCCATCCATAGTGTAGTTCACATAGCACTGTACAAGATCTCTTTAGGCTTCAGGTGCTTTTGGAGCGGTAAGTATCGTGCTCGTAGGAAAGATAGAAAAGCATACACGCGCCCATGTTAACAGTGTCCTTGCCCCAGGTCTCTATCTTTAAAAACGGTTCCTTGAAGCTTCATAACTTACGAAGATTGCAGTATAAAGTGACGGGATTATAATCGCATGTATAGATATAGGGTCACTAATTGAGCCTGTAGTGTCCTAGTAAGCGCTATAAGCCCTCTAATTGTACTGAGTTGGAGGGGTAAGGCATCTGAAGGCTTACTATAACTATATGCGCCTTGATTAGGAGGTTATATTACGCTATAGGGACATAGACTAAGAACAGGGCTTCTCAGTAATCGGTTGCAAAGCAAAGAATTAAGGGCTTCTCTATAGCAAGCTTTTCCTGACTTTAAACTCTTATATTCCCCCTTATCGTTGGGCCAATATATATCCCTCGGAAAGACTTTACAGTCGTTGTTCTCGAGAAGGAGCATCGCTCTTGCATCTTCGAGCTAGAAATCTTCTGGACGCAGCTGGAACCACACTAGGGAATGTATCCTCTTGCGCCAAGACCAGCGTAGCTTTTGAGATGAATCTAGGGATGACAATCCACAGTATAGATAAATTAAACTGACGTGAGATATATGAGGCGAGGAGGCACGTGCGCTCTCCCCCCTTTTCATTAAACCCACAACTCGCTTATCAACGGGATGGCCTCACGTGAGCACGTAGACAATTTTTACTCTTGGCATAAGTAAACAATTTTCAGAGTTGCTTTTGAGGAGTGCCTCAGGGTTGTGATTGAAACCTGCCTCGTATTTCTGTATACTTCCGAATTTTTGTATTATCGGCTTGGAACTCAGTGGCTGGGAGCGATTACTTTGAGATCTAATAGGTTGGTGTTTCGTGATTTTCAGTCTAGCCCTGGTCTAGTTTTTAGACATTTAAATTCAACCCAACAATGGTGTATAGGTGTGCCTTCAATCCAGCTTTTCAACAACAGAAAAAGTACCTTAGCTTCTTGAATCACATCCGGAAAGGCATTTTTCGACTAGTTCTGTCGGCTTGATCTATGTCAGAATGAAATATCGGGGTGAGCTAGTAGAGGTCAGTCAGAAATGACAGCCTCAAGTAATGACCAATAGTGAACGTTCAGCGCTCGCCACCAACCAGTAGAAATAAAATAAACTTTAGATTGGTCCACCGAGAATGATTTGGTGCAGTCCGGTGCATGCATGCCACCCCCCACCACAAACGGCAAGATAACTCCAGCGAACCTTCGCGTGCCTCGTGGAACGCGGGATCTGGTCCGGCTGTCTCGCCATGCCAACGCATACCCAGCACAACCATCCGAACCAGTCTGCCAAACATACCAGACTTCGTCGACTTCACTTCAACATGAAGTCAAACTATCAGCCATGACAATCATGAGATTTCGGTGTCTACTTCCGGATGGTCCCATTCCTGCGGCCTGTGCCGCGTTACGTACAGTACTTGGGGGCCAGGACTTTTCCACGTGATCTTGCCCGCTGGCGCCTACAGCCTCACTTTACGATGAGAAAATTATCATGGGATTTCAACATATTCAAGCTTTCCCGAAACTTCGCGGCATATCAACTATGTGAATATGGCGGAAACATTGGGGATGGTGACCGGAGTCCTTACACTCCTGCCTTTATGTCGAGGTAAGTTTCTTCCCCAGACTGCGAGGCCGGGGAACTAATCCAGAGAGGAAGATGGCCTCGCAATGATCAAGGGGGTTTTCGACGCGCCAAGGACACTTCAGTTAGCCGTGGCTAGGATAGAGTTCCAACAGGACGTAAGTACTACCAGTTCTGCCAGATGTGGTACAAATCCATCGATCCTTCATCGCTCACGTGACCCAGAGATTCGACGAATGGAGAGAGATCTGGCGAAATGAAGACGGCGAACAGGATATGAAATTCGAACATTACGCAAAGAGTGATCCTGTAACTGCAAGAAAAGTTCATCGCCAACTGGCTTTGATGGCACTGGCACTGTTCGATACTCACGCTTTCGAGGAGCAGTTTGGAATGAAGCCCCAGCGATTTCCGGACCGAGTGAGTTTTTCACTTCTCAAAAATCCAGTTGAACTAACTCTAGTAGGAACCGAAAGATCTCACGCGCTTCCGACTCAAAGATGGCGAGAATCTAACACTCGAAACGCAAGGCACCTTCCTCGAACGATGCAAAATCAACATGTCCATCATCAAGAGGTGCAAGTTTCTCTTCCGACATAGAGATGAAGGATATAACAAACTTATTGATCTGCTGAAACATAACATAGAGGAACTTGTCACACTTGGGCCAACATTCGAACTGGCAAGGGTGAGGAAGGGAGAATGTGATAAGTTGAGGAAGATGGACATGGAGGAGTTGCGCGGCAGAGCTGAGGCAGCAGCCTACGAGGCAAGACACACCCCGCCCGGAATTTCTATTGGGGATACCTATCATAATATCTCTCTTGCTGCGAAATTCAGCATTGTGGTGCGGTACCAGAGGCAACATGCGGCGTACAAGTTTACCATGCGAGACTTCCGACTCGATCCAGCATACGCCCTCCCTTCTACCGAGTCTTCGACTATGGCGCTTCTATTTGACTATCCTGCCAAGAAGGAAAACCGAGTTGTTTTGATTGAGTGGGTTGATGATATGGAGCGATATGCAGAGAAGGATACAAGAGACAAGACATTGATTCTTTCGACCTCCAAGCCTGGACAGCTACTGCTTCCTACTTGCTATGGGATGGTGGAAGACTCAGCAAATAGGAGGTTTGGTCTTGTGCTGGCACCACCAGCCCATATCCGAGCTAATCTACCATCAATTATGCCCACCGGAGCGATTTCACAGAAACGAATGCCGGTCTCACTCAAGGAGTTGTTGGAAAAGGAACACCCCGCCTGTCAGCAGATGCTGGAATTGGGTGCTCGCTTCCGCCTTGCGAAGAAATTGGTCGATGCAGTGCATATGATGCACAGCGTTGGCTGGATCCACAAGTATTCACCTTATGTTGACTGAGAAATATAGAAACCTACTTACATGAACAGGAACATTCGCTCCAATTCGATCCTCTTCTTCCCTGCGCCCAATATTCCCTCTAGTGGGGTCCCAGTAGGCCCTGCATCAGGCTACCCGCAGCCCATCGGATACGAGCTTCCTCTCTTCACGGGACTTTTCAACCCACGAATCGACGACATCCTCGAAGAAGTCTCAGACACAAAAGAATATCGCTCAGCCTTCTCAGATGCAGAGATATATCGCTCGGTCGACCCACGACCACAGCGTAGCAAGCTCGCTAAAGACTTCGAACAAACCCTCGATTACTACCAACATCCGGACAAGCGTTGGAATCCTACGATAAGATACTCGAGGTCACATGATATATATAGTCTTGGATGTTTGTTGTTGGAGATTGGGCTTTGGGAACCGCTAGAGACGTTAGTGGAGATTGAAGATGATGATTTCGAGCGAGTGAAGAGGGGGTTCCAGGCGTTGACTATGAAACTTGATAGGTAGGCTGTTATTTTACCTAAAGATACCTTGATATGGTTTGCTAACATTACCATAGCTTGGCGGGGTCGGTATACGGTGATATAGTCCGGAAATGTCTCGCGATTAATGTCCGCGAACGAACCGAACACTTGTCGGACTTCTGCTCAGAAATTGCAGCCCGACTCGATAAGTGCTGGGCTTAGTAGGAGTCGGTTCTGTTTGGCATACGGCAGTGTAATACTAGAATGACGAAGCTGTTTTCCGTTCTATGGTTCATAATGTGTGGGTGGGGGTTGAGCACGTGATCGATCTCGATTTGGTCCGATGGGACGGAATCACTTGCATATTTTTTTGGCCGTCTTTGTACTTGCTTTCTTTTCAATTAATACTTCACATCTCCGAGTAGTGTCAAGCCAAATTTAAATTTATCATAATATGTCTTTCGGTCTCAACACCGGCTAGCTGAATGCTGATCATCGTCGCCTTCGACATCTGCCACACCTACCGGTCCTCGGCGCGAAATACACAAATGCTCGAGTACAATGTCAAAGCATTAAAAGGAAAGCTGGCTCAGCTTGAGAAAGTTGTTGAGGGGAAAGAAATCTGCTTGTCAAAAACGAATGACTCCCAGCTGAAATTGGAATTCTCCCAGCTCAGGGAAAAGGTCCTGTCTCTCCAGTCGAAGGTGGAGCGTTTAGAGATTCTGATGAAAGAGTAGATGGAGAAGGATCAGGAAGATAAATAGGGCTTGATTTAGGGAATGAAGGCAATTGGGAATTCTGGCTTATGATCGCGTGTCGGAGGAGGCGAAGGAAAAGATAGTGATTGCGGCCCGGGGAATGGATGTCCAATAAATGCGGAAGAAGTTGTGATACAGAGTGGATTGCACACTTCGTACAAAGACATCGAGTCGTGGCTTTCTATTGAAAGATAAATCTTCTCAGGTGTGTAGGGCACTACATTGGATGTTGTATTTTGAATGTACTCCTTTGGACCTCAATTCTGTCATCGGTACAGGTCTATACCTCTATAACCAAATGCAAATGCGAGAATTACGGTGAACTTCTTTATTGCTCCTTAAGAACAATGTAATTGTAATTTCTGTGAAGCAGTTTCTGGCCGAGGAAATCATTCTTGTAGTTCTCATCATCTTCGCCATCATCTAGGAGATATACCGACGTGACATCTTGAGACCGCACGAAGAGGAGGCACAGCGAAGAAGGAATTCTCAAGAGAGGGACGCGGCAATTAGGAATAGAGAGTGGGTTGAGATTAATTTGGGGTCAGTGGGGGTGGTGCAGCATGTTGAGTTTGCAGATGTAGATGTGGAGGGGGGAGGGGAGGGGAGGGGAATATGGTGCAAAAGCAGAGCCGGTTCAAGAAGATTATGTTTCGGTTTCCTTCTGGTTGGGAGAAAAGGTAGGTTTTATCGGGTAGAAGCGGTTTGCACTTTAATTTCTCGAGATATTCTCCCAACAGCAGGGGGCTGTTTGGAAAGCATATTTTGTAATTGAGGAATTAAGTGCGTCAGGGCTTGTGCTGAAGGTTAGACAAAGGTAGCTGCGAGAAACCCCTCCTACAAAGCCTTATTATATATGTAGACCTAGGCGCGATGATGTTTCTCCATGTGTCTCTCAACGGTGCTCAGCGCTTTGCTGGGAAAGAAGGCGCGTACACGTAGATAGACAGATGGATTGCTGTAGCTGGCATTAATATGACTGGAAAGCCTGCTTGGTTGAAATTTTGACGGTGTTTGTGTTACGGATCTCAATTTGCAAGGATTTCATTGCGGCTAGCGAGTATGGCATGAGTGAAACCAGTAGGCTTGATGTCTAATGGGAGCAGAACATGCATGATAAGCTGCTCAGAACAGAATCTATTTCAAGAAAACTCGCAATCTCAATTATGGGAAGAGATATGTACAACACATGGTCAATTCCTTCAACTCAGTAATCTTCGACTGTGATGATCGATTTGCACTTGTAAACTATGCACTGATGGGCGGTACGAAATATTTATATAAGGATTTAACTACAATCTCCAATGACTAATGCTATATATGTGCGTGAGTACTTGATTTTGTTTCTTCGAAAATTGTAAAGTGCGATTGAGGCTTACCAAAAAGACCATACTCTGCTATTTGCTTGTCAGTGCTGTCCACTGTTCTGGTGAATCGAGCATTCTGTCCTATTAAACACAAGGGAATATGTCAGAGTTGATTTTCATACTGGCGTCGCTGGTGTATGTCGTGATTAGAACTCACGCTTTCTCCGCCATGTCCAAATCTGCATCTGCGAAGATGATGACGGGGGATTTCCCCCCTAGCTCAAGTGTCACATTCTCCAGGTTCGATGCTGCAGCCATCTGCATGATTTACCCCCTCCCCCAGTCACTACAGAGCCTGTGAAGGCAATTTTCCGAATTTTCATGTGTTCTGCCAGAATTTTGCCCGTGATATGACCATATCCCGACACGATGTTAATCCGACCGGGAGGAAATCCAGCTTTCTTGATCAAGGTGTCAAGTTTGAAGCACCGATAAAATATTTAGCGGCTGGTACTCTCTAATAGATGTTGCAATTATCTTACGGCAAGAGGTGACTTTTCGCTAGTCTTAACAATGATAGCGTTCCCAGCAGCAATGGCAGCGGCGACTTTCATTGCGAACATGATCAATGATATATTTCACGGAATGATGGCAGCAACGACGCCGTACGGTTGCTTGATAGTCATGTTAATCATCCCTGGCGTGTTCAAGCTGCACTGCCCTTCGATGTGGTAAGCAGCACTTGCATAGTGTCCGAAGAGACCAGCGCGGGCCATCTTGTCGAACATGAACGAAGAATAAGGTCTTGTCGCCAAAAGCCAGTACGAGTTGCTTTCAAAACGATCGGGGAGGATCTCTAAGTAATATCTACTTTCTCATGGAGATAGCCTCCAACCTTGCTAGTTCATCCCCACTTTGCATAGTCAATCCCGCTCGCTTACCATACGGAGGAGCCTTCATCATTGGAGGAACATTTTACCATCTCTCCTGAGCCGCCGTGGCGGTAATGAAAACATCTTCGATGTCTGCGGCTTCTGCTTGGGAGACGTCAGCAACGTGTTCCACTGTCGCGGGGCTGTACAAAGCAAAGTCGATCCTGTCTTTGCTGACACAAACTGGAGCGTGTCTTAGGGCCGAATGCATGAGTAGTCACCATGGATTGCATGCGTCGTTGATAAATAGCCGGGTTACAATTGGGGTCGACATCTTAAGATACAAGCTGCTTCTTCTTGCAAGTTTGTGAGTGCCAAGTAAGAGGAAAACGTCGCCAATATTAGCACTATATACCCATAAGTGAACGTGGAGGGTAAGCTATTGGGAGAAGACGTTTGACTGGGCCCTACCGTTGCTGGATCTTGAACCCAAGGCGAGTCGCACTGTTGGCGAGAAACTCATCCGCACCCTGAGTATCAACGGGGATGAACGGCAAGCTGCCCACATTCTGTAAGCGGTCTATTCAATTCTCGCGAGATCGCGGGGATGAAAGCCGGTAACTCGCTACGACTTATCCCACGCTTCAATAATGAGTGGGTCAAGGCTGGTCTAGTAAAGGAAGTGCAGTTTCTAATACTCATGATTTGATTCTCATAGCGGGGTGGGATACCCCTTGTCCACTCGCAATTGCACGCTAGCAACACCTATATCGGCCCTCTCTCTAACATGCCACCCTACCAAAGCTTTAAGGATAACTTTTAAGTCATAGGAGTAGTTCGTACTTAAAACAATTAAGCGAGTCACGTACTAGAAGTGTAAAATTATATCTCTAACCCGCGAGGTAAGAGCTGATTTAGTGCCTTGTATTACTTAGTCAGGAGAGTAGTAGGTGCCGCTCTAACTTTTAAATAAGGCCCGAAGACCCTTGCATATCTTAGAAAGAAGTTAATCGAGGTTCCTACACTTGCTTCTAAACGCGAAAGGGGATAGTATACGCTAGGTAAGGAACCAGACCCACGTGACTAAAGACATGTGATTGTAATTAAGACCACTAAAGTAGCACTTTAAAAGGGCCTAACTCTACACCTCTTCCTCCATGGTATATAGTAAGCAAAAAAGAACATGTGAATATATTCGAAACGGTGTTCTGAGCCAAGTCTCCAGTATCACGTGTGAACGCGCCGATATATGGCGAGCCTTGCGCACCCCCTTAGTTCAATACCCCCTCGCATTCTCTCCATTCATCACCATTCACCGTCCTTCATCCACCAGCATTGTTACTGGTGGTCATGTGCACGCCACGTCGCCAGTGGAGCAAAAGCGATATCACACGCGCACAGGGCTCTGCTGGCAGCCTTATCAAGTGAGCCTGGTGTGGTTGCACAACGTCTGCGAGTCAGCAATCGCGGGGCTGAGCTGAAAGCCAAATGCCATGGGGGTGGAAAGGCGGTGTGGTAAGGCTCCCCCAAGAGTGGGCTGAGCGACGGGGTCGGTCTTGTGTGTGCGCTCCCAGTGAAAACCACTAGGCTAAAAAGCAGCGACATAATTCCGTGATGCGGAGGGAGCCTGGGTAAAGAAAGATCGCGTGGCAGAACTACCTACTTCGTTGCATAATCCCGTTAGTTCTATTCGCTATGTGGGCTTCTAGTGGGCGTGATGCGTTAATCACTAATACTTCTTGCAATGTGTCATGAAATCCGTTATTCGTCTGAGCTACTTCACTTTCAATTCGCCGAAATCTCAAACAAAACAAAACCGTACCTCCGAAAAGAAAATGTCCCAAAGCCGATTGCTCGATAGCCTGTAAGCGCGATGTACAACAGAATAGGAAGGTTATTTGCCGGACAGACCATGAAGTTGGTCAATCGCCCTTCGTTGCCTTAGGGTTTGTCAAAACCCGTGCCGGGATCTCCTCGCCTGGGAAGTCTTTTTGCCACTCATTTCTCAGTTCTTCGAGTTTTTCGTTGCGGCCTTTCACTTCTTTGTGCTTGTTCCAGTATCTATCAATCTGAAACCGTCGATTCTCGGCATTGAAGTTTTGCACGGCAATCTCATATTTCTGCTTGAGGGAATGATATTGCTCCAGAATCTTGGGGTCCTTGGATTTTTTCGGCCCTTCTACTTTCTTCTGAATTGGTGCATACTCTGTTTTTCTTTCGTTCATAATATCACGGAGCTCTTCAAGTTTCTCTGCTGTAAGCTTGTTAATTGACGCGGGAATAAATAGCTGGGCGGAAGCAAGCTTACAGCCTTTCTCCTTATTAGGAACATTATGCTCCCCATCCATCAAATTTGGCACATCCAAGATCCTATTTTGGTGGATAGACTGGGAGCCAATGATAAGGTCATACATCGGATGCTCTGAGATCAAAAAGCGCATGTCCCGGAATACGCGGGTGCTATTGTTATGGTACCACGTCAGAGAGATTGCGCCTTGCGGGATGAGCTTGTGGCCAGTTACTCCAGTCCCTCCAGCCTCTTCCACTTTTGTCAATGGCTGAAAGCAGGACTCAGGGTATCCGAGAACATCAATGACAAATGTTTTGGATACCAAGTTCCCTTGAAGGTTTCCGGTGTCGATCGTACATTTGGCTTCTTTCGGTATGAAATGTCTTGACTTGTCCTTTTGAGTCGAAAGAACGTGGACAGGTAAGATATACGGAGAGCGGCAGTGGTACTGTAACTTGGGTCAGTGAATACTCCACACCCCCAACTATCGAACCACATACCTCGTCCTCTTCGGGTTTTGTTGGCATGACTGTCATTCTCAACGAGACTCTGCCTCTCCTTCTAATGCAGAAGACGCCCAAAAAATGGTCCAGCCAGGTGGATTCCTTGACTTTGTCTGTTGTGCCGTACGCAGTGTCTAGTTTGTACTCCAAATCTTCATCATATCCAACAAGTGTGATTCGAGATCTGCTAGATCGCATGGAGGGCTTGATAGAGGATGACCTGTACGAGATGGAGCAAGTGTGCGCGGGCTTTTTCGAGGTAAATTCAGAGTTGTCGTATTCTAAAACTGCGAGAGAAATCCACGTCAGCCGGGAAGCAGGTACCTTCGCGAGAGCTGGAAAAGTGAACTGACCATTTGCTACATGCACTTCGTTCATGTTTCTGTATGCCTTCGAAGCGAAGTCTGCTGCAAATATCAAGCGTTCTCAGTTCGTGTAGTTGGGTCGCGGATTGTAACAATGAAGCTGAGCGCGAGGCTGCGGGGTAAACTGCGAGGAGCAATATATGTAGCAACGGGTGGGGGGCCCAGAGGAGTTTGCTGCTGTAATGGGTCGCCTTTTGGAGAGCCTCACTTGCACTTTCTTACAAATGTGTGTGAGAGAGCGGCAAGAAAAGCCACATGAGTCGCCTAGATCGCAGTTTTCAAGCAGAAGCTTCAGGGATGAGGCTCGCCGTCTCGTGGGGAGGGAGAATCTGCGCTCCCACGGACAGCAAGGATGATGATAAAGCCGGCTCGGGACCCCAACAACGCGACCCTTTTTCGGTTCTCCCGGCCCGTCTCTGACCGAGTACGAGTAAAGGTTACCCTGTACAGCTTTCCGTGATTGCTTTTTCACACGCAGTCGTGGTTGCCTTGCGACCCCTCTTGTCACTTGGCCAACTTGATCCGGAACGAAACCAAGTGATGGTTGCTCAGCTCGTGCTCAACGATTTCTCAACCACGGTGGTGGTGTGATGAGACTCCAGGATGGGTAGGTTACTCGGTCGTCGATGTTGACACATCAGGGAGGACGAAGGTTGGGCGTTGACAGAGAGTGACCGGCCCATCAACCGGCCCCCCCTAGCGGCTCCCGGATTCCTCTTATATAAAGCGACGACATTTCGTCGCGTTTTCGCAAGGTGTCGCCACTTGTCCTCGCAGAATTTTCCCGAGACTGAGTGGACCAACAGCTGGCCGCCATGATGCGTGCGGTCCAGCTCCGACATTCGGACGCTGACAGCCTATCACATCAAGTTGTCAATAGTAGGCGCTTACCTGTGCACAGGAGTGATGGGAACAGTCCTCGGTTTCTTTTGGCAGGTAGTCGGGTTCGACTTTGTGAAACGAAGGTTGTTCCAAGTGGAAGCGATGAGACGCCTGAGATTATATATCTCGGCTCCTTCCAGCCTTCTCCCACTCGGTGTCATTCAGGAATCAGCATTTCGTTTGCCTAGCTGCAGAAGCTTAGACATCCTCCTATGAGGCTCGGATTTTGACAGATGCCTGTCAGCTGAGCCTCTCATCGCTCCCACTTCAATTGCGCTGCAGACAGTTGCATCATTGGTATGGTCGGGGCGTAGGTGCCAGCGCACGCATGCCTTTGGGCATGACCAATCTGAATTTGACTTCTTATGTTATCCGATTCGGTTCACCAAGTCTGAGGTTGTTCTTCATTGCTTTCTATTTCAAAATACTTCTGTGTATTGGCACTGAGACGCCTCTATCACCCAAACGTTTCATCATCTTTATTCAAGAGAGCGAGCTTAATTTTATTTTTCGAACTATTGCTTTACTCCTTGATGGTACAACGGCGGAATATTTGGTCAATGGCTTCATTGGACTGGCCTGGACTAATCAGAGACCGGTCCACCCACATCCAGCCCAGCAAACAGGAGTTGCAGTGTCAATCTGCGTTCTCTATTCGTCCTTGGCGAGCGTCACCGAGTGAGATATCAAGCCCTATCCAGCAGAAATTTCGCTCGTCGCCACGAGATGCATGAAGAAGGCTCGTGTCTCCCACCAAGCCGGCCGCGATGCCGCCCGGCTTAAGAGTTAATTGAGGCTGACGATTATAGAGCACACATGTTCGTACAGAATGCTGCCACTTTGCAATCGACGAGGGAGCCTACGGGCCAACTGTCAGGAGAGAACATTCTTCATCGCCATAAAAAAGGGCTATGCTGAACATCGCCCGCGAAGAAACAGCAGTCTTCATGATCGCTTTCGCCTCGGTGTCCTTGAACGAATGAACAGATCGCTTTGCATGCAAGACCCAGTCAGATTTTCTTTCTTGCATCATGCAACATGCTGTATGGCATGACGGCCCCCTCTCGTTCGCCTCAGACTGCGCATCTACAGGATCTAGAGGCCAATAGGTTGTCTAGGAATTCCGGAAGGCAGGGCATCAACGCACCTCGCCCCCTTAGGCTCATATCTTGGCTTCTGGGCATCAGTTCCGTACCCCGGGGGGTAAGAGTCGATGGGCCGCTGACAACACACCGTGGAGTGAGAGAAGCCCCGCTCGCGGCTGAGATAGTTTCGCCCCACCCCGCAACGATACTTCAAGACGAGGTCAGTCAGCGCTCTTCTACGAACCGCCCTTTATGATCTCTTGTTTCCTACTCTATCGACTTCTCGTTCGCCACAACTTGCTGCAATATTTGGGACGAATCAGAGAATGAGCATCCATATCTATACAGGTATGGACCCTAGCGAGCCCGCCACATCTAATTCCGGGTCGGAGAAGATGTCTCCTACGACCACAGCCTTTTCCTCACCCTCACAGTCACCAAATCCCGGCATAACGAAGAATCGCCCCAATGGAAGCGTCACCATGGAAGATGTTACCGGTACGGTTCCTGGATGGCCTGCGTTGGCCAGAACAATAGCCAACAAACCTGCGTTTGTGGCCTTTCCATCGTTCAATGATCTCAACGTGAAGTCTTTACTCTACTATCAAGCGGAACTCATCAAACTGAGGAAAGAACTGCATGAAACTGAATACCAAGACTATTTCCACGGCGATGCCTCACAAATTCACTTTGCAGAAGACTTGGATTGGTTGTTCGACTCAGTGCAAAGCGACTCAGAGCAAAAGGACTCGGACCAAAAGGACTCAGAGCTAAGTCCTGAGCAATTGAAAATACTTGAAAAGATTCGGATTATTCTGGATAAATACAGTAAGCTACTTTGAAAATTTCTGTGCAAAAGGAATACTACTAACTTGATCCTTCTCAAAGACGCTGCACTGATCCAATTCTCAAAAGTTTCAGAATTCCCAGAGGCTGACAGTAGCAATGTAGAGTGTCTGAGGAACTGTGCAAGGGAAGTTGTTAATGGCTCTGCTATCACGGGATCAGGCTCCCAGACCTGGGGCACACTCGGCAAGGCGAAAGTTACGCAGAAATCACTCGGCAAGCTTGTTTGGGGCCTATTCGTGGGATTGTTCAAGACTCAAGAAGTAAAGCGTGATGTGGTCCTGCAAGAATTTCAAGAGCATCTGATAGTGCCTCGCGCGGGAAGCAAACCCGACGGCTTAACGTTATGGGTAGTGTACAGTTTCATCCCGTTGTTTCATCGTGTGTGGAGAGGATGTGGAGAGCCTACCTGGGCGAAGCTTTGGGGGGGAGTGAAGGGCCCGTTTTCTTCATGCCATCTTCCACGATTCCGCCAAGACTCAAGCGCATCCACTGCCTCTACCGCTGGCACTGCGGCATCGAGAGGCTCAAATCTCTCCAAGGCTGGTGACAAGAATCTTACCGCCTACTCGAAAAGCTGGATCTTACGCGTTACGTCCATATTGACAACCATCGTGGCCTGTCTCCTCCCCGTCGTCGCCATCGTCGTTCTCTCTAGGGTGCAGTCGATGGGAATGATTCTCGGACTCATCGCCATTTTCAACAGCGTCTTCGCCTTTGGTCTCGTCCTGATTTCATCAGGAAGCTCACGGGTTGAGATCTTTACTGCTACTGCTGCGTAAGTTTCTGCTCTTAACCATAATACAAAGTTGCTAATGATACTCGGCATTCAGCTTCTCGGCAGTGATGGTGGTGTTCGTCCAGAACAAGATCTCTCAGAACTAAGTTGGACAGAGTATTTGTTTGAGTTTCAAGTAGGCGTTTGGAAAGGATTCCCTTATGGTGACACCGCAAGGTATATGATTTGGATGACTGACGGCCGTTTCTGGAGTATTGTGGAGTGCGGATTATTCCTGGTTGTTGGCGAGTACGGATCACGATTTAATGACCTTTGAAACTTCCTCATGTCTCTTACTAGTTCTGTTTCATCAATGTATGACTTGATGCCTGTGCCGTTGTGCTGCAAATGCCGACTTGTCGGTGGTCAATGCCTTGGAAGAAGTCAACATCGAAAAGTGAGGTGAGGTGCACTGGTCACGTGACAGACATCTCCCCCCCCCTTTCTCTCTGTTGAATCGCCCATTTGTAGGGAAAGCCCCAAGGCACACAGGTCCTCACGTGGTAAAAAAGAGTCAATTTCAATTTCAATTTCTTACAATGTTCGAGGGGTAGTTCTGACAAATCTCCGATCAATCTCTTTCTAGTATCGGGCTGCCGAGTTTCCCGGAATGACGATATATTCCCACACTTTGGTTGCGCGCATGAATGAGTACTTATAAAGAGACACAACGTCTTGAATCAAAAGTCTTCACAACAAGGCGTTATCTTATCCGTTCTAAGCAGGCTATCTCTCAGTTCAAAACGCATTCGCAATGGTGGCCGCTATGCTGGAAACAATAATTCAAATATTCTCCACGCTGCTCTCACGTAAGTTCACTCCCACCACGCATGCCACTTGCCCTCGTCTCACCAATATACAGAGCTCGCTATGGGAGTACAGGGATTTCTCTATATCCTTGTCTCACGCGATACCTTCAATTCGCTTCTGGTTCCCCTGGCTATGTTTCTCGTCCTCGTTGTCATCCTCGGAACCGGACTTCTCTTGTTCTTTGTTGTATACATCGAATATCATTGTCTAGAATGTAAATTGAGCTGGGTTAGAGCATTGAGAAACTTTTCACGTCTGCAATGGGCATGTTGCTGTAGGACTTGTATGGAGAATGCCGATGAAGAAGATGATCGAGAAGTGAGGGATTTGGGCGAGAGAGAGGAGTTTGGGAAGTTGATTAAGGATGGAAAAGGAGGCGAAAAGAGGTTGAGGGTGGATGGGGAGGGTGCAAGGGCAGTGCTTTGAAGTGACACTGACAGCAGAATGGGGAGAATGGGGGAATCAAGAAGCAAGGGGGAAATGTCCAGAAGAGTATCTGAGAAACAGAGTCCCAGGAACACAGTTCAACCATCTTCGACCGACAAGTAGATGTTGAAAGGAAATTTGTGTATATTGAATGAGTTGAGTATCACAGCGCATGACTAGCTGAAAATCTAGGGCAATCTAGTGACGATTAGGAGGGAAAAATCAAAGTTGATCAACAAATGCCAAAATTTTCTGAGCACACTCTTCCCAATGCAGATCATTCTGGATATGATGGCCCGAACCTTGAATAACCTCAAAGCCGACCCCTTGTTGATCACTACTCTCAGGCTTAGTCTCCGATGTCTCCATGAATCTGGCACCCCAGAGACTTTTGGCAAAGCTGATGAACTGTTGTCGATAATCCGCAGCCATCTTTCGCATCAACCCAACACCCATCAAAGTATCCTTCTCCCCGGCAACAACCAAGACCCGTGCTTGCCCCCCATCTCTCCACCCAATAACACTCTTCAACACATTTCCCACATTCACAAAACTAAACATCATCCCTAGCGGCCACACCAAACTCTCATACTCCGGCATGAGTACCTCGAACTTCTTTACCTCCCCTACTGGATACTCCGGTGAAAAGAACGCCCTATGAACAAGACTGGTAGAGGACAACGGAGATCGAGGATGCCGCATATCCCTAAAATAGAGACGCGGCGCAAACCAAGGATCTAGTTTAAACCAATTCCAATACACCCCCAATCTGCACCAAAATTAGCACTATTCCCTTCACTGTCCATCCCCCTTCCCCACCCCATACAAAGAGAATGAAACTTTCACTCACCCCCCAAAGTTCGGAAAACCCGCTAAAATCACAGCTCCTCCAACTTTCGCCATCCCCCGACTCAAAAACCGCTGTACTAACCCACCACCCGCCGAATGACCAACCAGAACCAAATCCTCATCGTCCATCTCTCCTCCCCTCCGTTCCTTCTCTAGAGACTTGACGAATTCGAGGCCACATTTGAGATCGAGGGCCATGGTATCTTTGCCGTATCGCCAGACGAGTGAGAAGAATGAAGGTTTCCAGCTGGCGCCGTGGCCCCTCAGGGAGAGAGCATAGCATGGGTGGCCGCGTGAGGAGAAGTAGGTCAGGAAGGGGAGCCAAACGCAGGCGTATCCGAAACCGCCGTGTTGGAAGAGGATAGCTTTTTTCCTAGGAGAGAATGAGATGCTGGGCTGGGCGGAGAGCAGCTCGAGGGTCCCAAGGGGGGTGGGGATGTAGTGCCTGGTTATGTCGGTAGGGAGGTCCAACGGGTGGCCAGGAGACGAGGAGGGGTGGAAAAGGAGGGTGTGCTTGTCTGATGACATGACTAGTGAGGTTTGGGAGGATATTAACGCCTTTGAGATATGTTAGAGAGGTATTGAGGTTGTCCGCGGCTGAGCTTTAGGAGCTGATGAGTTTTGATTGTGGCTTAACCTACTTAACCAGCTGACCGAGACACGGCAGGGACTTGGCATTCTCGTCACCTGACAACGCAAAAACAATGAAAGAAAATGATTGTAGGAAGTATTATCACCTGTGCATGAAACCCTCTTCCAATTGACTCTTTCTATTGAGGCGGTTATCAAAAGATTGGAGCACGTGATATATCTCAACTTGGAGGAGTACAGGTACTCACGACCCTGGACTTCCTTTCGGGCGGGTGACTTTCCTTATTCAGTCAAACCCTTACCCTAAATCCAACAAAGAAGTGGCGGGTTGTAAGTTGTTTTATTAGCGCTGGGATAGGCCTGTTGTGAAAGGTGACACTGCAGAATGTCGTGTCACGATCCACAGTTGAATAGTACGGTGGCAATTAATCAACAGCAAAGACAATATCGAGGAGTGGAAGATAATTAGAGTATGAAGAAGACTTCAGACACAAAATTAACTCATCCTTATCCTCATGACGAGTTTCCAGTACCCAGTTGAAATTGTTCCGGCAGTTGGCATTATTTCATCCCTGGTGTTTTGGGTTTTCATTGCCATTGTTGCCTCAAAACCACATATATCACGAACTTCTTTCCAGCGCAACTTTGCAGAAACGAGCAGCCTCAAATCAGAGACTGGTCGTTGCTTTCGGGATTGAGAATGGCTTTACAACCACCAGGGAACAGGTACTCCGCGAGTTCCGGGGAGGGGTCAAACTATCTGTTGAGTGAAATAACAATGACTCGGCCAGAAAGCACTTAGCAGTATTGATATCGCATTCAATTCAAGACTTCTTGTAAAAATGCAGACACGCATCAGTCAATCGCGCTTGCAAACGTGGTACAGATCGCTGTCTCCGTGCAGCCATGGACATCTTATATAGCCCCTTAACTAGCGCTAGTGTACTTGAAGAGAAGGACACGTGACTGGAGTCACGAAACAAGAGACAAAAAACCCACTATAGTATCTTGAATTATTGCTATTTACTAGCTTAGTACTTTTATTAAGGTGTGTGATTTTGGTTATTGCCGGGTTTATTATTAACCCAAAATTAATTGCTAAGGCTTAAATAATGGCGTGGCTCCTTTACGGACTGCTGAGAACGAGCGGCTGAGCTAGAGGGAGAAGATAACGTGGACGGGGAAAGATATGTGTAGTCATGTGATTTGTCATGTGATAGCAGTCAGGTGACCGATGTACATTTGGGTTGCGGAAGAATAATGGCACACGAGAGTTCATTTCGAAATTGGCTTCTCCACGACATCTCCTATCTGATTTGAAAACTTTCAACTCGCATTGCAAAAGCAATTTTCCTCGACATCGTGTACTTCTGTACCTTCTCCTCGGCTGTTGAAGTTGACCTTCACACCTCTCACCTGAGTGTGTGTACCTGGCACAGCTGATTGTCGATGGGTTTGTCTTCTCCTCCAACATCTCTTGAGGTTCAAGTCCTGAAGCCTCCGCGGCGCCATCCCCGTCCCCAAAACCTTATCTCGCGTGGGCGATGTTCTGCATCTCCGGTTTCTCCGCCGCCTCAGACATATATAACCCCCATCGACCCGCCAAATTGCCGAGACCCCTTTTGGGAGCTGAGACCCTCATTTTCCAAGCCTCCCGATGCCATGCTGATGCTTGGCAGGGCAGGACGTGGCGTTTTGCATGTGCTATCCCACGATACAAAGATACCAGCGTTATCTTTGGGCGTGGGACTGAGACATAATCCTCTTATCTCACGCTTTTTCTTGGGAATAGTATCAAGTTTCTTCGTACCCCTGGATACTGATTTCGTCATTGGTGGTACGTTCAATTGGTAGGATTTTGGCTGCAGCCAAGAGGTTGTCCCCGAACAAAAGGGGGATCAAACCGTAGCTCCAGGCATTCCAGATCTCCGTGGAATTGAGGAGAACAGGACCATCCTTGTATCCCCAGATGCTCGTCTCATACATATCCCAAAAATGGGCCAGAAGGCTTCTTCCGCCCAGTGGCGCTTAGCTGGCTCTCGCTTCCCTCTCTCCGCAAATCGCACGGTCGAAAATGTCCCGTGGAGAAGGAAAAACACTGTGTCCAGGGTTTTTCCCAGATAAGGAAACAGTCAGGTCCAAGGAGATCTTCATTTTCCATCGCCTCTTTGAGTCGCGGATTGTTTACTATATATGAAGTTGAGCGCACCCCTATACTTCGTTCGTTATTCAGCGCCAGCCTCGCCCTGTCCTCGTGATCATTGCTTCTTTTTTCGCCTCGCCAATTTCAGACTTTTCTCGACGACGACACTTCAACAACACCAGGTGCATCGGGAATACAAACTGCCGGTATGCCTTTCGCAGTCTCCCAATTGTGGGCTGCTCCGGAGATCAATCCGATTAACAAGAAGGCGCGCTCCATTCCTGTCCTTAACCCTGTCGACAAGTATGGGCGGACATTCTTCTTCTCCTGGTTGGGTTTCATGACCGCCTTCTTGTCATGGTAAATATGCCCCCAAACTATCGAAATTGAGGCAACGAAGTGCTGATAAACGATCAAGGTATGCGTTCCCGCCTCTCTTGACCCTCACCATCAAGAAGGACCTCCACATGAGCCAGAACGAGTACGCCAACTCCAACATCATGAGTCTCACCGGCACGCTCGTCATCCGCCTCATGGCTGGTCCTCTGTGTGATCGCTTCGGACCCCGTCTCATCTTTGCTGGCTGTCTACTCGCCGGCGCCATCCCTACTGCCATGGCTGGTCTCGTCACGACCCCCACCGGAATCATCGTCCTCCGCTTCTTCATCGGTGTCTTGGGCGCCTCGTTCGTTCCCTGCCAAGTCTGGTCCACTGGCTTCTTCGACAAAAATGTCGTCGGAACTGCCAATGGTCTCGCTGGAGGATGGGGTAACGCTGGTGGCGGGATTACCGTGAGACTCCTCCGATTTTGATAGCCTTCAGATGTGTGACTGACAAATGTTTCAGTACTTCGTGATGCCCGCCATCTTCGATTCCCTCATGAAGAAGCAACACTTGACCGCCCACGTCGCATGGCGCGTCTCTTTCATCGCCCCCTTCATCATTATCACCGCCGTAGGCCTCGCCATCCTCTTCCTCGGCGAGGACACCCCCACGGGCTCCTGGGCCACCCGCCACCACGTCGGCGACCCCATCACTGCGCCCGCTTCCTCCACAAACAGCATCAAAGACTCCTCTCCACTTGAGAAGTCCGAGAAGGACACCGAGGCCAACACTTCAGTATTCCCCGTTGACACCGCCGAAGGCGAAGTCATCGTAGCCCCAACCCTCAAAGAGGGCCTCTCCGTCTTCTTCTCCCTGCAAACCCTCGCACTCGCCGCACCCTACGCCTGCTCCTTTGGCGGCGAGCTAGCCATCAACTCGATCCTCGGCTCTTACTACCTCAAGAACTTCCCCAAACTCGGCCAAACCGGCACCGGCCGCTGGGCTGCCATGTTCGGCCTCCTCAACGTTGTGTTCCGACCACTCGGCGGTGTGGTCTCCGATCTGATCTTCAAGTACACAGGCAGTATCTGGGGTAAGAAGGGTTGGCTCGTGTTCTGCGGCATCGTGATGGGCTGTTTCGAACTCGCTATTGGACTAACTAACTCCCACCACACGAAGACGATGTTCGGGCTCATTGCTGGGCTGGCGGTCTTCATGGATGCTTCAAACGGCGCGAACTTCGCTGTCGTGCCGCACGTGCATCCTTTTGCCAACGGTATTCTGAGTGGCATAGTCGGCGCTTCTGGGAATCTAGGGGGTATCATCTTTGCCATTGTGTTCAGATATAATGGTGTGCACTATGACAGGGCGATCTGGATCATTGGCGCGTGTTCGATTGGTGTTAATGTTGCTTGCTCGTGGATCCGACCCGTGCCTAGGGGGCAAATCGGTGGTCAGTAAAAGTATAGGAGTTGTCTTTCTTATTTGGGAGTGTTGCATTATGAAAGCAGAGGCGACGGCTGGGTTTCCAGTCGATCTCAAGTTAGAACATTGCCGTCTCTATCGTCTAGAAGTCGGCGTTTATAAATCAAAGAGTAATCTTTAAATAGAAATTGTAAACCACGAAACACCGCTCCATCCAGTTCTTGCTTTCAATCTCTCATCGATTCATTTGATTCATTGCTTGCTGCGTTGGCATTGTTCCGCTGCCTCCTGAACCATTCCATTCGATCAACCGGAATTTCCCGATCATTTAAATACGATTCGCCAGACTCCAAATGTGAATGTCCCAGGCCATTCCTGTGACAATCGCCCAGGCCCAGTTTCAATTGTCCCAAGCTCTCATGCTACATTGATTGTCCCTGCCAGTCTCTTTCCAACCTAACAAACCTAACCTCCAACTCCCTCACCCTCGACAACCTCTCCGCCTTCCAACCATTCACCCTAAAATTCGGCAACTCCCAGCGCCACCCCCAAGGCTCAACCGGAAGCTTGACAGAACTAACTTCCTCCCACTGCCCCTCACTCTCAATCCCGCTCATTCGCCCCTTCCTCTCGACTCCCATCACGACCACCAGCTCCTCCAGCTTTGGGCACCGGGAAAGCAATTTCTTCCACGGACCAACAGGTAGTGCATCCTTGACCCAAGCAGGTGGAGGTGGAGGTGGAGGTGGAGGGACCCTCATCGACCCGCCATTAAACCCAAACTCCCTGATCGCCGCCTCGTATGGAATTGCCAGTCTCTTCACATCATGCAGCCACCTGCCAAGGGTCACCCTGCCCGTCACCATATCAATCGATTTTGGGATCTCGGTCCAGTCTTTGAAAGCTGGGATGACGCCGGGGAAGTACATGATGTCGGAGGAGCTGGAGATGAACGCGGTGTGGCGGTCGAAGACGTTGGTCTTCCAGTGCGAGATGGTGTGCGTCTCGAGCCAGAGGGTGCGGGACTCGTAACATGTGTGGAGAGCTGCCGGGACGGGTTGGTGCTGACGCCAGGTGAGGACTTGTGGGGGCATAGCATCCTTCCAGACCTTTTCCCGGAGCTCGGGTGGGAGGCGGGGAAAGAGATGAAAGCGGTCGAGAGGCTTGGAGATGCGGTTTCGGGCGTTGAGGGAGGTCGAAATGGCTAATTTGGGATGGAGACGCCGACGCTTCGGAGTCTGAAGGGCTCCGATTTGTGAGAAGCGCCGTTTCTTTGGCTGGTGAACAAGCTGTCAAGAGAAGTCAGCACTGGTTCGTGATAGATGAGACCGACTTACCTTGGACGCGGGATTGCACGAACAACATGAGTCCATGATGGATAGGCCTTCCATGGTTATTTGTCGAAGGAAGTCCGAAAGAAAGAGTTTTGATATGTCTGCCGGAAAAGCCGACAGTCGGGGACAACGCTATCCGGATTCACTTGACGAATCCAGCTATTGTGTGGATTCACTTGACGATTCCAGCTATTGTGTTCGGATCTCTTCCTATTGTGCGATCCGTCTGCAATACTATCCCACGACACCGTGTGCTACACACTAAGAGCACTTTCAAAACCAACAACCAATTGTTCGGCAAGACTCGTCCAAACGAAGCTGAGGCGGGTCAGGCCGCGGGGCAGCAGCATTCGTGGTTCTCGTCTCGGTACGTGCACGTGATAGCCGGCGTCCCCGCGCTCAACCAGGACGAACCATCAATCCCTTGGGTGAAAATTGACATGCGTAGCCATTGGTCGGATGGGGGTTTGAGTAATTATTGAGTTGATGCGCTCCAGAGTGGGGGGTGAAGTCGGTGAAACGTCGTTGTGCTTCCTCGGCTAGCATGGGTCAGGTGATGCGGCCGAGCAAACCTACATTCACCGGCTTTCAAGAGCTCATCTCATCAGAACTTCCTTTATTCAGCTGGATCTGATGTTATGCATTGTTTTGGATATCTCGATTCGAAACCAGAACTTCCATTTCTGTTAATAAAGAAGATTGCTGGAATTAAGCGAGCCGAAAGGGGTTGAAAAGGGGCTCGTGTGAGAGCCTCGAACCTGACTTAAGCTGCTCTACCAAGTTCTTGGAACAGTGAGCAAATTCGCTGAGAACTTAAAGCTCAAGAGTGGAATAAACGTTCATGAAATAATTGTTAACCTAGTGAACTTTTTAGCGCTCGCTTTTTGTGGTCGGAAAGGTCAGAAAAGCAAGAATCCACTGAGGCTGAATTTGCACAAGTCATCACAAGAAATTTTGTTCCCAAAGAATTTCAGTATGTTGATGCCCTCGCGTGACATAGATGCAGAGTCTTAAAATTCCTGATGCCCTTTGAGACTGGACGCTCGTCCAGGAAGAGGAATCTAATAAGTCACGTGATGCAGCCCTTTTACCCGATCCTGCTTAATATGTTGCTTCTGCTCTTTGAACCCCATTCAAGAATTAGAGCACTTTCACCTTAACCCGAGAAAGATCTTCTCGCCATTTTCAAATATATAGAAACACGACAAGTATCACGCATCCGCACTTCTAAAACTAAACCGGCTTGCACAAGAATTGAAGAAGCATTGGTATGGAAACTAGTCTAGAAGGTGCCCACTCAAGGAATATTTAGCTTCAATCTTAAACTCTGTTAGCAGAGGGGCTATATTCTAAAGAAATTCAAGGAAGCTTTACTGCCCGGCCCGAGCCGCTTGTCAGACTAAATCCCAATATGACAACAATTCGGCTCCAACAGACCTAAATTTACCAAATTTCTGGTCCATTACTTCAGCGCTAATCTTCGGCAAGGAGCGCGAAGCCATTCTACAAGCTCGATCTGGTAAACTCGCTTTGCTAAGAATTGTTTCGATATTTCGACCTGGACTGTCTAGTCGTCATTGGCCTCACAGAAACTTCATTTGAATTTTGATCCGATACTCCTCAGAACCGCGACATTGACACTTACAAACATTCATATCTCTTGCGAACGAGTATTCTCCTACAAGAAACGTAACAGCTCGTATCCTTCAAGGATACCCGTCTCTAACACCCAATTCAACCCTTTGTTGGCTACGGACTACCGAGAGTGGGAAATTCGGATTGTTCCTGGAGAGCAGTGAACAATCAGAAACGGAAATTTTAATATGGGCTACGTCGCTACTCCAACCGGTCTCGTTTTTGAGAGGAGCTACAGTGTGCTTCCAATCCTCCCCACTCGACACAACACGCTCACACTCCCCGAATGCAACAACCCTGCTCAACTTCCCGCCGACACAACCGACAGACGACCTCCGATACAATCAAGCAGTCAAGTAGATACCACTGCACTGCTTACACCAATGTCTCGTGCATCGAGCTCAGATCTTGACTCCACGTCCTCCTCGTCTACCGCCGCCACGTCTCCGCTCAACGTTCAAGTCGCCGTGGTACTTCCACAAATTCACAAAGGCCAAGAGCACTCCGACCCTGAACTCGGGAACATACAAGATGCGCTGACTCCTGGAGTGGAATTGGAGAAAAATGGAGAGTCGGCGTTCAATGTGCCAGATACTGTGGTGCATTCACAGGCTCCCATCATCGCAACCGGCTGCGGCCCGTGTAATAGTGGACCACACGGCCAAGGTACAAAGATTATTCCTGCTCCGGACATGCCTCGAGCGGGTAGTTCGCGACCCAGGGTGACTTCTTCCCTCTCCCTCTCAACCGTTATCACCTCCCCGCTCAATGTTCCAGACGATGTGGTATTTCGACCCAGTTGCAACCCAGTGCACCCGGAAATTCCGAAGAGGCAAGAAACATTGACCACGAAGTCGGATGACAATGAAGAGCATGGACGTCAGCAATTGATCCAGAAGCTGGAGAACAGCGGGGATCACGAGCACAGGACATTGGCCCTGAAGCTGGGGAACAATGGAGAACCACAGGGGATGAGAGAGGCTATGAAGGAACGGCAAGAGTCTCTCTTGCAAGAACTCTCTGCAGTCTTGGACGAACAAGAAGTGATAACCATGAAGTCCGGAGACTTCGAGTCTGTGCAGAGGAATCTCTTTTTGACAGAACAGCTCCAGTCTCGCATCAAGGAGGACGATCAGCTGAAGGCGATGGTTGAGTCAAAGATGCAAAGGACGAGGGTTGTATTTGCGAAGATACTTTGCGAAAAGCAGAAAAAGTTCGCCGAGACTCTCGAGGAAAAGGAGAAGGGTATCAAAGACGCTTTTCGTAAAGGAGAAAAGAGTATGGAAGACACCCTCCGTGAGAAGGTAGAGAGTATGGGGGAGCAAGTGAAGTCTGCGGAGCAGCGAGCGCAACAAGCGGAACATAACGTTCGAATACGTGAGGAGGCTAAGTGGCAAATTCAACTGAAAGTAGCTGAGATCGCTGCTCATGACAAACGCGTAGCACTGAATAAGAGGATTTCAGACCTCGAGGTCGAGACGGGGGAGTGCAGAGAGATCCGAAAGAAGTTGCAGGATGCAGAATGTTTCTCTAAGGAGATCCTCAAGCAGATCGCGCAGCTCAATGAGGAATCGTTGAAAGTCCCCGAGTTAAAGACGGACATTGAAAGACTTGAAGCAAAAGCGAAATCTCTGCAGGCACAAAATAAGGAGCAGGCTGAGGGATTGAAGTCGGCGGGACAAGAGGTTCAAGCTTCACAATCAAAGTTCGAGGAGCTCCGTACCAAGTTCAATGAGCTACGAGATAATTACAAGCTTGAGAAGAAAGAAAGAGAAATAGGAGAGGAAAGGGAAAGGAGGATAGTCGCATTAGCCGAAGAGACGTCGGCTAAGCTTGAGAAAGCTGTGAGGAAGAAAGAGAAAGCGGAGGAGTATAAGGCGAAGATGAGGGTGGCCCTGGAAGAAGCGGAGACGAGAGACAGAGAAGCGCAGCTGGTTTTGGAAGCTCGTGAGATTTTGATCTCGTGTTTAAGAAGCGACCTTGAATCAGCCCGAAAGATATGGTGGTCTTTCTGTCTGGTTATCTTCGTTCTTATTGCTGCCTGGGTGTCCACGCTCCCAACTGGGAGAGTATGAATTGCCAGCTCGGTGGGGGGACATTACGATAAATAGTTAGATGGACTAGATTAAATAGGAACGATCAGACAATTCGCTTTCCGAAGTTCCATTTTCAATGGAATAATTAGATCCCTATTCTTTCACATAATTCTATTTCGGAGGGGGACAATTAGATTTTCATATAGCCCCGTACCGACCGACCTTGGGGCAATAAAGTATGTCGTCGAAGGCAAGTTGCCATGTTCTCGTTGGATGGTTCACCTGAACCACCCCAGAACATGTTGACGGCGAATGAACGGCTGGCTTCGAAATTAATCCACATAGCCACACGTTCTAAAGCAAGCATCAGTCAATCGATGTTCCACTGTGTTTCGTATATTTGGGAACTGGAGGGAGCCATTGTCCTAGTTTGGGAACAACCCGGGGAGACGGAGGCTTACGATGTATCCGCATGAAGCAATTGTCCTTAGCGACAATCTCAGCTTGCAATTCCGACTTTTACTCGTTGACGCTATAAAATGGGAATGGCTCACAGTCGGGTGGGAAATAGTAGGATTTCTCATTGTCTGGGAGACGAATGGTGTGGCGTAGAGTTATCTCGAGGAAAGAAGCTGGGCTTTCGTAATGAACGCGGATACTATCTTTACCGGCGTGAGGAATGATTCTGTAGTCACTCTCCAAGGCGGCCTTAATACTTTCGGGGGTGGTGCCAGGAGCCATATTAGGTATAAAGAAGGTTATTGCCTCTAGAGGGAAGGAGAATCGTCTCCGACTGAGGGTTGAAAGGTCCCTCACTGTCGATCGATGTGCGGAAAGCGAGAGAAAGGAGAAGCGGCGTAGACGTGCTCCTCAATAAATCGTGGGGCTGCGTTGATTGGAATCGATTGAGCGCACATGGAGGTTGAAGGAATAAGGGAGGAAGGAAGAAGTAGGTTGAAATGACCGTCCAGACTCATTGTGGTTGGCGCTTAAGCGAGGCTATGCATAGCCTCTACAAAAGGGGTAGCCGCGCCACCCTTACAACTTCCACCAAGAGAATGTGAGCAGTTAATCGAAGGAATAAATCCACGTGGAGTCAAAACAAGGAGAAGATTCTTGAACAATGAAATATGCATACTTAAGGAAGATTGAGTTGAATTTGCTAGAACTCCAGAAACACCTCCTTGATGGCATGCATGGTCCCTATTTTCCATGTACTTCCTGACGCCTGAGCCCATTCTCTTGCCCGCTTGAAATGCACCACCCGGGCTCCGAACATCCAAAGATCGCTATCTTCAGTGGTAATCTCCAAGAACCGGACCTCAAATCTCAGCCGCAGTCTTGATCTCGCCCAATAGCTTCTCTATTGAGGGAACTGGATCAAATGAGGTCTTTTGGTCAATAGCGTTGAACTCAACCACAGAAAAGCCATAAAGACCCTCGTAGTAAGTTCTCTTGATACCTCGCTTGGGATCAAGTGACCAACATTGTGAATGCCGGGGAAGTTGCCATTGATACCGCTCTTCTCTTTATAAAGCGTGAAGAATGGATAACCATATTTCTTGCCCATAGCAATATAGTATGATCTTCTCTCTGCTTTCAACCCTGATACCGAGCTTGAAAACTGATCCCCATGGCTTCTAGTTCTATAAATCATTAACGTACTATCGATGTCAAGAATAATAATGAGATAGAAACTACCACTTACGATAAATGGAAGTGAAAATTCCTCCCTTGGCAACCAGTGACTGTGGCAGTGACTCCGCATAATCAGACACTAAACAGAGTGTGAATGAAGCGCAATCTGGAGGGAGATGGTAAGCATTACCATTATCGGGAACCCGAATTGTGCGAATGAGTGAGATTTCTATAGTCTCGGAGTTGCGATCAGTGACTAAGATTGTTTCGAAGGCACCTTGGTCGTTAGAAATATCTTTCAACTTGACGCTCATCTTTTTAGAAAGCCCGGCGTAGGAGAAAGGAGCGGTTGGTGCCATGTTAATATCGCGATAGGTTCAAGATCAGTATCCGGATGAGAGCAATAGTCTATGGACAAGAAGGGTGATTGTGATTTTGCGTTTGAAGAAGGAGGAGACTGCTGGGGCAAAAGATGAGTGCCAGTTTATATGCCGAGCTCTGGTCTCAGAAGCCTTCCACGTTGAACCGGCTGAGACTGGTTCAATAAAGAACCAGAATTTCGAAAGAATAAGGAGAACCTCGTGCCTCATTTCGCGGATAACGTTTCGACGGGAATGAAGCGGCTCGCGAGATACAGAAAAGAAGGGGCATTTATTCCGTTTGCACGTGGAAAGGCAGCACCCCTCCCTGGCCCCTCACTTGACGGAGACAACCACCCCCTTTAAGCAGGAACATTTCTTGCTACTAGTGAGGTAGTCAAGATTCAAGACCATTTCAAAGGGAATCAAGACAACTCAAAGAATATCGAGAAATTAAAATATGCAAGTGGCACAACTCAAAAGGTGTACACGTAAAAGATAAGGAGGTGATGCCCAGCAATTAATACGATAAATATGGACGCTGGGAGCCAGGCCCTAACAGACGGAGCAGTCTGAACTCAAGATCCTGCCTCCGCAGTTGAAATTTCACAAGCCTTGGGAGAGTCGAATCTCACAATGGCGAGCCTAATTTAAGTTTCACGCGTTCAAAGCGGGAGAAGAAAAAATGGAAGCAAAAGAACAATAAAGGAAAGAGAAAAGATCAAGCGAAGCCAGAAGCAGACTCCGAAAAGAAACAAAAGCAGAAGGAGAAAGGAGTTTCAGCTCAGCGCCACCGCCTCGTCGCCAACCAATCAGCCAATCAAACACATCCATACCTCTCCTTCCCTCTCTTCATCTCCCTAGCATCTTCCCCTTCCCCTTCCGCGTCGCATCTTTCCGCCCCAAATATCACAAACATTCACCACGGACTAAAAGATTCTCCTATTTGAAATGTATAAAATATTGCTCTCTACTTGCTCAACTGGTGTAAGCACAGCCTGAAACCTATAATTGGAAACAAAGATTTCACTGGATTCTAAGGGTTCCAGGTGTCCTGGATAGGACGAATCCGGCTTCTCCGAGGCCCGCAATGCAGCAGGTTCTGTCGGTGCTATGTAGCCCAAATGACTTCGTTGGAGCAAGTTGAGGCGGCCCGGCTAACTATGTTCGACAACTGCTTGGCGGTTTTCGAGGGCCGATGGCCCCCAGCCGAGTTACTAGTGTTTTGTTAGAATTTTGAGAGCTTTCTCTCACATAAAGTTAGCGTTTCATTTCAACGGCCCTCTGAAAACACTAGGAGGGTTAGTTATTCTCCGGGGCTATTCTTTGGCTAAGATAGACACCGAACGAACCTGCACCGCGTCAACACTATTAGTAGCACTCTTACCAGTGGCGGAACAATAACAGAGAGTTCGGTACAGCGTTGTATTTATCCTTCCTCACTTGCCGATCCAAGCTACCGGTCCGGAAAAAAGTAGTGTTCGTTTCAGAAAGTCGTAACTGAGTACTGTACTTTGCAACGAACGGGGAGGTTTCATCCAAAGTATTGTCGTTTTAGCCGCCAGCCTCACGTTCTTCTCCGTGTTCGGAAAAACAAAAGGCCTCCCATCGGCCAAAATGGCTTCAGTTGCCGACTCTCATTACCAGCTGTGGATGTAGTCAAGTGATACAGTTCTTTCTGAGTGCTATAGCATTAACTTGACACTTCCCCACATTTCATCTGCTAGTGGCAGCTATATATATATAAGTAGGAATGCCGAGTCTCTAGAAAAGAAGAAAACCATTGTTCTATGTTCGTTCTCCTGTTCCCACAACCGAGATATTCCAGTTAGTTATCAGTACCTTCATCGTAACTTCTCTGTACCCACTATTATGTTTCGGCCAAGCCCGTCCATCTTTGTGCTTGCCACATGTGTGGCACTCGGCTTTTGCGCTTCGCTGCAGGCGGTTGCCAGCTTCGGCACGAATCCTACTAACATCCAGATGTATATCTACATGCCGGATAAGCTGGCGACGAAACCGGCCATTATCGTCGCGGTTAGTAAAACCAATCAAGACTCATTGCGTGTGTCTACTACAAGCCATTTCCCAGCTAACTTTAATCATAGCTGCACCCCTGTGGTGGAACCGGTCCGCAGTGGTATGCTAGTACCAAGCTCCCATCATACGCCGATACGAACGGCTTTATTCTCATCTACCCCAGTACTTCCAATTTCAACCACTGCTGGGATGTACAGAGCGTGGGGAGCCTAACACACGGCCAAGGCGGCGACGCACTCGGAATCATCAGCATGGTCAATTATACGCTGAGCAAGTATAGCGGGGACCCAGCACGCGTGTTTGCTATGGGGGGCTCTTCAGGCGCAATGATGACAAATGTGTTGGCTGGGTCGTACCCAGATGTGTTTGAGGCTGGCGCTGCCTTCTCAGGGACTGCTCACGCATGCTTTGCTGGCGCCGCGAGTGCTACGCCCGCCACTCCAAACCAAACGTGTCAGATGGGCCTCGAACACACAGCTGCGGATTGGGGTAACTTCGCCCATAACTCTTATCCCGGATATACTGGGCGCCGAACTCGTATGATGGTCTTCCATGGCCTAGCAGATGGGTTGGTGAGACCGCAGGTAAGCCTTAATCTCGTATCAATCAGCTAGCTGTTCTCTGAGCAGAGCCCAAGAGCTGTCTTAGGAGCCGTCTCAGCTCTCAGCTCCTGCATAAGTTCTCTGGAATTACAGTTCTGATTTGCTGGGCAGTGTGCTATCGAGGCGCTCAAGCAGTGGTCGTATGTGCTCGACGTGCCGTGGAGCAAAAACGTTACGGGTTTCCCGTCCGCCGCTTATACTCAGGAGATCTACGGCGACGGGACCAAGCTGCAGGGCTTCTTTGGCCAGGGGGTGGGCCATATCGCCCCTGTGAATGAACCCGTAATGCTGAAGTTCTTCGGACTTACGGCTTAGTTAAGCAGAAAGCCAGCTGCAGGGGCTAGGCAGGGAAAAGAATCACCGGTTTAGGAAATAATCCGATCATACTCGCAAAACTTCTATAGAGCAAGTATATTGTGCATAACGAGGGCAACGATCAAACAATAGCCTCAGGCTCAGCTCAGGTTAAAGCAGCCGCTGCTCACGTCCTCAGACTAAAACTGAACAAAGGAAAGAAAATATCGAGGGTGACTATACTAGTAGATTAGGGAAGTATGGAGATGAAATTGACAGTCTTTAAAAACCCGAGTGTGGTGTAATTTCTGCTAGGCACTGTAAGTCATATCTTATGCGCAAGCTATGCCTTAACGTGGCCTCCTTACCACACTTGGCACCCTAAGAAGGAAGCATAAGGAACAGGGAAATTACGAATAAAGATAGCAGAGTGAAGGACACAAGAGAAGAAGGAGAGGCATAATGCGGGGTGCGGGTTTCGTGTGAGTCCCAAAGAATTCAAACAGCTACTTCCCATCTCTTCCCATCCCCACCCTTCACCCCATCCAAAACCTCAATCCTTCTCCTAAGACCCCGCATCTCTCTGTCCCGCCGTTCTCTCTGCTCTCCTATTGCTCTCCACACGCTGAGATTCCATAAACCTGCCGAGATCGCCACTATCCCCATAAAAACCCAAGGATTCCAGGAGCGCCTTCCCCAGCTGAAAGTCGAATTCGATGAGTCCATTGTGAGGAGATTATGAAGATGTTGAGGAGGAAAAAAAGATGTGAAGCCTCGAGCTGTGCGAATAGAAATACTCCGAAGCAAACCGAGAGGTTCTGCGCAAAAAATGTGATCTTGATTGGGTTCTGGACTGAAATAGAAGTGATTTAGTGTCGGAGAGGAAACGAGTAAAAAAATTGCGAAGTGTGGGACTGAAAGTTCTTATTGGAGTGCAAAGCGGTAGCACGACTAGTGCTGGTACGATTGATTTTTAATGACAAAGCTTTTTGGTAGTAGGTTTCCAGAGAAGAGTGAATAAGGATGGGATGGGATGGGAAATAGTACGAATTGACGAGGAGATAAAGTTGGGAGCTTCCCTAGTCAAGGCTAAGAAAATTGAAGATTGAAGATCAAAGAGAGAGGATTCGAATAATGGCACAGCATCCAGCTTGAAACACCATCCCATGGACTGTACACATCTATTTTGTACATCTAAAACCCATCATATCATATCCTACAGTTCTAGTCGTCATCCTCCTCCTCTAAACCGCGGGAACCCGGTCTGCTCCTCCTCCCACTCTCCACCTCATCCGCATTCAGCTCAACTCCCTTCCCCTTAGGCTCTCCTGGCCCCGCAGCCTTGTTCTCCTTCTCCTCTTCCTCCTTCGGTTTCCCGAGACCAGGAGGAGGAAGCCAAGTTATATCCCCTTTCTTCGCGGCTTCAAGACGTTTTTTCTGCCCCGCTTCACCGGCACGGCCGAGGACGCCGGCTATGACTTGTATGCACCTCAAACTAGGCCACTCATTAGCACCATCTCCCCATCAGAATAAACAGGGAGACAAACCTATCATCATTCGCCGGCACCGGGTACGTAACCCACGTCGGATCCGCATCCGTGTCAATGACACCCACCGTTGGAATATTATTAAGCCCACACTCATGCAACAGGATATAATTCTCCCTGGGATTCAAGACGACCACCAAATCCGGCCTCAGCGCTTTCCACTCCGCAGCTTTCTCCTCGAAGCCCTCAACCTTCTTATCTAGTCCATCCACCACCTTCACCTCACACTTCGCTAGTATCTGATCTCCATTTGTGATGGTACCGGGAATCCATTTCTCGAAGAGATGGCAGCCTTGCGCTAGTTTCGCGGCTTTGACGACCGAGGCGGCTTGTCCTGGCCGTGTGCCCACGAAGAGTATGAGGCCGCCGTGGTAGGCGACGCCTTCTACTACTTTGGCGGCTCTTCGAAGATGCGCTGCTGTTACTTCTAGGCTTATGATGTGCACGCCTTGGCGGACGCCGTAGATGTAGCGCTGGTTCATTGGGTTCCAGAGACTTGTTGCATGCCCGAGATGGCTTTGACTCGCCATCAAGAGCTCCAGCGTCACATCTTCAGGTCGCGGGGGGTTGATGAGTAGTTGGTGGGGTTCGTAGTGAGGCGTGATGTTGGAGCCTATGTGGGAGGTGCGTTTCTTGATGTGCTGTCGGAGGATGAAGTCTTTTTGTACTTTTTTGATCGATTCGGAGGGATCTCGCGTGGGGTGCAATGCATTTGTGGTATATAGTTGGTTCAGATTCGCCCCTGTCTCTTTCCAATGGTTGTCTATTGAGTGCTCGATTGCTTCGCGATCTTCGACGAGGGTTTCTGTTGTGAGGGTTCGCAGGAGGGATCGAGGGGTTGGGGCGGCGAGCGCCTTCCGGCCTGTGGGCTGTCAATTAGTATATGCAGAGAAGATGGAAAGAGGAAGAGACTTGCCATGCCGTATGGCTACATTTCGGAGGATCATGGTCGACCTTGAATGTTGTCTGATGTCGACCTGAGAACTTTCGAGGTTGAAGCTGTCCGCGCTAGTGGCATTTTCACTAGCGCGAACAGCATCATCGGATATGGAGCAAATCTTCATCCAACACATCTCTTGCTCTATGCTTTTCATGCGAAGAGATTAACAAGGTCAATTGATCCCGTGTGCACTCCACAGTCGAAATTGAATAGCGACGTGCCCAAAAAAATCTCATTAGTGCATCATCTCAAGTAATGATGCTAGTACACACGTAAATGTACAAGGAACGAAACGCTACAATGCAGTCTATCATCATCCCATTCATCTCCCATCTACTATTAACGACTCGTAGCCCTGGTCAAAGCAAACACCCCAACAATAACAACAGCAAGAGTCACTATCGCTCCTGGCAACAGCAGCTCATTTGGCACACCAGCAATCACCTGCTCTGGTACTGGTGCAGGCGCGGCTCTCTTCGTCCGTCGAACCGGCACTTCTTCTTCACTGCCTTCCTCATCAGAAACCACCCTCTTCCTCTCTCTGGTCGTAGATGGTGGCGGCGTTGGTTGAGAGGCAATAACAGGGTGAGGATCCAGTGTTGCTGAGATCGGGGGCTTCTCCGGATCATGAACGAACAGATCAACCTTATCCCGATGGCCTTGTCTAGCAATGATAATTGCTTCCAAAAGATCATGATCCGTAGTGATGGAAACGGTATCTCCGTCATCGTCCAGGTAGCTGAGAGCAAAACCTGATACACCAAGCTTGCCGTCCTCGAAGGTAGCTGCACCCCCGACTACATCGACCTCCGACCCTAACTTTGCAATCACAGCGGCGATGAGCTCTCCCATTCCATGAGCAGCAATGACCTGAAGTCTGTGGACTCGACCGCTAGGAGCCTTGAATTTAAATGGGAAAGGAACTTCCTCTGCTGGTGTCTCGGCCGGTCCCGTGACAACGGAATGAGCAGGTGATTCAGCTCCGGTATGTGATGCAGAGTCTCCGGGAGCAACGCTGGCATCGACAATCTTCTCATGACCTCGAGACAAGTCCGGCGACATTAATGATCGTCCGCCATGAGCATGGCTGTGGTGATGGCTGCCTTCTCCAGACATCACAGATTCGGTCTCGTTCTCAAGTGAAAGCCAGAATTTGTTCCAGGCCGGTCCTTCACTGTCTCCAGTGGACATGGTGTTGATTTGCTCCAGGGTGGCATAGGTCAACTTGAGGACATCCACCATGCCGACAATCTCCCCAGCCTCGTTCATCACGGGTAAGTTCAGGTAATGGCCATCTACTATGATCAGCAAATATTTGGAGAATCGAATGAACTAAACTTACCGTGCATTTTCCTCAGGGCAGCTTGAATGCTCATATCCATAGGAGCAAAATCTGGATGTGGGGTCATGACACGAACGACACTACAGTTTGCAGGGTCTAGCCCAGGAGCAATGACACGCAGCACAACATCCTTGCTGGTGAAGATACCAGTAATAGAACCTTGATCTTGAACAAGGACAGCAGTGGTGTGGTTCTCCTTCATCAGAGCTGCGGCCTCTTTCACCGAGGTTCGCACGGAGACCGTCGTGGGGGGTTTCCCATCCAGCACCGACTCCAAAGTGGGCCCAGACATCTTCGATCGCAGAGCCTCAACATATTGAATGATCTGCTGTGGTTGACTCGATCCCAATTCCGATTGAACACCCTCTAATGCATCGTAGAGTTTCCTTGATGAGCTGTAGGCACGCTCAAGCTTTTCCATAGCATCGTAGAAACACTTGGTGATATCCAGGATACCTGAAATATCTTGGTTTTCATCCATTACTGGCAGATGTCTGAAGCCCTTCCTCACCATGAGGTCCAATGCATCGGTAGCACTTGTGTCTGTTCGCGCACATAGAGGATTCTTGGTCATGATCTCTGCAATCGTAACATTGCTGGCTTTGATGCCGGCTCCGACAACTCGGAATGCCAGATCCTTGGCTGTAAATATACCGGCAATTCGGTCATCATCGTCGGTGACCAGCACGCAGTCTTCCCTCTTGGCTGCCATCAACTGTGCCGCCTCAGCGACAGTGGTATTCGGTTTGATCTGGAGGGCTTGACTCGGCCGAAGGGCAAGGACAGTTCCGGGGGGAGCTTTTCGTGTTTGGCGTGCTCGGCCAGTGGTGTGCTTCTTCTTGCTGAGGTCCGTCTCAATCTTCCTCCGAATGGCCTGTGAAGATGCTATCAGTTGTGCCCAGGAACTGGTGATAAGAGCTGTGCTAAGCATACCTCATCTCTCTTGGATTGCTTCTGTCTGCTGGCACTCATTGTTGATCCTCCGGCTTCGCTCTGGGAGGCGCTGGGATGTGATTCGAAAGCTGGACGTGGAATATTGGATGCGGGACTGTTGGTGAAGGCAGGCACTGTGCCCCGTCCCTTGGGCGTGCCCCTCATTGTTCCGCTGGAAGCCATCGCGGGCAGGCAAGGGCAATGTTGTCTGCTGTGTCGCAGATATCGTCCAGGAATGCTAAGCGCTGATTGATTCCTGGATAAGAGGACTGGTTGAGCGACAATTGCCAGGGAACGGAACAACCGCTGCAAGATCTTGTTTTTCCGGCGCGTTGATTGGGAAACAGCACAATAGGCCTGAGGCTCGGCAAGAGCTGAGTGGTCGGCGAAAGGGAACAACGAACCGCCGATGGCCAGGCACGGTTCGCGTGTGGGCGGGCGGCGGGCGGCGCCGTTGCCGGGCAACCACAGCCGTTGTTGACTCGCTCCTAAAACATGCATTTGAAGATCTCGCTCAGACCATCGAGTTCACAAATCCCACCCGCAGAGAAAAAAACCACACTCCACACCCTTCACACGTTTTCAAGAACCACAACTCTATAGACACCTCCCGCTCTATATCCTCTGGCTGCGCACATCAGCATCTCCTAAACCGCTCCACCAATTTTAAGGCTGCGGCCTTCCTAAATATACCCCAGGGCTCTTCAGAGTCAACATCTGCTGAGAAGAGCAACGATTTCCGTCTGCCCGGCCTAACGGCTTGCGCTGCGTGAGGTATGCTTTTGGGCCTCAATTGTATCTATCATGCATGCTAACCTGCGAAGTCTCGGAACAACAGGTGTGCTTAATTGCATTTACTTCGACAACAACGACTTTCCGAACTCCTCGAGCATTCATAATGCTGTCCAATCCTACCAACAACCTTCACAATCGCCAACGACAACACCGACGACAAAATTCGACACCAACGGCATTCGAGCCAGTGAAGGCATCCAACCTGCCCAACATCCAGCGACATGGCGGCCACCGCCGTGGAATGTCCCTGGACCAAAGACGACGACAAACCCCGCCGCAGGAATACATGGTAAGTACTACTAACACAGGATATCAAACGACACAACAGCATATATTGCGAGAAACGCAGCAGCAAAGACTGGCACGCCCGGGCCCACAATTCAACCAATTCGACAATGACGAGAACTACCACAGTTCACCTACCGTCACCACTCACAGACAATCTTTTGATGCCGCTTGTATGGATCAGTATGGAACTGGGGAACACAACCAGAACCAAAACAGGTGGTCATACTCCGGACCCATCAATACGATAATTAATGTCGATCCCAACCAATTCAATGGGAGCAACGACTTCAACCTCTTTTCAAACGACCAAATCCTCACTCCATCTGCATTTCTGGACTTCTCGGCTGGCTTCGATAACGGCAGCGATGCTACGAAGAGTAAAAATCATAGCAGGAGAAGTTCAAGGAGGATCAGTGGTGGTATTGTGGACAGAGTTGCTCAATTTGAGAGCCTGGCACTGCAATCACCCCACACACAGAGACCCATTACTCCTCCCAACCAGAATGTTTCGAGTAAGTTCAACAATCGAGTATTTAATTCATATTTTTATTCATAGCTAACATGTTCAGGTTATTTCCCTCTTACACCGCAGGAGACACCGCACGATCGCACGATCAAGCACGAACAGATACCGCAGAGATTCCTCGATACCTATGATACTTCAATGGAAGAGACAATTAAACCAAGGAGCAATCGCCGAGCAAGAGGAGTCTTCGACGATATGAGGGAGGCGGCTGAAATGAACTCCATCCCGAGTCCACCTCGGACCGGCCCCATGACTACACCGAGTACTTTCGACTCCGCCCCAATGCCGACCGGTAACTTCATGAATATGACAAATATCAACCTCGATTTCATGAAAAGTGAAGATCAGTACGATGGCTCTACACACTCGCAAGCTTCGAATCTCTCCCCTGCCATGTCATACCATTCGTCTCCAGAGATTACCGAAATGGCCATGTTCGGAGATCCATTCGTGACCAGACCAGACCTGGATGCTCACACTTATCCAGAGCCCACTGCTCATGGTCTTCCTATTCCAGCTTCCCCGACTCATTCGCTCCATCGACGATCAGAATCTGTTTCCAGTATCAACCCTGACGAATCAATCACTGAGACTGGAATCACAATTGATGATATTGCATCTTTCATTTCTGGACCTGAACCCTCGGACGGAAAATGGATTTGTCTTTTCCCCGAATGTAAGAAACGCTTTGGACGGAAGGAGAACATCAAGTCTCATGTTCAGACTCATCTCGGAGACAGACAATTCCAATGCCCTCACTGCAAGAAATGTTTCGTGCGACAACACGATCTCAAGCGCCATGCCAAGATTCATAGTGGTGTGAAGCCATACCCTTGCCAATGTGGAAACAGCTTTGCCAGACACGATGCATTGACACGGCACAGACAACGTGGAATGTGCATAGGAGCTTTTGAGGGTGTTATCAAGAAGACCGTCAAGCGTGGCCGACCTCGTAAGAACCGGCCAGGCGATGAGGAGCGCCTCAAGAAGTCATCCCGAACTCGCAGCAAAAACAAGGCAATGTCATCTGCTTCATCCACTTCTGACTGCTCAGAAAGTCAAGATGGCCAGTCTCCCCGAAGCGACGCTGGTATCCTTGATGACAAGCCTTTCGGTGATTACGAGTACCCACAGAATGTCATGGAGACCAGCAATTCCCAATATTCACAACACCATTCCCCGATGGACAACAATTGCGTCTCTCCTCAGGCGATTCAATCACAGACTGCACACTCCCCATCAGCATTCAGCCACCATTCTCAATCTCACCGTGGCTCCATCTCCGAGCATCTGCCGTCACACCCCACATCTCCAGCTAAGAGCATCCACAGCTACCACTCCCCCCCAGGACTCTGTGAATCCTCCTCCAGCCCGGCTCCCAGCAACCATTACTATGATCTGGAAAATGGGTCTCGGCACGGCGACGATATGCAAATGAACATGACCGGAATGAGCAACATCTCAGAGCACGACGATGAGATGTTCCTCGAGGCATTCGCTGCAGCCAGTAACGGTGGCCTGACAACTTTGGAACGCGATCCAGAATTGTTGATGGCGAAGTTTGACGATGAATTCAGCAACACAGCGGGTGATGATCTCTTCAGGAACAGTGAGGATGTTTTCTTTGGCAGTCCATGATTACCTCTTCACGCTACAAAATTGAAACGGAGGGTAGATTCGGATCTGGATTTCGCTTTTTCATATTCAACAACGGAGACTGTACTGTACAACATTCAAAATTGCTTTTCGAGCGAGGGTTCGCGGTTGGGGATTGGACGGACGCATGATGACTGGATCTAACGACTCTCCTTCATTGGCGTATATGATGCAGATGGATAATGGATCGGAATATTGTTATGATTACGTATGGTGGGATGGGAGGATTAAATAAAAGGATCGGGACCGGGCGATAATTACGTAGTTGTGTGGAATTAAAATGCGATTGTTACGGGAATTAGGACGTGCCTCAGCCCAATTCGCTAGTGAGACTTCACCAACACTCCTTGAGTGAGTTACTCTCTTTACTTCCAAATCTTCCACTTACCGTAACTGGTTCTATTCGGTCATTCGAAGTAGACGTGACGTCAAATCAGGGCAAGGCCTCCTCCCTCATTCCTTGCTCGCTCCTTCCTTTCTCAACCGTCTTCTTCATAAGAGTCACGCCGACATCCTTGCTTCCTCCATCTAGCCTTCGATCTCTCTCGCGTTCGCTCTTTCCCCAAACATAAATACAACAGCCCCTCTCTCGCATTCGCTCAACTCTTCTCTCCTTTCCATTCTATCATCACTTAGTTGTCAATTCCCATCCATCCATCCATCCATCCATCCATCCCTTCACTCCTCCCACAGGGTGCTCAAGGTGTTTTTCCTGAGATTGTTAGAGAATTAGGTAGAATGATGGAGGTTAAGTACTGGAATATTGGTCTGGGAGATTGTTGCCACATGGAAGCGGGCATTGATATATCGCCTTCACGGGAAGAATTTTTCACCCTTTCAAAGTATTTTCTTATTTGCTAGGCTAAGCATTTTCCTCTTTCCTGCGACGCCACCAGTTATTCAGTCTCTTTTTCTCGCAGACGAGTTGTTGCGATGAGTTGATATTATGAGGGGGAGTAGTTTCGTATGCCGAGTATGTTTGGTGAGGAGAGACGTTTCTGGGGTTTCGTCTCGGTGCCGCGTATTCGGCGCTGGAGGTGGGAGTGAGGAGAGTTGTGTTTGCTGGAAGTCTAGTCATGATGTCGAGCGGGGTTTACCTTTCTGTGGAGATGGATATTGTTAGGAAAAATGGCATATCTAGAGCGAGGATTGCGTCTGGCAGATCTATGAGCTGAACCTGTGCCGGCTCGATGTTGTGAAGAGTATCTAGTTTCACAGGTGCGTCCGCGGGGATAACTTGTACTGATATATTGTGCAGGTACGAAGCTTGGAGGCCGACTGCATCGCTAAACTGAGCCTTGCGAAGGACAGCAATGATCAAGATATGCACTTCCCTCGAATGTCTCATCGACCCGAAGGTTCAGTGGCTACGCTTCTCGCACCGGAAGCAGCTGTTTCCTCCTCAACAGCACACTTCTCAAATATTCTTCTTTGTCTTTTTTGCTTGACTTTTAAGTTCTTTCCTGCAAACTCCATTTAGTATACACTCTCAAATACAATGCCCAGCAAGCAAACTCACCTCCTGCGAGAGATACATCGCAAGCATCTCATCGTTGGTCAGAGCCTTAAGTTTAGGACCATTCCCTCCAATAGGCTCGTCGACCTTAGTCACGGACCTATCTATAGAATTCCTCCCTCCACTAGGGACTCTCTTCCCCAACCACGCGGCATCAAGTCTCTGCTTAACGCATTCGAGATGAACTCGTGTGATATTAGGATCATTGTGCCAAATGTCCTGCACAACCTCCTCGATAATGAGCACCTTCAGCGCTTTGAACCGGACAAGCACCCAGCCGAAATCATCTAGGCTACCTGCGCGGTAATAGCCCCTAAAAACAAGGAACTTGAGTTTCTTCTCCAACTCGAGGATTTCATCTGGAAGTGAAGAGGCATAGCTCGCGTCCAGACCGGCGAAGAAGAAATCGATCACATCGTCCTCCCAGATCAGAAGCGTGTCGACAGCATAGTTGATGTAAAATCCCAGCTGGCCCAAGAAGGCGGGGCTGAAGAAGAAGTCGTAGTGCTCAAGCACGATGAAGCGTGCTTCTTGGGACACGGATAGGATTGCTGGAACGGTGCGGGCGTTGTGCTTTACGCCTGTGATGTGATAATCGGGGTTTCTTGTGTACATACCGTTGGTGATAATGTATCGCTCGGGGAAGGAGAGATAGGTGCATGAGATGTAATTGTTCGAGGGGTGTTTGCGATGAGGCGCCAGATCATGAGGCGCAGCTCTGGTGGGAGCTTGGGGAATTTGTGGAAAGTGGCGGTGGGAGCTGGAGATGAAACCAGTGGTGGAGACTGTGTGGGGGGTAAAGAGGGCATCTTGACAGCGGAAGGCGCCTCTTATCTTGAAAATGGGAAACTCCCCTCTCTTTCAGGAAGAGGCTCTGCAGTTCCGAGAAGCTTTTGGTGCAGTTGGGTGTTGTTGGAAAAGTCTTTCGTTGTGGTGGAAGTCTTCTGTTGATGAGAGAGGACGAAGGGAAGCAAGGGTTTGTTGCTGCTAATAGGCGATGTTTTTATACCAGTTTTAATTTCGCCTCCGCTCCCCTGTTTGCCGCGTCTTTAAAATTTCCGATAAATCCTGGATTCAACAACCAGGACCTGATAAAATAAAAGTATATAGCCGAGAATATTTAAAGTATGAGGCGGAATTGTTTGAAGCACTACTTACTATCTTTAAAAGGAAAAGAGGAGCCTTTGCTTATTTAGATTCGGGCTCAAAGATATAGACTTCAATATATCCTGGACTCCGAGAAAATAGGTGGTAATAAGGCAAGTTATGTAATAATCATGTTTACCTAATTTTAGCTTTGGCAAATTTCATGAAGAGCAGATTTGAGAGAGTCAGTTTAGTGATGCTTTACTGATTTGCAATGCCATATATTGATACTCTTCTTCCGCTTGCCCGATCCATACCAAGACGCCCAATTTTCCCTACTGAGACCAATCGCTGCGGGAGAAACATGATCCCGAATATCTGCGTCCACTGAAAGAAATCAAAGAGCCACTTCGCTATGCAGGTGCTCTGACATCTGACCGCCCTGTCAGTCCATGTAACCTTCTCGGTAAAGTCCTTCCACAGCTCGGAATTGTTCCTCTCTCATATTCTTTTTCTAACTTTCGTTAGCGTGTGGCCAAATATTGTAGAAGGATGTTGAACACTTACAGTCTCCTCATGAACCAAATCCAAAAACTCATCAGCCGTGACAGTCTTCACAATGGGTGTCTTCTCCCCTTTGCTCGCAACTTTCCACAACTTCTCCAGGGCTGCGAGATAATTGTTCCACGTTTCAGTGTGAGGCAGAAAACTTCTTGGTGGTGCCTCGAGAACCACTTCTGCCACACGCCAGAATCGAGTCAACAGCGCGTTTCCAAGAAGCATGATTGTGTTTCCAATCACCAAACGCTTGAGCTTCCTCTCCATTGGGAGGCGTTCGGAGAGCGCAAGAAAAGAGTTGTCTTGCTGCGACATCCCGTCATTGGCCCGTCCGTAGAAAGCATCCAAGTCTGAGGGGAAGGGGAAGTAGAGACCATCGACGTCATAGTTGAAGAATATGTGGCGGCCTCCGAATTGGGGGCCAAAGTGAATCTGGTAGTGCTTCAAAGCAATTTCACGAGATTCCCTATTGGCATGCAAAATTCCCGGTACGATGTGTGCATTGTGCTTTGCGACCATCCGGTTGGCTTCGGCATAAGGTTCTGCACCGCATATGGTGATAGTACGTTGGTAGTTTGCGGCGAAGTGCCAGATCGTGACGCGCAATTCCGGGGCAAGCTTTGGAAAGAGCATGAACTTGTAGGCAGGGACAAACTTTATCCGCTTGATCATGTTGGAGGAAGGCATCTTGATGCTGCCACAAGTTGCTCGAGTGTTGTATTGTGCGGTTTGTGTTTGTTGCAAGAAGAATCCGATGGTAGAAAGCAGAGTTTGTTCGAAAGGTCGAATGTTGACGAAGGATGATGGAAAGATGGAAGAGAATACCAAGGTCTAAATATATAGGGCAGGACTTCGCTTTGCTACAAGTTGAGCTCCTTTAATTTTCATAACAGCTGTCGATGCGAACAGTGAATCAATATACGTAGTGTTGTTCAGGATGGATTGGGAACTGTTTATTTCATTGCAGTGATAGGGGAAGGGTCATGCAAAACAGGAACAGAACATTAAAGTTTTGATAACCATAATTGTTCTCGAAAGTTATGATAATAGAGAGCCTTAAATCACAGAGATCTGATGATTCTGTGATGGCTTTTGAGAATCGCAGAACTAATTTTTGCATGGCAGTACGCACTCCACCCATTCAAATTGAAATCTAGCATCTGAAGTTTGCTAGAATTAAGAGTTTGATACAACTTGGCACAGTGGCTTGAGACTTCGTGATCACTTTGAAATATCCTATGTAAAGATACTGCCCTTTATCCCTGCTCCTGAGGAGTGGAACTTCGGGAATGCCGGATGGCCTGATGTTCTGTTGGTTGAATAAACAAACGTCCCAAATAGCCTGCTTGTATTATTTAAAGCGCCACCTCTCTCTTCCAAGCAGCCTCCATCTTTCCCTTTATCACCTTAACCAGAATATTCAATAGCATCCGCAAATTAGATGGGTCTCTAGGTTCTGGGGACTTATTTTCAGACTGCTCCAAACCACAAAACTCACTCTTGCTAGTGAATAAAACATCGCGAAGTCTTCCGATCAGAAAGCGCCAACACTCGCTTCTGTCTATGATGTCTTCTGGCTTCTCGCGCCTCGATCGGTAAGGTTGTTTTCGTAAAACATGATCTGAAGTCGTTGGTGCACGTTTGGCCTTTGGCTTTTGGGATGTCACTGCTTCCGCATAATTCGCGGAGGCGGTGCCCATCCCGCCCCTATGCCGCAAGCACCCCCAATTGTGTTATTTTGGAATGCTGGCATGTCACTCACCTTATCAGGCCTAGGCTTGGAATGTCACACTGAAGTTATGATTGGCTTGTGGCGAAATAGGCGATCATCCCCCTTTAAAATACTAACGTGAAAACAGAAGTCGGTTCGCATGTTATTATTTTCATACATCCGTCACATCTAACAGTTATATTCAAAATTTCAGCTACTTTCAGGGCCAGATTGCAATCAAACCTATCTGACTAAACTTGTATATTTAATTGGTACACTATGAAACCCGGCGTTCTCATTCTTTGCACCGGTAATTCCTGCCGCAGCCACATGGCTGAAGGCATCTTACAAGCCTCCGCCGGCGACCTTGTCGAAGTTCACAGCGCAGGGTCGAAGCCTGCTGGCTATGTCCACCCCAAGGCGATTCAGGTGCTGAAGGAGATTGGAATCGACATTTCTGATCACACGTCTAAGGACATGAACACCTTTCTCGACCGCCAGATTGCGACTGTCATCACTGTTTGCGGAAACGCCGATAAGGCGTGCCCCGTATTTCTCGGGCAGTTAAATCGCTATCACTGGGGTTTTGATGACCCCGCTCACGCCGAGGGCGGTGAGGAGAAGGTGCTGGCCGAGTTTCGCCGCGTGAGGGATGAGATCCGCAAAGTGATTGATGCCTACGCTGCGGGGCTACGCGAAGGCGCTTCTTGGAAGGAGACATCAGTACCTGTACACAAAGTTTGAATGCGGGCTTAGTTTCTCAAGCAAGTTTGAGCTGTACCTATCTGTATCTTTTCGACGTTAGTAGAATGAGATACGGTTTTTAAAAGTCATGTTACGATTCAAGCCAAGTGGTGAGAATTTTCCGCCCAGAGCAGGTGGACATTACTATAATCATGGTGGATATTCAGTGTGTTAGAAAATCAAGGGAAAAGGATAATGAAATAATGAGGAGTACTGTTTGGCTGTCTACAATTCTGTTATCAAAATAAAGGGCCAAATTCTTAGGTTGAATGTCGCATTCTCTATGCTCAGCTCCATCCCATCAGCCTACCGCAATTGAGATGTTAACACAGCGTGGCAAATAATCCGATCGTTACCATGGAAAGTTCTGCCTCACTATCCCTACTCATGAGGATTCGGTCCTTTAGAAGAACCAGATGTTTGCCTTAGCTCTGATCACCAAGACAAGTATCTAAAGCACATTGGTAGCCTTCTTGAAAGCCGCTTTCCTCTTCTTAGCAGCCTCAATCTTTGGCTTTACTCCTTTAATCTAAACATTGGTTAGCTTTGGCAACTCAACCAGAGGTGGCGGTGCAGCTTACAGTCTCGGAATCTTCCAGAGCCTTGAGCTCCACCTTGCTGGCAAACCTGATCCCAGGATCCTTTCCAATTAGACACTGCCAGAGATTCTTCAGGTCTACCAAGTCCTCCGGTCTCTCGTGGGGAGGAATGTCAGCCGGCTCTTCAATGGCGACTTCTTCTACCATCTCAAACCGAGCGGTTAAGCCGTTGTGGATATCGAGCAGCTTTCCCCCGACGATTAACGTCTTGAGCTTTTGCTCGATCTGGAGAATGTCAGGAGGCCATATGGTTGTCGAAACCACCAAGCCACCATAGAAAGCGCGCATATCGTCATAAGACGGGAAGTATAGGGCATCGATGTCGAAGTTGAAGTAAACCGGGTGCCCGCTGAAACGAGTTCCGAAGTAGGCTCTGTAAGTCTCCAGGCCGATACATCTTGCTTCCTTCGATGTATGCAGAATACTAGGGACAGCAGCTGCATTGTGCTTTGGTACAGTTGTGTGGATCAAGGGATGGCCCTTGCGACGTACTGTGATTACACGTCCATGCTCTGCCATTACTTTCCAGATAGCAACACGAAGCTCCAGAGGTAGTTTGGGAAATTGGACAAACTCTATTGCTGGAGCTATCTTGCTCAACCGATTGCCTCCTGAAAAGACGCTGTTGCTCCTAGAGAAAGACATGTTGGAAGAGATAAGTGGTGGACAAGTAGTGTCGTAGTCCGGAATTGCTGGTTCCTCAACCATGTTTGATGGTGGTTTTGGTGGAGATTATCCTCGGTGTTGTTGACTAGAAGACAAAAAGGCTGACGATCGCTCAAAGAAGAGCTGTTTATTACCTATATCTAAGCCTCGCCTGTGAAATATTATCTGCCGCATATTAAAATTTAGAAACACACTTAGGGTCAATTCTGCCATCTCATCTTGATTCTTGAGCGAGGAAGCTGGTGGGAGACCTTGATTGGTATTCCCCTTCACGTCGAATTCGAACTCAACGGGACAAGGAAAATATTTGCCGTCATGTTAGTATGCCGCACGAGGGTTAAGTTAAGACAATGGAAAGAAAGTGATTTGCTGACAAGGTCATGATTGTTTACAGAGACAAAGAATAGAAAGCGTTTGTTTAATTGTTCTGCAATCTTACAACGGTACAAGTATCCAGGGAAAAAATAGAAATTGGTTTTATTGTTCAGATGTCTCATTGATTATTGCTATGGTGAGTATCTGTAGAAGTCCCTAAGTCCCGGTGTCAATTCCCAGGCAATGTTCTAGAGACGTTTATCAAATGCCCTTGCCAAATGAGAGGCAATGTGACCTAATTTACAATTGAAAAAGTGAAAGTAACCCATGACGGATAAGCAGAACACCTCGAAGAGAAGCCTTCTATGAATGTTTTCCAAGTCTGAAAGGCAGAGAGTATCCACCAATTATCACCCCATCACCTGCGACTTCGACTTGCTGGTGTTTCTCATGTCACTAGAGGATTTGAGCAGATAACTCAGGACTGGGCAGGCATTCTTTGTGTGCATTTTCAATAACCTCTAACTCTGGTGTCTTCAAAGTTCTGAGGCATCTAACTTTCGGACAATTGCCTCCATATCCCGTCTTTGAGACCACCCACTTCCAGCACCTCACAAGCTGAGCCGCGTCTCAGTTTGTCACGGGAACCGTACCAAAATATTTCATATACCCTCGCTGGTCGAAAGCATAGAAGTTGTCAACTCTAAAGGATTTAGAGGTGTACGAACTCACAACGCAGTCAGGGGTCGTTGCCATAATCACGGTCGTGATGTGCTCCTCCATGTCGAGGATCTCATCAATCATTCCTTACTTCCTCTTTGACTGCGGCTGTAGAAGGCTGTAAGATCTTCCTTCTTGCCGAAGTAGGGGGAATCTTGGTCATAGTTTAGGTATATAAGGCCACGGTGGAAGGTTGAGCCCAGGGCGAGTTCGTAGAACTGCAGGCAAAAATTTCGCGAGTCCTCGCAAGCGTGCAGAATGCCCGGTATACTGTCGTTATGTCTCGCTCTGCGTGTGTTCTTGTGAGGGCCATCTTTAATGCGGTGATAGAGATGATACGCTTGGCCTTGGCCGCGCTTGCTCCCAGATCATATTGCGAAGCTCGGGCGGCAGCTTCTTGAAGCGGGTGAACGTGGTTGCTGGAACGGTTCGGTTAGAGACAGTGATTGGGAGTTTCTCCATCGTGGACTTGACGGCGTTTGAAGTGGCCTTTCTTGACATGATCGTTTTGGAGAATATGTTTGGCGGAAGCGAAAAGAGGTAGTTATCACGTATCTGGAGCTTCGTGTCCAGTTCTTTGTAATGGTGTTGGTTCTTGCGAAGATGTCACGTCTCGGGTTTAATGTTGCCGATGAATCCAAGAAGGAAGAAGTAGTTGACCCAAGTACTTTATTTATACCCAAGTCAAGTGAGCCGTCCTTTAAGTAATCCAAAGCCCTGGTAGCTGTTCTAAGATCGTGAACGACGTCAGGATAAACCCTTCCAAGGAACGATGCTTATAAACAGAAAATTTTGATGGAGGCATCATAGCGAACGAAATCGACAAACAATTGGCAACCATATAAAATCGAATCCAGTAAGTAGATCTTCGATTGCTCGGATATATCCCAGGCTCGGCAAAAATACCTGAGGTATTAATAAGGAATCGATAGTTACTGGTATTAATAAGGTATTAGTAAGTATCAATACGTATTAATTCCTTATTGATTCCTATACCGCTTTCTACCCCGCACCCTCTAATTTTTCACTCTCTCTATTCTCACATCTTTTATTCTCATTCTATTTGGATTACACACTCAAAATGTCTTCTTCGCATAAGCTAGACTTTTCCTCTCTAGCTTCTGCTTTTGTAGATCTAGAACTAGAAGCCCCTTCCAGCCGAAAATTAAGGGCCCCGGTCTGGAAGCATATACGTAATCCCACTGTAAAGAAGAACCAAGCCTACTTCTATTATATCTATTATAATAAGGAAACGAGAAAGCCATATTATACTTCTCTTTTAGAGAATATAAAGAAGCATATATAAGGTATTTACAAGATCCCTATTAAGATAGCTATTAGTAAGAACCAAGTAATAGTTAATTTATAATTAAGGCAATATTACTACCAAGCTACTAGAACAAACAAGTAAGAGGAGCTTAATACTGAGATCCTAGAAGCTTACCTTAATATCTCGGTTATTCTTAAAGCTCTAATTATTCTCATTATTATATGGAATCTGTCCTATACTCTTATTAAATAGCCAGAGTTCCATATATTTTGCCAAGTACTTAATCGAGCTATTAAAGGCAAGATTATAACTTCGTATTTAGGAATTACTAGCTTAGTTAAAAACACTTGGAAAAGGCACTAGGATATCATATAATAAGTAGTTTAGGCTATACTCTTACTTATCTATATTTCTCTAGATATCTAGATCTCTCCAAATTAATTACTTTTACTTATAATCTATAGCCATTTTACTATATATAATAGAAAGTAATAAAAGGCCCTTCTTGCTTTAAAGCAGGTCTCTGGCTATAGCTCAGAAGCTTAAATATTAATCCTTTAGCTAGTTCTTCAAGATTATAGTATTATTTATAAGCTTGAAGCTATTATATATAATAATGTCTTAATAAATAATATTCTTTATTAATTAGTTTAAAAGAAGCTAAAGAATAAGCTAAGCTTAAACTAGGAGGTAGATTACTAGTATATTCGCTATCTGGGCTATATTATTAATCTAGTTATATAAGCTTTCTTATTTACGAATTAGGTTAGCTTAGAGAACCTTAATTCATATAATAAGCAGAAGTAGTATACTAGAGTCTTTAATATAATAGAGGTAATAAAGGCCTAGTTTAGGCTAATAGGATCCCTTGGCCAAGTATATAATATTATAGTTTATATTTATAAATTAGCTAGAAAAATAGAGGAGTTTTATATACTTATAAAAAGGCTAATTCTAATAGATAATTATATAAGATAGAATAGCTAGTATAAGATACTTTATATATTACTTAACTTGAGGCTAGTAATAGAAAGGTATTATTAAAATTATAAAAAGAAGCTTAAGGAGAATATCTTGATTTCTAAAGATTAGAAAAAGCTTTATATAATTAAGGACTTTCTTATATTCTTTATATAAGCTACTCTTATAGCTAAGGACTTAACTTTATTTAATTCTACTCTTTTTATAATAAATATCTTAATTAAATACCTCTAATAAGAGAATATAAGTTATTCTTTTCTTTTATATAATCTTATATAATTATACTAATTCTAATAAGCTAAATATTAGAAGAATAAGGATATAGAGGAAAAAGACTTCCTTTATTAAATTAAGGCAGTATATAAAGTTCTAGATAATTATTATATAAGAACTAATATGTCTCTAGTTTATATTATTATATTAATCTTAAATTCTTATAATTATATAAGATATATTAAGATATACTAGCTAAAGAAATAGTTAAAGCTAGTTTTGGCTAAGATTAAAAAGCTCTAGGAGAAATATTAGAAAAGGCCTATTATTATACCTATACTACTAGCTTTTTAGTATAAAGGCTTATCTTACGAGATACTAGAACTAGATATATATAATTATATTACCTTATTTCTTAGAGTAAAAGCTCGTCTTATAAGTTAAGACGAGTTTAAGAACTATAACTTATTAGAATTATATAATTCTAGTAAATAGGGGGCCCTTATATAATAGTATTAGGATATATAGAGGTAATACTAGCTAAGGCTCTCTCTTATAGCTATTAATATTCTCTTTATTCTACTAATAAATAATAAGCTAGAGAGAGTATTTTTAGAAGAATATTATATAATAAGCTAGAATAGGATATAAATAGAAGTAGAGATAATTAAAATATAAGAATATTTAAAGTACTAGAAAAGAAATAGGATTCTAAATACTTTCCTTAAGACTAAGAGAGAAATCTGAGAAAAAAGAGAGATTCTATACTTTTTATATAATATTTTAGGGCCAGATTAGAATCTCTTCTTTTAGTTTTCAGGTACTATATAAAAGTAATTATAATTATAAGTAAAATTAAAAGAGGGTAAATATTATATAAAAGCCAGATAATTATATAATATAAAGAGAGTAAGTAGCCCTATCTAGAACCTATAAACTTACTAGCCAGGATAAGCTCTAGGCTTTAAAACTCGTTTACTTTATATAATTTTAGGAGATTTAGACTTTTCTATAGAACCTCCCTCTTCTCTATTATTATTAATATCTCATATAGTATATTAGGTCGCATAACTATAATAAATATAGTTACTATATATCCTATATTATTCTTTACCAGGAACCCTTAAATACTCTATAAATATATCTTGACCCTTATTATAAGTAGTATAAGGAGTCTGGGTATTAACTTTACTACTATATTACTTAGTACAGATTATATAAACTCAGGAGAAGTAACTTATACTTGCTAAGTCAAGATTATATTAATAACTTTAGGGAGAAGTAGGGTATTAAAGATACCAGGAGTATAGGGATCCTTAATTATAATATCTGAGGGTTCTGGATTATTAATATTAAAGGTACGCTTCTGCTAAGGACTACTATTAATAACTAAGGGCTAGAGCTCATTTCCTCCCATATAAAGGAAGTACTAAGCCTTAGTATTATTAGAGGGGTCTATACGAGTCCAGATAACGAGATCTTATTAAGCGTGGGCTGCCATTATATATATATATATAAAGTAGTATATATGAAGTATTATATATAAGGTATATATATGGAGTATGTGAGGAGAGAGAGAGAGTATATGTATATGTAAGGAAGTTAGAGGGAGGGCTAAGAGCTAAGAGCCTATTATATAGATATCTAGGGCTAAAAATGACTCAAATGGGAGCCTGAATAATTCAGATTAAGCTATGAATTAAGCTATGAATCATATAGTTATTTGGTATAGTTCAGACGATGCGGGGAAATAATTGGCTAGAGCCTTAGAAATAGGGCTATAAAGCTGTGAATTATATAGTTATTTACTATAGTTCAGATAATGGAATTAAAATAATTAGCTAGGGTATTAGAATTAGTTATATTAAGCTGTGAATCATATAATTATTTAGTAAATCAGATGGTGGGGTCAAAATAATTAGGTAGGGCCTTAGAAATAGGGCAAATACTGACTAAGTATTGATAGAACTATCGATACTATCGATACCTTACGATTCTGGCATCGATTCCTATTGATACCGGAAATTAGGGAATTTTTGCCGAGCCTGATATATCCCTGTTAGCGTTGGGCATGCTTTCCTAATTACCAAGTTATCATAGCTGATGGTAGATCCTTGTGACACCTATTGAACAGGGAGCAATATGGAGGTGCAAGAACGATAATATTAATAACTGATAAGGCCTAAATAACTAAAATACAGCGGAGTGAGTTTTAAAACAGGAGAGAAGGAGTGCAAAGCTTCGTTCTTATGTCCATTAGCCTTCCGCGATATGGGTATTCCGAAGCACGTGCTCTCCGTACATTACAAATCAGCTAATAAAACAAATGACTATATTAGTGAGCGTAAATAAGCGCCGCAAGTGAAGCATTAGAAATGAGAGTGAAGAAGACTAAATTAGTGGTTGAACCTAGTGCTGGAAGGAATGGTAGGCTAGCCAGGCCAGTATACCACCAATTCAATAATACCTCAGAGTTCAGATGTTCTTGCTTACGGACGCTTCCGTTTGATTTTCAACTGAACTACATCTCTTGCAACCTCAAAATGTCAGAGAAACCAAACAAACAAATGCAAAATAGCTGGGAGGAATCCCATGTGATGTAATCCAAAACTGTTCTTAAACTCCACTGTTCCCGAAAATATTTTTGAACCGAAAAGTCTCGTCCCTGTTGTAGATATAGGGGAGTGCTTTTTGCAGTAACCCATCTATTCTTCTAGTGATACTAATGGTATATATATTCGCATTAATAGTCTGAGGGACTAAATGAGATACCGCTGTTTGACCTGATGCTCAATTATCACGTGGCTCATCGTGACTCCTCGTTCCAACCCGGGCCCGTCAATTTAAGTGTGCGGGAGCTAGTGTTGTAGAACAACCCTCTGTGGCACTAAACACCCACCCGACTGTCTTCGGTTAGAATTTAAACTGCGAACACTGCATTTTTCAACTCTTGAAGTATGTGTTCGCTTAGTATTGTGGTGTGGTGTGAATAGCCCAATTCTTGCTATTGTCGTGAACTATTGTCCCAAACTAAGGACTCGTCGCCATAAATTCGACAACTCCCTACAATTTTGAACCAAACTAAAATCATAACTCTGCACCAAACACCTTCGAAAACCCCGCTGTCTTCTACCTGGTTACTTCCCCGAACACCACGCAGAAACAAGCGAGAGCTTCCCCAGCATTCTACTTCACGGCAAAAGTTTACTCAGATTGCCTGCCCTCGATATCCAATCTACCCATTTTAAGCACCTTTGAGCACTTCGTCTGATCCGCCTTCGCAATCAGACACAATAAACAAGATGGCCAAGCCAAGCAACCCACATCTCCGAACCTTCACTTGCTTCCCGAGGCTCCCACTCGAACTGCAGCGCATGGTCTGGGGCTTCGCACTTCCCGCTCCACGCACAATCACCATAACTTCCACAGACTTCACAATTCGAGACGCCAAAGGCTGGACCGTCCGGAAATATTGCGTCGCCCACAACGCACGGTCCGTTCCCTCCTTGCTACATGCCTGCCAGGAATCTCGAAAAGTAGCCCTGAAGACCTACCATCTTGCATTCGGGCCGCAGCTCCGAGGAAACCCAATCTATTTTGACTTTCAATCCGACACCCTCTGCCTGAAAGATGAGAACGCTCTCCTCTCCTTTTTCGGTGGTTACAGCAATTTCGACGCAACTGGGATGGTTGGAGACGCCAAAGAGAAGGTCTGTCACTTGGCAATTGGTGGGTTCTATGGCAGAGGAAAGACTTGGGACGAACTGGGAGAGCTGGAGGAGGTGAAAAGCTTGATTCTCCAAAAGCCGAGACGAGGAAGCCTCACGATGGAACGGAAGGTGGAAGCGTTGGAGACTAAGTGGTTGTCCCGAATGGAGCAGGAGAATTTCGACCATCAAGGACCAGCAGAAGGAGCAAGCACCATAGGTGTTCAGGCTGAACCCAATAGAGTTTTCAAGAAAGGTTTGCCTGAGATTATGTGGTTCACCGAGGCCAAATTGAGACAGAAGTCAAACCGCGAACGAGTGAGTCGAGCCCCGCCCCTACAACAAAGAACGAGCTAACAAACAGCAGCAACCAAGACCGAAGGGCATGAAGAAAGTTCCAAAGGCACTTGAGCCTGAGCCTTACCAAGCTCCGACTCTGCGAGCGACCGCCCACATCTATTATGTTGAACTAGCTAAAGCAATATAGCTAGGGTCACGTGCTTGCAATGTAAACCAAGTAAACGATACTGAATTGACTGCTGTTCTACAGTGGTAAGTAGCCCGTATATATAGCCCTGAACCCCCTAAGTCACATGTACTAAATCCCTATGCCAGCTGAACCGATTACAGCTATACAGGGTATTCCAGCCGTACAGGGTATTCCAGCTATACAGGGTATTCCAGCTGGACAGGGTATTAAGCTAGTGCACAGCCCCATGGCGTTCGGTTCCAGGGCTTACTAAGCCTATTAGGGGCCTCAGGCCCCTAATTTCAACATATTACGGAGCATGATGCTTTCACGTGACATTTGATGAATTCTTCTGAGAGCAGCATGTACATAGCAGATCACATTTCAAATTCCACAAGGAACTCTACACTGCATAATGATGCCTTCTGGTTGATTTATTGTGTCCTTTATGCAAGATCACCACGCTCCGCCCCTGATCTTCACCAGTGATCAAACTACTTGCCGCCAAATTTGGAGATTAGTTCGCTTGGGAAGTTTTGAAGCATCACTAATTCAATCCATGCTCAAAAGAGCTATTTTTTCGTCAATGGCGAGTTGGTGGGCCCGGTAACACCCATTCTATGCAAACAGAAAACATCAACCTCAGTAGACTCACGGACACCTCGCTTAAGCCCCTTTCCCAGCAGCCCCACACATCAGGTGATTTACAAAGTTGCGGGAGAATTCAGTCACTGCAAAACGAGACCATTGCAATTGAGAGTTATTTGGATTGTCTCGCAGGCAGGAAGCGGAATCGGTCCCTCCACTACCTAGCCTTCGGCCTCCCCTGCTGCAGCGCAGAAATGATATACGAAGGCGGGCGGCATTAAAAATCGTCAATCTGCTAAAACGCCAGGAACACCAAAATCGCTACATTTGGAAAATCGCACCAAATCTCGACGCAACATCCAAAATTCTTTAAAATAGCTTTGTATAATAGAAAAGAAGCAGATCTAACTTTTGTAGAATTTTCTCGATAATTAAGTATAGTGCGGAATTACGAGAATTTCTGTATTGCGAGGATTAATATTGCTCCCGCCCTCGCTTAGCGAATTAGACGAATTTTAATGCCGCCCGCCTTCGTAATTGTCCATGGTATATCCTATCCCTACACATTTCCCTCTCCCTAATCCTCTCCCTCACTCTCCAATCTTACTTCCCTCCTTGGCACGCTACCATGTCGACTGCTTCGGAATTATCCCACGTGCCTCCTTCGTTTGGGGGAGAGGCACAGAGGGGCTAAGAGGAGATAGGTCGACCGACTGCGAAGGGGTTGGTCAAGGAAATATTTGGACTGCAGAAGAAAGCTAAAGAGGAAGAAGAAGGTGAGGATGTGGTATAGTAAATAGGAAAGATCAATGTTACGAATAGAGGACCGCCATTGCAAGAGTCACTACATGCTATTTGGGGTGATTGCTCTGCCTTGCAGAGTATAATTATTGCTATTGAAGCAGCATTTCAGGTAGTCCAAATTCCTCCGGCTATCTTCTCTGGGTAAAAAGATAATGATCTGCGTGACGCCAGTCTAACGGTGCTGAATGTACGGGATACTTTCCATGTACTAACGCTAGCTTGGGGAGTGCAAAAAAGGAAGCCTTTGACTCGGGGAGATGGGAGGTTCGCTAGACTGTGGGATTGTGGGAGGTTGAGGGAGCTCGTCGGAAGTCTAAGAAGGGCGTTGATGCTCAGGGAAGAGAACTAGATCGCCCGTGGAAGTCATTGCTTTTTGCGGCGGAAGAAAGATATGAAATGGTCCGAAGGGGGAAATCTTGATGCAGCTCGAGGAGAACGAGGCCGTTGTCTGGGGATCGAAGTCCTGAAGGTTGTATGGAGTCGGCCGATGCTTGGTTCGGCGACGAAAGGGATTAAGTTCGATCTTGTTGAGTATACAGCAGAACCTTGATATAACGATTCTCGATTTAGCGATATCCTTGACAGTGCGATACAGCCGTGAGGTCCCACTGTTTTTTGGCCCTAGGCTTACGATATACCCCCCATAACGATTATCGTAAGGATTTATGGTCCGGAGATTATTATTTTGGTGTAATATCGTTCTAATCATCGAACCCAATAGATTAATTCCTCTCTTCTATAGGGCCTTCTACCCCCCAAATCCCGGTAATTCGGAGTCGCGGACCATCGATCTCACTATTTCACAGCCTGTAGTATTTACCACTGATTCTACAGGCCCTTAGCAGCCTAAAAAGCGTCGAGGAGCTATTACTGAAGAGATTCTTTATATATCTTTAATTTTTATTATCTTTACGTGGATGCACGTGATTCTTGATACAACGATACCTCGGTGTATCGTTAGAAAAAGGCGCTAAAATCGATATCGTTATATCGAGTTTCTGCTGTAGTTGAAAGTTTGTGGGAACGCGAAGCCAAATTTTTATTGTGCGGTTTCTTCTGTAATTTTTGAAAGTAGATTCCGGTAAAGATGCTTCTTTGAAGATAAATTTTCGTCCTGTGCGGGTGAATTGGGTTTAACTATTCACTTGAGCTTAAGGGTGGAGATCGCCTTGGACCCAAAGTAAAAGTCGAGTGAGGTGAGTAATGCAAAGCCCTATCTGGAAGTGAGTGATGGTTATTGTATGGACTCTTAACACCTTTTTTTTGTTCATTAAGGATCAGTCAATGTTAGCACATTTCACACCTCCCTGGACCCGAAACTTGGGAACTCCCAAAACATTCATTCGTTGAGAAAAACCGAAGACATCGAACTCACAGATCGTCTAACAGCAGCTTAACATAATACTTAGAGGTCTGCCGTCAGAAATTGAACGCGCTACCAGTCCCCAGATGTGTGTGCTGTTACCTCCCGAACCTGGTATTCTGAGAGAATCTGCTAAATTTCATCTCAATGGGGAGGTGTAGAGGGCCCATTGAGGTAACGAATTATTGCCAGCAAATATTGGTGATTGGGTAGGCCAAAGAGGGTATCCACACACACGTGACGAGGAAGGTTTGGACCTGTGTTCTGACCACTTCGAGAAAGAGGAGCTTCTAATGAACAGCAAACCAACATTCAAGCACGATCGATGTGTTCCATTGGTCAGTCATATGACATATCTGCACAGTGGCGATCTCCTGGGTGTGCTGACGGCTGTCCTGGGAAGTAGTGCACCTGACAGGAACACTGACCAGTGAAGTCATCTCAAGGTCCGGAGACTGTTCGCCAAATTTGAGGCCAAAAGTGTAATTGGTTTGCGTCCCGCTTCCCGCGCCTTTGCGCTGCTCAAATCAAGCCCTGTACTTGCATTGGACGCTGTGTTCAGACAGCCACGTTGACCACGTCGAACTCTGCCGCTTTTGCGTTAACGAAACGCGGGAAGCTCGGGGATTCGTTTATGACTTTGCGATCAGCACCTCGAATTTCCAACGCATAATTGTCAGTCATTCAAAGCAGTTTCCTGTTCAGAATACTCAGACTTTCAACCACCGGGTCCTCGATACATACAAAGCTTTCGGCCCAAAGGCCCAGATCATCGTCCGCGATGTCATTTCCATCTAGGTCCAACACGGGAGATCGCTCTAGGGGACTTTCTACTGTCAGTAAAGTTATTCTGTCAAAATTTCATATCACGTCTTTAAAATTTATTCATCGTTTAACAGCTCCCATCCATTTCGCATTATTCTGAAACTTCAATCTAATTTCTCCTGCGCCGAGAAACTCATTATAACAACAACTTTAAAAATAGATCGTGTCCCAAGGCATTGCAGGTCTCCTTGTGAAGATCATCACCCTCCCTTACTACCGCTTCTTCAATTTCAACACCCTTAAGCCAATTCAACAGATAGGACAACAGACCGTACGGCGAGAACACCACACCGCGATCCTTGCGTCGCTTGCTCGATGGCGAGAGCGAAAGATCGAGGAACTGCAATTCATTTCCATCGCCGTGAGTCGCACCCCCCGAGCAAGCGCACTGTTCCCAAACCCCAAATCTTGAAGCCAACTTTAACATTGCCCCAGTGCGTCACAATCACAGCAGTCATCACTGCATCTTTCTCGTGGAACACCGTAGCATCAGCCCACTGGACCGCTCCCGGCTTCTGGTACGCCTCCCTCACCTTCTCCATCTGCGGTATTCTACTCGCAGCCCAACAAGTCGCCGCATTCAGCTTACTTGGCCCCTTTCCTGAGAATCCCTCGGCGGACGGAGCTCGTAAAGCGATTCTGCGGTACTTGCCACATATGTTGCAGAAGACCTCCAGGCAGGTTTCGCAGAATGAGGCGAGAAATTCCGAGTACGATTTGGGAGAGTGGACCGTGAGGTGGAAAATGGTGTTCACGTGGCAAGTGCCCATGATGTTTATGGCCTACTCGTTCTTGTGTTACATCATTGGGTTGACGGTCATGGCTTGCTCGCCGTTGCTTCAGAGGCAGCCGTGGGGGCCGGAGTCGAATGTGAGTGGCTGTGCCTCTTCTTTCCACACCGGAGCAAGAGAATGCTTGATTCATCAGCACAACGAACTGATGTACCTTTCTAGGTTGCGATTGCATACTTGTCTACGTTTGGGGTTGGGTACGGTATCTTTATATACTGTTCGCTCATGGGATATGAACAGATGGACGTGGACGCTGGATTTGGGATAAGAGACGATGATACTCCCCATGTAGTGCCACCGAAAGGAGAAGGGTCTGGAGCTTGGCGTAGTGTGTAAAGCCCCGGATCTTGGGGATGAGACTGACACAAACCTTTTCCACAAATGAAACAGTCGCCACCGTTGCACTGCAGAAAAGCTCAGTACGAAATATCTTCAACCGGATCGATCATCCAGGAATACCATACAAGACATAATTGTAACCCAGAGCGAGCAAACCGTGCCCACAATCTCCAATACCCTGACAACTGTCCCGCACTAATCTGCAAATATGCAGTCGCATGTTGCATAAGGCTGAGGCTGGCAGCCATCAGGATACCGGTACATCAATAAGTAATAAGATATATTAATATTGTTTTTATTAAGTAAATAATTTAATATTATCAAAAGTAGACTGAAAAGCTTTCAATAATGATTTAATATGTCTCGCTCTGTTTAATGAGCTTATTTTCATTCCAAAATTCTCAAGTGTGGCCTGAGCCCTAGGACCTACGATACCACCAGAAAGACCTTTCCACCGAATTGCGACAATTTAGATGACATTTCTGATAACACCCATGATGTAATCCTTAGGACCTTTTTTCTTCTCCGCTTCAAGCATTTCGGCGACGCTAGCGCGTCTCTGCTCCTCCGGGACATCTGCACCACTAATGGATAGCTGATTCTCTCTCATACCAGTGTAGATATCAATATCCTTTATTTTGACGTATAGTGGGCGATCTTCTGGTCGGACGAACCAGCTGTAGACCTTCCAGAGTAAGTATAGGAAGATAAGGAAAGGACCGGCGAGGTATAGTTCGAAGAACGTTTTGGGATCCAAGTTGGGACCCCCGACTGGGTACAGCGCGACATAGAATTGTGCGATAAGGCAGAGGACGTTGATGATCAAGCACACCCAGGAGCCCCAAACACCGAATGCGGCCTTGAAGGGCAGTTCGTCTACGGTATGACCATTGGCGGCCCTACAAGTAGTTAGTCACCGAGTAGCCAGCCGATAGTGCAGTTTGGAGCTTACCAGGCCTGGCGGAAGCGGATATGAGCCATAGCAATACTGCCATAAATAAAGAGTATAGAAAGACCTGACAATGATAAAAGCCAAGTAAAAATAACTCCACCATCCGGCGCCAAGTTGATAAAAGCTAAGCATCCAAAGAGGAGTTGAAGGAGCACCACGGTAACAGGGCGTCCCTTTTTGTCAACATAAGCAAACAACTTGGGACCCATGCCTGTGTACGAAGTTAGCGTTATGTGAAAGTTATGGAATGGTGTATGCACCATTTGCGGCCAGAGCCTGCATCGTACGAGTCGAGCCGAAAGTGCAGGAGTTGGCGACACTCATGACAGAAATCAAGATAACAGCGTTGAAAATCGATGGGAGGACCTTGATGCCAGCGAGCTGAATGGCGATGACGAAAGGTGAGTGACGGGATTCGGAGCCTTCGCCACTATACAATGGACTGTTGGCTGGTACTATCAACCCAATAAGGAAGAGGTTGACGATATAGAAAATGGCGAGACGCCAAACAACCTGCTTGGAAGCTCTTGGAATTTCCTTTCTGGGGTTAGCAGTCTCGGCAGCAGCTAGTCCAGTGAGCTCAGTGCCAGTATACGCGAACGACGCTGTAACGAAAACAGTACAGAAGCCGTGGAAGCCGTTGAGGAATGCAGTGTAAGGCGAGTGCCTGTATTGCGTTATTAGCCTCGCCAATAGCCACACCGAAAGTTTGAGCATACCAGTATCTTGCACCAATATAACCTCTGGTGTCTGTTGGGACGCCGCCGCAGTCAATAATTATTCCGAGAATCATGAAGCCTAGGCAAGCGGTGATCTTAATAACACTGAGGACAAACTCGACCTGTTCCAATTAACTCGGTCCTTATATTAGCTTCGGTAAACTCGCCTCGCCATAGCCCTTCACCCCAAAGATCTGGATAGCAACCAAAGCGACAAGTAGCGGGACGATCCAAGCACTGTTGTTGATGCCCTCCGATCCGGGCCAGTAGTGGATGATGTTGCAAGCAGCTGAGATCTCAAAAGGAAGGACAGTCAGCCAGCTGATAGCATACTGCCAGCCGCAAGCGAAACCCCACGAGGGATCTACGAAGCGGCAGATGTACATAGTGAAGGCTCCGTTGACCGGGTACATGACAGCCATTTCTGCGAGAGCTTGCATCACGAGGTAACTAAATGACTAAGTTAGATGAGGACAAAACCTTTCAGCATCAAAGAAGCATACATCATGCCGCCTAAACTCATGTCAATTACCATGCAATTCTAATAGCATATAACGTACCAACAATCATGAAACCAAGAAGCACAGAAGCGGGTCCACCAGTCTGGAAGGCACCGCCAGAGCTAACAAACAGGCCAGCACCAATTGCACCACCACTACATGCATACGTTAGTATACAGATGACGATTCAGGGTGCTGAACTTGCATGGCAATCATCTGCATGTGTCTGCCTTTCAGGTCTTGGTGAAGCAAGTTCTCGCTTGCCACGACCATATTTTCCGGGTCACTACTGAAGTTCCCATCACGTGTGGGCTCATAGCCCGGAGCAGCGATGGCATGCTTCTCAGCAAGGTCACCATTTTCGGGTTTAAGACTCATTGTTGCGGAGGAGAGAATGAAGAAGCAAGCAAGCAGGCCGTGAGATTTTTTGAATAAATAGCTACGACCCCGTCTTTTAGAGTTTCAAGCACCTCAAGCTTCGACGCTAGTCGTTGGCGCCAAGAATCGCCCGTGTACAGTACGTAAAGTGGTTGCGGCGGGTCGTGGATAAGATAAGCTTCTCGATTTGTGAATGGTTGTGGACGAACAGATCATAATTACATCCCGCACTTGGGGAAGGTGACCTCGTGTCAGCCTACGTTTAATTGGCGAAGCTGACCGGGTTCTCCGGAAAATTGGGGCATTTCTGTGGTGATGCGGCGGCAGGTGACCAATGTGGCGCCACGTTCGTGGTCCCACTGGTCGATCTTTGCCTTCCTTATCGATACTAGTCCGTTACTGTCTAAAGTCATTCACGGCAAGTCCGACCACAACGTACGAAAGGTACGGTCTCTCCGGACGATGATGAGAACGGGAAGGTGGTATGCGCGCCAAATATGGTGACTAGGCTGGCGAGTAGATCAGGCCGTCAGGCCGTCAAGCCTAGCCTGGGAGTTCCTGTAGGCTGGATAGCTTGGTAAAGCATTAGTAAGGCGAGGCTTTGGGTCTTTCGACTTGAATTACTTGCTATCTAACAAGAGGTAGTTGGATTTGAGCTTGAGCAACTGTTATTGAGCTTGAGTTGGCCGTGACGTGTATGAGTAGGGTGCGACGGTGGGATCACTGCAGTGGTTGAAGCACAAAGTTCAGAGAATTTTATGTATTGAAAATACTAAGCTAGAGAGTAAAGGAGAAGGGAATGGCTCGACCTTTAGTAGTCCTTCACCGATCTCTAGCTTACTTGCTCGTTTTAGCCACGTTTCCTTTCATATAATATTTGCGGCAAATCATGCGGGTTTACTAGCCATTGTACTAAGAGTAATTAAAGGGCGAGGTATTACTTGACTTTTGATATAGTATAGCAATATAAGCTTAAGCCTCCAGCTTCTTTTATTTAAGCTTCTTCTTAATAATATTACTTTCCTTTTTCTCAAGTGAGTATTAATAAGCTTATAGCATAGTGCTTTAGTAAGTAAGTCTCTCTTTCCTCCTTCTCTTACTTTGCTACTTTACTAATTACTCTAGATCCTTTTATCTAAGATGCCAAAGAAACCAATTAAGAAGGGTACAAGTTATACGGAATTGCGGATGACGAATACGTATATAACTAACTTTGGAGCTCCCAGAAAAAGGGACCACAAGATATAATTCTTTACCTAACCCTTACAAGTACCGGCTCTCTCGTACGAAACCTTGCACTTTCCCTCCCACGCCGTTACCTTGCAATATATCTTAATGACTACTTCACATCTATACTAGTTTAAGCTAAGAGATATTGGCGCAACTTAAAATTAGGTACCACAAGACTATACAGATTCCATCCAAATTCCAGCCCACAGGCCCAAAGCCATATGTTTCCCCTTGCCATTAAACGTTGCTGTCTAGGGCAAGGCGACTCGTTATCGTATAGCCTGCTGCACTTTTGCCGCCCTTCTCACTGTTAACTTGGACTTGTAATATTGGTAAAACCTCTTCGGATAGTGGACGAGCATTAAACAGGTCGTAACTTCCACCAAGTTCGGGCGCAAACAAGTTGAGCCCTTTCTCTTTGGTATCTTTCCACGCCTCCCTCTCGCTTACAGTTAAGTATATACTCCTCTCGATACATCTAGACAATTCATTAACGCACCTCCTAGTGGCCGCTCTCTGGCACTGGCGTCCAAAACGCATATGTGGTCTTGACGCCTTTTCTTCCAGCTCTGAACTTCTCGCTATCGAGTTGCTGAGGATCCCCCTTTCATCCAGCTAGAGCTCTCTAAGCACTAGCTAACCCATCCCCTCGAAGAGTATTAGTAAAGCTATCTATGGGTTACTATCGTCTAGCAGCAGATGTGGGATTATAATGTGGAGGGCGCTTAAGTGAAAAGATTTATTATGGGAGAGAAGGCTGATTAAAGTTTCGATGAGAAAAGGCTTGCTTTCCAAGAAAGCTGTAGCAGAGATTGCCGCATTTATTTTAGGACTAGTACAGGGCACCAGAGTAAATGCGAATGACTCACTAGCCTTCGACTTGATACCGAGATTACAGGACCTAAATTATTGGCTGTACGTCCTTTCCTATTAGCCGGCCGGAGCTATGGTTCAACCCCCATGCAGAGGATCTCGACGTTTTTTAGGGCGTTTGCGGGCATCCGCAGTGGGTGAAGCAAGTCACGACCACTGGGTACGACAAGAATGTTTTCTGGAACGCGTCACTCGGCTCGATTAAGATGAGCCAAATGCAACTGCCTTCGCGCAGCAATCCGAACTACGAGCTCTTAAATACGTAAGGGGCCCCTGCTCCCCTATTACCTAGACACAGTTCATAGCACGTTCACTTATTTACCATAGACAAGATTACTCTCCCTAAAGCAGTAGCAGAGGAGAATAGTCGTGGATTAATTACGCCAGTCCAGAAGGTTAGCAGGGCATCTGAGACGGCAAAGAAGAGGGCAAGCTATTGAAGAAGCACGTGGGAATAAAGAATAAGCTAATCAAGAGGTTACGATGGCAGCAAAAATGGTTAGGGTGACTATCGAAGCACCTGGATGTAGTGGGAGGCATATGTAGTAAAGCTTGATTTGAGTGAAGTATGCAATATATACTGATTTTGCTATCCCCGAGACCTCAATATTGTCCGATTAACCAATCGGGGCCCAGTGTGGAGCCCGAATCGTAATCCCCTGCGATCGATTAATCGTAGGTCCCGATTTTCAATCGCTCATATTGACGAATGGCGGGGGGAACATATCGACAAAGTTAAGTACGTAGTCGGCAAAATATGTGTTGCAGATAAAGAATCGACTGGATTCAGAAGCTCTCTTTGGCGACACCACCTCTCCGCGATTGCAGTCTCTTGGGCTGAAAGGCTTGAATGTCACTGCAAAATCTATGGAAAAGTTGTTAAACAGGCATCGAAAGAGTCTTCGGGGACTGAGCCTTGAAGTTCGATATCTTACATCCTCTGAGGAAGCAGGCTCAGCCAGGATCTTTACTGAGTCTGCGACTACTACAGCGGATGAGCAAAAACTCTTTGCTCGGTTCCTTAGCGAGCTGGCTAAAAGCCTGGTGGGCGGGATGGAATTGGTGTCGGACATTTACCTAGGAATATCAGACGATGGTATTCATGTGACGTTTATTTGGGGAAATATATTTGGTGCATCCGGATGATATTGAGTTGAGAAATGATGGGTGGACGCTAGATACAAAAACCGCTATCTAATATCATTCTTCTCGTCGGAAGATCTCATGAGCACGACTAGTGCATTCCACACATCTGTTCCCTAGACTGAGTGAGATCTCTTCAAACAGATAAAGCGCTCTCTTTCTCATCCACCAGAACCGTTCTGACCTCAATCTTGTTATTGCAGCAAACATATAAAGTAGTAAGGTTTGCGCCCTCCCATCGTTCATCTTGACGAGCCGTATGAACCCATCCGGAAGCCAATTTGGCAAGTTAAACAAGTACCTTGCAGCAGGAAGCTCAAGATCCAAATTAGCAGACCCGTTGCGGTCAGGGTCTAGGGCCCAGAGGATGGAATTGAGCCTCTCGATCGGATCGAGAAAGTCACTCGGGTTCTCAGGTTGAATATTTGAAATTTTCGTGCAAGAGAGGACGTGTAACAGAACGCCGTCGACCTTGTATGCCGTGCCCGCGATTCTCATACGTTGCTCGATGTGGAGTCGTGGACTGTATGTTAACATTGGAGAGAGGGATCCTTCCCTGACTTCATCTAGACACGAGAGTGTGATAGCCATCAAGCCGCGGTAAAGTCCAGTCAGGCTTTCATCGCGGTTCCAGACTTCGCTATCGAAGTTCCAAGAGTACTGTAGAAGGAGCAACGAGCATGCTATCAGTGCTTCTGCCATCTCCATGGGATATTCTCTGCTGCCAGATAGATTATCGATAGCATTGCGGAAGCCGGGCAGGGCTTGAGAAAGGTTCTGTAGGGCTACAATGCGATGTCTTGTCTCGTGTGGCTGGAGGTGTTGAAGATGTGTCGCTGTAACAAGGAAGATAGTATGCATGAGGAACTCATTCTGTGCGAGATTAGCTCGAAACTTGGGAGAAGAAGTGCAGGAAAGGCTGGCTGAGAGTAATTCTAGATGAAATGGGGATGAAAACTGTAAAAGGGTGTTAGCCATACTTGCAGTGCTAACTTGATAACAGCATGTTTCCAGGTTTCCGGTTCCATGATGAAGGTTTTAGAAGTGAAGGCTTCGAAGTGATGCAATAAGCGCAAATGTTCTTTATTCATTGGGGCTACCTCAAGAGCCAGGCTTGGCGGTGAGCTGTTAGCGACTCTCGGGGGATGTTGGTGTTGGGTATGTATTGACGAGTTCGGTTTTCGCAAGGCCTTACAGCACCGAATACATTCTTGATTTCGCCTCACGCAGCTTCGACATGGCTGTTCCTCATCGCACTGTGAGAAGAGTCACCCGGTGTCCATGGCAGAATGATGTGAAGCCATTATACCTTCACCTTGCGGGCCTTGCACCCGGCACATCCCAATCTGGACTTCGTATGAACTTTGCGTTTTCGAGCAGGCTGTCCATCTTGGCCAACATCAGACAGAAAGACAGTTCCTGCAGGGGAGGCTTGCTGCAAAGTAAAACAGCCGAATTGCGGATTCTCGGCGGGCATATTGTCGAGGAAGGAACGTGATGAAGATGAGAAGCGAAAGGAGAACTCGTTACGTGAGAAGAATTGTGGGAACTGATTTATGCCTGAGCGAGAGAGAGGGATGTGGGAAGTGGGGTGACGCCCAAATGAGGATTCTCGTATTCCAAATCGGGAAATCATGGGAGAATCCTTGCTTGATCTGCTTTCGTTGCATCAACCGTGGCATACCCAGTGGTACCTGGGTCATCTTCCGAGGAGGGTATTTGAGAAAGTATCCCTTGTAGGCACGTGATGCTGTAAGCTGGAGCAACTCTTTCCGAACCTTCACGTCCGAGGAGCGTGATATGCTTTTGCGAAACTGTAACGCGCTTTGAATAGAGTATAGGGTATCTCATTTTATGGTGAAGTGTCTAACTAGAAGGGGATCCAAGTAGCAAACCATCGACTCATGTAGTTGTCCACCGCACTTTCCCCCAAATTTCTCGCGGACTTGGAACTCTCGAAGACAAATTCTGAGTTCTTAGTAGGAGGTTCTTTCTCCATGTGCCTCCACCAAGATCTCTTAACGGTGGTAGTCCCCTAAATGGCCTCCTGACTTTCGAAGAAAAACGCTTGATACTGAGTTTTCCCCGTATATTGCTCCAACTTGGAAGCCGATCGAATGGACGTACCAGTAGAATTCTCAGTCGGTCCGGGAGTGACCTTTTCTCTGAGCTGCTTCTTTCTTCCATCCTCCATTTCACCCCAAACATCCACTGCATCGCTAAAATCGGAGTGACAGCTAATGTCACCATTGCAAAGACCAAAAACACAAACCCGGCATCAAGACGATCAAATAGCAACTGCACAACACCAACGGCCAAAGCACCCATACAGAACCGAACAAGATTAATAACAGCAGTAACAGACGCCAAATTCTCGGGACACAGATCGGAGATCAAAACTCCATTGGCTAGCAAAATAGCAGTTGCGCCAAAGGCAACTAGGAATTGCATGATCAAGGGGATGGCAATATGTTTGGTGGACAGAGAGAAGCCGTACCCAATTGTTGCGCCGATGAAAGAAAAAGTTATCCACCAAATATTCCTGAGCCTTGCGCGCTCGATAGGGAAGTCGGAGTTATGCTTCAAGCTTAAAGTTGTGTCTTCTTTGATGTTGTGGGTTGTCTTGTACCGGGTCTCGATGAATTTATAATCGCGATCCAACAGGTAGCTAATGAAAAAGAACCCCAGAAGGGTACCTGCAGCACTGGGCAGGAACGCAAGACCGACAAGGAGCGTGGAGAGGCGATAGTAAGTTTCCAAACACAATGCTGTGGTGGCAATCACGACAACGGCGGTGGCGAAAGCAATAGCCCCGAAGATAATGGAACCCAGAATGTCCATATGTGAAAGCAAATCCAGAGGCTCAACGAAAGAAATAAATGTAGGTGGCAGTGTGATGGTCTCAGGATTGGAGTTAAAGCGTGCATCCGGGGATGACTTTACACAAGCGAGCAATGGTTGTTGGTAAGTCTTTAATCTGATAGTGCCGTTACCTGCAATGTTCCGAAGAGTCTCGGGAAGAAATAGGGTGACGAGAGCGAGGGAAAGGCCTCCAAGAGCAAGTTGGAACCAGAATATAGACCGGAATTCAAAGAATTGAGTAAGGACTCCTCCAAGAACAGGACTGATCAAATGACCAAGCATAAGTACTACCATTGTTAGCACGTCTCAGTTAGATGCGTTCCTCTTCATCTTACTTGATCCATAGATGCGGATGAGAGCTCCTCTCTCTATGCCGGTCGATATATCACCAATGACAGCGGCCCCTAGATTTCCGATCAGCACATTGAACTTGTTTGATATCAGGGGGGAAAGTGTCTCACCGATTATTGGTAGATCCGCACTTCCAAAAGCTTGAGCAGCTCTCAGAAGCATCAAGGAAAGAAAACTGTTTGAGAAAAGTAACCCTGTGTTGGCGCCCACGAAGATTGCCAATGTGGTAATGAGGGCGAACCTTCTACCAAAGTAGTCTCCAAGCGGCATCCATACAAACGGTGCGATGCCTTGGACCACCATATGGACAGCAATAGTGAGAACGACAAATTCTGAACTTAGGTGAAATGCCTAGAAGGGTCAGTCAAGGTAGAACGACGGCGACGAGGGAATACTTACCCTGGAGATGTCGCCCAATACTGGAAAGTAAATGAAGGTAGATAGTGGTGTCAATACACCTACAATCGCCATCAAATACATTATTCCTTTCTTCTTCCTCTTGTCGAAGGCGTGGTATGGCGGTGGCGGCAAGGACTTGTCGAAAAAGACAGGTCGTTTGTCATGACATATCTCTGGAAACACCGTAGCAAAGTTAAGTAACCCTTTACTTGGAGGGCGTGGGAAGGACTCGTAGAGTTTTTGTTGCTTTGTCGTGGTACTTTTTGAACGCCAGACAGAACAAAAGGAAGTTTGGCGGGGAAGGGTCTGCCTAATATTGACGCTTTGGTCGATAAGTCCATCCGCTGAAGCCTGAACATGGCCATATACCGGCTTGGGAGCCGCCACATCAAACCCAAAGCTGGTAATGCTGTCAATAGAGTCACAACTCCGTCTCTTGAAAGTTATTTCGGGTGTGCTATCCTTCGTGTCAATGTTTGCTTCCTCGGACTTGCTGTGTTGACTGCCGCGACGGCTTGGAAGATCTTTGACGTCTGCGAAGACTGTGATGCTTTGGCTTGAAATCGTAACGAATGAATTCCTCGGTATTCCGGTCGAGGTACGACAACTGATGTAGCTTTTTGGCTTTCCCCAGGATCTCGCCTTCTGTGTTGTAAATTGAGTTGCTGCTTCGGAGATAGGAGACACTGGAGATTGTGGGGCAAAGTTGGGAGGCCCCATGGTGTAGAATATCGCCACGAACTCAAATGCAATGGGTGGGAAATATCATAAGGTCCAGATGTGGAGTTTTCTGCGAGTGGACATCGTATTATAGCCACTGATCAGGAACACCTTGCGGCTAACAGAACAGGAATCCGGACCAACTTCGTCCGCCCAGACCAACCCGGCGTCGATCATCATCTGCACAGGAGGCCTCAAAAGAGGTTTCTGGGGCACCATTTTTTCGGTGTGGTTGCCTGCAGAGCGCACGGCTGGAGCCCTATCTGCCGATCTGCATCCCGAGATGCTTCAGATCAGGGCGCTTGAACTCACGCCTGGACAACAAAGCCCACCCCCATTAGATAGTCCACGAGTTCTTACCATCCGCAAGCACCTGCCGAAGAGGGGGTGGCGGGCGGAAATGTATTAGATCGGGAACGATGAAGTGTTGTTCCTGTAGGGTAAGAATGAGTGCACTCCAGGAGTTCGAGGTTGCATCTGTCAATCGTTTCTTCATGCGTTCGTCAATTATCAACTCACCATTGGAGAGTGAGGGACCAAGAGCGCGCACAGCCGGAGAGTCATACATTCGAAACGTTCTTTGTTCAGATCTCGAATGGCGTTGAAGGTTGAAAACCGTCGCTTAGCCTCTGCACGTACCACAAGATGGACCGTGCCGCTCCTCGTCCCCCCCTTTTTACTCGCCTGACACAGACCAATTCATGCCCTAGATGCAAGAACGACGATGGCGAAAAATACAGAGCTTTTATTGGCACATCTCATTTTGAGATCGGAAGGCTTCCAAAACCTTAGCAAGCCAGACTAGAATCGAGCCTCACTTGAATCAGATCTTGTGATCGATTGTTAGCAAGGAAATCCCGGTACGTCAAACGTCAGTCAAACACAGACTCATCCATTCTAAATCGCTTGAATACTCGGCCATTCTTTTGAATATCCCATAAGATGTCGGCTCAAACGTCTCGCATCAATTCCTCTTGATGAGTTAGTGTCGGTTGGGGAATTTCCTGCGACAAATTAGAGTGGGATTAAGATCTGGGAATGCGCTGTGTAGCAGTTCTGACAACAATACGAAAAGTTTGAGAGAATCCTGACTGAAGGTATCTCCATCTGCAAGGTGGCTTACATAATGGGCTACTTGCCGCAAAACGACGTCAGCTGGTGCTGCAAATTCTCGGAGGAGGTGTTCCCGATCAATATGCGCCTCGACTGACCTCTCCACTTTTCTTGTTTAAGTAGCTAAGTAGCTAACACCTGTATCTCACATCTTCAGGCAACGCGGATGGGACAAGATGCTAAATCCACCAAGGAAGTAAACTACCCGTGCAGTCTCATATGACCTTTTATTTTCTCACTAGTGCTTGCACAAGCCCTCGGAACAACTCCACAGTTTCATTCGCCAGCGCAGTTACTAATACCACAGTAGAAAGATTCTCCTTCCTGATCTTAATTCCTATATTATGAATTATTACAGCCTATCTACTTAGGCCCGTCAAGCAAACTATCCTTTGATTCGTGAGTTCACTCAGCTGACTGTTCCGTTATCTTTCTGCTTCACTTCTCCATTCTCGACAACAGCCGGCTTCTTCCTGACCACCCCCCTCAGGCAATCCCAAATCACCAGCGCAAACCATATGCTCCCAAGAATACCCAGGATCACAAAATTCCTAACCAAAGAATGAGTGTGCACAACTGTTCCAATGCCAACAAGCTGAAACCCAAGGCCCTGGTTTATCATACCAAGTATGATAGCGATTCGCCCAGTCCAGCGATGAATGTAACCATATATGCTCTTCCCACCAGTCTTTCGGAAGTGCAAATGCTGAAGAGCACCCATGGCGGGTTGGATAAGAATGATCATGCTGGTAGCCAGCAAGCCAATAACTACATGTGCCGGGACTGGGACGCTCCCCGAGAGGAAGTCCAGTTCTCTGGCAAGGTTGATACCCAGACACATAGCGCCTATCATCATCGATAAGCCGAGAATCTGGATGGGAACGTGGACTGATGGGACGATTCGGATCTTTTTGAGGAAAGGGGGGAGAGGCAGATGGAGAGATATGGCGCCGAGAGGGTAGAGGACCAGGAACACGATGGACATCATGCATGCATGTGCATTGCGTTTGCGGTTGAAGATCTTGATGGAGTCGTAGAATTCACGTTCTAGCAGCCTGGAGCCCTCCTCCCTCTTCTCAGTGAGGAGGAGTATTGACACTGGATAAGTTAGGTTGGCCATCCTTCGGGAGGGGCTTGCGTACCGAAAGACACAATTGTGAGGATGATTAAGAGGGGGCAAAATCTAGCCATCGTTCTAGAGGGCGAACGTGAGTACGCGCGCCCGGCGGATAGTGGTTTTGTGCAAAAGGTATTTCAGTTCGATGAGTGCCAGTTCAAGTATCCATTTCTTAAAGAGGGCAGCCGTTTTATATTTAGAAGATTCGCTTCGTAATGACTATTTGGAATTTCGGGAAACTGAAACCTGCTTGCTGACAGAAGCTGCACACCGTCGCCACAGCCACCACACGGATCACTCCGTATCATCCTTTCACACGGAATCTTAAGCCAGTGGGAAGCGCTTGAGCAATGTCCTAACCAATCATGTTCAGAAGTAATGTCTGACCTCCACGAATGAGCAATGAGGGAGAGAGTATTATGACGGTCGCCTCAGGGGCGGGAAGCGGCGGGGAAGGTCTCGGATCCTGAGGTCTCCGTTAGTATTTGAAATGTGAGCCTGCAGGAAGTTTACTTCCTGCAGATTTTACGGTGCTCAATTAGTCATGTGCGTATTGGACACGTGACCAACGAATACGTGAACCCACCACACTTGAAACCAGGAATTGACATTAGAGCCTTTTTAATATATAATATTATAAGAGGCGACCCTGCGAAAGGCAAGGCCGTGTTAGGGAACGGCGTAACAAAATCAGACTATTCATATAGCTACAAAAGCGGGTAAGTCCTGCTTTTGTACTCCTTAGTATTAAAAATGACGTCACGTGGTCAGCAATGCAAATCTCTAAGAACGGTACTGAAATGACTGATGTTCTATAGTTGTAAATCCAGGGACCTTAGGCACCTAATTGCAACACTTGCCTATGATTTTGGGATTGATACAACTCTGGGTTCGCTAGGATTGCAGAAAAGTATAACTTGATAAGTTACATAGTGGCGGCTTTCTCTGACTACGATACTGAAATATCTTCTATTCATAGGATTCTTTTAACAGCCCAGGTACGCTCCAAATCTAGCAGGGATGCTGGCGTGATCGCAATATCTTGATTAGTCCCTGCCTCCTCTCAACTAGTGAATACCCTTTCCTAATTCTATGAATAACAGTGGGTGTAATATCCGGCTGCATAGGAGCGCACGAGCGCAAGTGGTGTCGTACGTTGAATCCAACTCCCCAAGCGTCCAATTTCTATTCGTCCAATGCGTAGAATTACAAACCAGATTAACCATTCCACTACTGACCCCCAAATATGTTTCCATACACACAAAAGCACATACATCAGCACAGACTCAAACACCGGTGCCGAAACCCCCAATAATAGCAGATTAGAAGAAAAAAAGAACTCGCTTCTCATCCTCTGCATCATAGGGATAAGTATAATTCGGCTCAATTTTCCCATCCCGGTCAAAAACGTGAAGTTGGTACTCGCTCCCTTCCCCGCTCCTTCTGATACCTTACAAGAAAAGACTTGGCTCCCGTAGAAGAACGTTGGCATTTGCAGCTACTAATGTATGCACTGCATTGTTTCGTGTAGCTCCTAGCCGGGTTAGTAAGGTTGATTTGGACGGTAGCGCTGCTAGCGCCTGCTGTTGCGAGGGGCGCGGGTGTTGAGTATACCGTATTGTCGGCAGTGTGTCAAAAAAGTATTCAAGGTATTCAAGGTATTCATGAATATTCATGAATATCTTGAATAGAATATGAGTAGCGTAATTCTCAAAAAATTAGAGTAGAGTAGAATATATATTCATGAATATTCATGAATACTGGTGATTGTTGGTCACGTGACTATAGAAAATCAAGCTTTACTTAATAATTATTAAATAACTAAGGCGCCTGTTAGTGGCTCTAGCCAAACTAAGCTAAGACTTATATAATACTAGCTAAGTACTAATTTTCTATAATAATAAACTAATTATCCTCCTCGAAATCTTGTGCTTTGGTTCGCTTACCAAGCCTCGCTATCGCATAATTGAGTAGCGAGGTGGAGCTAGAGCGGAAGCGGGCGGGAGCTTTACCTAATATAGCTAGCTTTTCACGTGCTTGCTACTCAAAGTATTCATGAATATTCATGAATACCTTGATTAGAATATGAATAGAATATGAGTAGTGGGTAAATTTTGATGAATAGAATAGAGTAGTGGCCACTACTCTACTCCATTCTATTCATTTGACACACTGATTGTCGGAGTATGTGATGTTGTAAAGTTTGAATATTGGGTGCCTGCTGCAATGAGGTCTGTGGTCGGCGATAGGCGTGGAAAAGGATAAAGTGGCTTGGAGGAGAGCACGGAATGCTTCATTGTTCTGAGTTCGAAATCTGGAGAAAGGAGCCTGGAATGGACCCAGGATATTTGATTGAATACTCTGGTCTATGAGTTCTCTTATTTTGAAGGCATTGGCAAGATTTTTATCGATTTAGAAGTAAGAGCAACTCGCATTATGTCGATCGTTACACAACACCGGTTCGTAGTTCTTCGGGAATTTGCATCTCAGGCGACACAAGGAAATATGAAATCAGTTAGTAGGTTTTGTTAGAATGTGACTTCAACTAACATGACACCGAAAGCGAGAAGTTATGTCGGCGCCCGTTTTGAGGTTGAGGTGAGTTTGAGCCCTAGGATGCCGCCGTGGTTACTCAACCGACAAGCGTCCTTGTAGCGAGACCCAGACCCCAGTCCTACCCGTGTTACAAGATTCGTGCACTCCGAAGCACATGAACAAGTTCCCTTCATTGGGTGGGTGAATCGGCTTGTGCTCCTTTCTTACGTGATAGTATAATCAAGTCTCGACTATCAAACGTAAGATCTTACTACCTGAGCGTCAGTAGTGTCACATCTAAATACCGAGAGCGCCGGCTCTTGATTTCACCCTCTAACCATTTCCAAGTTCTAATATTATCTGTAATGTATAATACGGGCTCTGGTCCAGCAGTGTCCACCTTGCAATGTAGACTGTCGGCCTGAAGAGAAGAATATCTAAGTCAAAATTTAAAACCCGGAATGGCACAGCGTACATGGATGAAGTTTTTACCCACCGTAAATGGAGACTGAGATAAGAGAAAAGGGCTACATCAAACTCTGGAAGCCATCACCCAAGGCTGACGCCAAGTCACGCGGCAGAAACCTACTAGGCCGACTTCACAACACGAAGCAGCTACTAGACGTAACCAATTGTGCTTAACTCTTTTAAGGTAAAGACGACATTGAGGAATGTTAGGGTTTCGCCTGACGCCATGAAGGAAGGCTGTAGCCTCACATTCAGTGGGTTTAGCCTTCCAGGGGGATTGTTTCGGGGGTCTAAGTATGGCTGGAAAAATAGTTGTTCAACTGCAGCCACCAAATATTCGTGGCGTTTGGGGTGTTTCATTTCCATTAGACTTACTTGGGCGTCAGTGTAAAACAACAACGACCGCGCTGCATTATGCATTGCCGACCAAGGGCGCCAATTCAGAATTCGGACCCGTTAACAAGCAAGCCGGCTTATCAGCCAGCTTATAAGCCAAAGTCATAAGCCAGTCGGTTAATAGCTAGGATGTGACTAAATCAGTTAGCTGAGATTTTCTAGCTTATAAGCAACTTATAAGCTAGTTTAGGACTTCTTACCTAAGAAAATAATACAAATTAGCTAAAATTTTAGATTAACTCAAGCTTTCACGTAATAAATAAAGAGGAAGTATAAATTAAATTAAAGTATAATATAAACGTAAAGACTTATACAGCTAAGAAAAGTATGAGAAGGCTTATAATATTAGATTAATTTAAATATAAACTTAATTTTAGACCTCTCTATATACTTGAGTTTTTTGTGTAATAAATTATATATAAATTTTAGCTAGTTAGCAGCTTATTAGCTCTTAAATTAAGTTGATTAGCTGGCAGGTAGGTAATAAGCTAAATAGCTAGGAAATATCTTTAGCTGATGAGTGACTGAACCGTCTTATTGACCAGCCTGTCAGAATTGTTACCAACAGGGCTGGCAATATCCAGAGGCATATTACCACTTTATGTGTCTGAACTTTGCTTGTGCTTCCTCGCTCATCTCACACAAGCTTTGGGCGCTGAAACACAGCACATTGTTGCTTCCATATTAGCCTGAATGTATTGAGAACCACAAGCCGTCCGCCAAATGCCGAAAATATGTCCATCCAGGCTGTGTTAGTAATTTCCCTTGGGAGTAGTACACAAGTTTACACCCGCTTCGACATGGCCTGCACGGTTCCAAGCACCCCTATCAACTTCATGTCTTCTCCAGACATCCGTGGTACACTTGATATCCTCTGGAGTTGTCTGTTCACTATCATCGCATGTACTTGAACTATTCAACATCTCAATATTCCCGAAGAGCGAAACAATCTGTCAGAGAAAATGGAGCACCGCCGATACAGGTTTCTAGTTCGCAAAATGGAGCCTCGCTTCCTTTCTTGACTTTGGTACAACATGAGAAACGGGGCGGGAGAGTTTTGGTCGGACTTTGTGTGGGGTGTCGGGCCCCTTTGGACGAATCTCAAGTGGATGCTTTTTACAACCTTGGCAGCAGAATTCATCCTTGGAAAGGCCATAGGAGACTTCGTTGCCGTGTGGAATTTACAGCAGGAGATGGAACAATATGTCATCGAATATACTGTTGAATGGGGCCTTGGCCATGGATTCTTCGCACTTATGGGAGTTCTGAGGCTCTCGCCCTCGAACAAACCAAGCACAAAACAAAACAATTATTCCCTCCTCCTAGTACACGAAGGATCTGGAACTAGAGAAAAATAGACATAGCCGACAGGTCCCGGGTATAGAGAATGAAATAGAGGATCAACAGCGCCGGCAGTCTCTGAGTCGAGAAAACGAAGGCCGTCCTCCCGCCCCGACCAGTTTCCAGCTACAAAATAGATAGACAGGATAATATTGACTCTTATATTCTTTCCGGGCTGACCATCATTGAGTTCCATGAGTCTGGATCAATCGAGAGACTACGTGGAATCACGACGGGAGAAATTCCCAATAAAGGCCAGAGTAACATATTCGTCGGGGTAGTGGCAGCCGTTTAGGTATTATGGATGGCGGTGCAAGTCGTCGTTCGAGGCGTCAAGTTTCGGCCATTTATCAGCTGGGGCTGATGGCGGCTGCGTTCTCGCTATGCGCCATTATCACGTAACTCTTCTTACTTTAGAAGCCTCGGTGTGTTCAAACTCCAGAGCGACCAAACAAAATCAAGACAAACAAAATCAACGCCTGCTTGTTAAAGCGACGTGGGATTGCTTAATGGATTCCTTTATCCCTACACTAGAAATCCGGTCTATAAAGAACCCACCGAGAGCCAGAGTTGCGAACAACGTTATCGAGGTTGGCGACCAGCAAGCCCAGGTTTTAGGTATGGCTCCAAGGAGTGCGGCTTTCGAAGCAATTCATATTACAGGATGGAATCTGAGCTTTCTAGCCTCAATTCACCGAGAACTATGGCATATTTCAAGCATCCTCACGACATGTTTGTTACCAATTGCTTGTCTTCCACTCATCTTCAATTCCGTCTTCCCGCGCTTTGTCAGTAGACACATTGCACGTTTATGAGACAAAAAGAGGACTATCAATGCCTGGGGATTTATATCGGTCTACTTTACCTAGTTACGTGGCTGGTTCTCCTGGCGGAGACCTTCAGGACATTGATGTTTCTTCCACCGGATGCATTTGTTCCAACTTGGGTTTTCAACATACCAGATGTGAGCAGAATGTCAGGGATGAGGCCAAGCTCTCAAAAGAGGTTCTCATCTTTAAGCTTTGATTTTCACCTCTCTGTGGCATTTGATGAGCTTCTCTGATCGATGGACAGGAGTTTGGAGAAGACATATGAGAACATGCACTTTGGTGGAAACGATACTCAAGATCATTATCTCATGCTTGGAGGAAGGATGATAAATTATGGCTCAGCCTCGAAACTTAACTCGTCAAATTGTTCTAACTTTACAGTTTTGAAGCTTCTCAAATTGCTGCCTCTTTTGAAGGTATCACCAAGTAATCTTATAACTCTTTGGCAAGATTAATTTTGTCCAAGAGATCCCTGCTAAATCCCAAAATTACTTCGCCCACTCGTTCCTATACGTCTCAGAAGCAACATCAACCACAATCTTCCCTCTCGCCCTCCCAGTCTTCAGCTTCGCAAAGGCGTTCGGTGCCTCCTCAAATGGAAACTTTTCGCCAATCACGGCTTTAACCTTCCCCTCCTTCATCCACGTCCCAATCTGCTTCAGGTCCTCAATTTTTGCTGCTGGCCAAAATCCAGAATAGCTCCTCTTCCCGCCTCCCAAGAACCCCGGAAGACTCTTCGCCTTGAATCTCTCAGCCGCAGAACCTACTCCCGGCCCGCTACCCACCATCACATACCCTGCCTCTGGCTTGGTAAACTCTTGACAATGCCAGTAAAACTCCATAGTTGTCCCCACATTATCAACCACATGATCGAACTTGACTTGACTAGCCTTCAAAGCTTCCACCACGCTGCCTTTCTTGTAATCTATAACCTCGTCTGCCCCAAGATTTCGACATAATTCCACATTTGCAGTCGAGCACGAAGTCGCCACATAACAGCCCACCGCCTTCGCGATCTGAATTCCGAACACACCACAACCGCCCGAGCCACCATTGATGAATACACTATCGCCTTTCTTGACATGCGGTACAATGGATTGGTAGGCCGTGACGCCAGCAATACCGATACTCGCAGCGTCGACTGGGTCCACGCCTTCCGGAAGTGCCGCCGAAGTTCCGGCTTCCACGAGGGAAAACTCTCCCAGAGCACCATTTGTCCAGGGTTTTTTCCCTACTAGCCCGTAGATGAGCTGTCCTGGTTTCAACGTTGACCCGGCTGCGGGCGTAACGATACAGCCAGCGAAGTCGACACCCGGAGTCGCTACTCTTGGGTAGAGTAACCGGCGCATGATTGCAACCTCGGCGATTTTGTAGTCGGCGGGGTTTAGTGCGGTGGCGATTATTTGTACTAGGTGTTGGGACCCTTTCGCGACGGGAAGTACTGCTGAGGGGTTGAGTTTGAGGTTCTTTTCGAGCCCGCCAGAGGTGGTCGTGTGTTGCCATGCCTTCATAGTCAGGGGAGGAAAGGTTTTGGTGGCCATTGCCGTTTGGGCCCGCTCCAAGTTTTATGATGAAGTGTTGCTGCTTAGAGATTCAATAGCGTGGAATTCGAGTCAGCGGTTCCGTTCGATGGATTGGTCTGCCCTTATGTGTGCTTTCATCGAGCCAACGGACAAACAAAAAGACCGAACGATTTGGGCGATGCTATCAGTTTCGCGTTGGCGTTTCAAACATGGAAAACATGACGCAGGGTGGGGCTGCCTGGAAGGAGTATGATAGCCGGTTAGCGAGAAAGTTCTTTCTCATGTGAAATTGTATGTGCGGTTGAAATAAATGGCGCACCTGCATTTGGCTATGAAGAAGTCTGTTGCAAAGGGAGACATAAATCGGTAAAGAGTATTCAGGAAGTAGTCGATGTTGAAAAATATTAAGAACTGACAGAATGTTTGACCTCGCAAAAATAAGGTTCGGCCGTGGAATGCCGAGTTTAGCGAATGCGAAGCTCCAATCATCCCCTGGGGAAGACCAAAAATCGCCCCACTAAATGCCATAGGCGCGGCCGATCTTAAGGTGGACCATCCTATGTTGAGGCTTCAACATGTAAATTATTATAATACGAAATTTGCCATATACTAGTATATCTTGCTGACACGAAATAAGTCTTCCCAACTCGGAATTATAGTATGTATCATGCATTGAGGGGGCAACACAAAAGTTCGTCTCCTGAATTAAGCGAAATACAAAAAGGAGGGAGGGGTTCGCTAACAGCATTCCCAAAGTATACTAAAGTATGTACATATCTCAGTTGATTCTTTCAAAGAATACTCTATTGGTTTTCCCCAGCTACCGCGAATGCGCAGCATGCTCCTCAACTGTCGAAGTGTGCCCGCAGCGACCCTCATTCAATACCTTCTTTGCTTTTCCCGCCCCCATCCCGGCCCATGTCTCAGCGGCTCGAGGGGTGATGAAATGATATAGATCCTGACGATAAAATGAAGGAGCTCCGGCCGGCAGGCTACCCTTTCTGTTTAAGAATTATGTCCCTGTTACCTTCTTGTTTCCCGAGATAAATAACTACTTATTATAAAGGGGTAAATAATTATCTAAATATAGGGAGTAAAAGCAAGTATAAATAGCCAAGGAGCTAAAATACTAAGCTAGCTAAAGGGACTAGCTTTACACCGTTGGTTTGGATCACGTGCCGACATCCACGTGATCCCTCCTATACTCTCTATCCCAAGCTCTAGTGCTTGTTTTAACAGTAGAAGGTATAGTAGCAAATGCTTATAGTACTTGAAAAGCCGTGAGTGAAAAAGATTAAACCTTTGCAAGTCTTTGGGCCGCCGCGATATCCTTGGTGAAAGAGGGGCGGATCGTCTAGTTTCGGTGCTGCTGTCCGGGAGGGGTAACAGCTTCGGGCCGACCAAAACTACTAGTCGCCGAGGCCGCCGTGCCCGTTCTTCATCTCCACATTCCGTGTTATTATTATTATTATTATCGCTCAATTGGACCTTTGCAGACTTCAGTGCGTCCCTTGAAACACTGTAGGTGATAAAGCTCAAACGCGCAAACTCCTAACAACCAAATTTCATGACTCAAAGATAATCTCTTTCGGGTGCCGAAACAAAACAAAGAATGGGTTGCTTCGCAAAAGTAGGGCTCGCGGTGGGCACCGAGAGTGTGTCCAATTCCACCCCGCCACGAATCTAATTTACGTCGCACCCCTCGAATATATGTAGAATATCATCAGTTTCTTACCAAAAAAAGGTGCATTAAATTCGAATAACTTTTGATCGAGTTTTCAGAGATCGGGGGTTTTCGGTGGGTGCTCGTGGGCAACCTTACCTGGTAGGCCTGTTACAGCGCAGGTTCCCCAGCCCCCCGACGCTACTCGTTACTAGCCTTGTTAAAAGGCCTGTGCCGATTCTTCTGCGTCATTTTGCTCTCCGCTTTTCTTAAAAGTTAGGTAGTGTGCAGAGTTCTTCTATTATCTCTGTAGCAGCTGGGTGATCACGAACGAGTGCAAGAGGGATTTTCTACTATTCATGATCACAGAAGAATGGCAGCAGCTAATTACCAAGATGACGACTTCAGCGATCCCGGTTATGGAGGCTCACTGTCTGCCCCTCTTTTCCTTCCCCCGCCCAGGCGGGCTGCAAATCTTGCCCTCACACCCTAACAATCTCCAGATCCGACACCACTACGATCGAATCCGCCGCGCTCAACTATCCCTTTGAATATGGGCGCCGCTACCACGCGTACATGGCTGAAAAACGTTCGTTATAAAATAAGTTCGCCCGAGTGCACGACTGACGAACAAAGGGTATGGGCTTCCGAACGATATCGCGCAACAAGATCGCCTTTTGAGGCATCATGACTTGATCAAGACCCGTCTTGGTGGTAGGCTGATACTAGCCCCCATCCAGGAGCATCCGCAGCGGATATTGGATCTGGGGACAGGGATTGGGCTGTGGGCAATCGAGATGGGTAAGAGTGCTTCTTTGATAGATTGGAATCCCTAATTATCTCTCTTTCAATGCACACAGTTTTAGTATATCCGAACCCCTTTTTCCTTCTGTTCCATCGCCGTTGATTCTAGAAGGAGTTTTCATTTGGATGAGAGTAAATTATGGCTTGTTAACTTTATTTTCGTGGTATAGCAGATAAATATCCATCAGCAGAGGTAAGCGGGCCCTTCAACAAGTCTCGGCAGCGCCTTAGTTTATCCGCATTTCTAGGTAACTGGACTAGATCTCAGCCCACCGGAACTGGGTGAGAGTTTTCACAACGAATTCGAGTACATCCCCACCCCCATCTCACCGAAAGCTAACATCGCCCAGTCCTGTCAATGTACGCTACATCGTCGACGACTTCGAGAAAGACTGGGTCGATGCCAACATCGATCTAGTCTTTGGGCGCTTCCTCGCTGGTTCTGTTGAAGACTGGCCGCGTCTGATACAGCAGTCATACAACAATTTAAAGCCCGGCGGTTGGGTGGAGTTTCAAGACTGGGATACCATGATTTATTCAACAGCACTGCCGGCAGAAGATTTTGAGAGGTCGGAATTGTGGACCTTTCACAGGGATACTGTGGCGCTGCAAGAGAGCAGGGGGAGGAATATGCGGCCGGGTCCTGAACTAGAGAAGTGGATTAGGCAATCAGGATTCGAGAATATTCGGGCTGAGAAGTTCTCCCTACCGTTGGGCCCTTGGGTTCAAGACGATAAATTAGAGGTAAGTTGTATTTGAATGTCGGTTTGTGGTGGGTGAGCGAGCTGTCTACTAATGCAAGAGACGAACATAGAAAAAAGTTGGGTACAAGAATCTCTTGCAAATGCTTGAAGATATTTCCGGACTCGGCATGACTTTGGTGTGGGGAGGGAAAGCGAGCCGGGATCAGGTGGAGTTGAGGCTGGTGGATGTGAGAAAAGATATGTGCAATTGCGCTCACTTCAAAGCGCAGTATGACTAGTAAGTGGGGCACACTCCGCCTGCATTTTCGGCTACATCTAGAGGGTGAAATTGTGCGATGGCTAACAGTGTTACTTGTAGTTACGTCGTGTATGGCCAGAAGCCGCTTTAAGATAAAACGACGGAAGAATAATTTCAAATGGAATCGTGAATGGACTAAATTGATTTCCGGAAAGCGGCGAACAGGAGTCTGCCATTTATCTTAAGAGTAACGGTACGAATAGCTAACGAGTGTTGTTGTGCGCTATTTCGTAGATTCTGCGTAATTTATCTCTAATCTTCTTCAGGACTCTAGGACTAACTCCTGTATCTTCTGTACAAGAATATCTAGGTATTCCGCACTAGCCTTCAGTGTGGGGACAATAAAGAAGCAGTGAGGATACCCTTCATAAACTTTCAATTCCACGTGAGCTCCCTGGGCCTCCATCTCATCCCTCAGCATCAAAAGTTCGTCGTGCGTTGGATCTTTCCCGCATGCAACCAGATATGTCCGCGGCAGCTTCCCCAGGTTTGGGTGAAGGAGCACGGAGAAAAGCGGGTCAGTAGGCGGGGCTCCATAGGCTTCTATTTCAACGTTAGCAAACCAAATGCAATGCTAATCGCTCCACGCTCCCCCTGGAGGCCAGAAATCGAAAACGACCTACCAAAGCAAGTCTGCATACATGTCCGATCTAAAAATGCGGAGTCAAGAAACAGTTCCGGATGCCACGCTTCCCGATATTTATCAGGGATAGCAGACGGCTCACAGGAACTGGTGCAGGACGCCAAGACTGCCTTTGGAACCGAAGAGCCTGGTATGGAAGACAGCTTCAGTGCAGTTGCGAGGGCGAGGTTCCCACCTGCGGAGCCGCCGGTTGCGTAGGCCAGCTTGGGGGATGCGGAATAAGTCGATGCGTTTTGAGTCATCTGGATACGGAGCAATGAGATCGGTTACAGGGAAATACAAATTATAGGAGATAGAACTAACCCATTGGAAGGCTAGGATGCAGTCATTGAGGCTGGCGGGAAAAGGGTGCTCGGGAGCAAGCCGGTATTCGGGGCAGACGAGAACGGTAGGGGTGTGTTGTGTCAGGTAGCGGCACATATCTTGGACCTGCGTCAGCAATATTCAAGACTCTATCTATACCAACTTATGGCGTAGGAGCATGGCTGGGGACGAATAAACAAGATATTGGCTGAACCATGACGCACGGTCTTCATAATCGACTCCGCCAGCCACCCAGCCGCCGCTATGCAAACTACTCGAGGTGAGCGACCAAATCATTGCGGCCCCTTTCGATTTTCCTGACTTGTAGAAGGATGGGTACCTACTATAACCCAATCGGCAACATAACTTCACTCTTCACTGTGGGATAGTAGATTCGGACCTTCAAGTCACTATCTGGTAGCTGGAGGTCAATTTTTGAAACTGCATTGTTGGGCGGAGGGAGCATGGCTTTCATGTTGTCGAATAGCCCGAGGAACTGGGCACGGATGGAGGGGATATCTCCCGTGAGCTTGAAGCGGCCGCCGGTCAGCTGCTCGAACTGGACCACGAAGGAAGGTTAGCCTCTCTGGTCAAGGGCAGTTCTCAAGGATTGTTATCTAGATGGGCTAGAGAGGATGGAATTAATCGGCATCATAAGGTTCATACCTGAAGCCATTCTTCTGCGTACGAGTACGGCAAAACTTCAGCAGCCATATTATTAGAGACGATATTACTTTGGACTATGAGAGAGGTTGATACCAAGTTCCACCTTTAGTCGTCTTAAGTGATTGAAAAGTTTTAGAGAGCCATCGCCTTCTTGCGGGGTAATCTAATATCCTCGGCGTTCGGAACTTACCATCTAGTTCTAAGGTTAACGGGCACAAGTAAGACGACCCCCCACCCCTCGGTGTCGATTAGAGGTGTCGATGGCAGAATCTTTTCTCGCTTAGCGCTTGGCATCCCCCCCTCCCCCACCATACTCCCCCCTCACCCCCCAAATATCGAATAGGAGTATTAATAGATTTTAGAGTTTTAATAATGCCTAATTCGTCTTATATATCCTTAAGCCTTTCTCTCAAATTAGATTTCTTAATATAAGTATAAGAAAGTTTACTTCGTATATATCAGAGCTCTCTCTAGTTTTGGAGCGTGAGATAGGCGAGGCAATTATTGCGCATGAGGCAAAAGTTCCAGGTACGTAATCGCTAAATTTTCAGGCTCTCTTAAGGTCGACCCCCCATCGACGCCCCTAATCGACACCCCTAATCGACACCCCTAATCGACACCCCAAATTATTACCCCTAATTGATACCCGGGGAGGTATTATTTTATATTTTCCTATTTTACTACTATCCCCCCCCCTAAATGATTACAGTGGGCCCTTGGGTAACGCCACTCTGAAACCTCGTTTATATCCCCGAGTTAGGGAATATCAGGTGCTTATGAGAAGTGCTATTCGCTGAAGACCCTTGAGATGGCCAGTGCTTGGGTGGTTTTACTTTTTCCCAGGGTTACGTTGTAGCAGGTGACCTATTCAGCTCGCCCTGTGAGGGGTTAGCGTGGCTAGCGGGAGGAGAAAAAAATGGCCGATTTTGACAAATTCAGCGGACACCAGAAAATTAGTATTTACTAGACAGCAAATTAACTTCTTTCTCTTTACGACTTCTTACGGTCATACCAGATCTCGCAAGTCCTATATACGTCTTTTGCACCTTTAATTGACTTGTATTGTCTCGAAAAGAGGGCAGGAAGTTGAGGTTTTGGTGTTGGCACAGGGGCCAATTTCGGCCGCTTACCCTCCGTATTTCTCCTACGCAGAGCGTGGCCCCAAGCGAAGCGCTAGACTTGGACGATTATGTAAGGAACCTGGCCAAACGTAGTTTCTTAGAAATGAAGTCCTCTAGACCCTACCTCTCCTCCAGGCAAAATCAATCGACCGGGCACCAACCTGCACTTATGCATTTTGTGTCACGTGCCTTTATCGCTTAAGCGATAAGGAACTTCCACCTCTCCTTCTTTCCGTCGTCCCCCCCCTCCTATCTCTTCCCCGGCCCGTTCTCTCACCCAACACATAAAGCTTCAATTCTCATCACTAGTCGAAGACGCTCAGTTAGTTTCTCAGCTCGCAAAAGAGCTGAGCTGCTTGATGCTATCCATGGCACCCAAGAGCTCATTTTGGTCACCGAGTAGGTCCACACCAAACAGCAGCGCTGAGCAAGCAACCGGTGCCGGGATTCGTTCTCCGGTCAACAACTCCGCTCCTCTGGGCAACAGCAATGCAGCTTTTACCAGGCGGGATGACAGAAGAGGGGTAATGTGTACCTCTCGCTCGCATTACAGCAACTTTTTTTGTTCTTGTTGTGAGGCACCTCGCTACTTGCTCAGACTCGCAGCACCATTTGCCACTAGCAAACCGCCCGCCCACGCCCAAGAACCGATTGTGTCGGAGTTTCCTTGTCGCCCCCTTGATCTGTTTTTGCAGACATGGTATGTGAAACGGCCGGTGCAGGATCCGAACCGAATGGATCGTTAACGAAGTCTCCGAAGGAGAAGGCCGGGAGTGAAAGATGGATTCCATCGCCTCAGTTCGCTATCTTCAGTGGGGCATAACCGTCGACCAGCGTGAAGGTGCCAGTAAACCACCCCAGAGACGGGAATCTGAGGCTGGATAAACTCACGCTTGCATTATAGTATGATTTTGCAATCATATGTAATCGTTTCGAGATAAATACATAAACGACAACTTTTATTGCTCCAGAGCACGCACCGCCATGATTATGAATGGGAACACGAACATTCACCATCCAGTGAGCATTCACTACAACACAGGCCTCTTTAGCCGGCAGCGCCAAATTGCCAAAGTTGATCGGATGCCCGGGGAGCCCCCACCCTGCTGAGAAAATGAGGCTGACGATATGCAGTTGTACCGAAACGACTGCTTCCATATGCATAAGTTGCCAGTCGTTGCGTAGCGAACCTCAAGACAGCCTGCCACGTGGACCTGTTGGCGCACCTATTTCCCAACGAACTTAGGATTGCTAGAGTTGCATCACAGGCACGTGCTAGTGTAGTGCACATCACGATCGATGGGGCACTTTCGCGCCAATCCCCCATCCCCACGAGTTGATGTGGCTGCTGCTCCTGCCACACTAACCGGACGACCGTTTCAGTGATGGTGGGCAGAGCAGACAAGCTCGGACAACAACTGGCCTGAGGCTTATTCCCAATAATTGTGAGGCTGACTCAAATAGTTCGCTCGCTGGAGTCTCTCTTTTGGTCGACTATCAGGCAAAATGCGCACATGCCTGTCTGTCTCTTCTCTGTTAAACAAAGGGACTCCTCATTGAATTTCGTGTTATATGGCAGTATCACAAGACCTTGATCATCTCAACTTGATACAAACCCGTTAATAAGGATCATATAAATCTCAAAATGGCAGCCAATTCCTCCCAAGTCGTGGAAGCCTTTATCACTGCTGTGCGGAACCTCGCTTCAGATGACAACTACAAGACAATTGAAGGCACATTTGATGAAATTCCCCGATTGGAAAGACTGATTAAATCCAAAGACGACGAACTGGATCGTGTCAAAAGAGAGGTTACTGACCTCAAATCCAAACATGAGGGCCGCCTACAACAAGAGCTGGAACTGTACCGGACACAGCGCAACAAGCAAGAAGAGGAGAAAACCAAGTTGTCCGGCAATATCTCCACTTTGACAGCAACTATCAAGGAGAGAGACAAGGTTGTGGCAAGGCTTAGTCAAGCACAGAGCGGACCTCGGGGACAACTTGATCTGGTCAAGAAGTCTTTGGAGGAGGAGAAGGTGAAGGTGACAAATGCCAATGCGGAAATATCAGAGCTACAAAAAAATATAAAAGCAAAGGATATCGAGATCGATAATCAGAAGGATCGTCTCAGAGACTCGGACACTCAAGCTTCAAAGACCAACAACCAACTCCAAGCTCTCCGAGAGGATAATGCCACTCTACGGCAAAGCTTACAAGCAACACGGGCAAGACTTAGCGAACTCAATGGCTTTGCAAAGGAGTTACATGAAAATGACGCGGAAGTATGGTAGGCTATTCCTTCTCCTATTCGACAATTGGACCAAATTGACCGTATTATAAGGATTATTCGACTGGACGCAATGTGGGAATCTGCTCGCCAATTGGTGACATCACACTTGAAAGAGGATGTCCCAGAAAGTAGCCTTGTAGTAAGTTCGTCTCGCCATGTTATGGAGGTTCTCGCTAAGGACTGAACAACGCAGAGTCTGGACCGTTGGAAGAAGTTTAGAGAGTCTCAAGTTCTTGATCGTCTTCCTCTTCCGCGGTCCAATACGCTAGCAGCAAAGCGAATGCGTATTGTAGCATTGCTGGTAATCCTCGCAAGGTGGATTAACGATCTCATATTCCAACCGATCTATATCCTGGACGATGAGGATGACGAGGTCCGGCTACTTCTAATTCATATGGCAGTAGAAAATAGCAAGAAGGAATCATTTTTCCGCGCTCTCCTACTCTCTATAGACCCTGAAGAACACGAAAAAAAGGCTTTGAAGAGGGTCGAGCAAGTTGTCAGGGAAGTTGTTTGGTATGTTCAGGATATGCTCTCTGACATCAAACGCGAAAGCTTCAAGTCTAGCCTAGAGCAGGTGGTACAGCAAGCTTGCGACGCTTGGAAGATCGCGCAGCGCTCCAGAAAAAAGTTCGAGCCCTATTTTGACCTAATCCCGTCTGACAGCCGGGAATGGCAGCCACTCAGATTCGAGAAGAGTGGTGCCGGTGCTGGAGAACAAGACTCGACGACGCCTTCCGACGGAGATGAGGAGCTGCTTGTGGTTTTCCCTCGCATCTATTCTATAGAGGGTGGCCCTCCAGATCCAATCACTAACGGAGTCGTGCTAATGAAGTCGCAATCAATAGCGGCGAAGGCGGAGATAGAGAGGAGGAAGTCATCGAGTCCCACAGTGGGAAAGACGATGTCAAGGTCGAGGCCAAACAAACCGCGGACTCAGTCCATTTCCTTGAATGCCGGCAATGGGGTTTTATCTCAACCAACCTAGTCAAGCCTAAATTGAGATGGTTCAAGCGGGAGCTAAACCTCTTGGCAGCATAACATCGAATGTCTTGAGACGGGTTCGTGTCACGAAGATAGAGCACAAGACACATGTCAAATTGATGCGCATATAAATCTTTAATGAAACTCAAAAATATGTGCGATGTCAAAAATTTTCAAGTCCACAAAGAACGGAAGCCAAATATGAAGCTGGGCAGTTGATGTCTGAGTCTTAGAAGATCGGGCTCGTGAAAACGATACAAGTAGGAGCAAAGGTATCAGAAACAAAGTTAGATATGTACCAGTGCACCACAACCGAGTCAGTAAGTCGTTATCAATTCAAGCAAAAATCCGCATTAAAATGAATTGATGGTACTACAAGCCCGACGTGAAACGTATTACTATATTCAGCGCCGAACGCTCCAAACACTTCAAAATATGGAGCTAACAAGAACGAATTCTTAATAAGATGTCCATATCTAGAACGTGTATTGTCCCATGATTTTGGGAGTGTTTGTAGGCATAGAAGAACTCCCCTAAGCTGTTCCCATTTGAAGCGTTTGCCCTCCGCCAGCCGTCCTGCTGCTGTTGAAATCTGCTCTTAATTTTCAGGAGACTTGCCGCTTACTTATGGTTGTAAACAGGGAGCCAGTGGACAAAATTCTTAGGGCTGTGTAGCCCTAGTCTGAAACTTCATCCTGTTCGCAAAAGATGATGAGGGCTTGAAGAAAAAAATCACGTGTGCAATTCAAAGTCATGTGAATGGCTGAATGTGAGGCGTTCCCTTAGGCGAAGTGTGATGCAAACTCACATGAGGCTGTGCGAGACAAAAACGTCAACCTGCTCATCTCACGATCTGCTTTTCATGCCATCCCAAATATCGACGGATAATCCTCAATATGGTGCTAGACGCTCTGTCGGCGGTGTCTTTAGCCGCAACCATCGTTCAGTTCGTCGACTTCAGCAGCAAAATCGTCTCCAAAGGCTACCACCTCCACAGATCAGCAGAAGGCGTTCTGCCTGAGAACGCGAGGCTCGGATACGTGATAGCGGATCTGAAAGATCTCAACACCAAACTTCAGTGCCACGAAAGGCTAGGGTGCTTGACGAGAGACGAGCAGGCCCTCGAAGATTTATCGTCGCAGTGTTCAGCGCTTGCGACCGAGTTGCTGGAGCGGCTAGAAAAGCTTAAGGTTGAGCAACATGCTAAGAATCGAAAATGGAAGAGTTTTCGTCAGGCGCTGAAGGTGGTGTGGAGCAAGGAGGCTTTGGATCAGATGGCAGCGACATTGTCAGACTATCGGAGCCAGTTGGAGCTCCATGTCTTACTCTCTTTGCGGTATTTTGAAACGGAAGATCGTCGCTGAGCCGAGCTAATAGTTGCAGTGAAAACCATGATTTTTCTACCGTTGAGCAAGCCAAGGGGTTTGACAAGCTCGAGAGCTCTCAAAAACATATCATTCGGCTGTTACAAGCAAGACAGACCCCATTCAGCGAGGAATTCCGGATTCAGAACGAGATCGTTGCCAGGTTCCACGAAGACAACAAATTTCATATTACTGCCGAGCACGAGAAAACGCGAGCAGAAATTATCAAAGTTGTGAAAGAATCCAGACTCATATCCTGCGAGCCTTGTTTAACCATTCCATCAAGCGAAAAATCGGCTGAGGACGAAAAGCGGTCTCAGATGGAAGACGCGATCTTAGACAGCCTAGGATTTCCGTATATGAACGATCGGTATCACGAAATCGAGGATGCACACAGAAAAACTTTTGAGTGGATTTACAAACTTACCGATCCGGGTATCAATCTTTGGGGCGACTTTTCCCATTGGCTTGCTCATGGAGAAGGCATTTATTGGATTAATGGAAAAGCTGGCTCGGGAAAGTCTACATTAATGAGATACATCTACGACGATAGGCAAACGACATCACTATTAAATGAATGGGCCGGTACACCTGATGGATTGTTATCGGCAGGATTTTTCTTCTGGAAAAGCGGTGTTCCCGAGCAGGCATCCCAGACCGGACTCCTTCGCTCTCTTCTCCATACTCTTCTGTCCCAAAAGCGCCAACTTATCCCCAAGGTCTTGCCGAAAGATTGGAAAGAATGCCAGCGGCTTAAGTCCTTATGCCAATCCACCCATGAATTGAGAGGCTGGCGTCCGATGGAACTCATAAATCTCATCAAAAGCCTTTTCAATTATCTGATGGGCACACGGACCTGCCTGTTCATCGATGGGCTTGACGAATATAATGGGAGCCCGACTGATACTATCCGGCTTTTGAAAGACATATCCTCTTCCAATGTCAAAATTTGTGTGTCCAGCCGCCCGTGGAATGAATTCCATCAAGCTTTTGACGAGTTTCCGGGGCTACGACTGCAAGATTTCACCTTTGACGACATTAGCCTCTATGTTAATGAAACTCTTGCTGCAGATGCAAGAATGAAGACCCTGTCGGATGAGTACCCAACTGAAGCTTCTAAGCTCGTCACTGAGATTATCACCAAAGCAGATGGCGTGTTCCTGTGGGTGAAACTCGTTGTGAGGTCGTTACTAGAAGGAATAGGGAACGGAGATAGCATTTTCGAACTCGGAACCCGATTGCAGGAACTTCCATCTGATTTGGCTAAGCTTTACGCCCATATGCTAACCACCGTCAAAGAGAGATATCGAATCGAAGGTTGGAAGTATTTTCAAATGATGCAAGCCTGGCGGCTCTTGGATATTTTGCCAGCGTTTGAAGGTTCTTATAAGCAACCTATTCGAGCTCTTGTTTTGTCTTTTGGCTTAAAAGAAACTTCCCGGTCACCGAACGATTGGACTCCACCAATATTGACAGAGCCAGAAAAGAAACGACTTATTAGCAGGGTCGACAAACGCTTGAAAGTTTGTTGTGCCGGGCTGCTGGAGCTCTCGGACATTTCGAATTTGGCGCCTACCAACGAAGACCCCAAAGTTGTGGCCTGGAATCCGCAAGTCAAATATGTCCACAGAACCGCTGCCGATTTCCTGGTGGAGGCTCAAACGCGATTCCCAACAAACTCCAGTATCGACTTCGGACCGAACAGTACTTTGCTCCGAGGGTATATATCCCAGCTTAAAAGCCACCGCGTAAGCATTGCCAGATATGATTCCGAGCTGGATATGCGCATTGGGACAATCTTGAGCTTGGCATACATTGTTGAGAAAGAAAATGCTCCACTAAGTGTCGAATATGTAGACGATTTTTTAACGACACTTTTTCGCCACGTACCAGTACCGTCTCGAAAGGCCCACCTAGCCAACTCCAGTGTCATTGAGCACTTCTGGCCACGCGTAAAACTCATATGGGCTGTTCGGGCATCGTTGTTTCGCTACCTCACTGTCAAGCTTGGCCTCCCAAAGCAACTTCCACGGTCCCCATGTGGCAGGTCTTATCTTTACTACGCATTAAGCGCGGAGCATGAGCATGTGAATGCCCACAAGAAAAAATATCTGAACGCGACACTTATGAGCTCTGAGAGGATCGTTGCATTTCTGTTACCTCACAGTAATCGAACCGATATAAAAGAGAGTTGGGAAAGGGTTCTATTTCATGCTGCACGCTATGTGGATGATTATGAACGGTATTTCATGAGATCGACGCGGGATGATGTAGGGAAAATGCTCCTTGCTACTCTGCAACTATTCTTGGAATTCGGTGCCGACCCCTCCACGAAAACGCGAAAAAAAAACTTGTATGGTGGCGATGGAGTTCTTGTTAAAATGTACAACAATTGGCCAGTGGGCCAATCAAAATGGGACGTGGAAAGAGTCCTTTGTTTCCTAGCAGAGGATCATCCAATCGAAGTGGGAAGAATACGAAGTGTCATAAAACGTCAAAGGCGGTGGCCTAGGTTTGGTTTCTTAAAGCACACAACCCGTGTAAAACAGCCAAACGTGGACTGGCAGCAATATCCGGAGCGAACGTGGTGGAAGAGCTGAAGGGGTGACCTAGGTATTCAAATTTACTCAATGCAAGTCAATGAAGTGATGGGTAGAAACTTTCCGCTACTGTGCAAATATCAAAGTCGAACTGAAAACAGCATAACAGGATTGTAAGCCTTGATTTGGAAAGGATCTGGCAACCGTGACGAAAAGTCGCCCCTCTTAACACTTCAAAGTGTGAAAGCAGCAAGCGCTATTTATTTGAAAATAAATTTCTGGTTTTGGAGCGCAGTATTTTGATAAAGAGGTTGAAGGGCTCGTTTGAACCCTTCTTGCCGCTTGAAAATGGAGGAAGTTGAGGTAGAATGCAAACTTACAACATTCCGAAATTTTGGGTTCTGCTTGTGGTCTAGTATATCTCAAATAAAATTATCTAGAGAGATCATGAACTCCATTCTATATTCCTGTTGATGAGACTTTGACCCAACCTCAATCCCAAAGAAAGGCGTGGGATCGGTCAAGTAAAGTGACCCCTGGCCCTGTAAACCTTACGAGTTATGCAGCACCCCCGCGTCGACCCCTCCCTCCTTTACAGATGGCAGTGCCTGCCTGTCACATCAATAACCGTCCACCACATTCATATATGCTCGGATGTATGTGACTTGTGAAGTCATATAGTAAGATGTTCCAACCTCAAACCTTCCACCCCTTCCCGCTCCTATCAACTGAGCTCCAGCTCCGCATCTGGGAGCTTGCCATCGCCGCCCTAGGCTTCCGCGTTTTTGAGCTCTTCAACATCTGATTGGAATATAAACAAACATCTCCGTTCACTGTTCCAGTCCCGCAGCACGTTTGCCGAGCCTCTCGCACCTATCTTTGATGCCCCGACAGCTGTCATTTGCTGCGAAAGGACAAGATGTTGAAAAGAACAATGACGTTATTTACACGAGGGCTGATTCGAGAAAGGGAAGAGGGGAAGCAATATTTGTGGAGAAGGGGGATCATTCGAAAGATCCTCCTTTTCTCTGGCATGAATTAAGTGAAGGGCTTGAGAAACACAAGTTCAATTATGAGCAGGCTGGGAAAACCTGTCCGAAAGTATAACTTGAGGGACTACGGAGCGGCAGTACGCAAATACTTGGTTTGGAGGATAAATTGCTGGGACTTAAAATATGAGAATCAATTTGATTTAAGTCGTTACTGCTTCGAAATCGTAGATCGGCAAGCATGGTAGACTTCACTCTGTACTTGGGCTTTGTCTTTAGTAATCGACAGGGGGAACATGTACACCTTCTTTTGGGGAAATATCGATTCAAAGTGTATCGCATTGACTGTCAATGTCCGATTTAAGGTAACCTTGTGCACTATGCTAATGTCGAAAATCAGGGGCTGTGCGCTCTGTGGTCCACTTTTAAGTGGGGACGTAATTTCCAGAGTTTTAAGGAAGCTGGAGCTTTCCTAGAAAACACAACAATCAAGCTTCATTTCAACAGCTAAGACTGTAATGTCAAAACCAATATCTCTCCCATTTCCAGCAACGGATTTCGTAACTTGGTCTCCACCAGCTCGGTACTCGGTACGCAACACCCCAGGGGAGTGCAAGCTGAAGAACAGGGGGTCGTTTCAGGGGCCAACTCGCAAATGGAACCCTGAAGGTCTACTTCTGTAACGCAGCTTCAAACTACCACCCAACTAGGACTTCCTATTCACATTCCAAAAGACACCAGACCCTATCTCCATTTCTTGACGCTGAACCTCAACTCATAATGGACTTGCCTACTAGCAGCTTCCTCCAGGCCTTCCACCTCTTCACCCACCTCCCCCCAGAATTACAACTCAATATCTGGTAGTACGCAATCTCCTCCACCCCCTCCCTCATCGCCCAAATCACCAACCTTCAAACCCTCCGCTATTCAACACCCACAACCAAACCCCCCTCACCTCCGCCAGTTCCATCCCCACCGGCTTACACGCCTCTCACTTCTCCCGCTCTCGCGCTCCCAACACTAGCAACTTTCCTTCCCTTTCTCCACCGCTAGAGATGGAGCAAACGCCCAGAACCACCCACCAGCAAGCATACTCAACGACTTCTCCAGAGGATGAGATATCTTTTTGCTAGAGCGGCCATCGGGGGCACAGCGCCTGAACTCGGCAGATCTTCATGCGGTAAGAAGGATAGCAACTTGCATTGCGGCGTGGAATGGCACGGGCTTCAACGGCTGACGAGGCTTTGGGGAGGAATTCCACAAAGTTTCTATCTCTCGACGAGATTATAGTTGTTGGTTCGGAACTCAGCTGTTCGGGGTGGAAGAAATATCCGAAGAAGACGCAGATACGGCTTGTGGGGTACCAGAGGGGAAATGGATCGGGGCATATGTATGGTGAGAAGGCGTTGGCGGAGGGGTTTGTAGAGGTGTATAAGGAAAGGGAATTGGGGTTTCCGGTTTTGGCTTATGGTGATTATATCCGCTACCACCCAAGGGCTTCCGTGGTGTCGCCACTAGGAGAGGACGAACAGACTAGGCTATGGAAAGAGTCCAAGTTTTCTGGGCATCCAGTGCAGAAGCTACGGGGTACTATCCCGAGGAATCTTTCTGAGTATCCAAGAGCAAAATAGCCATTTTTGTGTGTGTTTGAGACCCATTCGAGACTCCACATATCCTGATATCTTTTCCTCGGTCGTTGTCTCCATTTGGAAGCTCTGGGTAGTCTCCTTATTGCCCATGTCTAAGTCTAGATACGTAAGTATATCGCAGCTCACGGGCGGGGAAAGGATCATGCGCTGAATGCGACCAAGGACGAGTAACCATGCATTTAAAAGCAATCAAAAAAAGATACAAATGCGCTGCGAGTCATTTGCTGCCCCAGGAGGAGTGACACTTCAAGTAATCACTAGTCCATCCGGGAACTGAAAAGAGACTGCTCAGCTTCGGCCCCGCTCGCTCACAAGACTCATACCCTCTCGCTAGTTCTTTCCCACACTGCGAAAGAAGCACGGGAAAATAATGTCACATACTGATAGGAATCGAGGGCAGAAACAGTTTGGATTCAACGCTACTATGCTACCAGCAATGCTCGCTCCATATACATCCTGTATCCATGCACCCCAACCTTTTATCCTAAGTACCCTCCTATATCCCTCACAATAACGCCAAAATACAAATATTATTCCTACATACACTCAACCCCAAACCAAGATATCCAACACCAAATCTCCATAAACCCCCGTCCCAAAAATAAATCCCAGAAGTCCGTTCTAATCCTACACTCCTTAATCTCCTTCCATTAACGGCCAAACCCTCCAATCCCCAACCCAACAGCCTCATCTTCCCCGGCCGGCTTTTTCCCCTTTCTCCGACTACTCAACCTCCTCCTCGCCTCCACCTCCCGTTCCCTCTCGCCCCAACTCCTCAACAGCAGCGCCCGCTCCCTCGCCTCGTCAACCCTGACCCCCTCAGGAAAATCGCCAAACTCAATGATCCTCCCGCCGTTAACTCTCATCCCACCACTGCCACTTCCGCTTCGTTCCATCCTCTCTGCATCCCCTGCCTCCCCAACGATTTCACTGCGGAAGACGGGTCTGCCTCTATCGTATTCAGCTGCAGTGTCATACGAAGCCGGTGTGTTGGACGGCGGTTGCGGACTCGGATACGACCCTCCCGTGCCAATGCCAGAGTTAAAGGATCGAGGGGAAGAATATGGCTGAGATGATTGAGATAAGAAAGAAGCAGGGCTATTCCTCGGCTGCTGCGGCTGCTTTGCTGACTGCACCCCCCATTGTGGCTGTGGACTCGGGTATTGACTCGGATACGCGGACGTGGAAGTTGAGCTCAGCATTGAGTTCGCAGGCGCAGGTGGCGGTTGTGGAGAGAGCGTGAAGCTCGAGGGTGAAGGGGAGAACGATGGGGCAGTGGGGTTGAATTTCCTTTCTTTTTGTGATTGGGACGGAGGTGGAGGGGAAGACAGGGTAGGAGGGATTGAAGGTGCGTTGCCTCCCCAGTCTTCGAGCTTCTCGACGAGTGCTGCGCGGGCGTAGCCTAGTCGAGGACTGATTTTCTTCTGCGCATCGCGTTCTCGGTCACCGCGCTCCTTCTCTTTCATCCGCTCGTAGACTTGATAGCTTGTTGGTGGTATCCTGGGACTGAAGACGGGAAGCTGCGGAGGGGGCTCGGTTTCTGCAAAGCTTGGCCGGCGTCTTCTTTCTACTTGGCCTGTGGAGCGGGCTGAGTGGTCCGAGTGTGTTGACTGCCCGGAGGGATCGCGGGACATTGGTTGCGAGGTGTAGCCGCCTTCTTGGTTTGAGAGCTCTGGACGGCCTGGGTAGTAGGGGTTGGAGTTTGGGTTTTGACTGTTGACTTGGATATTCGGGGAAGAGAGGGAGAGGAAGGGCGGGTTGGTGACCTCGGTCATGGTTGAATGGGAGAGAAGCATAGAAGCGGGGAGGGATTCAGAGGCGTTGTATTTTTGGTATGTCGGATACTCTGATGCTAGAGGTGACGAAGAAGCAGTTCCGGTTGGCTCGAATGGCGGCATACCTTCCATCCGGGGATACGTGTTAGATGGGTAAGGTTCTGGCCCAAGGTACGGATTATCCTGGCTGTATCGACCTGGAATTTGGTAGAATTCCGTGTCCGAAGATGGACGAAGATATGGCGAGGTCGGATAAGGTACCCTGGGAGTATTTGGCGGATGTGGTGATGGAGAGGGCTGAATCACCTCAATCGGGAATCGTTGTAGCGATGCCATTGCTGAGCTTGAAGGTCGTTGTAGACTCGACGCACTTTCGCTGGAAGGGGGAGGCTCTGTCGAAGGTCGAACAAGTTCCTTCAGTCCAGCAATGGTATCACGAGTTGACCCCAGTACCGCAGAGGCATAAGAGGCAGTCCCAGTCCTCAACCGACTTCTCTCACTTCCCCGTCGCGAAGATGACCTTCGATCTTGAAGCATTCCTCCCCCTCTTGCTGGCGGTGGACTGCTCTGGTTGATATGCGTCAAGGCGACTTCCGCAACAGATTGACCCGACATTCGGCCTCGTGATTGAGCACGAGTCGAAGAGCTTCTGTGCATAAAGCCTTGTGCTGTCTCGTGACTGACACTGACTCTGGGGTCGATGGCAGCCATTGCTCGATACGCGCCCGCATTATCTCGGTACCGCGATTTCTCCATGTTCCTAACAGTTCGGTGAAGTATCAGAGGATCGGGTCTCTGTCTTGGTTTCCGGGATCTAACTTCTTCCCATTGACCACCTGGACTCATGGAAGAATCTCGATGGAGAGTCCGCTGAGATGCCTGGACTGTCATCGCGGTTGAGCCCTCCCTATCGCTTTCATATCCTGGGTCTTCCTGTTGCGGAAGCGGAAACATATTCCTGTACATAGCATCCATGCGTTGAATATAGTCCGTGTCATGTGTCAAGCTAGATGGCGATTCGTGTTGGTCTTTATCAGGTTCAAATCCCCACGTCGAGATACGGGAACGATTGTGATCTCCGGGAGTTTCTGGGCCTGTGTCGGATGAGCTACTCGTACGATCAAAGATCGAGGTTTGGAATGCTTCTGGTCTTCCTCCAGCAATAACATGCGAGGACTCGGGTGTGCGTTGATCAATCTCCGATTTGATGGCCACCAGTCGCGGTTCTAGCATCTGTTGTGCATATTCAAGAATTTCTCTTTGATCACGAGAGAGATGCTTGGATAGATTCTTGACGAGATGCTCTTTCAGTTTATTCCCATGAATCTCATACAGACGATAATCCTCAACGAGTCCGGCATTTGCTTTCCGTGCAATTCTGTCGTTTGCCATATCGTATGAGCAGCAAAATACTCTGATGGCACGATCAAGCCACATTGGAAGAGTACCAGCACCGGACAGAGTATCGAAGAAGAAACCTTGTACCACACTGTGAAGTCTAATAACATCGACGGTGTCTGCAAGCATATCTCGACTGCTCTTAGAGCTTTGAGAAGAATGAATCGAGACATCGTGATGATTCCTGTCAATGAGCGCGAACATGATGAGAATTTTGAACGTGTTATTCAGCGAGCGCCCAATGATCGGCTCTGCGGTCTTGACGGGTACATCGAGCGCCTTGAGACCTAAGGAGATCATTTCCACAGGAACGTGCTGGCTGAAGAAACAAAGGAGGTAGATCAAATTCAAAGCTTCGTGGGCTCCGAGGGCTTTCAATTGATCGACAACAGCCATGTAGGTACCTAGACCTCGCAATCTTGGCTCGGAAACGTATGATCGTGCGAATTTTGAGAGCGGTTCATCAGTGGTCTTGAGCCGTTGAGAAACTGCATGAATGACCACTGGCAAGAATCCCATCGCCTGGACAAGCTCTGTCGAATGCCTCAAATCATCCCTCGAAAAGGGTTCCTTCTTATCAAGCTCGAGTAGAAGCAGTCTTTGAGCCTCACGAGCGGACAAAAGTGGCAACCTGATGATCTGTGGATTCTTGAAATGATAGTTCCCAGCGACGGACCGTTCGGTGGAGGTATAGATGAGACTGGTGTTAGGGCTATCAGGAATAAATTTTTCCAAAGCCTCCGTATCGCCAAAATGGATACCATCCAGAACAAGTAGCCAGTTGTGCCGGTGATTGAGCCACTTCTTGACCATTTTAATGAATTGGTGAGGATCTTTCAACAATTTTGCGTCGTCACCCTCGACATGCTTTAGCGCTGCCTTTCGGGCAATATCCCAGTAACCAGCTGCCAGTTCTGTTAGACTTTTCGCTCGTACCCAAAAGATGCCGCCTGGAAAGTCGTCCTTGTGTTCGTATAGATACTGTCTCGCTAGGTGAGTTTTGCCACCTCCTGGTAGACTTTGGATCAACACCGCGGAAGTGCCTTCTTTTCGTCGCTTCTTATCGAATAGTAACTTGTGCATTTCAGCAAGCTCCGCTTGTCGACCGACAAACAAAGAGTTGGGACGAAAGCCAGAAGGTTTGATGAAATATGCGGTATCTGGTTCGTCGGTCGACGTGTCTGGCTCGATACTGACATTGGATTGGATCATAAGTGTTGGATTATTTACAGAACTTGATGGAGCTACAAGAAAGAGAAGCATCAGCCTATATTCAACAGAGGTATCTTACAACTGAACGAGCCCCCAAAATAAAATAAAAATAAAAATAAACCAAGCTTTTTAAAATCATTGAGATGAATACGTGCAGAGAACTTCAATGCAATCCGCCTCAGTGATGGCCAACCATTTCTTCAACCTCCTCAACCTCGGGTGAGTGGAATCGTGGTTCAGGAGAAAGGCTTCTTGTCAAAGCAGGTTGGCTTGGAGGTTGTGTTGTTTGTGAAATAAATTGTGGACCGTGTGACATACTGGGCGTATTTACAGCACTCGTTGATGGGTGTGGTGTGGATGCCTTTTACAATCAGCAAGCGTTCGATATTCCCAATTGGAGACTGACATAGTATCCCAAAAGATGAGCTGCTTCAGCTTCCTTTTTCTGCCTTCTTTGCACTTTTTCTATCTCCCAATTTGACGCCACAAGTTGGGGAGCTTCTTGAACCTGAAAAAGTCAGTGCGGAGCAGTGAGTAGTATAACAAGGAGCCTACCCATGATTTAAGCGTGACGGATACATTAGTATAACCAGGAGAATTTTTGCTCTCGAACTTGGACATTGATGAATGGGTCGCCTCAATACCAAAATACTGTACATCTGGTAGTAGTGGACCAGCTGAATGTTGGTCCACGACGAAAAGTTTCGAGCCCTTGAAATCTGTCGGGGCAGCTTCATGAACCATGCAGACCTGATGAAGTTAGTTGGCGAAGGCCATAACCCAGAATGTCAAACATACCTTGAAGCGTTGATATATATCCAAGAATTTGAGGTTGATATTCTGAAGTGTTTCGCTATTCGTTTGCAATGTTTGAATCAGTCCTGATTGTGTATCCAGAAACTTCCTCGGAACAAGCGCGTTAACCATTCCTTGAAGCACCAAGCCCCATTTTGCGGGGTCAGCACCGATGTGAGGTGTGCCCAGAAACATGATCCCATATGTTGAGACGAAAATAGAACGTAAGTCGTCTGCATTTTTGCTTTGCAGGTCAGCGGACAGCTCGAGTGCCCGCTTGACCAGTATGCCCCCTAAGCTATGGCACACCCATAAGATGGGATTTTCGACGGTCTCTTCGCTCTTTCGTTCTAAAGCTAGGGATGTAAGGAGGGTTTGTGCGTGTTGGTGGATCTGGTCCGAGCTGCCTAGCGTTAGCAGATGTGTCTTTGGTGCGGAATGTCGAGTCCGCATACCTTGGGCTCTTGTTACTGCCAAACGTCCAAACATCTGCATTGTAACCATATGTCAAGATCCTTGCCTGCGACGACTTCAATGAGGCCGGCAGCAGCTGTGTGGGCCAGAAGGTGCCATTCTTTGCTGTCCAACTCCGCCGTGGATCTCCATTCAAACCATGTACAAACACTATATCGACTTTGGCATCGGGATGTGTGTATAATTCGGTGACCTCGAAGCGTTTGATGTCGTCTAGAATGATAGCGGAGCCCTATGTTTGCGCGTCATCGTCAGCCTTGTCTGTCCTGCACTGTACTAGACGCGAATAGGGTTTGGATGCACTTACCATGCTTGTGCGCTGTTCTCCTTATTCTGCCTACCTCATACGCTGCATCAGACCAGGGACCGGGTAACGGCTCGGCCTCTTTATATACGACTGCAGCTTCGCCCTACTTCTATGTCATGACTGAGGTACACCGGCAGGGAAGGAAGCAGTAGCTCTGTTAAGGACACGAAAACGTCTGCCTGTGTGACCTGGCGTCTGAGGGGAGCTCGTTTCGGTGTACTCCCCTGTGGCACGCGCGAAGCAATTAGTCACACGGAAGACTTGACTCGCAGTGGCCCAAACGGACTCATGGCCGCAGAGACATTTGGGAAGTGAGTACGTGATTTGTGCCCAGTAGGAGGGGTGGCAGAGTCAGCTGCAAACGTGGGTTAGGCGTGTGTCTCATTTCGGAGGATGCGAGGCACAGGGATCTGCGGGAGGCTGCCGGTACCAAACGGGGGATGACAGACAGGGGTTGGCCAATGCCGCGAGTGTAGTACACACAGTAGCAGTCGAGCCTCATGGCGATGAAGTTGGAGAATGACAACGCATTGAGCGAGGCTGAAAGCTTCTGCTCTGAGAGGTCGGGGACAGATCCGGGGTAAGACATCGGTGATGGACGAGCGCTTTATGCAAAATCAAAAGTTGGTGGCTGCAAGGCATACACGTGATTTGAGAGGAAACATTGGTTGAACGGTGTTGCATTCTTGTAGGCTTCCTTCACATGCCCGTCTTTCAGCTGCTATTTTGAGGCTCATGAGAGAGGCTGATCGAGTCGTCGAGGCTCGATGTCCGCAGTTAGCCACTCGGGCAACAAGTCCACGTACTCAAGTGAACATCGTTCAAGCATCTTCGTTCTGTTTCGGAACATTGCAGCCCAGGAATATGCCTGTGACACACTTCAAGCACGTGAACTGCTTGACAACTCCAAAGAGCTGGCTCGTCTCAGGGCGCATGAGTTCGGCAGATTCGGAGAGTAATTCAGTTCTGACGGAGGTTGAAATTGACGATTTCGGTCGGTCCTTGGTGACACCGCCCCACGGTCTCGGTACTTCAGACGAGGCCGTGATACCCACCGCACTCCGTGGTGTGGGGTTGAGACGACTGGAGTGAGAACGTGAAATGGACGTGGTCATTTGTACGACGCGTTCCCCGGATTTTCCAGCACAGTCGTACGGAGGAGCGATTGCCGAGATTCTAAGGAGAGTACGGAGTATAACTGGCATGGTCACCTCGAGGTTGCTTCCCACGCATCACATCTTGTGAGACGTTACGGGCTGCAAATACACATCGCTCAACCCTTTGATAACATCAACACGTACTCCCTTGTGCTATGTCCAAATTGAATCATATCTTTGTCCCGTAACTCCAAATATCGACTCGGCGGGAGCTCCTCCTTGTTGAGTAACGTGCCATTGGCAGATTCGAGATCGATGAGATATGGTTTCACCTTGCCCAGCTTATCCCCAAATTCGTTCTTCTTCTCAATGTAACGAAACTGGATGACGGCATGTTGCTTGCTGATGCTCGGATGTTCTGCTGCCATATCTACAACCGCTAGCTCTCGCCCAATAAGCCAACAACTTCTCTTGCTCAGCTCTATTGTTTCCAGGATATCTGCGCCTTTGAACACAAACAACTTCCAGTCGTCTTTTCCAGGAGGCTTGCGAGCTTCGGCTGGTTCGTGGTACTTGAGAGCAATCGACGTGCCATCAGATTGGGCGACCGAGTTTGATGCGGCAGCTAGAAGACCAGTTGGTGCAAGACTGGGCTTCTGCTTCTCTGGCGGTTCCTCGGCCGCCACAACGGCCATCGATGGGTCTTTGTTGGCCTGGAAAGACGCCGCCTGGGAGGGAAGCGGTCCTTTGGCTTTGCGAGTCATCTGCGATGCAGACCCTTCTCTTGATGATCTAACGTCTTTTTCCTTGCTGCCTCGTCGTGGCGGCGAGCGGTCTCTTGTGCTTCGAGGTTTGGTGTCACGGTCTTCGCGTCTTCGAGAGGATTCGGCAGCAGGACTTCGAGATCTTCGACGCTTCCTGTCTCTGTCGTCGTGCTTGTCTTTTCCACCATCGGCGTAGGACCCTCCACGCCCCTTCTCTCGATCTGCCACCTCGCGGTCCTTTCTCCGCCTTCGTCGCTGCCTCTCCTCCTCGGAGTCGTACGAAGATGACCGAGAGCGGCGGGGTCGACGCTCCTCTTTCTCCCACCGTGACGATCTGGACGACTCCATCCCTTACACGCAGCCTGCTTCGCCAGCTGTTGACGTGTTGCTCGCGGAGGTTGCAGTTGGCCGCAGCGCGGAGGCAGAGCAGAAGTTGATTGATTTTGGGGAGAGACGGTGATCGCCAATGGATTTTTTAACCTTCGTGCCACACAATAAATTTAGCGCCAGGGGGCCATCCTTGTGCGGCCTCTTCTAACTTTGAACTTCTCCAAACCTCCTTTCACGTCCAATTTCCACCACCAACAACAATACGAAGACGAACACGCCGCAATGCTGCATACTTCGTGTTCTCCCAAGGACCCATCGCTTGTGGTGATGGAGCCGAGACAAGGCTTCACGGTCAACAATTGGAGTCCCATTCTCAAGCTGCCGAACCAGCCCACACTTGACAAATCCACGGTTTCACGATTTCCTGTGAAAGAGTCGTTTCGAGCTTGTACCAAGAAATCCCAGCGTAGATAAACACTACGTTACTGTACTGCCCTGAATCGCAAGTCCCTCCCAAGTGGGAAACGGGGCCGAGATAGTGCAGTACATGGCGATCTGAAGATCTGCCCCTCACGTCCGTCCGTGATGGCTTCTGTGATAAATGGGTGGTAGCCCCGCGAAGTTTCACGACCACCCAATGTATGGGCAGCAAGTTGTCCATTGCTCTTTGTTCTTTGTTCATCAGCATGGCCCTTAATCTGCCTCCGACTTAAAGATCGGAGTGTGCGTCGGGGCATTGCTAGCATCTTGATGCGTTGTGACAGCTAGGGAGGGGCCGCATGCCAGGTCCCCATGTTGTAACTTGGGCGGTTCCAACCGCTTTTATGCGTTCTCCCATTCGTGAATAACTTCCCAATAATCATGCCTCTGTCCTAATTTGCTCTGCAGATGGCCAATGGCACAGTTCTGATGGATCCGTCGATCCGTCGTCCCACCTTGCTGGGACGTCGAGCTGCGATGAAGCAGGTGTGGGGTTCTGTTACTCTCCTGTTGCTTCCGTTTTCCATATATCCTGTCCCCCGCACCCAAACTTCTCATTTCTTGATCAGCCTTATGGCCCAAGCCCCGAGTCTATTTTGCTTTTGGAGAAACTTCTCGAGGGCTTCCATCTACTTCCACCGCTCCTTTGCGGAGAATATTCAGCCTTCGTGAAACTTTCTTGGCACGGTTCCCCATGTCAATGATCTGATTACGGCCCCGTGTGCGCCAGTGTTGGAGCGTTTATTCCCAGACTTCACTTCAATATGGAGACGCCGGTTCGCAGAAATGCCATGAGGGCGACAATGACACATGTTGTCACGCAGTGGGAAACGGGACAATGGGCAAGAGAGGGCATCGAGTCAGGACGGGCGAGGGCGAACAGCGAGTCCCTCAGGCCGATTACATTTTCGCCAACCAACAGGCATTCCGGCGGATTGCGGACAAAGAAAGACTTGAACTTTCCTGGAACTCCAGAGAGCGGGCGGTGGGACTTTGGTTCAATCCGTCACATCAAGCAAGGTTCGACCGAAATGCGCACCCCTGTATCTGCTGTCGACTCTGTCTTTGAGTTACCCTGCAACGAGTCTCATGCATCACCCAACTCGTCAGCTCATTCGTCCTTTATGGCGGAGCTCGAAGCTACCTCACCAGTAACGGTTCGTCACTCCGAGCGACTTGTATCACCAGCATCCTCAACACCGTTGGCCACACCTCTATATCCGACTCCTCCAAAAGGTCTGCACTTGCAAAATTACAGCATGGATTTCAAGAGTGCAGGAAATGCCGTGAGTTTGACCATGGCACTCACCGTTGCAATGCTGACCCATAATCTCAGCCTCGTGCCGTAATAAAGGTTGTCGACGAGACAATTGCCGCCATCGAAGATACCAACCGGAAACTTCTTAGCCGCGCGATTGCAGCAGAAGACACAGCCAAGGTCCTTCGGGAACAAAACTCGCAGCTTCAGCTCAAAATCAAACACTGCAGCCAGACTCACCATCGTCCAAAGACCGCATCCTCCCAGCCAACACCGGCCCTTCGGTTTCAACATAGGCATACGGACAGCACTCACGACCCCACTCCTCTCTCTTCCTTCAATTCTACCATCGACCAGCTTGTCCTGGACAAACCGGCTCCCAAGCGGAAGCCTCGTCCACCCCCTCCCTATCCGCCAGCGCGGAATGTTCCTTACACATCTGCGCAGCCCCTTTCGCCTCCTTCTCATGTCGATCTTGCACCAAACCCCTTTACAGATACCGGTTTTGGGCGATCTTCTCCTCGCAGGCCACCACCTCTGACACTCAGGCAAACGCGCTCGAGGTCTAACATCAACGAAATCTCCAGTCCAATTCCAGGCAGCGTGATGAGGCACGAAGTGACCTTTGACGGGACGCCAATCTCATTTTCAGCTCGTGCGAGGAATATTAGCTTAGATGAGGCGAGGAAGAGAGCAAAACCATTGCCGCCACTAGGGCCGATGAGTCCTAGCGTTGTTCGGGGATTTGTAGAGCTCGAGACGGCGTATGGGTTTGATGAGTTCGGAATGGACGCTAGGGATCCTGAGAAGAAGAGGAGGCGGCGGAGAGGATTCAGCGGGCTTTTCAAGCGGGAGAAAAATAAGGATTTCATTTGAGCTTGGATCGATGGATGGAACTCGGATACCCTGCCGTTTTGGGGGCTCATCACGGGATATGCATATCACGCTTTCATGTATATGTTCTTTTGCGTTTTCGATGGAACAGCTCTCTCACACGCTAGACAAATTTTGAATCACCTCGCACTTTCCCTCCGACAGCTTGCTCTTGACACTGCGCTTTGATCTAGTTTCCATGGATGCACCACGAACAATGTAGATTTAGTAAATTCTCCAAGCCTTGTGTTCCCAGTTTCTCTCTAGAGTCACAATGCATGACATAGCGAGGGATCCTTCCCCGCAATATCGTGTAGAATTAGCCCTCGATGAGGGGTCCGTGGGGAGTTACCAGAGGTATGTTTTGGCGGGGCATGCCACCTTGGCAGGGGCGGGGCGGGAGACGGCGCCGCATCGTGTTCCCGATGGGAGGGAAGTCAGGGGAAGCCTGCGCGTGCTTTCATGCACTCTTCTCCAACTCTCATGCTCTGCACGACATCTCCCCCTTCTGGCTTTTCATCCGGCAGGGCAGCATATTGTTTGTTTGTTTGGACGAACAGCTTCTCTATCTCGGCCGCTATCCCGAATCTTGCTGCATATTGATACCCGATTCGGCGCTCAGGGGTCTCTCGATGAATCGCGAATCTTCGGATTCCATGTTCATTTGGCATGATGCCAATTTAACGGACTGTAGTACGATTGCCTCGCAGGAGGGAGCTCAGGGGTAAATCTCCCAGCAGCTGCAGGTGGCTGCTCACCCTCGCCTTAAGACATCCCACTCACATCAGGTGCAGGAGGAAAGGAGTCCAATGCGATGGACAGAAGCCCTCATGTAAACACTGCACCGGTTCAGGGCAAATTTGCCAGGTCTCCAAAGCTCGCCAATTCTTTCATCATTATCAGGCTCATCATCCCTTGCTCTACGATCCCAATTTGTCTCCATAGCCGCTGCGCCATCCACCTCTGCCAAGCTCTTCACTACCCAGACCAAGAACACCGAAGTTTGACTTTCTTTGTCAATATACCGCTCCTCAGATCTCCAGAACATTTGGCGGTGAGTTTGAGAATTGCTTTGTGCTACAGGCTACACATTATAAGCCGGTTGTTCGACGTGCTGCAATCGCGCTCGGCTTTTTGCACGAGAAGTTCACGTTACATGATGGTACTTTGACAAGAAGAAGGGCAACAAGTGAGGACGAGAACTTTGCTCTAAGCCAGTATGTAAAAGTACTAGGAACTCTACTGCAGCCAGCGAAGGCGGAAAGGCAGCAAGCAGCTGATGTGGCCTTGATGACTTGCATCCTAGTCGTCTGATTCGAAGACCTTACACCACGGCGCGGCACTCAAGCATGTCGACGCAGACATCAAGATACTCTTCGAGCTCTCATCAATACCGATGTCTTCCAGCCTCTCTGTATCGCCGAACCCATACACTCCCTCTCAACAATCAACCAGATCTTCATCCGTCTCGAGACACAAGCGGGGACCGTCACCTTCAGCACAAAACGGCAGCTCGTCTCCCCAGATCACGACTTTGGACCGGATGGCTACGACGAAGATATCCCCAGTACATTCACTTCAGCGAAGATGCGCGAAACGCACTAGAATACATCCGTACAGTAGGTTCCCAAGCACCGCGTATATATTCCCTCATAATCGGAGAGGACGAATTACGAAATTTTACAGCGTCCATCCGCACCATCGCCGCACCATTTAGTACCCAACCATTCGTTGAGAAATCATGTCGCGGAGATCGTCGAGCTTGTCGAGGAGTTCGCCAATGCATCTTCCCCCTCACCTCCTCGTGGAAGCAAATCTCCTCACTCCACCCCCCTACAAATAAAGGTAAATGGGTTATCTTCAGTCTAGACATCGGCCTCATCGGCCTCATTGTGCCCTTGTATTTCGTAGTGGGAAAAAGTAGAGATCACGGGATACGCATGAAAGCGATTAAGCTTCTTAGGAGCAGTAAAGATGTTAACAGAAACATTTGCCTGTCTGCACTTGTACTATAAGTATGTCAACCTAGACCAAAGGAAAATACATCCTCACGCCCCGCCTATTTCTCTTCTCAAATCGTCTTATCGACCCATTCCTGACTATGATCAGGCTGCCTCACAACATCCATCTGCGCCCGACTTAACTCCACCCCATTCCTCCTACTCGCCTCCCAAAGCGCAGCCTGCCTATCCCTCTGCATCCTCCACGCCTCTGCATCCGCGCTCGGAATCCGACTCTTCGTCCCATGCACCCAATCAAAGAAGCCCAACGTCCCAAAGTTCACCGCCGTCTTCGGATTAAACGCGCGCTCATGATGCAAATCGTGTTTCCCGGGGTCATTCCACTTGCTCCTATACCCGGTATGAGCGAGGACACTCATTGCGGATGCTGCCATGAGCCACACGTACAGCACTATCAGGTGCGTGCCCCAGATTTGCGACAGCGGAAAGGGGAGAGTGGAGGCGAGGAACTGCGTGAAAAGGGGCCCGATGAGTGCGGGGAAGATGTTGAACAGGATTTGTTCACTGGGCGAGCAGTACCATGCTGCGATTCCTAGATTGGCTTTCGTCTTGTGGTGTAGCTTGTGCGAGCGGTTGAAGTGCGTGTACAGTGCCTTCGCGAGGGTAGGAGGCAGGAGCTTGTAGTAGAAGGCGTCTGAAGAGGGCGAGTGGTGCGCAATCCAGTGGGGGTAAAAGTAGAAGAGGTCGTTGAGAAGATACCAGATTATTCCTTGGAGGGGCGGCACGTAGGATCTTGGTAGTTGGACGATATTCTCGGCTTCGATCTTGGTTTGTAACAGCAGAATCCAGAAGAGGAGGACCATGAGTGTTGAGATGAAGACGTTGGATGCCACGGTCCGTAGGATTTTGAGGAATTCTTCGGAGTCGTTTAGTGCTTTGTGGGTCTGCTTTTGGATGCGATTGTTGATGTATTCTCGGTGGTTATCTTCGTATATGTGAAATGCGAAGTCCAACCATGCTTGCGGAACATAAACTCCAATCTTTGATTCTTTCGCCGACTCGAGATAGTGCCCTAGTAGCTCTGGCTTCCAGTGGTATAACTCGTGCCGTAAGGATAGCAGTGAGACGATGATGTAGGTCGCGCTCGCCAGGGAACTTGGCACGATCCATCCTCGCCAAAGAGAATAGGGGTCGAGGAGCGGCAAGAAGGGGAAAATGCTGTCGCGGGTTTCGGACGACTTTGTGATGAACCATTCCCAGTATCCGAAGTAGTGGAAATTGTTAGAGACAATCAACAAGGCTTCCAATAGACCGAGAATAAGAGGAACAATACCGCATCTGATGACGAAGTTCTCGGGGGCTCGTTTGATTTTGAACATCCATTCCTTCTGTATCTGATCCGCCACTTCCTCGTTACTTGGTCTATCCGAGCGTGCGGAAAGCTTGGGGTCTTGGTTACTCATGTTGCAGAGAATACTGTGGTAATCAAGTGTGTAAATAAATATTTCGAGGTAAAGGTGGGTGGGTGTTCTGTTTAAATCTCCAGCTGTAGCCTTGCCAGAGGTGCAGTGGTGGCGCAGCTCAGGGGCTCAGCCAACCGAATTGGGCGCCTAAAGCGCGCACCAGGCTGCCAGCAAAACAAATAAATGCTCGGATTACAGGCCCAGGCACCTTACGGGTGCATTTATCATCTCTGATTTACTCTTATTATCTGTCCGATATGTCGTATGTTGCCCCTCCCCTTAAGCCTCGAAACTCTTACTCCTAACTTGTCAATTTCCCCCGTCGCTACCTTATTTCTGAGATCACTGGAATCTATCTGCTTCTCAAAACTTATCATGAAAAATTGCAATCTCACACCAAGAATTGGGCAAGCAGCTTCCCCACCATGCAGCATCAGCCATCTAGCGATGACCACTGCCCCTCTCACCCCATACCACCACCCATGACCCATATCCTTCCCAAAGCCTCCCATCATCTACTCAAACTCTTCCCATTTTCTCTCACTAACAATATCTCTTTAATAACCTCGCGGAATCTCTAGTCTTTGTTTTGTTCACCGAGCAGAAACAATGCATCAACCTCCTCTTCACCAATGACCTCTGAAATAAACTGCTTAACTGAAGCTCGATAGTTTGTCTCATCATCTGTAAGGAAAGATGGTGCGGCACCTAGGTCAAGATCTAGTCTGTGTTGAGAAATTTCCAGCATCCCGTCGTGCCTTGTGATAGTCAAAGCTGCCAAACTTGAGCTAGTATATGAAATTGTCAGGGGTGTTTTGATATCGACAGTCCTGAGTTTGTCTCGTCAAAGCAGTCTTCGATGTAATTATAATAAAGTGTTGATCTCGACCCCGATGTATAAGGCAGGACCCTAACCATGTTTGTTGAGCGGCTAGCTGAAATCCGTCACAAGACAGAGAGCTCGAGTATCGGAAAATATCCTGGATCGAAAGAACGATGGAGGGATATCTGATTTGTTCGATCTAGGTGATTGAAGATTGAAGGTCGAGGAACATGTCAGTCAACGCAATTACGTGCGGATCTAAGGGGATGACTGGAGCTGTACGAAATATGGGGACGCTTTTCTGAAGGTGCTCGAGAAGGTAGTGAAAGATGTTTCTTGGTGTCAGGTTTGGGGAAATGGGTATCGGGGTCGTCGGCTCTGCCGGAGGTTGGTATGAAACCTCTAGTCTATAAAGATTAGAACGTGCCTCTGATAGGGGATGGGTTTGTTGTACAGGTTCGAGGAGTACCCTGCTAGCACCACCTTTGCATCTTCGGCAAGGGTTCTCATTGCAATTAGATACTCTGCGGATTCTTTTGATCCTTGTCGCATCAATGGGTGTTCCGTCTCGATATTTTATGGATGCCGTTCTGTAAAACGGTTAGCTTTTCTGTAACGTTTGGAATTGCACGGCAACTGGTCATACCCGTAATGGCATAATCTAAACAATCCCGATTCCTCTCTGGTCAGTGTAACGTCTTGCGAGAAGTTCGAATACCACTAACCTTGGGCAATTTGAAGATCGAGGGGTCTGTATTCTTCCCAAACAACTGTGCTTATTGCAGGTGATACCAAAAGGCAAAGAACGAGATGAATGCAAGAAGACTTCATTTTGTTGATATTGAAAATTGACTGAAGTTGACTGATGAGTTCAATTATATCAAAGCCACTGCTGCCTTGCCCGTCCTCAACTTAAAATTGAAATCTGTTCTTCGCTGTTTATTGCTGGGTTTTTTGGTGATAATCTTCCTGGACTAGGCAGCAGACACTTCCTCCATCCAGATAGAAAACTGCCACTTGGTGATGCGATTCTGCACGCATTGCACTCCGCTCGAAACTCAACGAGAAAGGAGAGACAAGTTTGGAAATTGGAGAATGGACAAGTTCCGGGATGGGCCACGATTCGTACGACCAACTTCGATATCGACTTGGAGAAACGCACCGTGGAGATCAAGTGCCAGCAACGCATATCTGCGGCCTCTGACGAGATTGAGGTCAGGCGGAAGATAGTGGATTGTTATGTTCACACGGGAATAACTTTGGAGCAGGTTGGAGCAGTTATTGCAAGATAGCCTTGAAATATACGTTGAACGAGGTTGATCTAACCACTTGTCATTACCGCGGCGAGAGAATCGGTGGATAAGACTCTTCAACCGTTTGAGGCTCAGCTTTCGGACTTCGCTGCGCCCCTAAGCCTCTGTTGTTACTTTGGAACTCTAAACGATGTGTTAATGCGGAAGAAGCCGTTATGACTTGCAGAGTTGGGAGATCGAGGCGTAATGTGATCTCCCGGCCATCCTCTTTCAGAGCCCGCTGGTCAATCGGGCCATCGAAAACGGTGAAAGGCTTGTCATGAGGGTCCGACAGGAAGTTGACCGCACGCCCTACAAGACGTTCTTCAGCCGCGCTAATTATGATAGAGATATTCGATTGAGGAAATTGGCAGACAAAATCGCCAGGTTTTGCCTCACTCGGTACGAAGCAGATGAAACCTGATTCACAGAGAGCTATGCTGGTATTTTCTGTTGGGTTCTCGGACGTGACACTTCGAGCGTCGAGCAGGATCCGATTTAAAGCTTCGCGGCTTTGATGTGCTTCTCGACGAGGCATATACAAACGGTGGCTCGAGGCTGGGGAACGCCATTGTTTTCTATTTCCAGCTGAGGAGGGTCCAAATGCATCGCGCCAGCCCGAATTTCGCTCGAATGCGACAGCAAGTTCAAAGTCTCTACTCACACATTGACTTCGAAACTTGGCCGCGCCGTACGTTTTGTGGAGGTTGTTAATTTTCAGTAACCGTTCTATACAATTCAGTGACAAAGACCGTGGCCTGAATCCACCTTTGGGCCAATGTCCGCCTTTGTCCTCAAATCCTGCTGGGCTCACGTACGAGATAATCGAAGTGATATATCCCACGGCCTCGGTGACAATGTCAAATTTGCCGCCCGCTACCCTCGTGCACTGGGAATGAGATATCCGCAACTTCTCATGAAACTCTTGGGATGCACTTATGACGCTGTCCCAACGAAAATGGCGCTGCATGCAATGCTCGAGCACCCGACGATATATCTCTGGTAGGCTGAAAGAGTAGTCAACTGAGACTTCTGCCCTACAACAACTTTCCGCAAGAGAGTGAAGTCCGAAAATCTTGTCCCTGGAGTCCTCGCAATTTGCACCCCCATACTTCGAGCAAAGTGCAATCAGAGGACTGAATACCGGATCCGCGTCCAATGTACTCCTCATTCTGACCTGTCTATCCACCCAATCGTTACACAACCTCGCAGCCGTACTGGATCTAATCTCCTCGATGATGGAAGCCTTAAGGTCGAAATGATTTTTTTTCTCGTCTACTTTGGACAGCCAGTCGGTGTCTATGCTTGAAAGAAACCAACATAGTTGCGACCACTGGCACATCTCATCCCCCCACTGGATATCGATGGCTGCAGCCAGAAGGACTTCCTGGATAATCCATAGTCTAGTCCAGTATTTTTGACGGCATAGGGCTCTGACTGCCATCAAATTTAGTAACGTAATCCACGGTGAAGTATCGAAGGGTTTGCGATAGGTGTACGTGGTCTCTGTCTGCGTTGAAAGCAAGTTGATCGCGGACCCGGTTGCTGAATTTCCAACGCCTAACCAGACGATAACGCTTTCGGCCTGACTGTAAATCAACCCCATTTGAGTGACCTGGTGGTTACGCTCCTTGACATCTTTCTGATTGATGCACAAAGCGTCTATCCAAAGCACACGGCCATCAGGCTCAGCTTGTTTACGAAGGTGCTGCAAAGCCAACGAAAGGTTCGTGGGAGTGGTTTTTCTGGAAAAGCTTTTCATCCCGCCAGCTGATCCCAGGTCCCAGACGTACGAAAGAGCTTCATATTGGGGTTTATGACACAGTCTCTCATGCTTAATCCGCCATTTGATGGGTTGATCGTATCCGGGCCGGGCAGGCTGCAGGACGAGAAGTCGTATTTCGTCGGGGAATTGAAGTGGCTTGTAAGTGACCGAAGTGGAAGACATAGGCAGTATGCAATGTCAGCTAGGGGAGGGAATTGTCAGACTTGACTGTCGAAATCATTAAATTGTGAGGAATTGGTGGAAGGACCTCATGATGTTGTCGAAGTTGCTTTAAAAAGGTGGGCGAGGCTGTGGACGCTAGAAAAAGGGGGGCACGCAGGGGTTGAGGCCAATCAACGACGAGAGATTCGGTGAAGTGAGGCTGGCATTGATTGTCCACTCAGAAAAACCATTCAAAAACGATCCGAGGTTAATAGCAAAAGATCGTTTCTCGCTATATATTACATTACATTAATCCGCTGGGAACGAAAAAGCAGGCGATATTAGTGACTCAGTCCATCAGTGAGTCTTTCGTCACCTTACAAGTTATTGTTCGTCGTGTGAGGGCTCGGCCTATGCGTGGAGACTGCCAAAATTGGTGCTGTTGTGGTGGAGGAGCAGCTAATGCACATGCTGATGACATCGGGAAAAACTAAAACGACCCCCCCGGGGTGTCGATTAGGGGTGTCGATTGGGGCAAGGGTATCAACGACTTGTAATTGGCTATCTAAGCTCTTTAAAAATCTTAAGTTATATTTTTTAATATAAGTATAAGCTAGTATATTATAACTCTTGTATTATAATCACGTGCTTTATAACTTGTAATAAAAAGATTTCTTAAAATAGAATTTTAATTTAAGGAAGTTGTGAGGCGCCCACAATAGCAGGATGCTATGCAAGTAGTTAAGGTAAGGGGTGGAATCTAAGGTAAGGTATGGAGTGAAGCGTGCAAGTATAATTGATTCCAAGAACTGGTTCCAATAAACAAACTAATTAATGCCCATTTCCAAAGCTTCGTATGCCTCCCTATATATTACCTAGCTCTCCCCTGGGTGTACGGAAGCACTAGTCCCAATTAGGGAATGCGATCCCACATAAGCACTAGCCCAATTAGGCTACCAAATCCGGCCTGACATTTGCTACTATATGTGCGCATTACAGAAGTTTATATACTAATTAATTAGGTTCTAGTTTTTGAACCCTATAAGGCCCTATAAATTACGGGCTTATAAGGCTCTTATATTTGGTTTTAGGGACTTTTTTGCCAAATTTCTAGACTTTCTTAAGCTTATTTATAGGTGTGACGGCTGGTGTCATATGGTTGGTTTCAGCTAAGGTTCCAAGCTATAGTTCAAACCAAGCTCGCTTTCAAAGCTCGGCATTTCAGTGGTCTTGGCCATACCTACTTATCCACTGCCACACCTTACTCCTTCTCTCCTTAGCTTTAGATTCTGTAGGATATTGGAATTATAGATCTTTGAGCATCGTTCTATTGCTTTATTCCTGCTATTACAAGTATTACTTTATAGCTTATTTATCTTAACTACTTATATATTACTTTACTATTATATATTTTATATTCTAATTAATTCAGCTTTTAGAGAGCGGTTTATTATAAGATAATTAAATTATTATTAATAGATAAAATTACTAATAGCTAGAATATAAATTAGAAAAAGTACCTCTATTATTATTAGAATAACTTAATCGAATATTTAGAGAAGTACCTAGTTAGATACTCTTAGTATTATTTAATTAGAAAAAGGAAATAAAACTTAGATACTTTTAGAATTAGCTAATAAAATAATAATAATAGAAAAGCTAGTAGTGGCTTATTATTATATTACTAAATTAAAAACAAAAATATAATAAAAAGAGAATTTAAAAAAGCTAAAAACTTAGATTTATTATCTTAAAGATATTCGAATATCTAATATAGAGCCTATTATACTTCTAGTAATATCCTTAATTTATAAAGCTTTAAAAACTTAAAAATTACTAATTTATAAAAGAAAAAATATTAAAAAAGCCCAGAACTTCTTTTATTAAATAGAGCTAAAATAATATAAAAATAATAGAATTATTTAGGCTATAAATATAGTAAAAGTTATAAATTATACTTTCTATTTTAAGAATATAGCTAGAAATATCTGGAAATATAAGAAGTAATTAATAGATATTAATATTATAAATTAGGAAACTTTTATTAAGTTTATAAAAAATTCTATTTTAAATTTAAAGAATTATAATAATAATACTTTTATTAAATTTAAAAATTTAAAATAGTAACCAAATTAGAATATTTAAAGCTTTATATCTTATTTAAATAGCCTATTAAATAATTTGAAATATATAAGTTTATTATAAGAATAAAATAATTTATTTAGTAGCTTAAAATAAAAAATTCGAAATAAGATTAATTATTAAAGAAATACTTTATAAGAAAGAAAAAAGCTTATTTTTATAGCTATTAAAGTCGAGAATAATTTAAATATTTTTATTTAATAAGAATATAAAAATAAGCTAATAAAAATAAGAAAATTAAAAATAAGAAAATTAAAAATAAGAAAATTAAAAAAAAGAAATTAAAAAAAAGAAATTAAAAAAAAAGAGAAATAATAAAGAGAAATTAAAAAAAAGAAATTAAAAAAAAAGAGAAATAATAAAGAGAAATTAAAAAAAAGAAATTAAAAAAAAAGAGAAATAATAAAGAGAAATAAAAAAGAAGTATATTTCTATTATAAGATTTATAAAACCGGAATAATAAAGATATAATAATAGAATCTAATATAATACCTATATTAGAATTTATAAAACCGAATATAATTTACTTTATTTACTAAAAAGAATTACTATATTATTATTTATTTAAATCAAAAGAAATCGACTTATTATAACTATAATAAATCTAGCTATAATATATATAAATATTTAGAACTAAAGAAGCCAAAAAAACAAATATATTTTATAATAGTTATATTTATTTATATTATAAAAAGTAAAGCCTCTAAAATAAGAATAATAATTGAAATTATTATTAAAATAAGAAAAGAGAAATATAAAATTATAATAGTAATTAATTCGGGTATAAGAGCCAATTATATAAAAAGAAAACTAGATTTAAATATAGATATTCTATTAATATTAAGAATAATTCCCTTAATTTTATTATAAAAAAAAGATTTATTTATATAAAGATTATATTCTTGAAATTATTATTAAGAATATATTAGAGAACTAAAAAAAAGTTAATATATATTTTATATTATATAATTTTAATCTAAATTATATTAATATAATACTTGAACTCCTATAGCTTTATTAAATTAATTCTCTAATTTTCTTTAAAGAAATAATATAAAAATACTAGATTTAATTATAAAAGATTAAAGTTCTAAATACTAGAAAGTTTACTAAAGTAATAAAATATAAAGTATATATTTTTCTATTAATTTCTTATTCTATAACAAATAACTAAAGAATTACTATTATTATTATAAATAAAATAGCTTTATTTTTTAAGAAATATTAGAATCTTTTTCGAATATTCTTTATAGAGGCTATAGATATATTACCCGACTATTATATAAATCTGAACCTAGAATTCTAATTATTATATAGTTCTATATATATTTTATTAGAAAGAAAATATAAAGTCTTTCGGAAATATTTTAATATTAGCTTAAAAAAAGATAAATCTATTATTTTATTAGCCTAGTTAATACTTTAATTATATTTATTTCAAAAAAAAAGAAAACCTATATTTATATATTAACTATTAGAATCTAAATAAAATTATTATTAAAAACTAGATACTATTACTATTTATTAGTAAAATAATAAATAAACTTTATAAAATAAAGATATATATAAAGCCAAACTTAAAAAATACTTATTATTAGTTATAAGTTTAAAAAGTAATAAATAAAAAATAATATTTCAAATATATTATAAATATTTTAAATATTATATTATATCTTTTAAACTCTTTAATACTTTAGTAATATTTGAGGTATATATTAATTATATAATTTATTTAAATAATATTCTAATTTATTCTAAAGATCTAAAATATTATATACTAATAGTTTAATATATATTTAAATAGTTATAATAATACTAGCTCTTTATAAACTTAATAAAATACGAATTTAATATAAAGAAAATAAAGTTTTTAGAATTTATAATTAGTTTAGATAATATAAAAATAGAAGCTAGTTAAATTATAACTATTAGAAAAGAGCTAACCCCGAAAAATAATATCTAAAAAATTTAAATATTTCTGGATTTTACTAACTTTTATTAAAGATTTATTTATAGATATTTCAGAATAATAAAGAGATTAATTAATTTATTAAAAGCTAATAAAAAACGATAATATTATTTTAACTAAATAAATAAGACAAATAAGGCTTATAAAGAGCTAAAAGTTATATTTATAATAGTACTAATTCTTGATTATTTCGATTTAGCCTTACAGATTTATATAGAAATAAATACTTCCGGATTTATAATTATAGATATAATTTTCTAGCTTTTTAGTAAGAGAATAGAGGCCTAATAGTATTCTATTACTTTCTATTTAAAAAAAATAACTATAATTAAAAGTAAATATAAGATATATAATTTTAAGCTTTTAGCTATTATTCTAATATTTTATATTTAATAATATTATCTAGTTTATATCTAATATATTATTATTATTAAAACAAATTATAATAACTTAAAATAAGTAAAAAAGCTAGCTACTTTTAATTTTATTTTAGAATATTACCCGAAATATAATAATTCTATTAATAGATTATTAAAAAAAGCCAGACTTTATAATAAATATAAATAAAAATACTTTATTATTTATATTTTATAATAAGTTATAGAATATAGAATAAATAGCCTTATAAATAATAGAAAAATACTAGAAATATTATTACTTGAATCTATTTTTAATATAACTAGTTATAAATAATATATATTATAAATTTTAATTATATAAATAGCTAAATCCAAAATAATATATAAGAAAAATAAAGAAATATTACTTGAATTATTATTATAATACTAAAGACTTAATTTCTTAATATAATATTAGTAATATAAATAATTCTTAAAGAAAACTTTTATTAAAGCTATTAAAACTTAGGAATTTAATATATCTAAGTTATTAAAATATTAGAATATTATTTATATATTAAATAAGCCGGCTTTTAAAAAAGAATTACTATAAATAAACTATAATAATCTTATAAATAGATATTTTAATACTAGTAAAATATAAGAGATTTTCTAAAAAAAAAAATACTTTTAATAAAATATAAGAAACTATATTAAAACTTGTTTTATATATTAATAAACTAAAATAAAGAAATATTTACTATATAATATATTTAATATATTTCTTATTTATTTTAAGCTATAATAAGAAATTACTATAAACTTTATTATAGAACTATTTTCTTTTAGATTTTATAATAAAATATATAATTCTATATTTATTATTATTAATAAATATATAAAAATAATATAATATATTTCAATTATTAAAAAGATTTCGATTTTTGAGCTAATAAAGCTATTTATATATTATATTATTAAAGACTTTAATATATTTATAAATATAATCTCTAATAAGAAATTTGTTTTTATAAATAAATTTTAGTTAAGTTTATACTTTTATTTAAAGATTTAGTAATAACTAAATATAATATTTTATTTATAAACTAATAAATAAATAAAGAATTCAAATCAAACTATAAAATAATTTTAAAATACTATACTAGTTATTAGTAAAATAATTAAATAATAAAGCTTCTTCTTATAAAGTTTATATATAATAATTTTATATATTTAATAATAGAAATAGAAATATTTTATATATTTTATAAATTCTATTTTAGTATAATATATTAAATAATTAGATTAATTTAATTAATAAAGTATATAACTAGATATATAATAGTACTAGCTATATTAGAAATATACTTTACTATATTAGAATTATAGTTATTTAGTAGTAGCCTGGCCTATAGTTTATTAAATTAAGTAAAATATTTAGAACCTCTTTAATTTTTCGGTATTTTTTTATTTTTATAAATTATATTAATTATAAATAAAATAATTAGAAATTAACCTTTATTAATAATAAATACTTTGAAATTAATAAATAATTTCTACTTAGAACAAATATTAAAAACACTTTAGAATTAAAAATTTCTCTATATAAGAAGCTTATTTTCTTTAATAATTTTTCTAATATCTAAACTTTAAATAGTAATATTAAACTAATTACTATATCTATTAAAAAGCTTTCAATTATAAATTTATTTTATTTTACTCGATATATTCGAAAATATCTTAGTAATCCTCAATTAAAATTAACTTAATTTAGAATCGAGATTATTTTAAACTTGAACTATTTAAAGAATAATTTCCTCTCTTTTAATTTAAATATTTCTAAAAGATATTAAACCTCTCTTAAGAAGATCTCGAAGATATTCGAATATATATATATACTATTAAGTACTTAGTTTAAAGATATAAATAAGTAATTATTATAATTTAATTATAAATTTTAAATAATTTTATATTAGAAAAATCTGGCTTAAATAACGAATTTATTTCTCTATAAGTAATTATTATATTTATTTTCGATATTTCTATAAATATATAAGCCTTTCAAGCTTAAAGACTAGTAAGATTAATAATAAGTTAATTAATATTAATTTTTAATTAATTTAATTAATATATTATTAGTTAAATATTGCCTTTATTTACTAAGGTTCTTATAAATAAATTAGAATTAAGATATATTAAAAAAAGCTTATTAATTAAAGAAGAATTACTTAAGAATATAAAGATTTAAGAAATCTTTTCTATTATTTTAAATACTTGAATAAATATAAATTAAAAGGCCTTTCTTAGAATTATTATATAAGTTAATATTTTTTTAATTATTTAGATATTTTATAAATAATAATTTTAAATTAAAATCTTATTTACTAGCTATTAGAAATTTAAATAATATTTATTTAAGTATTTATATACTTTCTATTCTTTTAAATATTTTAAAAGAATATAATATTAAATATAATATAACTAGATAAGTAATTTTAATTTTTTATAAATTATTATTAACTAACTTTAAAATAATACTATTAGAATAGCTATATTACAAATTTCTTAATTATATAACTAGTTATATAATATTATATTATAGATATAACTTGACTAGTAGACTAGTTTCTATTAGGCTTAGCAAATTTAGGAATTATATATTAATACTATAATACTGCAATTCTTATTTCTAAATAATAACTATTTTACTAATTTATATAAATAGTATTTTATAATTATATAATAGTATTATATATTTCTAGTAAACTAATAGATATCTTATTAAAGGCTTTTATTAAGTATTATAATAAAAAAGGTATTGAATTTCAAGAAGATATTTCTTATATATTTTATATTTTAAAAGCTTTTATTAAAAATAATTATAATATCTTTTATTTTATAGATTTATATAAATAAGAAATAGAAGAACTTAAAAATAGAGAAGAAGAAATAAGAGAACAAGTAATAAGTAAGTTTCCTATATAATTTATAAGAGTTTTATTAATAAATTATAGATTTATTAATTTAAAAAAAGAATTAAAAAACTATTATAGGTTTTAAATATAACTAGAGCTGTACGGAATATGGGGACGCTGTTCTGAAGGTGCTCGAGAAGGTAGTGAAGATGTTTCTTGGTGTCAGGTTTGGGGAAATAGGTGTTCTGTCTCGATATTTTATGGATACCGTTCTGTAAAACGGTTAGCTTTTCTGTAATATTTGGAATTATACGGTAACTGATTATATCCGTAATGGCATAATCTAAATAATCCCGACTCCTCTCTAGTTAGTGTAACGTTTCAGGAGAAGTTCAAACGCCACTAACCTTAGGAAATTTGAAGATCGAGGGGTATGTATTCCTCCCAAACAACTGTGCTTATTGCAGGTGATACCAAAAGTTCTCATCCTGTTCAGGTATCAGCCGGTGCTGGTGTGAAAAATGGGTTCGAGAGAGCGGGGAGTGTGTTTGCTATTGGGATGGCTATGTTTGTTGCTCTCTAAGCGCTTTGAATCGATAGTCTCCGTTGTTGCTATGGCTATGTATCCCATGCCTTGAATAGAGAAAAGACCTTGCTTCCCAACTGATAATCCACTTACCTCCAAAGTTTCTTCTCACGTTGAGTTTCTCCCCTGTGATTTTCGTGGATATTGCTTAATATATGAAAGTCTCAATGAAGGAAAAAGGTGGTTGGATGCAGCCTTCCTGCAAGCTGCAAGCCACAGCAACTGTCGCCTCAAGCGAGACCACTTCATCCCATTGCCTGCCCGGAGCTGCACTCACACCTCCTCTCTCACCAATCTCCACGACCATGATGGGAGTCTGCAATTCATGCAAGAGATTAAAGATCCGACTGCTACCCGATCCAGTCGACAACAGTTCGCAAGGGATCTACTCAGGCTTCTCCCATTCCACCGCTGGCGAGCTGCTCGTCAGCGCGCAAAGTTGTTCCTTCTGCGCGCTCATCAAGGAATCTTTCCTGCGAGTAGGCCATTACCATATCCCTGAAGCTGTCGTCGACGAGAAGTTGAGGCTTGATCCTTCTTCGCCCGTTCTTCTGCGGACTAGAAGGAAGGAGGAGGATGAACCCTCTGCCGGTATGTCGGAAGCGGGAGCAGGCGCTAGATTGAATTCCATTGAAGTGCTTGTTGGTTATGGACGGAACTTCATGAGAGGGAGGATCCATTTATATGCACCTAAAGGTTAGATCTCAGTTCGCGGTGCTGGTTGATGCTGATGGTAGAAGAGAGCCCTGCGATTCTCTCTGGAGATGTTGTTCAAAAGCCAATGTTGGTCGATGATACAATGAGACCAAGTGAATTGGTTCAAGAGTGGCTGAGCAGTTGCGTCTCGCACCATGATCTTTGCCGAAAAGCCTTTTCTGGGGATCTTGTCAATGAGGAAACGATATATCCTGGAGCACCTCACCGCCTTATAGAAGTATATGAAAAAAGCGACGGAGCCTCTCAGCCAAGTGCACGGTTGATCGAGCGCCGGCCACGAGTTGATACTAGGCCTTACATGTATGTGGCTCTCAGTCATTGTTGGGGTCCTCCCAATGAACGTCCTTTGTGCACAACGAGAGCCTCTCTCGGACAACACATGCTTCAGATTCCTTGGGGTCAGCTCCCGCAAACATTCCAAGATTCAATTCTGCTTTGTAAGGAGCTCTCGATTCAATATCTCTGGATCGATTCTTTGTGTATTATTCAAGATGACGAAGAAGACTGGAGTATTCAGTCGAGATTTATGGGGCAGATATATGAGCGTGCTCTTTTCACTATCGCTGCCTCCTCGGCCAAAAGCTCCACTGAAGGGCTTTTCAGGGTGAGGAACTCCTTAGATCTTGTCAGAATCCCGTATTACGACCCGAAGAGCGGGAAAGCAGACCGAGTACTTGCCTACATCGAACCAGACCTAGAGAAATGTATTTCTTCATCCCCGTTAAACCAGCGAGCATGGGTCATGCAAGAATACTTCCTTTCTCGCCGAATCGTGCACTTCACCATTCATGGCCTCCTATGGTCGTGCAAGAACGGCAAAGGGTCCGAAACGCAGTATATGATGAGTGAGTTCGGGTCCAGCTGGGAGGCAGTGTCTGAAGATGACTGGAGGGCTTTAGTCCAGAGCTATACCCGGCGACAACTCACATACAAATCCGATAAACTCGTTGCGATAGAAGGCCTCTCACGTCAATTTTCATATCGGTATAAAATTGACAGATCATTTCAATATCGTCACGGCCTCTGGCTGGAAAATATGCCGCATGATTTGATGTGGTATGGTGAGGAGAGACTTGTGAGAGACAGGGGTAACTACATTCCTTCTTGGAGTTGGGCCTCGACGACCGGTCCGATCTCTTTCAAGGCATCCGTGTTCGGAAACCCGGAAGTATTTCATGCACATGTTACTGGAGGAAACTTGACCTTCATCCTAGGCATGGAAGCGCTGGTGAGAAGAATCGACGACTTGGAAGGTCCGGTTCGATGCCAAGCTTTCTGCTTCGAGGATGTTCAAGATATGGGTTCCACGGGTCGAATGCATGAAGAATACAGGGACAGTAGTGTCCATGTGGCTCCTACATTTGTCTTTCGGTCTGGGGGAAAGAAGGTGGGCTGGGGAGTTTTCGATCAGCATGAGGAGCCAAGCGAGGATGTCTTTTGCTTACCGCTCATAAAGCAGAAGGTTTGGGAAGGCTTCGCTTCGTCCAAAGAGCAGCACTTTTTGTGGGTTTTACTCGTGAGTTCGGTGGCCCCGGGGAAGTTCGAACGGGTCGGGTGGGGTCTGCATTTCGTTCCTTCGTGGTTTGATGGACTCATTGCGAGACTTATCAGCCTTGCCTGACAGCGGGGTGCAACTGTTGGGTGCGGTGCGCGGTTTTCGGTTTGAAGAAAGAAGACAAAGAAGAGAGAGAAGTAGAAGAAGCCAAAATGGAACTCCTAGGTTGTTGTCACAAAGAGGAAAGACGTGAGCAAGGTATCAACTCGCTCGCAAATGCAGGAGCAAAGAAGCAAATGAAGTCACTCTTCTTCGTGAGGGAAGGAGCGAGATACAAAAGAACGAGCACGCCAGTTGGATAAGGGGCACGTACATACATTTGTATTTCCTACACACTCAGTACATTCTTGATTCTCCAGCCAGCCGATACCCAATAACCTCTCCTGATATATCAATACATCTGATCAAATGTCCCTCGAAAATTCAAAGGAGACGAAATATGCAGAGCTCCGAGGCTCTCTTCTGATCTAAACTCTAGATTATCACTTGTTCAAGTATCTAACTGATCCCTCCGCGTCACCCACCCCGCTATTGATATTCGATATTCCTTCACTAATGTGACCTCTCACTGATAAAGATAATCTTGTAGAGATTTTGCCTCAAAGATTAGTCGAGTCAGCATTTTGGGAAACTGACCATTTTCACTCCTTGATGTCTACTAGAAACAGATAAACCTATCCCACAAGAATTGCTGCATTCGACACCTCGAGGAGGCGGTGACAAGAGTCCAAAAGAGTCCTCTGGAGGGACTCCCGAGATACAGTACTAGGACATTGAAATTAGCCCGAATGCTCTTTTACAGCCAAAACTCACTGAGCCACTTCAAAAGAAAACTATAACCCCGCCTTCTGATTAAGAATCGCAATTAGCAGATCTCTTAAATCGAACTAGCCCTTTAAATTACTCAATTCAGTATTTTAATTTAACTCGTTCTCGTGAAATAGTTCATTAGATTATAAGAGACTTCCTTGATTTTCGTCATTTTACACCAAAATTAAGCGAAGATTTGGGAAAATCAAACCTCTAAATTTTTAAAGCTATATAACTTAATGCGCGCTTTAAATGTATTAAATTATATTTAAAAGTGGGGTTCCCAGGCTTTGATTCTCTACCGAAAATAAGTGCTAAGTTTGCACCGGGTGTGGTTGTAAAGTTTCCGCTTGGTGAAAAGGGTGAAAAATAGCTGATTTTGGTAGGGTTTTAGTAAACGGGCTAATTTCAATGTCCCCTCACTGTACCCGGCCTCCAAGCCCATATCCATTTCCTCCAGATCTAGAACCACCAGCTGAGAATGACGTGTGTCGTCCTTCGAGACTTGAAGGTGAAAATTCACCTGATCGACCATGTGCCGAGAACGTTGAATGACGTGCTTGAAGACTTTGAGATTGTCTCTCAAAGGATTGATAGTATTCGTAGTCATGAACAAACCCATCAAGCAATGGCAGAGTTGGTTTAGCGTACGACCGACTTCGAATGTGCTGGCTGTAGCATTCTGATATGGGAGCCCTCTCGTCACCCGGCTCCGAAGCCCAGAGCTGCAAGAAAGCACAAAACTGATTGGACTTCTTCCAAATCTCCTCGTCCATCAGATTCGACCGACGTTTGAAGTAACCCAACCATCAGGAAAGAATGGCGGAGTTTAAGTGAACTTGAAAAGGGAGATTATATTACTGCCGTAAAGTACATGACTGTGACGCAGTCAAAATTAAGCAAAGTCAAGGGAGACACGTTGTACAACGACTTTCCATACTTGCATACAACAATCGGAGGGTATTGTGAGTATAGAGAGGAAGATCCCAACATATATTATAGCTGCTGATATTGTGTGTACAAGCTCATCGCTCGGCGGCATTTCTGGCCTGGCACCGGTTACTTCTTTACAACTATGAAGCAGAGCTGAAGACAACTTGTGGTTATAGTGGCAGTTTAACGTGAGAGTTGGGCCACCGTTTTCGCAGATCAGGCAAACCTAACCCACCCTACAGATACTGGGACTGGAGTCTAGATTGGCATGCATATATCAAAAATGGCGAAACGGCAGAACTAACAGCAGTAGGGAATATCTAGGAAACGCTCCAGTATTTCCAAACACCATTGGATTTGGTAGAAATGGAGATACAAATGGTCTTGAATCGGTCTCTGACGGTCACTGTGTCACCGATGCCCTTTTGCTGATCTCCAGCTTCCCTTTTATGATGGCGATGATCACGTTCATTGTTTTTCTCGAGGGTTCAAATTTAATGAGAAAATGCTTCATGGCCGTATCCCGGGAGAAGGTGTTCGGCCCTCTGCCATTGAAAAGATCCTGAGTCTACCAGACTTTGAGAGCTTTTTCTTGGCGCTTGAGAACGGTCCGCACAATGCTATTCCCACTGGTATTCATGGAGACTTTATGGGTTTCACTGCTCCAAATGATCCGATTTCTTCTTGCATCATAGGTAACTCCACCAAGACCCATCTCGAAATGCGTAGAAAATGTTAACAGCCTGGATCTAGCCAACTGGATCGCCTCTGGTGGAAGTGGCAACATAAAAACCCGCTTGAGAGATTGAGTGAATATACAGGGACAGCAAAAGGTGGCTCGAAAGATGCTGCATCCTTGAGTGATGTGCTTCCCATGGGTGGACTTGCGCCTGATATGTGTGCATCGGATGTGATGAACACAGAGTCGGACCTCCTTTGTTATAGATATGCATGACGCCATGTCGGCACGAGCGTAGAATCAGTCATTGTGAATAATGTGAGCGAAGGGTGAAGGGCTGGGAAATTATGCTCCTTGGATCTACACCAGATCTAGAAATTCAAATACTAGGTCCTCGTCTGACCTCACCCTATCCTGCAAAACCTCTCTAGCTAGGGATCGGTGAGGATAATACCACCTGATTGAATTCTGTGACTAAAATTCTGGCAACGTCAAAACCGACTGTAAATGGCGCTGGTCGTCGATTCTGAGCTCATTCTGCTTTACTTGAGCTTTAGGTCACATGCCTAGTATGCAACAACAAATACCAAGAAAGAAGACAGCGCCTTTTATTGGCTCAAGAGTTGTAATCTTAGTGAAGCAAGAGAGAAGACTAAATGACACTTTTTGGTTCCTCATGTCAGCTACTCAGGATATTTTGACCACCGGCAGTAGCCGGGGTGAGGGAAAGGGATTTGGTCACATGGGAGTGGGTGGCTCCCTTCCCCGATCTATCCTTGTCAAGGCTCTCCTACTCCACATTGAAAGTAAGATCCATGCCATTTGCTACTGTTTGATTGCTCAGGGACCACTTAATGCTTTCAATCACTAACTGATCCCACCGACGACTGGATGGAAGGTCAACAAATCTCCTAAATCCATGTGGAAGTCCAGCGAAGACATGAACTTTAACAGGAACCCTAATAATATTGGTTACCAGGCTCTGGGGTAGAATGTGTATAGAAAATGGGGGGGGATTCTCACCCGTTGTGGTGCAAATTTTGCGCAAAGAGGAGACCTTCGTCTCTGAGCGGATCGCTACCAGCGACCATAATCGTAGTACTTGGCAGTCCTCTCAGCTTCTTTCCACTAAGCAATCCAACATCAGGGTTGACATCGTGGCCTTCGTGAACTCCTTCTCCCATGCAAGCAACGAAGAAATCAAGAACCTTGCTGGAAACCACGGGTGCGTTGAGGCACTGAAGTCGAGATGCCTTCTCTTTCGCCACAAACTCTTCATAAGATATATGTTCCTCATTGATGATCAACCACGGTGTAACGAGAACAAGACCCTTTATGATTGCGCCCTCGTGGTTTTCATAATCGCGTACGAGCGCGGCGTTTCTGGCCAGGACGACATGGCATGCGAGGTTTGCGCCAGCGGAAACTCCGCCAACGATGACATTTCCCAGATCTCCTCCGAACCCCTCCGCATTCTCAATGATCCAGTTGAATGCATCGAGAGCATCATTATGGGCATCCGGAAATGGATGTCGTGGCGCATGTCGGTACGATATGTGGAACACAATGACATCCATCGCCGCAACGATCCGACTGCAAGCTGCATCCTCAGAGTCTAATGTTCCATAGACAAAACCACCACCATGATAGAAGACATAGATTGGTAGGTTTGACAAGGAAGACCCTGTCTCTTTCGGCGTGTAGACTCTGGTGGGGATTAAGAAGTTGTCACGTGCGTGGATGAGAAGAGTCTGAACTGCGACCTTGGAGGAGAGACCTGAGCTCTATGTCAGTTCTGAAATCTAGGGTGTAATTTAGAATAGCCCAATTTCTACCTTCGGCCTTCATCTGCTGTGCAGACATTTCTTCTCTGCCGGCATTGGTTGACCTCTGGATAGCCAGTGCAGACATCTTGCCAACCGGCGTTTCTGGTGCAGGACCAAACTTCTCGATGTGCTCTTGCCATTCCCTTGAAGGAATTCCAAATCTTGAAAAGTCCGCCATCTTGTCGTAATGTTCATTGTTTGTAGAGTTATCACAGTTGAGATCCGAAGTCATTGACGATAAGTGGGGACCAGCGGGGCGATTCAATAACTAAGACGTAATTGGCGAATGGGTGCAGAAAGTCGGGACCTATGACTCGTTGATATATGCACAGTGGATTACTAATTTAAAAAGGCGGTGTTGTGATTTTCCCATGAAATTTGCACATCTTCAGAAATTTGGGGGTTTTATTTACTTCTCAGCCATTGCCGAAGCCCCCCGAGGTGACCACGATGGTGCATCGCCTGATCTCTGTCGTGCCCACAAAAGTGGGAAAGCAGAGTCTAAGTACCTAAATCGTTGAGCGGTCTATTAAAAACTGTTTAAAAGCGCGTGGTTCAATGAAATATTTTCAGTCGCACGAAGTTGGAGGCTCTTTGATGGAGTTTCCGCCGGGCGCAGTAGCTTGAAGGAGGTTTTCGCTTCGCAGCAAGATTCACTTTGAACACTTCAAAGTTCAAGGCTACCTTATAACATCAAATTTATTTCACTTGAAGGAATCAAGAGAATCTTCAGCAGTTCTCAGGATTCGATTACTTTAGTCTTGTCTAAATGAAATGCAGGAGTGCCTTAAACTTCTTAAATGTTCCGCACGGAATGGTTTTCCGGCGAAAGCGACCATGTTCGACAGCAGGGACACTGCGATTTAGCACAATGGGCGGACAGCAAAGTATTGGTCTTTTGGTATAGAAACTTCAACCCCATTGGAGGGAAGCTCTAGCAAAATAAGCAGTAAAAACGGCAAGGGAAAACGAGTTCAGAACGATTGGTGCTTGCATTAGAAACGATATACAACTTTTGACGTTGGGAATACATACCAAAAAGCGTTCATGTGTCAGTTCGAAGATCTAGGTAGCTGAGCTTCGTAAACTCTTTGAGGTGTTGGTCCTCTGAACAGAAGGCTGAAATCGATACTACTCTTCGCATCCCCAAAGCGTTGTCTATTCAAGGAGCAATAATACCAGAAACAGGAGGTGAGACCATGACTCGATTAAAGCCGCCATGGAATGGGTGGATTCCATTCCCCAAAACAGAGGCTTTCGCTTGCGGTTGAATATTTCTCACAACACTTCAAAGCTTCACATCTTAACACAAGTCCAAAGTCTTCAACCCAAACGTAATTATATACCAGAGATTGGACTCGTTTCGGAGAGTTACTGATTAATTATAAACACATTTGTGATTGAGAACACTTGAAATGTTTGAAGTGTAACTGGAGAAAATTATGTTTCCCCGCGCCAACTCCAGCCCGCGGAGGAGGTCTAGCTAGCCGATGGTGATTCGTCACCACATCTCCAGGCCAGGTGGTGCTTATCAGATCTGAAGTTACACGACAGACGCAAATTTTCTCTGCGCCATGCTTAGGCAAATCCCCCCTTGCGCAGCCCAAGAAAAGTGTGCGGGGTTCGGAATGACCGGTGCTTACCACCCACCCACATAGTCTACGTTGACGAAACGGCTGATTGAAAGTATTCCAGACCCTCAATTTAAGACCTCAAGTTATTAATATGCCTGGCCAAGGACGTCATAGTTAAGAGATATGTCAGAAAACTCCCTGGTTCTCCTCTAGTTCCCTCTGGATGATAAATATAAATCCTTCCCAAGATTATCTTCGGGGGACAATTCCACATCAAGTTGGTCCACAAAAGATTCATAGTCGCTGCAACCAAGTAACCTTCTCGCCCAAACTCAAGACGCCCAGGAAACTTTCTCAAATACGAACTCGTGAACAATACAACATGCCAGCAACCTAGGTTCTCGAAATAAATGCCCCAGTCTCAAGAATATTCGACGTGGTTATTGACCTTCTAGCCCAGGCTTGGCGATATTCCGGACCAATCGGTTTCTGCCGATTCGTTCCAGGGGTCTGGAACGGGCTGTAATGGAACGTTCCAATCGTTCCTAAGCAAGCTAATCCCTATAGATTCTCGTTATTTTGCAAAGACTTCTATTAATTATACTATTAAGAGGCTAAAAACTATTATATAACCTCAGAAAGGCCTTTATTAAGCCATAATACTACTATAAGTAACTTTATTACTATAAGAAGTCTTTCTTATTCTACTATATTATATAATTCGTCCTTATTTTATATAGCTATCTCTACTACTTTTACTATATCTATTATATTTACTATATTCTCTATAATCTCCTATACTAATCTCTATATTACTATTATTATTACTACTATTATTCTCTTTCTAGTAATAGCTTATAGTATAATTTAGCCACTTATAATTACTAGAATAACTATAAGATATATAATATAATAGGGTATTATATAAGTAGTTAAAATAAGAAATAGAATTCAAAATAAAATATAAAATAAAGTATAGAAGTATAATTAATTTCAAGAACTAGTTTCTATTAAAAAACTAATTAATATTTATTTCTAAAGCTTATAAACTTCTATATATATTTCTATAATAGCTAGTATAAGAATATAATCTACTAAATATAGGATATTAGAAATAGATATAAAATAAAGCTAAGCCGGAATTACTTGAGTGAAATAATACTAAAAATTAAAATATTTTCTCTATTTTATTCTATAGCTTAGTATTTTCTAATATATAAGATTCTTTAAACTTTAAACCTTTAATTATTATATTAATTCCGCTATTATAATTTCCTAGAGTTTTATTAGATATATAGAAATACTAGTTCTAATTAAAGAATATAATTCTATATAAGTACTAGCCTAATTAGGCTACTAAATCCAGCTAGATACTTGCTATTAATATATATATTATAAGGCTATATAGGGGAACTACTACTATAATAGCTAGTATTATATAATTAGTTTTAGCTAAAGAAATTGGTTTTAGTTAAAGTTTTAAGCTATAGTTTAAATCAAGCTTATTTCTAAAGCTCGGCATTTTAATAATCTTAGCTATATCTACTTATTTACTGCTATACCTCACTCCTCCTCTTTAGCTTTAAATTCTCAAGATATAGGAAATTATTAATCTTTAAGCCTTATTTTATTACTCTATTTCTGCTATTATAATTACTAGAAGCAAGAAACTATATAGGGGAATTATTACTAGAGGCTGGATTATTTAATATATTATTATTATATAGTATAATTATAAGGAATAGAAAGTAATAAAAGGCTCTTATATAAGTAGTAGTATTAATAAAGAAACAAGAAGGAAGTTAAGGCAAGATAAGTAGAGTAAATCTACCCCTATTATTTTTGCTCTACCTTTATTATTTTGAAATAATTAGAACATTCCATTACTAATATTACCTAATATCTATTAATACCGGCTGGAACGTTTTATAGAACATTCCAGAATAGAATATTACTAAGCCTATTCTAGCTTATAATAAGTGGCTCCCTAATTCTACCTCCTTTTCCGATATAATAGCCAGTGCCCCTTCTATATACTTTGCTTATAGTCAGAATAAGTAAGTGTCTCATTTAACTAAATATCTTATTGAGAAAATACAGGCCCTAAAATTTGTATATAATTCTTACTAAAAACATATCTTGTAATTATATATTTGGCTTAACTTATTAACTAATTCATTATTTAATTCATATATAAAGATTCCAAAAATAGATATATCTTTATTTAATTCTACTAGAATTAGAGAAATATTCTAGAAGTATTTTTATTATTTATATACTATAGAAGCTAATTACTACTTTATCTTTAATAAGGCCTATAAATAGTATTTTGAGAATAATAATAATTCAATAATTACTATTATAAGAATCTATTATATTAAAAAAGCTTCTTTGCGAAAATCGGTATTCTATAAGTATAATAGAAAGAGGAACTTCTAAGAACTTTATAATATATATAGTAGTAATAATAAGATTCTAAACGAGATATAGAAAGAAGTAATTAGGTAGTATTATTACAAGTAATAGGAAGCTAGTTTAGAGGCTATATATTAGATAGTTTAAGCTATAAATATATCTTCTAAATTGAACTATTTAGCTAATATAAATAGGCTAAATCTCCTCTAAAACTACTGCTTTTAGCTAGCTGGTTTAGTATATAGATATAGAATTATAAGACACTTTATATAATTAAAATAAAGCTAATTATATATATATAACTCGAATTTTATATAGAAAAGATATTAGAATATAGTTTTAGAAATATTATAATATTCTAGAAAAGCTTTATATTATAAAAGAGAAGAATATTTTAAATATAAATAAATTAGAAATATATATTAATTACTTTACTAGTAAGTATATAATTATATTTATAGAAATAAAAGAGCTATATATAGCCAGCCTTAAGAATTACAAATTAGTTATAATAATTGAGACTATTTATATAAATAGTTATAAATCTTTTCTACTATTTATAATTACTTCTAGAAAAAAGATTATAGATAATTAGATATTAGAAAACCTAATTAGAATAGAGTATATTAAGTATATATTTACTAGATATTATAGGAAAGAAACTATAATATAACAAAAACCTATATAAAGTATATTAAAATATAAAATATAACTTAATAGTAAAATAATAAAATTAAAAGTATAAATAGTAAAGTATAATAGTAAAGTATAAATAGTAAAGTATAAATAGTAAAGTATAAATAGTAAAGTATAATAGTAAAGTATAAATAGTAAAGTATAAATAGTAAAGTATAAATAGTAAAGTATAAATAGTAAAGTATAAATAGTAAAGTATAAATAGTAAAGTATAAATAGTATATAGTATATAAAAGCTTAATTAATTAAATATTTAGAAGGAATTATTCTCTAGAACTATAGAAAAACTAGCTTTTTTATATAATTTCTATAAGTTATATATAAAAGGCTATAGACTTTACTATATAACTAAAACTTCAAAACCGCTAAAATAAT